GCCCCTCTTCTCTCTGGCGCGCGCTATTTCCCTCTCGCACTTGGTCACAAAGCATGCATACCCACTCGTCCGTTCGCTCACTCACTTGCTGGTTCGCTGGCGCGCTCGCTGTAGCGCCGCACCAACCCCCACCATCGCCTTACTTTCTTTCGTTCCTTGCTTCTTTCATCCCCTCGCAATCGTTTTCCTAGAATGCGTGCGCAGCTGTAGTTTGTCTGTCCGTCTCTCTATCTGTATCTCTCTCGCTCGGAGCAGTCCGACAGAGCGGCCCTTCACTGCCTGAGTACCCCCCTTTTACTTGGTATACACACTTCCCCAAAAAGCAGCAGAATTTGTGATCGTCGGCGGGTGTGATGCGTTGGCATGGTGCGCGAATATGGCAGTTCGGCTTATACATACATACTGTCGCTTAGAGCTCGGCCATGCTTACATTATATTAATATCTCATGCGTTGTGCTTGGTTTGTGGTTGTGGTTTGTTTGGTTGGTTGCTGTTGCTTGTGCTGGTCTCTTCAGTATGCACGTTGCACGCAACAACGTGACGATAAGAGAAGCAGTTGTGGTCAGATCGATGATGGAAAGCACGGCTGACGTTGTCATGGATGACGCGTGCTACTTTGTTCATCTGTTCTACGTGAAAATAAAGTTCCCTTTTGTCTTTGATTTTTGGTTATAGGAAAGTCGTCGTCGTCCTCCTCCACCAACCCCGCAAAAAGTCCGAGACTCCATTCGTAAGCCTCGGAGAAAGAGAATGTGAAGAGAAAGGAATCCTGAATTAAACGCCCATGAGTTACCCCCACCAATACCTTCCCTAAAAGCCCTTCGCAAGAATCGTCGTCGTTTCGTGGTTCCTCCGATATCATTACTCCGTCATCTCAATTAGGCAGCGTGTTTTTCCGCAGTAAATAGTGGATCACTGCGACGGCTTGCGTGAGAGAAACGCTGTCGCTGTTGCCGCTGCGGCACTAGAGGCCGTTAGCCACGCCTCGAAGCAAGCGCCCTCATCTATCAGTTGATAGGTGGTGAGCAGGGCGTTTAGTGGCCCTGGGCAGGGGTCGGGTAGGGAGTGGCGACCGGGGTGCCGACGGGAGGCGTGCCAACGGGCGGCGTAGCGACGGGCGCGCCAGGGGTGTTGGGCCACTGGCCGGGCTGGAGCTGGCCGTTCTGGCACCTGCAAGGACACGAAAGTCAGTATGATGTACTTGTCACCCGATACGGGCCCATATGGGCGCTCAGGCCCCAGTGCTGTGTGGGCCTGGCCCTTGCGGGTGGGGGGCCGATCATCGCTGCTTGTATCTACTTACTTCCAGATGGCGGGGTCGTAGCATTGTCCAGCGCATGACTGCAGGCTCACGCCGTTGAGGACCGGGCACAGGTCCTGCTCGTTGTGGCAGACGTACTGGCCCGGCACGTAAATCCTGCCGCCGCAGCTGGAGCCGCCGGCAGGAGGAGTGGGCACGGGAGTGCCGCCGGGGACGACGGGAGGCGTGGGGATGGTGCCGTTGATGAAGGGCTGGGGCGTGGGGATGGCCTCGTTGGCGGCGCGGTTGTAGACAGGAGAGGCGCCGACGAGGGCGGCCGTGGTGAGACCAAGGAAGGTGAGGAATTGCATTTTGTTGGGCGTTTGAGTGAGGGGTTTGGTTTGGATGTTTCGGTGGTAGGAAAAGTGCTCGAGAGCTGCTGGATGGAACTCAGAGAAAGCGAATGCTGGAGGAGGAGGATGAGATGCGGACTGAAAGGTTGGGACTCTTGCTAGGGCTCTATATAGGCAGCGTCTCGGGCCAGGCTTGGGAGGGCATTTCTATTCACAGTGACACACTACGACACTGCCACGTCGCTGCGTCATGCCCTCCACCTTTAGAGACGAGGCAACTGGTCGACCGGCCGAAGTGGAGCCTCCGCCCGTTCCGGAGTCCCCAGAAAAACGCCTGAGGGTGCAGGGAAGAGCGAACAGGTGTTTAGAATAGCGAGCCAATGAGGGGCGTTTTGCCGCTGGGGCTGTGGTGGTTGAGGCTGAAGGTAGTGAAGGTGATGACGTCGGTGCGCAACCAGTTGGCTGGCTGTTGGGTGTGGCGGGGGGGAGTGCGTACGCGTACGCGTAGGGTGGGGACTCGTACTTGTACAAGAGAGGTCGGCTGAAAAGCTTTTGCATGTGAGTGCTGGATATTCTTGGAACAACAACAAAGAAACGAATCAGGCTGTGGCTGATCATGTGTGGCGGTGCACCGGGCAACCAGCCGAGTGGCTCGACAGTCCCGACAGGTCCACTGTCACCCGTCACTCCGACAAATACAAACAAACGTCCATTTCTCGCTTCCATGGACGGCAGGCACGGCTTTTTCTTCTACGTTTTTTTGTCATCATCCGCTCCTCAACCCCGTCAAGCCGTCATATTCTCGATCTCTCAAGCCTGATGCGGGTTAGCCAGGTCTATTTGTAGAGGTCTAGGTCCTTCGATTGTTTCTTTGCTTTCCAACTTCCCTTGCCGTCAACGATTCCCGATGGCTTGCCGTCGAGCCGTCAACCCGAACCGTCAGCTAGCCGCCTTGCCGCCTCTTCTTAGTCATGGCCGCTACGCCCGCCACGCCCGCCTCGCCCGCCTCGCCCGCCTCTAGAGTAAAGACAAGGTTACGATCCCTTCGGCTGGCGGGGAGATATGCTCACTCGAGTACCTGTACCTACAAGAGGTTGACACGCAGCAGCAGCAGCCTTGCGACTTGTTCATATGGCTCATGGCTCAAGGCTCAAGGCTTATTAACCTCGTATTGGAGGGTGCGGGTACATACAGACCATCTCTCCCTCTCAGCTGGTCAGCGCGCGCATGCACCACGCACGCATGGCGGCAGGCAGGCAGGGCCAAATAACTAGATATTGCAAACACTGCGGTCCCACGAGATGAAACCGCGCGGGCACACGTGATCTTCAGGAGTGGTGGCGGTGAAGAGAGTGCGACGTTGTGCGGATGTTCTGGAAAGAAGGACCATGGCGGCGGGCCATCACGTGCGGAGCTGGACGGTGGTTGCGCGCCGGCTGTGCCTCGAGGGTGCAGGAGCGCACCCCTGCTCGTGCAACACTTACAACACATCGCCGCAGCTTCACGACATTGTCCTAGATGCACAGCCGAGTCCGGACGGTAGCTGCATCGTGCCCGCGCTTCGCCCTCAACTTCTCCTTTGCCCAAAGCTGCTCGAGGCCTGCCACGTAGCGGCCGTCGCCGGGTGCCTGCACCGCTGTAACTCGACTCCCATCTCTTCGTCAAACACCTCTTCCCTCGACCCAGCTCCCGCGCCGCGTGGAATCGTTCCCGATGGTACGCACGTCCGTTCAGTGCGCATCTCTTGGTGCGGGTGGCGGCTAGTGCTCAGCTCGAGGTGCCCTCCTCGCCGCTTGCCCACACCCACGGCTGAGGTAGTCTTTTGGGGGCGCATGCACTGCCGATTATTTATATCGTTTCTTTGTCTGCACTTGCACCGTTGCCTGCCCTCATCCTTTCCAGCTCTCCGTCATCCGGCCCCCCCTTTTTTTTCAGCACCGGACTGTTACACAGAGCATTGTCTCGGTAAGCTTATACCAACTTCCCTAGAAGCATCAGGCCAGAAGGGGGAGCGTCAGCACTAGGCTTCATAGGCGCGTGCATTGACACGTTCTCTGCCAGGCATTTGCGGAACATCGTCGAACAACGGACGGGCGACGTACCGCGACCCTTACTGCAATCCCACAGCTGCTCTTAATTGCATCTCATTGACATCGTCCAATTGCTACGGCGTGTCAAACCTGCGGCAGCCACGGAGCGATTCGCGCGTCAGCTTATGGTACCCTGGACTCTCCACACTCTGCCAGGCGAATGAGGGCTTATCTCACGTACCACAAGACCCGGTATTCGTGAACAAGCTCGCGAGCTCGGAGGAAAGGCGGGGTCGGACATATACAGGTCGATTTCTCGTAGAGAGGCAGGATCTGCGCTCGCTTCTACTCGAACTCTCTCTCCGGCCTTCCTCGAGAACCTTTCTCCCCCTACCCCCCGCGCGAGAGGCATGCCTCCCGACAGCTCTTCGTTCACGGCGCTGAATGTATCAACGTCGGCTGTGCCGGAATGGATGGGATCCTTCACGCTGTCCGCGCAGCCAAACACCGACCTCTGGCGCAAGCCTCCCAGCAGTGACACGTCGACCTGCCCGATACTCTTCACGGCGCTGCGCAACCCGTTCGTGGCGGCTGAAGTGACGGTTTCGGCGGACTGGGAGCTCGAATGGGACCAGGCGGGATTAGTGATATTCGCAGGGGCACCACCTGGAAGAATCGGCGGGGCGAGGCCAGCACCTCCTCCGCCCGCTCCGGCCCCGGTACACGCGGACGCGCCCCCGGCCTACGTCGCCCCGGCTCCGGCGTCCAAGTGGGTGAAGGTCGGCCTGGAGTTTAGCAACAACGCCTGTCACGCAACATCGGTATGCGCCACGGCTGACGGCGCAGATTGGGCGCTGACGGCGCTGCCGTCGCATCGAAGACGCCGGTCGGATCTGCGCATCAAAATGGAACGCATCGGTTACGCGCTGTGGGTGTGGTACGAGGACGAGGTCAGCGGGTGGAAAAAACTCAGAGAGGTGACATGGTTCTTCTGGGGTGTCGAGGATAAGGCTGTCCGCGTGGGCGTCTACGCGTCGCGGCCCGCGAATCTTGGCGCAACACACTATGAGCGGCGGCACGGCGGGCCGCGGGTCACGCAGCGGAATCTGTTGGTTGAGTTTGAGGGCCTGGAGATTTTCTGATTGTCGTCATTTTTCTTCGTTTTAATTCGTTGCGACCGCGCTGGTCATGATACCAATTTGCACACCCGGCGTGTCTGTACAGAAAGGCTTCTGGTTTCGGCAAACGCGCACTTGCATCTTTTCTTATCTTTCTACATCCGTCCGTCTTCTGCCGCAGCGGGTTCTCTCGGCTTCTTCTTTCGCTCTGTCGCATCAACAGGACTTGTACCGGCCGGTTTGCTTTTCGGAGTTTTGTCTTCCTTGCACATCGCAGCATGTTCGGATCCAATAATTGAAAGCACCCTTGATGGTTTGTTGCCCTTGTCCTTGGTATGCACGGCCAAGAAGATCATTACGCATATATGAAAGACCTGGTCCCCCGCAGAGAGATCTCCATCCCCCATTTGCTCTTTCTGGTTAAGTGCCCGTCATTGTAAGCCGGACGCGTATTTCTGACAAAGCCACCACTAGGTCGTCGCCACCTTGTGTTTCGAGATTGAATACAGGGGTCCTATCCGCGATAAACGGGAGGCCTGTCAGAGGTGGGCCTATCTTCTCATGATATGATGCCTACTTGGCGTCAGCATAGCTGGCGTTTCCGCCAACCGCTCATGCAGCTGTGCTTTTGAGTCTTGGCAAGTCTTGATTGACGGCAAGCTTTTTTCACGCTATCTTCTTACTCTGAGACTCCTATTAGCTTTGTTTTTTTGAGTTGATGCTGATAGCAACTCGAAAACACTCGGTTCTTATTGGTCCGTGGCCACCACCTCACTCACGCTTCTCTACCGTGCTTTCACTTCGTCACACCCTTCTATTACCCTTTCTGGTTGTTGACTACCAGTGATAGTACCGTGTTTTGACCAAAAGGTCTTGTATACACTTCCCTGCCTCGAAGTGAAGTCCACCCAACCCAGTATTTTCTCTTCCCCATTGTAAGAGCTCTTATTAAGCCACATGATTTCACCGCAAGTCTGCACTTCTGCTTTGAAAGAACCGCAACTTGCACTCCTACCCCGGGTTTCGAGTAGTGCGCGTGTTTCCCTACTCAAAGCCGAAGCCAAGCGAAACGTCGGCTTTCAGAACCAGAAAATCAATCAATCAAGTGCTGCCAAGCCTGCATATCGCTCAGGGCGATGGGTCAGGGTAAATGAATTCAACTCAACTCAACTCAACTCAAGTGCTGCCATTAAGCTGCTTACTCCTTTGCATTGTCTAACTTCTCTATATCTGTCAACGCTCTTCTACTCCTTCAGCTATTCTAAGCTGCAGACTTGTCAAACTCACCACGCTTGCTCAGACACCCACGCAACCAAAATGCTCACTAATCAGCTTCTCCAAGCGGCAATCATGCTCCAGCTCAGTCTGCCCGTCTTCTGCACTAGCAGCAGCAGTAATGTCACTCTCACTTCCTCCAACACCTCCACAACACAGTCCCTAACCCCGCCTCTCACGCACACAAAGCACGTCACGACCAACCCCCCAAGCTCCAGCCCCAACGCCACCCCAATCCAGGCAACCTCAGCCTCAAACCCCACGCGCCCTACCGCCTCCATCACTACCGCCACCAACGCCTCCGCCGCCGCAGCCACCTGCCTCACAGCCAACGCCAGCTGCGCCGCAACCTACGACCTGTTCCAAAGCTGCTGGGACACCGGTGTCAGCGGCCCACTCGACCCGAACGACAAGCGCACGAGCAGCAACTACCGCGACTGCGTCTGTGGCGACACAGGAACGACGCAGGCGGATGCGTGGTCGCTGTGCGCGGAGTGCTTGCGTGCGGCTGGTGAGCCTGGAGAGAGCCTCGACAGCGTGAACTGGGCGTTGTGGGGGTTTTGCCGCTCGCCTGGTACGTCGTTACATACCTCAATAACTCTCTCTTGTGGCCTTTCCCCTCTTACTAGATTGGGCTAGGCTAATACCTGACATCCGCAGACCCAAACGCTTTCCTCTTCCTTCTCGCACTCCTGGACTTCACGACCGAAATCCTCGGCTCTGGCACCAGCTATGATTCTCATTCTCCTCCACTCACAGGCGCTATCACGGCTGTCGCGACGCTGGCGTCCCGCTATAGCTACGACCCCTCTGCGAATATCCTCCCTAGCGGTATCACGTCCGTCGTCACTGCCGTCATTACGCCGACGGGGGAGCCTTTGCCTCGCGTGACGACGACCACGGGGACGGGGACGGGGACGGAGTCTGTGTCTGCGTTTGCTACTGCGACTGCAACTGCGTTTGCGTCTGCGACAATGGCAGAGACGACAGAGACGGAGACCGAGACGAGGGGTTTGGGAGCGGAGCATGGAGGCGTGAGCTACACGACGGGCGTGTATCCGAACGGCTTGGCCACGCTGTATGTGGTTGGGCCGGCGAAGCCGGTGCCTGCGAGCGCAACGGCGACGACGACTAGTATGGGCTCTGCTGCTGGAAGCCATGTGCCAGGGGCGCTGGTGCTGGTGTTGCTTGGCATGGTGGTTTTGGGGGTGGTTTGGGGAGGAGTGCTTTGAGTGAGGTTGGTGGTGGTGGTAGTGATGGGGCGGGAGGGAGGAGGCTCTTGTCTGAGAGCTTGGGCGGCATTGGTGCTGGCTTTGAAGGCGTTTTTATAGAGGTGAACACCTATGAACGGTAGTACTTCTTAGAGGCGGAGTTGGATCAAGCTTATATACCTATGGATATATAAGTATATAGATACACAATCCGTTGCAGTCAAGTGAGATTCACCATCTAGCGAGATAGGGAACGACACAAGCAGCACCCATGGAATACTTCTTACCTAGCTATATGTCCAGTCTTGGATATAAGCGAGGAGATCTTAGAGTGTATGCTCCCGTTACCCAACATCTCTTACCGTCCACCCTAGACTACTCCTTATCTAGTTACAAGCCTAAATCCTAAATATGGGTAAAAAGGTCCTAGAGCACACACATACTATAAACACCTTAACTGTATTTCCTTGTCACAGCCGTATCTGAATGTTTAAACTATTGGCGGTTTGATTTTTCTCTAATGATCATAACTTACATTTTAGGATTGAACCTCGTTCGTATGTGCAGCTTGTTAGAGCTAATAGTTTACTTTGCAAAGAAACGAATCAAGACTTATCCGGATATCGAAGAAGACGCCACTATTCCCGCTTTTTAAGCAAGAATATCGACTCCAGTTCACCTCCTCTTCTTCGTCCACGCCTTGACGAAATCCGACTTCTCCTTGACGCCAAGACCAACGCGCTTGACCCGGCCTAGACGTGCCAGGTCCTCAGCTACGCGGTCGAGGACTTGCTTCTCCTCTGCGTTCAAGTCTCCATCCGCATCCGCGACAGGCTCACCGAATTCCATGCCTTCCAGGCTGTTTGCCTTGACATGGTAGCCTGGCTGGGGCGAGGCTGCCCGCGCGCTAGTAGAGGCTGAGTTCTCCGAGGCGGAGTTGTTGTACATAGCTTCCGCTATGCGGACACGGATACAGTGGGTAGGCTTGGAGCACAGATTCCACAAGAACTGCAGGTAGGATCCCGGGATGGGTGTCGTCACATCCCCAGGCGTGTAACGCAAACTGATGGAGAATATTTTGGTCTTAGCCGGGGCCGTCAGCAAACTAGGGCTGAAAGGCAAAATCCCCCTCCCGTTTGTGGTTGTGCACTCGGGCAGCACGACTATCGTTGCACTCGGATTCTGCGCCAGAAGCTTTGCGAGAGTGGTAAGTTTCGCATTTTTAGGCGGGACTTCCACCGGGTGCTGGAAGGCGAGAAGTAATGCGCGGAAGAGCGATATACGTTGCACACTGCGGGTTGAGGGGTAGGAGATGGTGAAAATAGGGTCGAATATGGTGGCTAGGTAGAGCGTGTCAAGTGGTGACGTGAATGACGATGCGATGATGCTGCCAGGATGCGGCAAACGGTTTTTGTCGTGCTTCGCGAGGGAGCTGTAATGGCGGGTCAGCAGGTTTATGTGTTTGCGAGGAGGGATTTACAGACCCGCGTCTCACACCATCAATCTGCAAGTCAATCCACCACACGCCGGGAATGCCCAGCATAAGCCATAGAGCCGCCTTCTTGATCAAGGAGCCCACGGGCAGCCAGCTCAGCAGCAGGAAATATACAGCCGAGGCAGTAAGCAGCAGAGGCACGCGACACACGAAGAGGAAAAAGTGGAAGGGCAGAGCGACTCCGGACGGCTGCGTGGGGACGGCGAAAAAGGGCGCGATGCCGGAACCTGTCGCGGTCAGAGTTAGGCACGGCACAAGAAGAGTATATGTGGGAGGTAGGTACCTCTGTCGCGGTACTGCGAGTACTTCTCCATGGCGATGAGGGGTGTTGTCAGCAGGCCATGGGCGAGGAAAGAAGAGAAGAGAGAGGGAAGAAAGCTGGCAACGGGCGCATGTGAAAGGGCTGGTTGCTTGGTTGCGCCAGTTGCATGGGCCGGGGGGAGCTGCACGTGACGACGGACGTAGGTAAACACAAACAGATCGACCGGCGGTGCATAGACAGACCATCCACTCCTCCGCACCATCGCCCACCACCCAGCCATTTGACGCCCAATGCCATGTGGGATTGATTCTTAGACAACTCTGGCTTGCTTGCGACTTGGTTCATTAGTCCTCCTTCAAAGGTTTCGCTCTTTCCTCATGGAATCGCACGAGAACTCGGTAGGCTCGCCGCAAGCACCCCTCGTGCGCCGCTCTTCCGCGCTGACTTTGATGCTTCCGACCCAGGCTCCCAAGTCCTCCGGCATCCGCCCTCCCAGTAAACTTCCTGCGCCCGCCACGGGGCTCACTCGCGGCCTTGTCGAAATCTCCGCCTCCGACAACAACGCCCGCGCAATGCCCCCGGCCTTGAGCGGTACCAAGCACAAGGCGTCCGGCCGTATGTCAAAGCAACCCATCCGGCCAGTATACCAGCGACTCACACCATCTACAGTGCCAGAGCCAGCGCCCAAGCGAAAGACATTGGCGGAGCGGGCAGGCGAGATAGCCGGTGTCCTTGCTGCTCCGCCCAGCTCACGCCCAGTGAATGGCGCAGTCAAAGCTACCACATCAGCAGGATACCGCAATGGATCGCATTCGTCGTCGCTCTCCGCCGCCTCGACGCGCTCGACCGCCTCCTCTCGCAACACGTCCCTCACCAACAGCGTTGGCAGCCGACCAGCCACGTCTAAACGTCCCCACACTTCAATGTCGCACTCGCGGACTAAATCACAGACTCCTCGTCCAGCTACTGCTCTAGATACGAATGACCCGCCATCACTCGGAAAGCGCAAGGGTAAAGTGCCTATTTCTGTTTCAACTTTTGACGACACCATCAAGCCCACCAAGAACAGAGCGCAACGTGGATGCTATGACAGCCAAGGCAACTACCTGGTGGTCTCGCAGGATGGCCGCGCCGCTCAGATGTTCGAAAAATCACAACCCTATCACCCTTCAAATTCAGAGCCTCCACGCGCTGTCTACAAGGCTTCCCGGGAACCGTCCCTCAGCACTGCTTTCAAAGCTTTGACTCTCGTCCCAAAGTCGAGTCAAGTGCAGGACATGATCCCGGAGGAGCCTGATGTTCAGCCACCTACACCTTCTCTTATACCCAGACTCAAGTCACAGCCATACCTTGCACCCCAACAGCCACCTATACCTTCTACACCCACTACCCAGTCGCGCAGACGCGCGAGATCTCCCTCCAAAGAACCAACTACCCCCTTTTTAAGTAAAGACTCTAACTTGCGCGCTCCTTATATAGCATGGGACACGAAGGGCCGCCTCGAAGACATCGAGAGTTTGTATGGTCAGCTCAAGGACCAAATGGCGACCTCGACTACGAAGGGCGAGAGCATGAAGGAGCAAATCGACGTACACAAAACGAGAAGTATGTTTGATTCTTTACCCCATGGCTTGGTTCAAGAGCTTCTGGACATACATTACATGTCCACATCAAGATCACTCGGGTTAACCAATGGCTTGGTGTCTGCAGTCAACGAGCTCGAGACGATCCGCGCGCAACTTTCAACCAGAAACGAGACGTTGCGTACCGAACTTGAGGAAACAAGGCTGAAACTATCCGCTTCCGAGACGGCACTGGAGACGACAAAGAGGACTGCTACTTTTGAGACAGATGATATGAGAAGGAAGTTCCGCAATGAGTTGGAAGATGCGCGGGACCAGCATCAGAGAGAACTCGACCGTGTCAAGCGGGATGCTGCTGATGAATCAGACAAGTTGCGCAGAGAGTTGCGCGATGAAACCGACCGACTGACCAGGCTGCACAAGGAGGAGAAGGCTGACCTCGAGAAGGTTCTGAGAGCAGAGATGGAAAATGAGCGGATGCAGCGGATGAAGGAATTTTCAGAGTTGCAGACGCGGACGGCACTTGCCCAGCAGAACATTGATGTGGACAACGAAAAGAGGGAACGTGCGGCACAGGAACTCCGCCATGAACTGGGAGAAGTCAAATCCGACCTGGAAAGGGAGAGGACGCTCAAGAAGAGTCTCCAAGACAAGCTTTCTGAAGCCACTTCTAACACCATGACCCTCGAATCTGCAAACAGCGCCATGAAGGCTAAGATTGACTTCCTTCAATCTGACAACAAATCGCAATCTCAGGCCTTCACCGACCTGCAGAAGCGTATGCAGGAAGCCATCGACTCGGCCGAGGAGACAAAAGCTAAACTGCGGGCCGAAGAAACCCTTCGTCGGAAGCTGCACAACCAGGTTCAGGAACTGAAAGGCAACATCCGTGTTTTCTGCCGTGTCCGTCCTCCACTTGGCGACGAAAGCAATTCCGCCGCCGAGATTGCCTACCCGGATGCTCAGGCGGACAGTAAAGAAGTCGTCATTACCGGCCCGGAGCAGAAGAGTGCCATGGGCAATATTACGAGGTCTACGAACCCCTTTGCTTTCGATCGCGTTTTCGGACCTCGTGCGCAGAACGCCGAAGTCTTTGAGGAAATCAGCCAGCTGGTTCAATCCGCTCTGGACGGCTACAACGTTTGTATCTTCTGCTATGGACAAACCGGTTCCGGCAAGACCCACACGATGTCTTCTCTCGATGGTATGATTCCTCGTGCCGTCGCTCAGATCTACTCGACTGCCCAGGGGCTCGAAGAGAAGGGATGGACGTACAAGATGGAGGGCCAGTTTGTTGAAGTTTATAACGAAAACCTTAACGATCTGCTGGGAGACGCACATCAGTTCGACAAGAAAAAGCACGAGATCCGCCACGACCCTGCGAAGAAGCAGACTACGATCACGGATATTACAACGGTGCCACTTGATACCCCGGACATGGTTGAGCAGATGCTTAGCAACTCTGCCAAGAACCGGAGCGTAGCAGCGACAATGGCCAACTCACGCTCATCTCGCTCGCACAGCGTTTTCATCCTCAAGCTCAAGGGTAGCAACAGCATTACGGGCGAGAGGAGCGAGGGCACGCTTAACCTTGTCGACCTGGCAGGTTCAGAGCGTCTGAGCCATTCCGGCGCTACTGGCGATCGCCTAAAGGAGACGCAAAACATCAACCGAAGCTTGAGCTGTCTGGGCGACGTCATCGGTGCCCTGGGTCAAGGTAAAGAGGGTGGCCACGTGCCTTACCGCAACAGCAAGCTCACGTACTTGCTGCAATACTCTCTTGGCGGCAACTCGAAGACACTCATGTTTGTCATGATTAGCCCGCTACAGGGCCACCTGCACGAGACGCTGACGAGCTTGAAGTTCGCTACTAAGGTATTACCCTTATGTTTTAGACTTAGAGATTTTGTTGACTAACCTCTGGATAGGTGCACAACACGCACATCGGTACCGCAAAAAGGCAGGCTAAGGTCAAGGACTAAGGCACTGCTCTTTTCCTTTTGCTTTGGTCTGCAATTGCAGCGCACGAAACAGCTTTATCCGCCGTGTCTTGGCGGTTACCAAGCATGTATATTACCCGCAAGCGCCGCTTGTGCTCTAAGCCGAAAGCACGAGTTGGATGAGCCATGTTTGGGTTTATGGCCTGGGGGACTAATTCCTCTGCTGCTTCTCCCGATGACTCGCTTGCGTGGAATTTCCAAGGTCTTTTCGTTTCTGGTTGTTCTATATCATCATCACTACTACTTCCCCGGGCCGCGAGCCGCGAGCCACGCGCGCTAAAATGCTGGGATTGATTGGGTTGGGTGTTTTATTGGCGTTGGTAATTGGTGGATTTGGCTGGTTCTTCCCACTCGAGTTTTCCGGGTGGGGATATGCAATTGGCAGAGGCATGAAAACGACGACCCTCCTTCCTCTTTTCTTTATTTTTCTATGCGTGTGAGGAGGAAGGAGAGAGTGAGAGAGGAAGACTTAGAGGGGGGGAGCATAAGGGGTTGGAAGACGGAGAAGGACTTGGAAGGGGTGCTGCTGACCGGGAGGGAATTTTTGTTTCTTCATTTTTGGGTGCTTCTGGACGTAACTGTCTCAATTAAAGGGGCTTTTGGTCACGTATGTGGTCGGTTGGTGATTGAGAGTATGGAGTTGAACTGAGACTGCTTGCTCCATGTCCCTTCGACAGGCTCTGAGTATACTAACGAGTGTATCGCCCTTTATGTTTCTTCTTCTTTCTTTCTTCATGGCCTGGTCATTGGGGTATTCCGCTAAGTGTGCGGTAGCAATGTCTGTCTTACATACGAGGTAAAGCTTTAACCACTAATTTGTTCGCTACAGACAAACAGACAGACCTCACTCAGCGCTGCATCTACAACAAAGTTATCACCCCGTAAAAACCGTGATATGCAACAGGCAAGCTTCAATCGATATCAAAATAAATCACAGTGACATACGTTTGTTTATCTCACCATACTGCCTCAGCATGCAAGTCTAACTACGACTACTCTTTCTTTTCCGTCTTTTCTGCCGCGACGACGGTAGTGATGTGATATAGCGATATGCAGGCACCTGTGGTAGGCAGTAAAGTGGTAGCGGTAGCTCGCAAGCAATCGGTGCTCCTATGCTGCCAGCTACGCACTTCTTAATCCTCCACATCACAGCTCTCGCCCCCCTACGTCTTCGTCTTTATATCGCATCTGCCCATCACGCACCGACAAAACCACAAACCGACTCGCCCGCGCACTCCTCCATGCATGCAGAGATAATAAAATCAGCACACCCACCACTCACCCACGCATCCATCCGTCCATCCATGCACGCCGTGCACGCCGTGCCACACAACACAACACACAACACACAACACAATCCCACGTCGCGCCCACCCACTAGCGGAAACAAAAGCGTCTTCTTCTCGAAAACAATGTATAACGATGAACAATAACAACAACATTGACGCCGACAACGACAATGTCCGGTAACGGTAACTGTAACTGATAATAACGACAAGAAGCTAGACAGACTGATTGACTAGTCGACTGATTCCGTCCGCGTCGGGTACGGATGTCATGACATGGCATGGGAAGGAGGCCGTGCGTGCGTGCGTGTTTGAAGGCGTGTTTGGGTAGGTGAGGTCGTTGAAGTGATGTGAGGTGAGGTGAGGTAGGTAGGCCGTGACGATGAGAGATAGACAGACTGACCGCCGCTTGTAGCAGCAGCAGCAATGCGGACTTCCAGCATATCTCTTTTCTTTTCTTTCCTCTCGAGTCTCCCTCTTTTCCGTTTTCTCACGCCACCCCTCTCGCATCATCCAAGAGAAAAAGATATCATAGAGAAAGAAAAAGAGAAGAGGGGACCTCAACCTCAACCCCAGCCAGGCGGGTATGCAGCACGCACAAAACCTCACGACTTGCTTGCTTTCTTGTTCTTCTTGTTCTTCCTGTTCGTCTTCTTCTTCGTCTTCTTATTCTTCTATCTAACGCCCCTAGGTCCTTGTCCTTGTCCTTGTCCTGTCCTGTCATGACCTACTCCGTCTTCGCCGTCTTATCATTGTCGTTACCATCGGCGCTAGTGCTATTGTCTGCCGCCGTTGCCGTTGCCGACGCCGGCGCTGTCGTCGTCGCCGTCGCCGTCGCCACCGCCGCGGCACCTTCATCCTCATCCACGCGCACCTCCGCCACCGGCCCGTCGTCCTCCTCTGTGCCCGCCAGCTCCGGCACGCCCGGATGCACGTTCAGGTTGACGACGCCCTCCGAGTCAGCGGGCGTGACGTTACCGTTGCCGCTCTGGTAAGGGTCGGGGTCCACATCGGAAGCGAAGTCCGCCTCAAGGCGGCGTTGCTGGTCCGCCATGCTGCCCGCGTCGCTGCCGTCCAGGCCTGCCGCAACCCCGCTCGCCGCATCGACGCCCGACTCGACGTCCGTGTCGCTGCCGGCGCGCCGGCTCGGCTTCTGCTCCAAGTGCTCAAAGCTCCACTGCGGCGCCGAGTCCTCGGCCAGCAGCCCGCTGAGCCCCGGCATGCTGACGCCCTCGTCCTCCTCGTCTGCCCCGTACGGCGGCGGCGCCTCCTCGTTCTCATACGAAGTCCCCGTCATCTCCGTCGTCGTCGTCATCGTCCCGGGTGCCGAACCAGCCCCGTGCGGGGCTGCGCCCAAGCCGCTCGAAGACCCAGTCGGGGAGGCTGAGCCGAGACGCTGACCGTTTCCCGACACCGCATTCGGGTCGGGCGCCGCGTAGGCCTCGCGCACTATCTGTTGCAGGTATGCTGGACCTAAGGGCTCGGGTTGTCGCCGGCGGTAGAAGAGCAGATACGCACTGCTGCTGACCACACCCTGAGGCGACTTTTGGTTGACCATGGAATCTGTGGCTTGTCAGCAAAGTAGCTATGCAGAGAAGAAGACTTTCTGCTTACCGTTGTAGTCGTACCACTTCTTGTCGTAGAAGTTTTGTGCCACAGCAGTGTAGTGTCCACCGCCGAGACCGCCGAAATGGTTGTCCACAGCGAACAGGTCATAGACCAGCGACTTGTCCTCCTTGAGTCCGACGCGGTCGCTGATGTCGAGACCCTCAATGGGGAAATCAATGAGAATGTCAATCTTGTCTCTGAAACCACGGTTGGCACCAAAGCGCTTCAGGTGGATAACAAGGATATCTGGAGCAGTCCAGATCTCGAGCGTCTTGCTAGCACGACGAAGCTCTTTGCAGCGGTTGCAGTACCAAGCGTTTTCCTCAGACAAGACCTCAGTCTTCGCCGTCTCAGCAAAGCAGTCCTCAAGCGTAATACCGGACTTCTTCTTGGCAGCCCGCCGCCTCTTCTTCTCGTCGAGCTCGGGGTCTTCAAGGGTCTCCATAACCCTCATAGAGTCGACACCACGCATGTCGTTCTTATCCGACTCGCGGCCACCAAAGAGAGCATCGAAGCTGTCAGTGTCCCAGTCCAAGACCATCAACTCACCCAAACGGATCAGGGCAGGGTTGCCATCGGGCTCTGAGACGGGCTCAGAAGTAGCTCTTTCCGCATGACGCTCACGCTTTTGTGCACCCTTGCGCGAGTATGTTGTCATCTTCTTGTTCCTGCCCTTCGTCTTCCGGTCGCGGTTCTTGTTGAACTTCTGGCGGTTGGCGAATTTGTTCGTGGTCATAGGTGCCAGTTCATCCTCGCTCTGAACCTCCGAAAAGTCCATGGAGTTGTTGGAGAACTGTGGTGTGTCCTCGCCCTCCTCGCTCTCTGGCGTATCAGAGCGATGGCTCGCGCGGCTTCCGCGGCTACCATGGCTAGCATTCGATTGGAATGAGGACCGGCGGCTCTGCGAAACAGGCATACGAGAGGCGATGGTTGGGAGTTCTCGGGTGTTGTCCAGGCCAGTCCAACCGGTGGGAAGCAGCTCGTTGCCAGCCTTGTAATACTTCATGGTGAATAGCCTCTGAAGTTCGGGAGGAATGTAGCTGCCGTATTTTAGAACTTCTGGTACGGAGCTCTGTTCTTGCATGGTAACGTCGTCATCAACGGTGTCATCAGCGTTATCGTCAGCAGCGGTGGTCTTGTCTGCATCGCTCGACTCTGTCATCGTAACGTCCACAATGCTTTCATCACCCTCAACAGAGTTCGCTTGTACCCGTCCATCGGTCGTGGATGAAGCGTCCTCCTCCGTGGTGATGACGGTGTCCGAACCGTTCTTGGAATCAAAAATGCGAGAGTTCAAGCTGTCCTCCGAAAGAATATCCCTCGTTGTCATAGTAGCGACCCTGGTAATTACCTTCCGGTGGATTTCATCGAAGTTCCTGGCTTCCTCACGCGTCAACACAATGTAGAAAGGCCACAATTTCATCCCCTTGTTGTATCCATGTTGTGCGCGATGAAGCACGGGCACCATAATGCGATCCGCCAAAGGAGAATCGCCGTCCGTGAGATCTTCATCATCAGACGCGTTGCCAAACATTGAACGAGCCTTGTTGGTCTTCTTAGGCGACGGCCAGTTGGTGGGGATCAGGTCCAATTCGTAGCAGAAGAGATCATCCCGGTCACTGATGTTCTGTTCCGATATCGCTTTCTTGTCATCGAAGACCTTGTAGAACTTGTTGTTGTAAACTTCCACGCAAACGGATAGCTTCGGGTCGAGGTCTGGCACACGTGCCGCGATAAACTCCTTGACCGCGCTGAACGGCTTGTTTTGCTCAATGTCAACAACAATTTGGATGGGTTTTCCGCGCAAGGGCACGAAGTTGAAGGTATGTTGCCAGTTCTTTTCAATAGGGAGCTGCAAGGTAAGCGACGAGTACGGGTCGAACGTAATGCTGACCTTATCGCACTCGGGGCAGACCATGGTGTTCTTGTAGAATCCGTTGAAGAGGTCGACGGCCACCGAGTCGTTACGGGCGCGGTGGTTCTCCCTGTACTTCTCGCCCAATGCCTTGATGGCTTCAGGGTCCTTGTGCGTATTATCCTCGGAATCCGGGTTTTCAATGTAAGGCTTCTTTTGAATCCTGTTCAGATCCTCATGAAGACCATCAACTAAGAAGCTAAGGAACTCCTGGGAATCTTGCTGGCCGTAACCTGAAAACATTGGCTGTGCCCTTCCCAGAGCATACTTAAAGTTCTTTGGAGAGAATGATGAAGGGGCGGCCTCATCGTAAAGCGCCGCCAATAAACCAGCGTAGGATTTTGCAATGGAACCACCGTAACCAAGCGGGTTGTCCGGGTTCAACTCTTCTTTGAACTTTTGTTCTATTCTTAGTCAGCGGCTGCATGTGAAATGAAAAAATATGACTTACGCATGAAGTACATGGTCAGCTCCTCAACACTGCGAATGCACTGCAAGGCTGAATTCATGTAGCAAGTGTTTCCAAGGTTTGAAAGACCGGTAGTTCCTCGAGTTCTTCCATTCCTTGCCCGACCTCTCGTCATTGGACCAGGAACAGGGCTGCTACGTCCACTGTCCAACGCTTTCTTCTGATCGACGTTTTTGCCCTCACTGGCCGAGGCCCCATGCTTGATCAGCTTCCCTCGGGCGTTTGCAGAGACAAACTCCCCTCCGCCAGGACCGCCAATCTGCTCCTCCAAAATCAATACCTGGCTCGAGTTAAGGCCAACGATCTCCATCTTGGCGCTACCGTTGTACTTTGGGTTGTTTGTCTCATCCTTGGCATCGATCATCTCCCGTTGGACGCCCTCGGTCATGGAAGTAAAAGTAGCCATGTCGATCACGAGTGACACAGAGGATGACCTTGCAGGCGAACCGCTCCTCGACGTAGCCGGTGTGAGAACATCTGTCTGCTTACTCTCCTGCGGAGCAGCCGTGTCGGCCTGAATGGGCTCAAGTATCCTCCACACCTGCACCTTTGTAGTTAGAGGAATACTGGCTTCCGATTTAGCTCTCTTGAGGAATTTTTGGAACTTTTCCGTGCGGCTAGAGAGCAGTCTGATCGCTTTCGACTGGTTCTCCTTCAGTTGTTGATGAGACATGGGCTCAGAGCCGTTTCGCAGCTTGCGGATCGTAAAGAAAGGAGGATAAACTTCGTACTGCAGGTTCTTGGTAGGTGATTCAGGAGGCGCAGTATCGCGTACATAGCGCTCAATGGGCGGATTGCCTTGCTTGACACCATACCATTGCACCATCAGCCTCCAGGCCTCCTCAGGAAATATCTCGAAGTCATCGCCATAAGTAAGGTTGGGCTTGATAGGAATAAACGGAAGGCCATTTTCATCAGCGATATCACCGTTCTCATCGGCAAGGTAATCTTTACGCAGTCAGCTACCATGTCCCACGACATATTTGTGTGTGCCAGCGGGCATACCTTCGTCATAAATCTCTGTATTATTGATTGGGCCAATATCCCCTTCAGACCGCGACTTGTCAAACGATCCGAATTGCTTGCTGTCCGAAACCCTTGACAAAACTCTTGATAACCACCACATTGAGACAACATAACCCTTCTGACCCTCTACAAGCTCCTTGGCGTTTATGGCCATGATCTGCGAAACCTGATCGTCGATGGCAGGCACGTCGTTGGCAGGCTTTTGCGCCGAGGTCGAGGGTGAGGGGCCGGCCTCACTCGTGGCCGAGGTGCTGACTGTGTTGGACTCATTGTTCGAGGTTGCCGTCGTCGTGTCGGAGCTCGAAGCATTCCCGTTGGCCTCGACAGTTGTCCGCTCGTCTCGGAGCATGTCCACCGACGAGTCCCTCACAGCGCCGTCGTCCATGTCCATGTGGTCTTTGTTATCGTCCTCGCCCGTCATCTCGGAGGCGGAGCGCTTTGCGGGCGAGACGGCACGGGGCTCGGAGCGGAGGAGGGTCGCGGGCTGCGTGGATGACGTCTTGGAGGGCGTGTCTTCGGATGAGCTGCGGCGGTCCCCAGCGGTTGACAGGGTCAGGCCGGCGTAGGCGTCGGTGGGCGAGCTCCCGGCGGTGTTGGTGCTGTCGTCTGGTGACGACTCAAAAACCTCGTCGTGCAGGTGTGGCGGTATGTAGCGCGGCGGTGAGGCGGAGGAGCGGCTTCCCACGGACGGCGGGTGGGGAGAAGAGGGCGGCGATGCAGAGGTGCTGAGCGGCGCCGGCAGATGGGACGAGTTTTCGTCGGGAGGGTCTTGGGCGAGCTTACGCTTCTTGATGGACGCCGTCTTGAAAAAGAGCGGCCTACCTGTGGAGCTGCAGTAGCTCCAACGGCAGGCACGGGCGTTGGGACGAAGCGCGCGGAGAAGGCGCTCGAGGTGCAGAGGGAGCTGAGGCGACCGACAAGCCGTGTGTGGAGAGGGCGGGCCTGGCGATTGCGGGCTCTACCGTGCGTCGTCGTCGTCGAGCAGTCGCATCGACGAGAAAAATGAGGCTGCGATGGAGGGTAGGTCGTTCTTCCCGCTCGGATGTTGCCGAGCAATCCGATTTTCACTGCTACGTAGGTTGTACGCTTGTCGGATTGTGCGCCTTCTGATCACACTGCTGCCAACAAAACTGCATGCCCAGGTGTGTTGGCGTGCGTCGTGATGTCTATCGTGAGCCTCTCTCTGCCTCGTGTGAGACTTATACCCGCACAAGCACTTGGCGCCCTTCCCCCTGCGTCGCTCGCCATCCCATCGCCAAATCCCTATATACCCTGTCCCTCCCTGAATCCTACCTAGTTATATCTGCAAGTAACGACGACGTCGCTGCTGTGCTGCGAGGTCGCTACCCGGCACCGCCCTCTCAAACTCAGCCCTAGAACAAACAAACAACGTGGGCACGCGCCCTAAACCACTCGTCATTCACCTGCACCTCCAGTCTCACTCATGATCGCGTCACTTGATCTCTACTCTATGACGAGGTACATTGTCCGACACCCTCTTTAACTCAACCAAAACGGCCTTACTTCCACCCTCTGCCACAGTGGCCGTCGACAAGCCTCCCCATTCATAATCCCATGCACATACGCCTCACCCACAAGCTTGTGATAAGGCCCGTTCTGTCTAAGCACAAACGGCACAATCGCATTAGCTAGGACGCACACCACGTCTCCCTCGCGTAAGCACGGCGGCCCGATGCCTATATACCCCTTCTGGGTTACAAAGAGGCGGCGCCAAATACAAGCATTCGACACCGCTTCGGCAAAGCGGTCTACGTCTCCGCGGTCCCCCGGACCTTCAGTAACTGGCTGAGAGAAGTGCTGACGCTGGAACGCTGCGAAATCTTCAAGGTGAGATTCGGTGTCCTTGTCCTCGATTAACATGCCGTACCAGTCTTTTGCGGCGGTGATGGTCCAGCAAAATGCTGTGCTGAGGTCAGTGCCGCTGGGATATTTTCTGAGCGGGAAAACCATTGTCCTCCAGAGACGTTCGATGCGCCATAGCTCCGTGGAAAAAGCGGTACTATCGGGGAAGGTGTCGGATATACTGACAATGCTGTCAAACTCGATACCTTCAGCGAAGAGAATCGACTCTTCGAGCCTCAACTGAGATGTTGGCAGACCGATGCTTGCCGAGTGGTTTTTCAGTAGAATATACTCGGCAGGAGCCAGAGCGTGCGTAAAGAGGCGGTCCCATTGCGGGATCCAGGACGGCATCGTTTGCTCTACTTCTGGCCCGTGTTGAACTGCTGAAAGTATTCGCAGCGTCTGTGAAGTCTCCAGGACTTTCCTGGCAAACAACTCGTACAGCTCTGATGTAGTTATTGTATAGTCTGGTTCCACAAACAGATCTCCCTCATCGGGGTTTGCGTCCGTGGTAGGAAGACCGAGGAGAGAATAGATGCGGTCTCTTGTATCCGAGGCTTGGAATTGGCGAGTAAGGCTCATAAGATGAAGAAACGTGACTGGCTCAGGGTAGATATTGCTGCCGGACATGGAGTACATCAGACAAGCATTGAAAACGCCCTCCATCGGATGGCATCGCATGACTTGGTAACTAGTTGTTCGTATCCAGGCTGCCGTGAAGCCTAGGTGTTCCCAGGAAACCTTTGCCGCACCCCACATGACTTCAGCGGAAGCGGCAAGAGCGATCTCTTGCAAACACCAAAGTCGCCAGAACCAAGTTCGTCCAAAGAGTGCTGCGAACGACTCCCACAATTGGTCGCCGGGTTGCGGGACGGTGCTGAAGTCCTTCTGCGCCACCCTAACGGCAACGGCAAACACTGGTAGCGCCTGTTGCAACTCGTCCGGACCGAGCCACACGAGCACCTTCTTAGCCCTTTTGTAGATTGAGCGCATCATCCGGACTTGATGACCCTTCTCCTTGTCGTCGTTTTGGTTGATGCATATAGCATCGGCCCAAACTACTCGATCCTCGTGACGATCCCGAATCCGTTGGAGCGCGTCATGTAGGCTATGTGCTATGTTCATTCGGCTTTTTTGGCATTCAATCTCTACGGTTATGGTTTTGTCGCCCCAAGCATATGAAAGACTTTCGTACTCTGGATCCGAATCCATGGTTATAGGGTACAGCTCGCAAACCAGCGGATCACCCAATTTTCCAGGCTTTATGCGCAACAAACGTATCTGTGTCAGCTCCTGCAACAATGGATACTCGAATACGGCGTTAGGAATGCTGCTTCCGTGGTCACAATTGGAGCACAGCGACTCAGGATCTATACATCGAAGGGTCTGCTGGTCTGTATGACCGGAATGTGATTGGGGAGAGCTCTCCCAGCCGGCAAAGAGCATTCCAGACATGAGGCTGGCCTCTTCGTTTGGAGCTCTGTGTAGCTTCTGCGTTTTTCTGCGGAAGAGTTTCGGGCATGTCTTCGATATCTGTTCGAATTAGTCACTATCTTAATTTATTTTTCCGCCTTAAAGCCGCCCAAAAGTCCTTCCCACTTGTGGTACAGTAAAGCAGTTCAGATTATAGCATAAAAAGTCTCGCACAAGCTAGTGTAGATAAGTCTCTTGAGCATGGCCAAGCAGCGAAACCTTGCATTTATCTGCAGCCCAATCCATCGAGTTCCGCATAACGGATGCTGAGGCCAGGGACATTTTGATTAGAAACAACTCACCGGAATTACGACTCTTTTGCGGAAAAACCCGCCCTCTCCTACGTTACTCTGCACATGTGATTGCGTCTCAACTCCTTTTGGTTTTTCCTTGCTGAGTTCTTGTGGTTGGATTGAACCTGTCGAATCATCCTTTGTTATGTGCCTCTGGCGCTGTGCAATATTCAGAGGCTGCTGTGAATTAAGCTGCTCATTGCTTGACTGAACAGGTTGATACGTCAGGCCGTTTTGCCGTTGAGACGCATCTGTGACCAGATCATTATTTGAAGATACTCTGGAAGCTTCTGTTTCAGTCGTATATAAATTAGCCGCATTGCTTGGGCTCGGCGAGTACTCCTCCGATCTTGCGGATCCAGTCCCGGTATTCTTATCATCCAAAGCAGATGGCGCAATAGCTTTCGTATGCGTCAACTCAGTTGGCTGTGCATCCAGTGCAAAAGATGGCATTGACGCCGTATATCTCTTTATTTTTTGTCTCCATTTTCCGCTCACGATTGTCGTTCTTCTCTGAGAGCAGGTTGAGTCTTGCAATTCTTCCCTTAGATTTGGCGATATAGGTAGGGCATGATCTTGCAATTCCTGCGACGGTTGTTGACCAAACTGGTAAACTGTCCCCGTCTGTTCTTGAAACATCTGCCGCGTTGCTGTTGACAACTGTTGTGCTTGTTGCATAGGCACAAACACCTGAGACTGATAATCTCGTTGTCGGTCTTACTCCGAGTATTTCTAAAGCTCCTTTGGCTGGATTTGGTACTTACTGTAGCGTTTTGGGATGCAGTAGCCGGTAATCCCATATATCTCCGAAAACCATCTTGCATAATCCGAGGCCATCCATAATTTACCTCTTGACGAGCTTGCGCTTGCATCCTAAGGCGGCGTTCCTCTGTACGCAGTGCATCTTGGGCAGCTTTCTCTTGCGCTTTTATGAGCCGATCATATTCATCTTTGCGAAATCCTCGAGAGACCACATTTTGCCGCCGGAGCCCGATTCATTTTTGGGGTACAGGGGGAGTTGACTGGCTTTGATTCTGAACACCTATAAAGTTGCTGTTGGAAAAGCGCTCATGGGCTTCTGGTTCATCTCTCAAAGTGGGAGATGATATAGAGTCTTGGCTTCCAAACGAGCCAAACGGTCCAGAAAATCTCACGACGGGAGATGCACCGGATTGCTGTTGAAAAGAGTTGCCGGCGGGTGTATGGTGTGAATTATTGTCATTCGTGTCGAGAGATGTTCCAGTGGCCGGATTATTTCCAATGCCGCCAATGACTTCGTCGGACGAGAAATCTGGCGACTCCATTGGTGTAGGTTCCGGCATGCTGAAAGCAGTGAAAGAGCCACAATAAGCAGAGTATAAATAATTTGTTGAGCAGGGGGTGGCTCAGCTGGCCTTGGCAAGGCCGCGTCATAATATGCATGTCGACATGGTAGGTAGTATCTAGACGGAAAAATGGCACCTACGGTAAAGTGTCCGGGTGTCCCCCCCGACAACTAACGTCCGTTACGGTGAAGCGAGATGGTGATACTTGTACGGAGTAGAAGAAGAAACCCAGTTAAAATATGTAGAGTCTGTGTGTGCTCTAAGACCTTTTCACCCATACCCAGGACTCGGCTGTGAGCTAGGCAAGAAGTACTCTGTAGGGACTGCTTGTATCGTCCCCTGTCTTGCTAGACGGTGGATCTCGGTTCCCGGTGACGGACGTTAAGTGCAGTTAATGCTAAGCAGGTGTGAGACGCGGCACTGGAGCCTCAAACGCTTTTACTCAACGGATAGCCATGGATAAAATGATGAAATCGAGATATGGAGGCCAGAGGCATGCATGCAAACAGCATAACGGACGAAGTTGAGCAAAGGCGCGGGGTTTGGGGTTTCTCCAGACTTGCACAGCTGGGGAAAGCTGTTCAGCCCTACTGACTAGCGCAACTGCGTCTTTGGTCTACTGCGCGCACCGGAAACTCGAGCTCTCCTCCCAGGCCCAAGCATAAGCACAACCCAGGCACGCCAAGCAAGCTCTCTTCTCACTCCAGCAACACCCTCGCCAGCCCCTGCTTCAACCTCCTCCCATCACCCGACCCACAATCCCGCTATTCCAAGTCGCCGTCATCCAAAGAACACCCCGTCACCAGGAGAAGAGAAAAAGATGCCTCCAGCAGGTACGTTGCTCACTTTCCTTCCGCGCTTTCCCTAGCCTGCATTGTATCCTATCGCGCCAGCCCTCCCGGTCAACCTCTGGACACTCCTGGCACCCTTTTCACCCTCGGACGCTTTACGCGACAGCGATTTCAAGCCAAAACACCATTACACACCTCCCGAATGCATCCTCTAGCCGACTACCATATGCATCGTATGTCATGACACTGGTTCCCTGGATTACTTCTGGAGCAAAGTCACCAATTCACCACACCACTGGGCTTTCGCGTCAGCCCGGGATGCTCGTATGATATAACGTGGCCCATGCATATCACGATGCCTACCAATCAACGCGTCACTGTTCGGCATACCACCAGCACCTACAGTCCAGCCACCCGGAGAGCAGACGCCACGGTAGCACAAAGTGCAAACATTCATCCACGCCAAAAATCGAAAGCATCGAGCGATTCCCCGCAAACCGAACCTTCAGCCCGATCACCACTGCAACCATCGGTTGATCAAACTTCCCGCAAACGCTATAACGGATCCCTGGACAATTGTTTTGCGGAAGAGAATATCGGGGATATCCATGGCAATAATGGAAGATCCGTCGCACACGTGTTTTGGGCTATGGTGCATTGGTGGCTCGATGTATAGCCTACTGGCTGAACAAGTGAATTCTGCTTTCACCCCCCCAGGATCGAGAGGCTTTATTACTGTGTCTAAAGAATCGTATGGGCATCTGGATCTCGATGAGGGTAGTTTAGCCGCCGTCACACGGCCATCGAGCGGATCATGTCATCGAACGGTTACCTAGGATGTTGAGGATAAAGCTGGATCGACACCCCAGCTATGGCCACTTCGATGATCACTGTATGGCGACAATTCCAACCGTTAGACGAACCTTGCGGCGAAGATTATTCTAGTTACATCACTAGAAGAACCTGGAGCACAATTCCGGATCCAAAGGGAAAAAATCTACCAACACACTTGTGCATTACCGCAAAGTCCGGATTCTGCTTTCTTTCATAGTCACATTTTCAGCATTGTTGTCATAACTTGGCCTTTTGTTTGTTGCACTGGAACTAACGGCAGAAGATCCTAGTGGAACACCTCTACCACCATCAGTGGAAGCCGCCTACTACCGCAAATGCATTGCCCTGAAGCGGAGACTGAATGAAATCGAAGCAAACAACGATGCTGCACGTGTGAGGAAGCGGCGTCTAGACCGCGCGATCATGAAGATGCGGCTAGAGCGTGCCTTTTTGATGGAGCGGCTTTCGGAGAGAATGGCACCAAACGTGGATGAATCAGATCGGAGCACCAGTCCTCCACCAACCGTAAGATCCAGTCCTTCGTGTAGATTCCACAACCTCACTGACGATAGTCTGCGCTCCAGCCGCAAGAAAAGCCCACGCGCAGCAAGCGCACGGCCCGGCAAAAGACTCCGCCCGCAGAATCGCACCACAGCGGCAGCCTGCCGCCGCACCACTCGCCCAGCGCCGCAAGCAACCCCTCGCAGCCGCACCTGCACGCCATGCCCCCGCTGCCGCCGAGCACGCAGTCGACGCCCGACCCGCACCGCACGACAGGTGGCCTGTTCAACTTCTCCGGGCCGGGCAACCCGCCGCCGCCGGCTCTCACGCCCCTCGGCGTCAACGGCACCCCCGGCACGCCGTTCTCAGGCCACCACGCCGCCGGCGCCCACGTCCAGCACCCGGGCATGCCCATCACGCACGGCCTGCCACTGCCACAGCCACAGTTCCTGGACGGCCCGCCCCCCGGTGGCGCTCCTGCCGGGGGCCCTGCATCCACGACGTCGTCGTTCGATCGCGGCAGCGGTGGCAGCGGCGCCGGCGCGGAAAACGGCGGCAGCGCGCCCCCGCCTGCCGGCGCCGAGTACGGGCGGCCGTTTGCGCCGGCGCACTTGGGCGCTGGCGGCGGCGCGACGGGCGAGATGATGAGCGCGGGCCCCGAGATCAGGACGGATGCGAATGGCGAGCGCAGGATTGGCAGTGCTGGCGCGGACGCAGAGATGAGGGACGCGCCGGGTGCGGCGGGGTTCAGTGATGCTGGTGCTGGCGGTGCTGCTGGCGCGCCTGGCGCCACGGGGCCGGGGGGTGGGTTCACGGCTGTGAATCGGTAGAGGGCGTGGGGATGTGAGGGTGTTTGTGGGTGTACGAATGTGTGTGTGCGTGGGTTGAGGGGTCAGTCCGTATAGAGGAGAGGAGAGGAGTTCAGTTGCTTAGGCCTTTGCGTGCTTGCGTGCTTGTTTCTTATTCGACGAGCCATGCATGCGTTCATGCATTCATTCATCGTCCATCATCCATGATCTATCATCCAGAGCGATGCGCGCCAGACTGCAGCCAGCGATACAGCGATACAGCGTTAATGGGATCGGTCAACTCGGTAGTCCGTCAGTCCGTCAATTAGCCACGAACGGGGATATATCCCAGATCATTCTCCGTTCTTTCTATCTTTACCTTTACTTTTATTTTCTTCAACATCCAGTGCGCGATCTGACATCCGATCCGTATGAATGAGTGGTGTGCAAGTGTGCATGCGTACGCGCTTCCATTCGTGCCTATGTCTTGTCTATGAAGTAACTAGCTGATTAAGTGATTGTCAAGTGATTGTTGATTGTTGATTGATTGATTGAGTGGAACTCCGCCTCCCATCCTCCTATCCTCCCATCCATCCATCCATCCATTCATCCATGCACGCATGATCATATCAGATAGAAAGCTAGCTAGCTAAACAGCACGTCATCCTCCCAGCAAAGCAACCTCAAAGGACCTAGCCACCCACGTCGAAGAACGCCACGCCAGGCAGTCAAGACGACATCCATCCACCTCACCTCCACCTCGCGCTGCCACCACCACGACTAGGCCCGCTCCCAAACTCATACGCCCTCGTGTCGCCCCACCCCCTGTCCTTGAACCCGCCACGCCCACCACCAAATCCGCCCCCCTCACCATACCCACCCCCATCTCTATACCCGCCCAGCCTCCCCTCCGCCGCAGCGCCCCCTCCCCTCCCCCCACCTCTATAAAACCTCTCCGCGCCACGTCCTCTCACTCTCGGCTCCGCCACCGCGCCCTCCTCTGGCCCTGCATCCACCAGCACCTCCCCGTCCTGGAACGTGTAGCGGCGACGAGGCTTTGCGTCGTCGTCTGTGGCGCGCCAGTCGCGCTTGGTGCAGCGGTCGAGCTCGTCGAGGCGCTTGTCTGCGAGCGCTTGGGGCACGGGCAGGAAGTAGAGTTTTGGCTTTGCGGTGGTGGAGCTGAAGAGCTTGTCCAGTGCTACGAAGGGCTTGGCGGCTGGGGAGGCGGCTGGGGCCGAGGGCGCGGCGCCGCTGCCGTCTTTGCTTGAGGTAGAGGGTGCGGGCGGGGCGGGCGCTGTGCTTGGACCTGAGAGGCTGTTGGTGCGCGCGCTGGGGAAGTTGGGTTGCGTGGGTGTGGCGGAGGGGGCGCCGGCTTCTCGCAGGACGGCGCGCACGCTGGTCTTGCTTTCCGTGGGTGCGTCTGCGTCGCCGTCGTCGTTGGTGGGTGTGACGGGCTCATAGATGACTTCCCATCGCTTGCCCATGCGGCTGCCGCCCTCTTTTGTGGCTGCCTCCTCCGTATCGATCCACTCCTGCACCTTTTCTTCGGGCACAAAGTCCGCCCATAGTGCTTTTCTGCTGCGCTCGGCCGGCCAGACCGCATCGTGGAGGTTGCTCCGGACGCGTGCTGCCGCGCTGACCGAGTTGAAAAGTGCCAGGACGTGTGTCCTGATCGGATCGAGATGGAATAGCTCAAGCACATCAGGATTGGGGCTGGCTGAAGACGGAGGGGAGGCGAGAGCGATGAGGTGGGATTTCAAACCCGCCGGTTGTAGTGGGCGCATGAAGTTCCGGATGTATAAGCCACGGGTGGCGGGGTGTAAGGCTGGAGAGATTGGGCGATCATCTTCAGCTGCATCGGCGACATGGGACGGCGTTTCGGCAGACCCAGGACCAGATGCAGGCTGGAAGAGAGATTTATAGCGGACTTCTTTGACTGGTTTTGCGGAATGGCGTGGTGAAGATGGTCTCCGGCTTCCTTCAGGAGAGCGACTTCTCCGGTCGCGTTGATCTTCCTCAAAATCTACACGTTCAGCGAGAACCTGCTGCCCACGTTCGCCTATACTTGGATCCTCTCTTTGTTCTGCGCTCGGCTCCGCCTTCTCCTCAGCCATTCTGGTATGCGAGATGTCCATCACATCATCACTCGTTTTCGCAGGCAGAACAGTCTCCGCAGGTGCCGCATCCACGGGCGCATCCGCCTCAGCCAAGACCTCATTGTTGCACTTTGCCCCTCCCTCCGTCGCATCGGCCAAACCCTTTTCTACAGGGACGCCTCCATCCTCCTTCAGATGCACAGTTCCAGATTCTTCCTCCTGTTTCAGCTTCTTCTTCGCTGCTTCCTGCGCATCGAGGGGAGGTGTGACACTGCGCCTCTTCCGTTTCCGCGAATCTTCTATTATGTCTGCCGAACCAAGCCGCGAGGTCTCCGCACTGAGCTCGGGATCTGCGGTGGTCGATGCCGTCTCCGCTTCGGCCTCTACCGGTGCTGATAATGGCTGCTCGTGCGTCGGGATCGGAGTCTGCGATACGGAGGTATTTGCGGTGCCGGGCCGCTGGGTTCGTTCTTCAACTGGTGGCGCCGGGCTAACCTCCGCCACCGCATCTGGCTCTTTGGTCGAGGCCTCTGTGGGCTGAATCGCGTCGTGGTGCTCTACGGCTCGTTCTGGCTCCCGATCCGGCTCATGCTCGGCCGACACCTTTTCGATGAGGTCGTCTTCTTGGGCGGTCGGCTCATCCGGCGCAATTGATTCCTTCATTTCCTCATCTTCCGCCTCATCTGGTGGCGCATCGTCGTCGGCTTCGGGCTGCGCGCCAGTCGTGGGTGCAGCGTTGTCCTCTTCCTCAAGCCTTTCGATAATCTGCTGTTTGCGCGTGAGGCCGGTTGAGGGGATGCCGCGCTCCTTGAGGAGGCCGCGCAGGTTCGCGACGGTGAGCTTGTTGTAGTCGGTCATGGCATCAACGGGGAGGACTCCCTAGGCAGCGAAGTCGCCGGGGAGAGTGAAGGCGATTGATGTGATTATCTGGGGCGGCAGTCGCGATGAGGTCGGAGCGCGAAGCTGTCAAGTGCTAGTGCTTGCCCTGATGCGTGATGCCATCACCGGCTAAACTCCGGCCCGTCTCAGCTCTGGGCCCTCGCCCGCATGCGGTAGGAGTTGCATAAAATAGTGCACTCCATCCTTTCAAACCGGCCAGCCGGCTATGAACCTATCGTCTTTGCATGCGCTCCATGAGATAAATTACCTTACCCTCGCAATCAAGCCAAGCTTTTGCCAACCCCAATGGCCCCTCCGCTTACGTACTCTCATAGCTTGTCAGGGGCAACAGAATCTCCGAGGCCCGAGACAGCCAAGACCTATCACACCAGTTGTATACGTATACAACCAACCTACCTGTGTTAGCCTCACACTAGCCAAGATGGCGTATCGCCAGCACTGCCTACGTGACGTGTCGCACCATTTATCTCATGTCCGAACAAACTGAAACTGAGGGCCGAGGCTTTGATTGATGTCGTTACGGTTCGTTCCAGACAAACTCGCGGAGCACTGTGTGCGAGTATAGTAGTAACTAAAGAAATAAAATAAGAAAAAATAGCATCCTTTTTCCCTAACAGTGTTCCTCGTGCAGCAGCCGTGGGCGTAGAAGAAAAATACAACAATAAAACACCCCAACACCAGACTGGACATACTGGGAAAAGTCGGGCCAACGCATCAGACAAACTTGGTCGGTTGTGGCTGTGCATGGCTCAGTAGGTGCAGCTCATCGCTCTCGTCGTGATTGTCGGGGCTCCTCTGTCGGTTGCCCGGCCCATACATCGCGTCCGAGTCCACTCTGCCCCTGCCATACGACGTTTCCGCATTGTCAAACTGCCCGTGCTGCCCAAATCCATAATCCTGCTGCACTCTTCCCCTTCGTTCGTCCGGGTGCTCGAAAGGGCTGTGTCCAGGGCTGTCGTCGGCGTCTATGCTCGACCTTCTATCGAATTCATCTCCATATCCGTCTCGGGTGCGGGAATCTGTCCGGGTTCGCTGGTAAGCGCTGCTCTGGTCTGTCATCTCCACGGGTCCGAGGGCGCTTGCCTGTGTGGTCAGGCCAGTCTTTTGGTAGCTGGCATCTTCGTGACGATGCCGGACGCCGACAAATAGCCAGCGGAAACCGCGTGCGGAAGCCTTGACAACGTCCCAGATGTTAAAAGCATCGATAATGGCACCAAGCCCCATGATACCACCCTTGTATCTCTTCGGCCTTTTCTCGCCAGTAAGAGGCGCATCGGGGTCCGCGGTGTAGTTTGGATCCATTGCGACTTGAGTCTTACTGACTCTGTAGGGCTTCCAGGGAAACGCGAAGAGGTGCAGGACGGCGAAGAAGGCCATTTCAACGCAGACGAGGAGAGAAGGTATTCCGACCTTGATATCAGCATACGCGAGGTAATCGGATGTTGTCAAGATATCGTGGTTCGTGAGAAAGTCGATGAGCAGGCCTTGCCAGAAGCAGAAGAAGATGACCAGCTTGATGGCGAGGACCTTCAAAAATGGAGAGTGCTGTGCCAGGTCCGGCTTGAGTTGAATGTAGAACTGAATTACGCAATACATGGCGATGGTGACGCCCCCGGCCTGGAAAATTTCAATGTAAACCTCCGCAAAGGCGGGCGACCATGAATCTTCGCAGAGAACCTCATAGTACTGCGCAACGACAGCGACAAAGGTGAAGAAGACGCGGATGAAGCAGTATTGAAAGACGGAGATCCATATAACCTGGGTAATGTCTCAGTCAGCTGACAGATACCGCACCAATGGTACGCCTTGTGCCGTGCGGTCAGCAATGAATCTTGACGTACGTTGAACCAGGTCAGTCCACTCCGCGGCTTCCGAAGCCAGCCCTTGTTCTCTCCTCCGCTGATTTTTTGCGCCCATGTGAGGGGCCACACCCAATTTAGGGGCTCGACGTGTCGGAAGTACTCCTTCTGCTCATGGACGGAGGGCGCAACATAGTTGCAGAGCAGGGCGAAGAAACTGGAGATTGCAAAGGCCTCGTAGCAGTCGCGCATGACCTCGAAGTATACGTGTTTTTGGTAGTAGTGAAAGGAAAGGAGCGAGACGGTCGCGTAAATGGGTATCATAAACAGAATGCGGATTGTTCTGAGGCAATGCGGTCAGCATTTCACCCAATGCCACACGGCGAAGGCATTGCCAGGCTGCAGCGGGAGCGGAGGTAGCGGCATGGCTGCGAGAGGTGTTTTTTTTCTTCGGTCTGCGGTTGTCTCGACATTTGCAACCTCCGACCCCCAACGTTGCCGCGCAAGCGATTTCGAACGGAAAATGAGGCACGTACTGTCGCTGCTCCCACGGTCTCGAGTAGTGCGTCGCATGGCGGAAGATCAGGTATAGGCTGACACCTATGGATATGGCGCTGAAAACGAAGCCGATGATTCTGGGCGATGGGTCAGTCGGGCGCTTCTCTTGTGAAGACAGTCAGGCCTCATTTGCGCGGAGCTTGGCGGGCCAGGATACTTACTCGCCGATGGTGTGGAAGTTGACGCCGAGTTCTGTGCCGGACAGACTCCAGACGTCCTCCTCGCTGATCTTCTTGAGTTCCTTCTCGGGGCACTTCATCGTGGGCCGGTTGGATGTCAAAGTCAGCGAGGGCGGAAGTGCAATAACTAAGTGTCGGGTGTCGCGGCGGCTTTGTTCATTATTGAAACGGCCTTGGCGTATTGAAGTGGTCAAAGTGGAACGCGCGGGTGCAAGGCTGAGTGGCCGTGTCAAGTGCCAGGCCTAATGCCTATTTGTCGCTAAAATAGGGGTCAGGGCTGCACTTGATAACGTCATCAAGCTGCCTTACTGCGCGCCGTGTCTGTGCTCCGGCCGGCAGCCGGCTCTGTAGAAGCCGCTGCAGGTGGGAATGCGGCGTTGCTATGGGCGCAGAGGTGGGCGGCTGGTTGCGGGCTATCTAGGTATCAGAGTATCGATCGTTTCCAAAACACCCTGCGACCCTCCCGCCGCCGATCGCCAGCAACGCTAGGTGCTGTACTAGGTACAGCCGGCGGGCTTAGTACACTACGTGGTAAAAGGCTACTATATTTGGAAGACCTTTCCTCGTCCCTCACTCGTCCACACCACCACCCCCACCCACCTCAGCCTCAACTGCCCCGCCGCTCGTGTTGCCGACTGCGCCATTCCCGCCGTTTGTGCCCCGCTCTCGCCTCCCGCGCGCCCCGGCCTTCAGTACCTCCCACTTCTCCCGGTACCTGCCAAGCACGCTCAACAGCTTCTCGTTCTCCCGAGTCACCTTTTCGTTCTCCCGCTCCGTGAGCTCCTTCTCGCGTGCCATTGACTCCACCAAGATCTCCAGCTCCCGCAGCCGTTGCTCCATGTTAGTGTCAGACTGATTGCTACCTCCAACCGTGGGCGGCGACGCTTGCGACGGTCGCTGAGCCCGGAAGCTCTGCGCCAGTGCAAGAGATTGCGACTGAGACGACGCCTCCCACATGTGCAGTCTCTTGCTGAGCTTGTCGAGGAGCTGGCGCATCATGTTGTTCTCTAGCTCCAGCTCTTCCATCGTCTTCTTACCTCCTGTGTTGGCTCGGACCACTTCTCCTCCGGCGGCAGCAGCACTACCAGCCGATCCGGGTCGTGTCCGATGGCCGGTGCGAGAAGCTTTAGGCGAAGGGGGCGCAGGCTCCTCGTTGGCATCTACAAATTCGTCGCCTTCAAAGGAGCCTTCTTCTTCAATAATGGGCGAGGGCATGTTATGGCCCTGGCTGCCGCTGTGGTTCAGTATACCGGCGTACGAAACTGTACCGCCCGTGGTTGGCACTACATAAAAGCTTTCGGCAGGGCGGCCGAAATTACTTCCTGGTGTCCCTTCGAGAGCTTTCAATGTAGCCTTGGAGAGAAAAGTTGAGGGATCTGGGTTGGATTCTGATTTAACATTTGCGCCATCTTTGATGCTTATGGAAGGGTGTTTGACCGATGATCTTGCAGCGAGTTTCTGGGGTGCAGGTGGTTGAGGGGTCTCCTCAGCCATCAGAGGAAGACCCGCGAAAGCTAGAGGAGCGGAAAGAGCAGAATAAACGGTCTCAAAAGTGGAGAAGAAGCGTTTAAATCCTTCGTCTGACTTGCTTGGCCTGTCCATAGAAGTTTCGCCCTCTGTGGCCCTGCTGGCCTGCGGAGACGAGCTAGCATCCGCGGCGGCTTTGGCCATGTGGTGTGCTCCCTCTCTCCTGGCATCATGGGCGACGGATCTGTCCGCCCTGTTGAATATCCTACCGTCCGCATTTTGCACGGATATGGCTGGGGCTGCCGGTCGACGCTGGGAGCCAGGAATGCCGCGGGCAGTCGCTAGATTGCTGGCAATCGAAGAGGTTGAATCACGCAGCGGCTTGCGGCGCGGCGCGGCCTTGTTCGGCGAATGTGGGTTTCTCTTGGGCGACAAAGTCTGAGCTGCGGGGGTGGCAGCAGCCGGGGGAGCAACGTCGGGCGAGGGCGCGTCTTGCGACGGTTCGGGTTGGGGTGCGGTCGGAGCAGAGGCGGTCTTGGAGCTGATGATGCTTGCCAGCCGGTGATGATGGCTCTCGAGCAGGCGCAGTATGCGTAGGGCCTCGGCATCGCCGGTGTCTTTGGCGGCTTTGGAGAACTCGCCGGCAGCCTGCTGGTGCTCATCGGAGGCTTGCGACGAGTTGGCCTTCCACGTCTCGGCGGAAGCGTTGCGCGCATGGGCATGTGCCTGGGAAAAGAGAGATGGTTAGTAGTTGTCAGAGGGAGAGAAGAGCGCGGGCAGTGGGAGTGGAGTACAAGAGTGAGTGGTGCCGTCTCCATGACGCGGTGGTTGTTGCTTTGACGGGGGAGCGGGAGTGCGGGAGCAGGTGCGGCTGCTTTGGGGTACGCGATGATCTGCGTGCGGATGACGTTGGCCCGGACAGGAAAAGGAAACGACGAATTAAAAGCAGCACATCACGATATACCGCGGCTCTTCACGATTATGGGGATGCGCTCTTACCACGCGTTCCTTCCAAGGTCTCAGCGTCTCAGCCTCAGCGCCGAGCCGCCGTGCCGAGTTCCCTAGTATCCTGCTGTCACATAGCGACATCATAGTCCAGTGCAACCGCGCCTTAACTCTGCCTGCCCACGCCTGTCACCACGGTTGCACCAGACACCATGGATTCTTCTTCGGACGTGGGCTCAGTGCGCTCGACCACCCGCTTCGGCCTTTCCAAAGTCTTCGCTGGCCGTCGCCATCGCAAGAGCGACTCTCTCACCGCGCCACCGTTGGTGCCTGGCATTGAAGACGACGCTGGTGGCTTGCGCTCTTCGATCGACGAGGCGCTGGGGAAGCTGAGAGACAAGGCGAGAAGCTCGAGCGACAGCCGGCGAGACAGCATTGACTCGCCCAATCGCCTGTCGAGCCTTCTGCGGAGGGCACGGCGGCACGATGAAGAGGCAGAGGCCGCCAACAGCCTGGAGTACGAGCTCAGCCACCACGGGAGCGAGGAGTCGTTGAACCTGGCACTGCACAAGAGCGTCGCCAGCAGCCTCCTGACAGAGGACGAGTCAGAAGAGTGAGTATCATTTGCTTTTCCCCTCTTGTTTGCTGAGGTTGGCGCTTGCATCTGCCCTCAGTTCGCCTTGGCGTCATGCCGGCGAGCTTGGGGCGCGCGGGCTGTGAGATTCGGGGATCGCCCTTGCACCCCTACCCGCCCGCCCACGCTCCTTTACGGTTTACCCTCGCCCGCCCTCCACAGAGACGCTCCACCACAACGGGCGGTGCTTCTTTTTCGTATTCGTATCTTCTCATTGATTGAATGCCCTCTTCGCGACGCCCCTCCCATTGCGTCTCCTTTATCTACGCTAATCATCCTGCTTCGCCTTCAGACCGCCCGTCAGACCCTCGCTTTCCCCACACCAATCTCACGCTGGCTACCTTACCCTCTCCTCCCCTCTGATTGCCTCCGAGGCTGTCGACTCAACCTCCTCCTCCCTCCCCACCATCTCCGACACCGAACAATCCATTGACGACACGCTGGCGCCAAAGCACGCGAGCACCCTTGCCGAACCCCAACCATCAAAGAGGCGCGGTTCATCCCCAGCAAGAAAGCTCAAAGACACGTTCGGAACCGCCAAGAAGCCTTCCACATCCAAGTCTGCCACCGAGCACACCAAGTCCGCCAGCACCGGCAGCGGAGGAGGACTCGGCTCGTTATTCTCCACCGGCAAGAGGTCGCGTGGCAGCTCCAAGGTTGACCTTGTAGAAGAGGCGCCGCTCGAATCTGGAGAAGGGCCGCAGGCTTCGTTGAAGCGGACCGAAGCTCCGGACCATATCGATACCGGCAGAAAACCACCAACGGCCCCGGAGCTAGGTCATGGTCCGACCACGATCCTAACGCCCCCTACACCCACCGACGCCAACCCAAACTATTTCGCTAGACCTGCTACCGCCGCTTCTGCTTCAAAAGCAGACCACAAGCCATCCCCATCCGATCCCAAGGTCATCCTTGCCCCCTCTGGGAACATCGTCTCACGCCGTGCGCGCTCATCGACCAATCCGCCCAGCAGGCTCTCGAACTCGATATTAGCCCCCCTGACCCCGACCGTCGAAGAGACCAAGACCCCCGGTGGCACCCTCACATCACCAACAACCGGCTTCTTCTCATCGGTATTCTCTGCCGCCCAAAACGCCGCTACTCATCTGGGCAGTACAATCACCTATCCCAGTCAACGGAACCGAAGCGTAACCGCGCCTGAGATTGGTACCGAAAATACTGGTGCAGCGGGTGGAGAAGAGGTTATTGGCGGTGCTTCCGATACGTCTGAGCCCGAACAACCTGGCTCTCCTGAGAAGAAGCTTGCGATCGAAACACTTGGTTCGGGAGATTTGAGTCTGAGCCAACTTGGGATTGCAGAGACTGGATCTGAGAATAAAGATATGGCATCCAATGCAGAGATGGTGGGGTCGCGGCCTCTTACGCCGATTATAAGCTACGCAGATGAAGCTTCGGCAAGAGCGGAGGATAGCGCTGCGGCGAAGGCTGTTTCTGACGCTTACCTCCGTGGACCCGCAGAGGGTGCATTGAACGGCGAGCGTTCAAGATCATTGTCAGCAGTGTCGGACTCGCAGGCACAGCCAGGGCCATCGGGCGACCTACCTGAGACTCGGGTCAAGCGTAGCGGTAGCATGCGGAGCCGTCTGAGCGGTGGTCGCACACGCAGACATCGTGGGAGCTCCGCAACCACCGGCACAGGCGTGGGTCCTCCATTGAGCCATAGCACGACGACTTTGACCGCTGGACGGACCGCAACGGGCTTCGCCGTGGCAAGCGCTAAGCGAAACAGGGACTTTCATCAGCAGTTCCGGAGCGTGCCAGAGGACGACTATCTCATTGACGATTACAGCGCTGCGCTTCAACGTGACATTTTGCTGCACGGCAGGCTCTATGTCTCCGAAGGTCATATCTGCTTCTCCAGCAACATTCTGGGATGGGTGACCAACCTTGTCATTAGTTTCGACGAGGTCGTCACGATTGAAAAGAAGAGCACAGCAGTCATCTTTCCAAACGCTATCGTCATTCAGACTCTACATGCTCGCAATGTCTTTGCAAGTCTTGTGAGCAGAGACAACACCTATGATCTCCTGATTGGGATCTGGAAAATCAGCCATCCGAACCTTAAGAGTTCTCTCAACGGCATTATACTCGATCCTGGCGCAGGAAACGGAGACAAGACCGAGAAGGGAGAAGCGCCTGAAGTCATCGAAGATGGCTCAGAAGAAGGTTCGGAGGACGAAGTCTACGACGAAGATGACGATGAGGAGGCCGCTGCAAGCTTCGAGGAACCTGGCGAGGGCAGCGTTGCTGGCAGTGAGGTCAATGCCGAGACACAAGGTGGCAAATCTGTTAGCCGCAAACCTTCTGCCGTCACAGTGGGCCAGCCCGCCAACGGTGGTCCTGTCAAGGATGCTGGTGCCGCCGAGGCCCCCGCACCAGGAGCTCCCGATGCTCAAGACTTTCCCGGCCCAGCATCTCATGGAGAGACTCAGTGCGGCGATGATGGAGACCACTTCCCTATCGTTCTTATGGATACTACCATTCCTGCTCCGCTAGGCAAGGTTTACTCTATGATGTTTGGACCGCAATCCGGCACATGGATGCGGAAATGGTTGATTGACGATCAGAAGTCACAAGACTTGCAGATGGAAGACGACAAGCAAGGACTTGGCGAGAGCAAGAAGCAGTTCAATTACTCGTTCATCAAGCCTCTGAACGCTCCCATCGGCCCGAAACAAACCAAATGTATCGTTACGCAGACGTTGGATCAGTTCGACTTGGAGAAGGCTGTTACCGTTACTTGCTCGACACAGAACCCGGATGTGCCGAGCGGTAACATCTTCTTGGTGAAGACAAAGTATTGCCTTATGTGGGGCCCCGGCAACTCGACTCGCATGGTTATGAACTGCACCATCGAGTGGTCGGGTAAGAGTTGGTTAAAGGGTACGTGCCATCTCTGATGTGTTTGTTATTTGTTTTCATACGACTTGGTTCTATCTAACTTTGCGAAACGCTTACTGACGCATCATTCTCCAGGTCCCATCGAAAAGGGTACAAACGAGGGTCAGTTGGCATATGCGAAAGACCTAGTCGCCGCATTGCGCGGGGCCGTTTCCCAGAAAGCGGGTCCATCAGGTGGCAAACCTGGCAAGAAGGGCAAGAAGGGCCGCAAGAAGGCGGAATCCGAATCACCCAATGGAGCCTCGACACCTGCCGCGGCAGCACCAGCAGAGGCGAAGGCGGCCGATTGGGGCCTGCTGGAGCCGCTGCATGGTATTCTTGGCCCAATTACAGACATGCTACCCGGATTTATCAACGCACAGCTCGTCATCGTGGTGTTGGTCCTGATGGTACTTATTATGAGTTTCCGGTCACCGAGCAAGGCCAAGACACCTTACGGCGGGCTGGGAGTACCGGGTCTGGCGACGCCGCAGCGCGTCATTGCGTACGAGGAGATGTGGCGACGCGAGGAGAGCGAGTTGTGGGATTGGCTGGAGGAGCGGGTGCGCATGGATCGCACCTCGGGCATGGGTATGCCTGCCGCGCCGACGGTGCGCAAGCAGGACGTTCGTCGTATGGGCGAGAAGCTCGGCGACGAGCGCATGTCGCAGCGCCAGATGGAGGATGCAATCCGCGTCACCCAGGAAAGGCTCGAGGTGCTGAAACAGGCTGTCGAGCGCAAGGGACCAATGAAGGGTGACAGGATGCAGAGTACTCCGGAGGGAGAGGAGCTGCAGCAACCGCTGGCGGAAGAGAACACTGCAGACGCCGCCGCTGCGACGGAAAGCGTCAAGGAAGTATAACGTTCGTTTCTTTTGCGTTGTTTTCCACTATACATATATTTCCTTTTGGGTTTTGGGTCATTGTTTGGCATTGTAAAAGTACCACTGTCGACATAGTCTCCTCCTATGTTTCCTTAACATTTCCTTCCTTTCCTATATTTTCCTTAGTTGTATTTTCTATCTCGGGGGTCGTCTCAACTCGGTGCAGCTAGGTCTAGAGGCTGGGCATGGAGGAGCCGGGGCAATTGATACCACCATTTGCTTTGTTTGAAAAAAGATCTACGAATAGCACTTTTTACACTTTTGTGCCTTCTGCAGCGGACGGGACAGACATTCGTACTCGGGTGGCACGCCTGCCTTGTGCACACACTCATCCATTGCACGTACTCACAAAGGTTCTACCTATTTCCCGAATCTGCCTATCCCATCTATCCCTAGCTACACCCCCACCTGGCCGCGCGTAGCTAAATAACCGAGAAACCCTGATCGCCGCGGCGGCAGATCGTCCGGGCGGCAGTCTCGACGCCGATCGGGATCCCCGTTCGCTCGCTCGGGCTCGGCTTGTTTCGCATAGATGAGCGCGTGGCAGGATATGTGGATATTTAAGGAAATTGCGCGCCCCACTTATGCTTGGGGGGGCGGTGCGTGGGCGTGCGCGGGGAGGGGACTGAGATTTGGGGGTTCTAGATTCGGAGGGGCGGTGGGGATTTATTTTATTTTATTTTTATTTTATTTTTATTTTTTATTTTCAAGGAGGGGAATTAGGGGTGGGGGGAAGGATGAGGGGGCGGGATTGTGTGTCTGACGAGTGCGAATCCGTCGTAAACGCTGCGCGGTGGAAGGATGGAGGAGGATGGAAGCAGGAGCTCGTGGCCTGCTGCTGCTGTGTGGAATAGATGAGATGGCGTTGATGGTGCGCGCGCGCGTACTGTACTGTGCTGGTACTTGTGCGAGATAGATGCCAAGGCGCGTACGCAGACTGAGCTTCCATTTGCTGTGGTGCGTCGGTGCGCCGACGCGAGATGGCGACGTACATTTTGCTCTCTGTTTCTACGTGCGAAACCGTCGCTTTGCACTACCTACTTGGGTAAAGTGTTAGGTAGGTAGGAGGTGAGAGGTTAGCGAGATCGTTCCCCATCTCCAGTACTCCTAGAACCACCACCACCACCACCACCACCACCCCTCTTAGAACCGCGCTCAAGAGCGGCGCCATCGCCACCACCCCCATTGCCATCGCAATCTTTTCCGTCATCCTCGTCATACTCGTAGCCATCGTCGTTATCCCCATCATCATCATCATCATCATCATCATCATCATCATCATCCACATCCACCCACTCCTCGACCCAGCCCTCTACCTCCGCAACCCAGCCCTCCAGCTCCTCAAGCTCGCAAACCACGAACCCCGCCCACCCCTGCCGCGCCATCTCACGGATCGCGTCCCTAAACTCCGCGTCGCTGCGCAGCAGCTCGCGCGTATCGGCGCGCCACACGGGCGTCGTCGCGCTGGCCACGACGGCGACCATCTGCGCGAGGGCCCGCAGCCGCGCCAGCGACGCGTTATGCGGCCCGGTGTTCTTGTCGTCGCCGCCGCCGATGGTGCCAGCGCTTAGTAGATGTCGTGGCGATGCTACGTCCGCCATGCTGATGTGGTGGGTTTGCCAGGGGGTGGTTGGCTCCGGTAGGTGCGGCTGTGGCTGCGGCTGGCCCCAGAGTATTAGGTACGGCGGTTGTGGGCTTGCGGTTTCTGCTGGAGCTGGTGGTGGTGGTGGTGATGTTGCTGCGGGTGGTGGGTCTGGCAGGTCGCTGGCTAGGGTCATGAAGCGTAGGGGGGAGGTCATGCTGGGAGGCGCCTTGGTGGTGGTGGTGTTGGCGCTGCGTGCTGAGGCGCTCGTGGTTTTGTAGCTGGGTTGTAGGCAGGTGTGCTGAGCCGCTTGGTTGGTGGTGTGGTGAGGGTTTTCTGGTGTTGTTATTCGGGAGGATGCAGGCGCGCAGTGTTGGGGCGCTGGTGAGGTGGGTGGATTGAAACCTGCGCTTCCCCTGTGAGTGAAAAGGCCTTAAACACGTCTCTGCTGTGTACTGGTGGGTTCTCTGTGCTGCGCGAGGATTCAGGCGCTACCAAAAGTCATTTATGCATGGCTGCTAACTGCAGTTTCCTAAACACGCCATTTGGAGCTGTCCTGGAGACTGGAAGTGATGTCTTCAGACTCGAAATTTTTTGTCACCTCATTTAATCATAGCTAAACTAGAAGGATCTACCGTGATTCGTCGAGACCCTGACTAGCTACTTCTGGCTGGTAGAATCCTACGTCTAACGGACCATGGTAGTAACGCATTTAAAATGCAGTCGGAAACCAATCACGTAACAATGACCTGTCTATGCCAAGAGAAGTCGTTTTATCAGTCGTATCTGCTTTCGCAAGAAGCTATAAATAAGCTGCAGCATACTGCAAGTAGCAAGGAAGAAATAAGAGTGAAATTTTGATTACTCATTAGCATATATATATAATCAAATGCTATATGGCTGGTACTAGCATGAAATTGTATACGTATATAATACCAAGGTACCTTCACAAGTATTTTTAGACAGTTTAATTCAAACGGATTGCTTCTGCGTTTGCTCCAGTGAAGTATAATTGATTCGTAGGTATTGTCATTGGCTCTGCAAGCAGCTCTTAGCATAGAAGATATACAAATCAGACGCTCGAGTCAGGGGATATATATTCAAGAATACTTCTGAGATTGATGTTCGGTGATTGGAGTTGAGGGGCATGGGAGCTTGGGCCCCTTATAAGAAGCACGAGCCAGGCAGGTGCAATACGTCATCGGTCGCTGATTCGGATGCGACTTCAAACAGACATGGAAGCTGCGCCTTTCTCGTGCAACTCAAAGCCCATGCTTCCCCGACTACGACTAACAGCCAGACACCTCCGTCGCATACCAACACCGACCACGAGCGTCGCCATGTCGACCTTCACCCTGCCCAATTCCTCGCCGGAATGCCCCGTCAACCTCACGAGCGACATCACCAAAGACCAGCTCCTCTCCTTCCCCGCCTTCAAGAACTGGATGTCCACATTACAGCACTCGCTCCAGGCGCAGCAGAACAAAAACCACACATTCCACGCCGCGCCGTACAAGTTGCGCAAGATCGACGTGCAGGCATGCGACTGGTTCGGCGGCGGCAAGAAGCTCGGCTTCGTCAAGCTGACGGCCGAGGTCACGAATGACGAGGGCGAGTACCTGCCTGGTTCCGTGTTCTTGCGCGGCGGCAGCGTCGGCATGCTGGTAATGACGCGATACCTGCCTTGCCCATCCACTTTCTGGACCATGTGCTAACACGATCCTGCCAGCTCATCCTTCAGCCTGACGACGTCCCAGAGAACACCGAAAAGGATAAATACGTAATCTTGACGCTACAGCCGCGTATTCCGGCCGGCAGCCTCGCGTTAGCAGAGCTCCCGGCCGGCATGCTCGACGACAGCGGCACTTTTGCTGGCGGAGCGGCGAAGGAGATCGAAGAGGAGACGGGGCTGAAGGTGCCGGAGGACCAGCTGATCAATCTGACTGAGCTTGCGCTTCCGTCGTCAGAGGATTCCACGGGCGAGAGGCTGCAGAAGGCTATGTACCCGAGTGCGGGCGGCTGCGACGAATTTATACCGCTGTTCCTGCACCAGAGAAGAGTGAAGCGGGATACGTTGGAAGACTGGCAGGGTAAGCTGACGGGCTTGAGAGAGCATGGCGAGAAGATTACGTTGAAGTTGGTGAGGCTGGAGGACTTGTGGAAGGAGGGCGGACGCGACGCGAAGGCGCTGGGGGCGTGGGGTTTGTATGATGGTTTAAGGCGAGAAGGGAAGCTATGAACGGCTTCTGATCATGATGTCCTCAATGAAGTCAAGTTTTCCATAGATGAGCGTCGAGCTAGACTATAATAGGTTACAAGCAAGCATCTTCCTACAGGGAACTACTGTTGTAGCTCTTCATTCTCAGTACCCCTAAATTCCTGCTTCAAAGACTTTAGTGGACTGATTGGCTAAACAAATTTGTGAAAGCAAAAGAGCAGTTTGTATCGAAAGCGAAAGAAGCCAAGTATCTCATAGATAACACGTCCACACAAACTCAAGTTAAAATAACAAGCAAACCAACCATCCACGTATCCAAAAGCGTGGCTGGCGCATCCATCGCCACGCTCGCATCTACCAGAGGGCACCACCAGCACATCCAGTCCTCCCTCTGTTCGAACCGCTCACTAACCACGAATCCCTAGTGTCCAGCCTTGAAGGCAAAACTCGATCTTAATCTCGCCGCAATGGCAGCAGCACGGAAAGTACATATAGGATGGATGTCTACTGAACTGAAAACGCAGTTCGGAAGGCGTTCTCGTTGGGCATGGTACGGCCTGCCCTTTGCCAGCCAGCCGGGAAGCTCTCTGCAGCTTGCTGCATTCGCCACCTGCGACCCCATGTCATAGTGGGGACTTCGTAGTTTGTAAGTATTACTGTACACGTGTATCCGTTCTGGGGCCTCTGGTAGCTGCTTTCTTTTTTGGTTTTTGGAAGACTATATTTTTTCGTTGGCACTAGGTAAGCGCGAGGCGGTATCGCTGGCCGCAACCACACCCACCCAGGTTCCAACACAGTAGAACTCTTGAAAAGAGGACAGTAGCTACTTGAAGCAGTGCTATACTCTAATAGCGACTGTCTTTTGCAAGATATAGATATCTTGTCTGTAAGAAATTAAGAGATAGGACTGATTCCCGATTTTAAGCTTACTGTTATATATAAGCATCCCACATTTCAGTGAGTAAAGCACTTGCTCTTTACCGTGTTTACTGAGTTTGTCTTTTCGTCCATCGCATAGAAGTGCACGTTTCGAAAAATAAAAGTTGATTACACTAATGTGCTCTCATCTATTAATCAGTGTTCTGTGTCGAAGAAGTGACATACAAAATTTACGCGACAACATGTGGTGTATGTGCAACTACTGTTCACTTCATATATACTACTAGCCTGTTCCATGTATTCGATGCAAAAAAGATGTGATATTTTGTCGCCTTTGACATTTCATGTTGAAGTTCGAGTCAAGCCGTGAGCTCTCGATGGAAAGGGTGCATGGTCAAAAAGACAATTTGCACATAAAGTGAGGACACCCAGGTTTACCAATGCGAGGATTCGTCATTTGACCAGCGTTGAAGCTCGCTTCCACTCTTCTGCCGACTTAAAGTCCATGCAAGCTACCGACTGCCGACCCTTAATTTCTACATTTACGCGCACCAAAATCTGTCGGAATCGTCACTTTAAACACTTTTTCTCTTCCAACGCAACACCACTACACCTTCACCCTGCTCAACATGGAGGCAACGCAGAAGCACCCGGTCAAAGTCTACGACCTTGCGGAGGATTTCAACCTCGAACCCGGTGACCTGATTTTAATCTCATCGCCCGATGCCTCATTCCACTATCGCCCCGACGCGGCGATGGTGGTTGTAATGGAGGTGCGAACGCACAACCAGTTCGGAGACCCATACAAGCCGAAGAGAATCCTCACGAGGCGCGTCGACCGTGATTCATACGGGCGCAAGGGCACGTGGTCGTTACTTAACGGAGCTGCCGTATACAACCATCAGGCGCGAGGAAGTGACACGGACCCCTTCGCGCCGCCGAAGAAAGCTAGCAAATCGAGAATGTTTAAGAAGGTGAGCATCAAAGACGCTCGAATCGCACTCGCAGTCCAAGGGTACGAAGCGAATATTGCAACTCCAGTCACAAATTCAATCGGACATGACCTACCGCCATTTGAGCTCTTCGAAGAGCGCGACTTGGTTTGGTTTGTCCATCCCACCGAGATCCGCCTCGAATTTAATCCTTCAGCGGAAAGCATCTCCAAAGTCTTTGGCGCAAGCAATGGCGGGTGCAATGTCCCCGGCTGCGTGGCCGGCCTCGTGTGCACCAGGTGTACAGGCCTGGACGCTGTCTACCCAACTCTGAGAGTGACCGACAAGGAGCACGATCTCTTGCATAAAGTTGGGACTCCGTGCCCTCAGTGTATCGGACTTGTCAAGACGATGCTAGACCTAGATACGATTAGGGTAAGTTACATCTCCCAGCACGTTGACTCCAACGATCACTAATTTCCGTGCAGCAATGGTTCAAGAATCCCCCAAACCTCCAGTTCCGCCAGAACTGCTACATGTTTCGCGAGAAAGCGGTCGCAGGCGTAATCAAAGCAGCCCTGAACCTGATAGTCCCAACGAGCAAGCCAGAACTATGGGGCCTGCCACCCGAACCCGAACCCGCAGCTGTAGTCCAACCACCACCACCCGGATACGAAAACAGCCAACCTGTACCAGGATACGAGCAAGATTACGATGACAATGACAGCGACGACGAAAACTACAAGCAGCGCCTCCACCAGTGGAAGCTGCAGTCACTGCTCCGGGATTCCCACTCAGCGACTCCGGAACCCATCGGTGCACTTCATGCTGATGGCGACGTCAAGTGCCCGATTTGCTACGGACACTTCAAGGTCGGCGACCTTCTCACTGCGGCGACCTGTCCTCGTCGTCACGTCTTCCATACTGCTTGTGTCGTCCCGCTGTGGTGGGTCGAGAACCGCACTTGCCCTGTGGACTTTGTCGTTCTGGACGAAGAGGAAGTTAGAGAGGCGCAGGAGGACTGATGGGATTAGATGCTCCACTGCCGCATATAGGTTTATTAAGCCAAAGGAACCAATGTATGCGATGCTCCTTAGGATTGTACAATGTGTGTAACGAATGAATGGCTTTTTTGCAATTACTACGGTCGGAGGAGTAGACGTTCTTCTTTATCTTCTCAGTGAATGATTCTCAGTAGAAGCAAAGGTACGTCAGGTAGCTTTGAACTTGAATGTTTGAGATAATGCAATCATGGACAAACATCCCTTTAGATATATTTTAGCCCTCTCTACAAAATACTTTTTTATAAACGATGTTAATGTGCAACTCGAGAGGGGTTGTATTTGATATATAGATGTTGAAGATGTTTGAATACCCATGTAAGTAGATGAAGGCGCTCCCTATACATTATTTTTTACCTAGATATAAAGCTTTGGTTCATAGCAGCATACACCGCTCATAAATATATTCAAACTATAACAATATCTCCAACCTGTAGCCTTTCCAGCAAGTCGCCTCGATGAACCGAAGTCGGGCTCCGGGTCGGTCCGCAGTCGGGTAAACATGGAACGACGCGCCCCACGACGACGCCGCATCATCGATCTGCCAGCTCACGGCTCAGGAGCCAACGTAGGTAAACAGGCAACTCCGCAACCACCTCCGCAGCCACCACCTCACCACACCCCCACGCCCAACGCAATCACTCCAACCCACAACCACCACCACCACCGCAACAATGCAGTCCGGAATATCAGGTCCCACCCCGCCATACCTCCATCCAGTACACAGCAGCTAACCACCCCTCCCCCACGCACAGCCTCCCAAGAGCTGCACACAGCCTTTGCAACCCTCACAAGCGACAGCACGCAGCGGGCGCTCCTCGCCACCATCAAAGACGAGGCCCTCGTGCCGTCGGACACCATCGCGGCACAGGGGGACTTCCTGTCGGACCTCTCGCTGCTCGCGCCGCACCTCACCCCCAACGCCGCGCTCTACATCCTGCTGCGGCTCGACAGCCCCGGGGCCAACAACGGCGTCTGCGCCGGAATAACGTACGTGCCGGACGCGGCGCCCGTGCGGCAAAAGATGCTGTTCGCGTCGACGCGGCTGACGCTCGCGCGCGAGCTCGGCGGCGACCAGTTCGCGGAAACGTTTTTCGCGACGACGGCCGAGGAGCTGAGTGCCGAAGGGTGGAAGCGGCATTTGGCGCATGTGAGCGACGAGGCGCCGTTGACGCAGGAGGAGCTCGACCTGCGGAATATCAAGGAGGCCGAGGCGCTGGAGAGCCATGGGACGGGTGCCCGTAGGGTCCAGACGAGTGGCCATCTTAGCATGCAGGTCCAGGAGGGCGTGGTGGAGGCGCTGAAGAGGCTGGGGGAGGGCGGCGAGGAGAATCTCGTCCAGCTCGTACGTTTGCTCTCACCATCACCACCCCCCAAAACAAAACAAAACAAACCCCCCACTAAACCCCCCACCCTTCCAGAACATCGACGTCCCGACCGAAACGATCCAGCTCGCCTCCAGCAGCACCGCCACCGCCTCCACGCTCCGCAGCGCCATCGCGCCCCACGAACCCCGCTACTCCTTCTACCGCCACACGACCGCCGACGCGCCCCTGCTATTCATCTACACCTGCCCGCCGACGTCCAAAGTCAAAGAGCGCATGGTCTACGCCGCGTCGCGCGGCTTCGCCGTCCACCTCGCCGAGCACGAGGCCCAGCTCGCCATCGCCAAGCGCCTCGAGTTCAGCAGCCCAGAGGACATCGACGAGGGCGCTGTCGACGAGGAGTTTGCGCCGCGCGAGGAGAAGAAGGCCGGGTTCTCGAAGCCGAAGAGGCCGGGGAGGCGTTAGGTGCTGTCTGTGTTGGGGGTGGGGGGGACGCCGCTTGATGCTTCATGCTTGATGGTAGAGTGCGCGTTGTGCCTACTACATAGCGTGGTTATAGATGCTGTGTCTCGAGATTTTTACTGGCCTTGGTCTGCCGACGTAGCGTGCCTATACAAATAGAGTATCCCGCCAATTGCGCAAGAGAAACGAAGAAAACAGGTACCGTGCGCCATGCACAGCGCGCATAGAAAGCAGAAAGAAAGACAAATCTCTCAGTTCAGTTCAGCCGCACAAGAAGCAACACCAACATCAAACATCAACAACACGTAGCCCATGCCACCAACCCCACCGCAAGCCCAAAAAGGATGAGGATATGTAGTTCTCTTCTTGACAAAGTATCAAATACATACAGATAGTATCAGCCCCCCAAACCAGATAAGCAAAAAAAAAAAAAAAAAAAAAAAAAAAAAAACAGACAAATGCATGCATGCAAGCAAGCAAGCAAGCAAAGCGACGAGATAGATGTTTTCGAACCCCTCCCACACAACAGGATATAGATAGAGAGCCCAGAACCCCCGCACGGCACGTGCGTGTCTGGCAACGAAAAACGCCGTGTGAAAAAAGCAACAGCAGCAACAGTAACAGCAATAGCAGCCAAAGCCGCAACAACGACGACGACGACGACGACAAGCAAGTCCACCTAATCAATCAACACCTTTCTCCTGCCCTTCAGCTTACCTTCTTACACACACATGGCGGCACAGCGCATCTCGTCCGTCTCGGCCGGTTGTACAGTACAGTACCTCTCGCAGACTATAGTAGTATGCGCACTCAGCCTCCCGCCCTCTTCACACCTTCTCCTTGCTAAAGAAACGAAAAAGTTAATTCCCGAGAGAAAGAAAGAACAAGGAAAGGTGTCTGTCGTCGTCGTCGTCGTCGTCGCAAAGAGCAATCACTCGTCCAGGGCTTCAGGCACAGCGACAGCCCCTGCCATTCACTATTCCTTTAAGGGAGAAAAAAGGAAAAGGAATAGGAAAAGGAAAGGGGGTAGCGGGACTGTCTGTCCTATCCTGCCACCAGACCGAGAGATGCTCATCGTCGCCGTCGCCGTCGCCGTCGTCGTCGTCGTGTAGTGCTGTGCTGTGTTGTGCTTGCAAGCTAGCTTACTCTTCATAGCGCCCGCCCTCCATCATCTCGCGGCCGCGCTCCAACACGCCCTTCAGGTACTCGTAGACGGTGAAGGTGACGGCCTGGCCCGGCGCAACGCGCATGATGCGCGGCGTGATGCCCTTGTAGAAGCTGCGCGTGCCTTCCTGCTTCCACATGTCGCTGGTGTGCGCAAGTCCTGTCAGCCACCCATGTCCCAGCCCCTAACTAAACAAGCCGACACCGGGCACTTACCTTCCGATCTTGACAATGCGGCCAATGGCCGTCTCGCCCGCCTCGGCCGGCGTCTTCTGCAAGCGCGTCTTGATCGTGTCGATTGGCGCGTTGGACAACGGTCCCATGGCACCCGAAACCAGCCCGATAAACGCCGTCTGCCAGCTGGGCAGGTCATGCGTGCCCTGCCAGTTTTGCAGCGCCGCGCGGAACTCGGTGTAGGCGGTGAAGTTGACGGCCTGGTTGGAGCCCTGGCGCAGCGCCGTCAATGACACACCCCGGTACAGCGCCGCTATGCCCTCTTCTTTCACAACCGTGTACAGCGCGTGTGCGGCGTTGCGGTACTTGGGCACGTCGAGCGGGTCCGCCATCGAGTGGTGCTGCGCTTGCAGCCGGATCTTGACAACTTCCATGGGCGTCACCACCGCCACGGCTTCTGTGACACCTGCTGCGAGACCGGCTGTGGAGGGTTAGCCTATTGCGCCCATGTTTTGGGAGTATTTCTCGCCCGAAGAGCATACCCATAAATGTTGCCTGTCCCGACACGCTTCCGTCCTTGCCTGCGAGCATTTGCTTGTACCACTCGTAACTCGTGAACCGTATCGCCATCTTCGGCACAATACCCGTCAAGACGGCACCCAATCCCTTGTAGAGACCGAGCGGCGTCTCGCGCTTAATGATCTCCGAGCCAGTTTTCAAGAAGCCGCGGGGTTTCGTCTGGTAAAAAATGTACATGTTAACCCTGACATTCTACGCTCGTAGATGTGGTGGGGTGCACGGGGTGACCTACGCCAGGCGCCCTCGCTCTCCTCGAAAGCTGCATGCGGACTTTGATGGTATCTTTACGGCCGTCAGCTCGAGTCCAAAACCCGTCCTCTCGACTTTAAAGCAACATACCCAACGGGTGACAAGCCAATGCCTCCATCATTCCCGCACCACCGCCAGCTGTCCAGTACCAAGTCAGCGCAAGTCCAATTCCCAAAACTAGCCCGTAACCAGCCGCATACCGATCAAGTTCGTCGCCGCGGATGCAGGCTTTTTGCCATTAGGACCGGATACGTTTTTCGCCGACATGGTGAATTGTAGCGCTGTGGGAGTTCCAAGGATCGCAATAAAAACGCGGGGTTTCCGAGGCGCAGAAAACGGGGTTTGGTAGGTAGAGAGAGGGCCTTTCGTGTGCGCCGGAGCTCTTGCGTCTTTTTGGTTGCTATTCGCACGTTGCGGTCGCGTGGAATGAAGGTATAGCGGGGTTGTAAGGGGTCGCGCCAAAGAAGCAAAAAAGCAGTAGAAGCTTGGGAGGATTAAAGAAAAAAGGGAAGGGATCCGGAGGTATATGAGAGGAGAAGCAGAGAAAGGGAAAAGAATGAGTGAGCTACCTTTAGACCGAGCTACCCATTCGCAGTCCCCTAACAGCCTCGGCCATTACGCAAAGGCACCATGTGTAGCTTACCCCAGGAATTGGCTTCTCGCTTGAGCGGCCGTGGTTGGTCGGACGGACGACTGGGTGAAGTCGTCGCGTGGGTTCCTGGACGAGCGGAAGCTACGCCTTTAGGCTTGCCGAGCTAAGTGCGCGAGCCGAGTGTGAGGACAGCGGAACACTTCATTAAGCTGCCCACTTCCCTCCTTCTCCCCGACGGTGCCGACAACTTCTCCTTTCCATGCCTGAGGCACGAGCTTCGGCCGACACGTCGCATGCATCTCGGTGCCGTCGGAGAGATCTAGGGAGGCGCGCGCGAGGGGATGTTGTCGGCTCGTGATGGCGAGGTACTCGAGTACGGACCCATGTGAAAGATGACGTCGGGTTCCCCCATCGCTCCTTCCCCCGCAATTCCACTCGCAAGTGAGCGCCGATTTCTCCCGTCCCGCCCGTCCCCCGGCTCAACTCAACTTCCATGTCTCCATGACCTATTCTTCTCGGCTAGACAATTATATTTCCACTCTCGCTGCTCGCATCTCCCGCTACGTACGCATGAGGAAACTGCCCAAAAGGTATCATGTGCCAAAGGAAAATGCCAACAATGCCCCGATTCCTCCCCTCCTCTAGATCCGCCCTGCCAACAACAAAACAACAACTCCATGCGAGCTTCAATCCGACAAAGGAAATTCTCTCCAAATCACTCCCGTCCCCATCTCCGACCGGCGTTCCACCACATGCATGGAGCAGCCCTGCCCCCGAACCCCCCTTCCCATGAGCCGACAGAGAAAATAGGAAAAAAAGGCAAGGAAACTTTTAAAGCCGTAGTGGGTGCGTGTCCTAGGCGCCGCGCTGATGATATGCCGTGATGCGTGTGCCAACAGAAGCAAAGAAAAGTAGTAGCCAGGCGCAAACTGAGTTGCGTGGTTGCGAAAGTAAGGCTTTAAAAAAAAGGGGGGAAAAAAAGTCGAGCTCAATTCAAAGAAAGAAATGTGGTTGGTGTGTGGGTATCTGTGTTGCAATGGGCAGGTGCTTCCCCTAGTGTACAGGGTATCTCGAATTGCGGGAAAGCCTTAAGCCCTTCAAGCCCCTACGGCTTGCGGCTGTGTGCTGATTATCGCGGGATCAGGGCCTCCCGCCTGCCCCTCTTCCTCGTCCTTGGCATCGCCATCCTTGGCCTCTTTCGGGAACTCCTTCGTCGTGGGGGACAGATCCTCGACAGAGGGCCTGGTATTGATGCTCGAGGCGGCGTTTGTAGACTGTTGTTGCCCGGGAGCCGAGAGATGGTTCCATCGCTGGTCGAGCGGTGCCGGCTTCAGTCCAACTCCGCCCTCCTTTTCTACCATTGGCTTGCTGGTGATAGTATGCGCGCTCTCCGAGGCGGTTGAAATCGACGGTGCGCCTTCAGTGCCGTTGACTGACCGGTCATCCTCGTGAGCAGTTGGGATTTCAAGCCTTTTCCCATCCTCCAAGGCCTGCTTGCGCAGCTTGAGGCGCTCCTCAGCAGACAAATCTTGCCATTCCGAGCCGAACGTGATCACAGATGCCTTCTTGCCGTGAACGGTGAAACTTCCGTGAGCGCGTGGAAGGACTTCAGGCCCTTTATCCGCTGTATCCTCAGACATGATAGTCGATGAGGACTCTTTTCCTTTGCCGCTACGACGGTGCCCCCCAGAAGTGTGCGGATCACGAAGGGTGCGGTGCATGCTGCGGCGCATTTTGGCGCGCGAATCAGGGCTCCCGGCTGGGTTTTGTTCTCCATTTTCGGGAGTCGACGGACGGCCGTCCAAGTTCATCGAGGTAGTGCTTTGGTTGCGGGGATGGCTGTGATCGGCATCGGAAATGCTACCGCTGCGGTGTTTCGAGCCCACCTCTGATCCTTCCTGATCGCCAGTTGTGGATACAGAAGGACGGTGGTCGGGGTTTTCTACCTTCGACATGATCAAGGAATGTCTTGGTTCGCTCAGCGGACTGAAGGACATGGGTGGAATTACCCAGTCAGTAGGCGGGTGTCCTGGGCTGGACTGCGGAGAGTTCTCGGGCGTGCTGAAAACATCGTCATCCTTTTCTTGCTCGGGTTCCCGAGGAGGCACAATCTCCGGTGGAGGGGGATTGGGAGACGTCTGTGGTCGAGCAGTTGCGGAGCTCGCCTTTGAGTTTAACCTCACAAGACTACCAAGTCTCGACGACCGGGAGGGTGGCGCAGTGGGTGCCGGTGATGATGTTGCAGGCGTTGCTGAGTCCGCAATCTCCTTGTTCCTCAATTGGCTTTCACCAGCGGCCCTTTTCTCTTCATCCAAATCCATGATAAGAATGTCCCGATGGCACTTCATCCGGCAGATATCGATGCGCACCCATTTCAACCTAGCCGCCATCCGCCCAGCCGCATGCATGACATGCTCTCTTGTCCTAGGCTGGATAGGAGCCATGACTTGCAGGTGTCGCGCATCTCTGAGGCGGCTGTCGAGTTGTTTTACGGCATTTCCCAGCCTCTCGTCTGCTTCCTCGACCTTACGCTGAATGTTGTCCCTGCGCGCGCTGGCGATTTGCTGAGCAAGGTGGTTGTCAATCTTTCCACTTTGGATAGTGACCTCTCCAGTAGGCCCTTGTATAGATTTTGACGACTGCGAAGACTCAAGCCGGCGAATCCCACGATTCCGCTGGCCTTCGTAGTTGCCACCCGTCAGGCCCCTGGGCCGGATACCAGCCGTCTCGAAGGCTGCCGTGTAGTTGATTTTGGCAAGCCAATCGTTCATGTCAGGTTCGTTGTCCGCCAGGAAGACCTCCTCTGCGCCGCCTTTGGCGAAAATGACGAAGGCGTACTTGTGTTTCCTGTAACTGGCATCCATGGCCGCCACGCACAAATCCATAGGCACCGTATGATCAGACTTGAAATCTTCCACGGCGGGCTTGAAGATAACAGGCGCGCCACTGCTGGTGTTTCTGTTTTCATGTTGGTGCATCAAGTTCCTGGCCCAGGTAGGACTCTTGAAAAAGTAAAGACTAGATCGCGTGAGGACGACTCCCCATTCTTGCCAAGGTGATCTTGCTGCCTTCTTCTTCGTGTCCTTGCGCCAAAGGATTCCCACCTTTGTCACTGGCATCTCCACAACTCCGGCCTGAGCATCATTGGGATTTTCAATAGTTGTCGGCGACATGAAAGCCTCTGGCCTCGAGCGGGCGGACACAATTTGTATGACACCGTATTTCGCAAACGTGTCGTGGAGGGATCTCATATCCAGAGACTGCGCCGTCCCGCGGTAACAGTAGGGATCCTCAAACTGCATGACCTCCTTGATTGGCGGTCGTAGAGCGTCCAGCTTGTTCTCGAATATTAGGGTATAGGGATCGATAGGTTCCTTCTGCGCTCTCCTGGCAGGGTCCTGGACGGCATTTTTGATGATCTTTTTCTTCTTCCCCCTTGTGGCTATGTTACGCAGATCCATTTCGTCGTCGATGTGGATAAATTGGGTGTAGACGATGTTTTCGTAAATGGTTGCAAGAACATCTTCGTTTACCTCCGAGGCGCTGGTTCCATTGCAATTTTTGATGTAGTCAGGCTTCTGCATCTTGCGCTTGTTATTCGGATTGAAGAAATCTGAATTCAGAAGCACGATCGAAAAAGCGATGAAGTAAGCTTCCTCTATGGGATTTGTCAGCACGTTGAGACCTACGAGGTGTCTTTTTCTCTTACCAGGTGAGACGAAAATGCCCGGGTTACACTCATGATAGCGATCCGCAAAGCCTTGAAGAACCCTGTCAATTTGCTGAGTCTCGCGCGGGAGTTCGACCTCCATCAACAACTTTCTGAGTGCCATGTCTATGGGATCACCAAAGAACATGAATCTTCGCATATAACTTCTTAATACAGCCAGAGAGAATTCGTCCCCGGATTTCGCAACCACGGCTGCAATTGTGCTTCGCGGCATTATCTCTTCCAGGCGCTCAAGGTATCTGCCAGGAGGTTCGCCCTCTTCCCTTGGGGGAACCGCCAACGTTTCGCGACTGATGTTCATAGAGGTAGAGTGCGAGCCCCTTCCGGAGGTCATACCTTGACCTGGAGATCCATGGCGTGGCGACTGCGGTTCGGAGTTTTGACGGAAACGGTTGCCGAGACCGAACAAGTTACTGAAACTGGTCCGGCCTGTAGTCGACGTCGAATGTCGTCCATACTGTGGTGGGGTAGGAGGCGGGCCATCATCTATGCGCCCCTCAACTGACCCCACAGTTGAAGATCTACCACGTCGGCCCAAGCGCACGGGAGGAGCGAGCGAAGGCGTTGACCTGGCAGAATGTGCGGATGTCGTTGAGTCATTCCTAATGAGAGGGGCCCCATTCACATTCACTACGGAAGCAAGCGCTGAATGCGTAGGCGACTGGTCGGGGTGCGCGCTTCCGTCGGTGTTTGATCGATGAATGGCGGTCAGAGGAGGGCTGTATGTGCCATCCGGTGATTGGTGAGGAGAGGGAACGCTGACGGCACTAGTAGACGCGCGGGGTGTAGCGGGGGCCGTATCGGGGAACTCTGGTGGTGCGGGGATCTTGACGGGAAGCGGAAACAGCGACTTGCGGTTTTGTTCCTTGTTCTTCCTCGACAAACGGAAGAAGGTCGAATGCGATGTGTTCAAGACTGGTTTCCTGTGTTCTCCAGTGCTTTCGATAGACCGCGACGAACCGTCAGACAGTCTGCCACCGACAGGACGCAACGCATGATTCGCCTCGCTGCCCGTCATAGTCGGAAGATCACGCGCCGAGCTGGTCGAGAGGCGACCAGGTTCGTCCTGAAGATGCTCCAGTCCGCCGAATATAGTTTTTCGGCCGTTGCTTCCAAAGTGTTTCTTTTCGGTCGATTTGCGCGGTATGGATTCCTCGGCAGTCGGTTCGAAAGAGAGTCTTCTTTTAGTCAACGTAGGAAATTTGTTCTTCTTTTTCGTCGGAGGGTTCTGCGTGGGCGACTCCATGGTCGGCGCGGTCATGATAATAGCAGGGGCTTAAGAGGAACAGTTAGCCCGTTCTATCCAGTAGTGGTGAGCATTCTCACATACCTGCTGGCATTGTTGGGACCGGAGGAGCAGCTGCGGCAGCGTCGGCAGCGGCCTGCTCCCTGGCCTTGGCCGACAGCTGGGGATCCGAGGCGTGACGCGACCTCAGCTTACTGAAGCGACGCGTCATGGTGTTGTGCTCTTGGACAGGCGGCGAGGGAGGCGGTTCGGTGTCGACCAGCCAGACGGGATGCGACTGCTGGGTCTGGGGGCGGAGCCCATCACTGGATCTTATGCCGCGGTCTGGAGCGAGGTTCTCGGCGGATCTGATGCCGTGGGGGGCCTGTTCGCCGCGCCTGAAGAGGTTGGCCGGATCCAGAGTGCTGCGTCGCTTGAGGTCCTTGTCACTCCTTCCGGGGCGCAAGGCTCTCAGTGGCATGGCGATTCGCGGCGGAGGCAGGGGGTGCGCTGTCAAGTCGGCATTGGCGGCGCGGTATCACGCATCTGGTGAAGGGTGGCGGGAGAGGGCGGGAGAGGGCGGGAGAGGGCGGGAGGGCGGTTCGAGGGAGGGTGGTGAGAACCAGGGGACCGCGTGGGATTGGGATCTGTCAAGCTGGGCGGTGGGCCCGTAAGGCTGAGTGCTGAGTCGGTGATGCAACGCGGCCAGCGCTCCCAGGGGCTAGAATGGGCGGGCCGATGATGGGGCAGCGCAATAGTGGGAGAACGAGCGACTGGGAGCTGAGGATGCGATGGATGTGGGCGGGAGGAGAGGGAGGGAGGTTGGGGTAAGAGGCGTACGTGGGCTTATTGGGGCCGACGACGCAGCGCTGGAGCAAGGCAGTTTCGGATGCCGTTCTTGGGTTGGGGTGGGCAGCTGAGCCCTGGCTGACGCGCGCCGCCCGCTGTCACTTGTGTCAGCAGAAAGCAATCAACCTTCCTCTCTCCCCCACGTCCATTCACACCTCCACATTTTCCCATAGCTCGCATGCGCCCCGCGCTCCACCATGCGCTTGTCCCTCTCCACGGCCTGCAGCAGCTGCCTGCTGCTGCTCCTGCTGCCCGCCGCCCCCGTCACCGCCGCCCTCGACTCCCGTCCCTCGTGGCGCCGGTTGTCTGATCGCATCATCCAGGCCGCCTGGGGTCATCATTATGCCCCCCAGCCTGCCCGTGCCGGCCGCTTCCCGCCGCCCGGTAAGATGCTGGCCCGCTACGGCGATGACATGGTCTTGCGCTTCAACATCTCCACCGAGCACGAGGCCTTGAAGCTCGCCGAGGCCGCCGACACCCTCTTCCTCGACGTCTGGGAGTTCAATGCCAACTGGGTCGACATTCGCGTCGCCAAGGATGTCGTGAGTCCCTCACATCTCCCCTCCTCTTGCGCCAGTTAACAGCAAAGGTGCCTTCTTTCATCGGCCTCCTCCCCGCATCACTCCACGACGCCCACGTCCCAGTCATGCAGGGCCATGATCTGGCCCAGGCCGTCTACGATTCGTATCCAACAACCGACGAGCCCTTCTCGCACTCGCTGCACCCCTCGCAGAATGCCGACACGCAGACGAACCTTTTCTTCCGCGACTACCAGCCATTCTCAGTCATGCTGCCTTGGTTACGCCTTATGGAGTCTCTTTTCTCCAGCCACGTTCGTTACGTCAATATTGGTATGAGCTATGAAGGCCGGGACATACCTGCTCTGCGCGTTGGTGTGCATCCCAAAAACAATGAGAAAGGTGACGCACCACGTAAAACGATTATTGTTTCAGGTGGCGTGCACGCCCGTGAATGGATCAGCACTACCACCGTCAACTACCTGGCATATTCCATGATAACATCTTACGGCAAGGACGTATCCACCACCTCCCTTCTTGAGGCTTTTGATTGGGTCTTCATCCCCACTCTCAACCCGGATGGCTACGTCTATTCGTGGGAAAACGATCGTTTGTGGCGCAAGAACCGCCAAAAGACCTCACTCCGCTTTTGCCAGGGAATTGACTTGGATCGATCTTTTGATTTCCATTGGGATGGTGAAAGCACCAAGGCGAACCCTTGCTCCGAAACCTTCGCTGGTGATGAGCCTTTCGAAGGCGTGGAAGCCAAGCGCTTCGCCGAGTGGGCAAAGAACCAGACCCAGGACAACAACGTCGAATTTGTAGGATTCCTGGACCTTCACTCCTACTCTCAGCAGGTCCTTTATCCGTATTCATTTTCTTGCCACGAGGAGCCACCTACGCTCGAGAATCTCGAGGAGGTTGCTCTCGGCCTTGCCAAAGCGATCCGTATTTCGAAAGGCGGGTACGTCTATACAGCGGATTCAGCATGCAGAGGCAATGTCGTGGCTTCCGAGAACAACAAAGAAGACAAAGTTTATCTGCCGCGTTTTGAAAACGGTGGCGGTAGCGCGCTCGATTGGTTTTACCACGAGATTGGAATCAAAAACTCATATCAGATTAAGCTTAGGGATACTGGAAGCTACGGATTCTTGCTGCCAAAGCAGCACATTGTCCCCACGGGGAAAGAAGTTTTGGACGCACTGACATATCTTGGTCACACTCTGCTAGGAGACACCGGCTTCGAGTTGGATTTGGGAGCAGAAGATGAGGCCTACCACGTGCCCATGGGCGAGAAGGTTTACGGCCAGGAGGCGTCTGAAGAAGACCCTACTGGTGTGGACAACGAGGTAGGATCGCATTATGCAAACGACAACATGGAGTGGGAGTTGAGGCGGAGGAGACGTTAATGACCTAATGTGTGCGGCACGATCCAGGATCGACGACGACTGCGTAATCATGTATAAAAAATGCATTCGTTTGTCTTCAAGCTAAGTTGATTTTTTAATAGTGTCGTCATCCTCAGCGTTGTAAAGGTTTTGTGTTTGCGGCTTTATTTTGATTTGATCTATTTTGTCGAGGCATTTGGGCGATGCTAATGATAGAAGATCGTTTAGTTTCATTAAGGAACTACAGATCAAAACCTTCGCTCACACTCGAATCGAGCATTCGAAGCGAATGATCCAGTTTATCTGGCCGATGCCTATAATAAACCAATCACATCACATAGCTACTGCTAGAAAATTCCACAACAACGTTTAAGTCGATTGATAGTTTATTGAAAGGTAAAAGAAATCGGTCGCCTGGTACAGGTATCTCAGTAACATAACGTCCCTTCGTCCCCATTTGCTCGCCTGCGAGCTGTAGTTTAATTTCCTCCTGCTTTCATGCTTCATAAAATGAAACCGTTCCGATTTAGGAAAACGCACAACGCCCCCAGTTGCTCCAAAATAACCCAATCACAATGCTCTCCCTCTAATCTTGCTCCGGTCCGCTTCTCCTTTACAGCGAGCAGCCGCTACTCGCAGATGACGAGGAGGAATCCGATGAGGATGATGTTCGCACGCCGCTCGCGGTCCTCTCATCCACGGACACAATCTTGGAGAGACCAAAGTCGCTGTCGTCGGCTTTTCGGGCTCGGAGCAGACATCTCGAGCAGGTGCCGCATGAGAGGGTGCATTCGCGGTCGCCGCCGTTGTTACCGCACGAGCAAGAAAGAGACTGGCGGCGGACGCGTGCGCCACAGGCGTGCTTGATGCTGTTGTAGCACATGGTGGCTGGGTAGGTGTCGATAAGGGCTTTCAAAATCGAGGGTGGCGAGGTGGTAGTGGAGGGCGAAGATCGAAAAATGCTGAGCTGATCGCTCGAGGTCTATAACGCTTTGGAATAGCTGGAGAAGGTTCCGGTCTCTGGGTTCCGCGCTCGGCGATGGAATGACGCAGAATGAGCGGATGTTTGGTGTCTCAGTTGGTCACGATCTGGAGGGAAGATCAGCCCGTGCTTTCGCAGCTGAAAACGGGAGCAGGCATACCTGAAAGGCGGGTGATCCAAGGAACAGATCGACTTGGGAGGGTAAGTGCAGACAGGGCACTGCAACGCTCTATAACGAGATGGAGTCACAAAGTATCTGCACGAACGGCTGAGGAAGTCTGAACAAAAGCCCCCTGTCGTCCCGTCGGGAAAAGATATAATATAGGTAGCAAAACCCTACAAGGTAACGGCACTACTGTTACATTCTTCGGCCACGGGCCCGGAACGCGCGGCCACGTCGGCGTGCGCGCCTGCTACCAGTAAGCAAGCAAGCGGCCCAAGATGCAGCCGGTGCCTCTGCTGGAAGGGAAGCTGGAGACTTGAAACCACACAAACGTCAGGGGGGAAAGCGGAATGCACGCGCTGTACCACCGGCATCAAACAAACCCGTCCCGACAGCAGGCTACCGTCAAAGAAACGCACGGGTGAAACTTGGTTGGCGAGGCGTAAAATGCAAGGCAAGGCTGGGTTTTACGGCAGCGTTTGTGCCACGCTGACTTGTCCATGGCTCAATCGTCGCCTTCTTTCGTTGCCAGTTGTGGTTTCGGTGTTTCTTGCCTGATTCGGTGGATGGGCTTCTATAAGGCATCCCGCGTGCCTCATTTCATTCTTATTTTCTTTGATTTAAAGGAGCTCAGCTACCGCGCCCTAGTCTCTTTGAAAGTGTTTGAAGTAGACTGCTTCAGCACTGCGGCCACTGTGGCGTTCTTGGAAATCTTATGACTGCAAAGGCTTTGGGAATAGTACGAGTCTTGGAGCGTGGGGCTAGAAATGGATTGAGCAAAGTGAAACGCCAAACCACAAAAAGGCGAAATCTTATCGCAAAAGTATGTCCGGTGGACTTTTGTTGTGCCTAAGATTTATGGTGTGATAGTAGCGTCCAGTCAGCGGGCGTTTCGAGCAACGCACCTGGGGACGCTCAACAATCTAGACCGGAGAGAGTCCCGTGGGATGGTGCCAAGGCTTTAGATGTAGGCAACCGGAGAATGCTAGTGATGATTCAGCGAGGAATGTCGAGGTAACGTCCGTGTTGGGGAAGTTGTGGTGTTGAGCGGAGAAGAAGGAAGTCATCCGCGGCAGAAACACCCTGACGCGAAGATCAAGCAGATCAGATTTATCATCATTGACCTCCAACCATGACTTCATCCACTCCATCCTACTACCTACCTAAGGCCCAATCGTGCCCATCAACACAAAGTCGGATCCGACAACCGACAACCGACAACCGACAACCGACACCCAAAATACAACCACCAGCTACTGACTTGAAACAATGACGACTCCTAGTCTCTTCCCTGGCGTGGCTCTGGTCACAGGAGCTGCCGGCAGCGGTATGGTTGCTTATATCTAAGACACACAAGAGCACGGAAATCTCACACATCCAAGGCATCGGGAATGCAACGGCACGCGCGTTCGCCGAAGCCGGATGCACCCAGATCGCGATTACGGATCTGAATGCAGAGCTTCTCGAGCAGACCAAGAAAAGCATCCACGGCGCGTACCCCGCCGCCTCCGTGCTGGCAGTGGCTGGAGACATCAGTTCGCCGGAGTTTGTCGACAGCTTCACTAAGCAGGTTGTCAGCGGCTTCGGGCGGCTGGACTACTGCGTCAACTGCGCGGGTGTCTTGGGCAGCGATCAGAACTCGACTGAGACGTCTCTCGAGGACTTTGATCGGATCAACAACATCAACTACCGCGGTTGCTGGCTCAGCTCGAGAGCGCAGCTCAAGGTCATGCTGGACCAGGAACCGCTTGCGAGCCACGACGCGCAGAGAGCCGGACAGAGGGGCAGCATCGTCAACGTCGCTAGCCAGCTTGGTATAGTCGCACGGCCAAAAGCCCGTAAGTATCTTTCTTGGTCGTACCAGATTTTGTTTCGGTTTCTGCAGGTTCTCATGTCGTTATCCTGTCTCCAGCGGCCTACTGCGCCTCCAAGGCCGCTGTTATATCCATGACCCGCTGCGACGCCATCGACTACTCTGAGCACAACATCAGGGTCAATTGCATCTGTCCTGGAGTCATTGAGACGCCCATGACGACGGGTAGTCAGGAGGTCCTTGACCGGCTCCAGCCGGCTGTTGATATCGCGCCCATGAAGCGCATGGGCAAGCCGCAAGAAGTCGCTGACTGCGCACTGTTTTTGTGCTCGACGAAATCAAGCTTTGTACAAGGTCACGCCATGGTCGTGGATGGAGGGTAATGGCTACTAAGTTTTCTCTGAAACATGCGGTGATACTAACAAGCTACACAGGTATGTAATCAACTAAGACCACGTACGGTTTTGCCGGGTGCTACCAACTTGGTCCGCAAGGCAGCTTTCCCTTGTTGAGGTGTTTGGTATGTTCAGCTGTTCGTCAGAATCCAGGCCGCTCCTTTGCCATGCAAGGGTAAACTCGCGGCCGACGCATGTTTGAAAGCGCTTCTAGATTCCATGGTCGACAGCCTTTTGGAGGAGCGAACACATCCGCAACGAAAGACTCAGGGCGTATGTACCTGACGGATCGACCAAGACCTGTACCATCCTCGCCTACACAAGCCTAGGTACTTTCACCACACCAAGGCTGAGTGATCGACCACACATCCCTTCCAGCCCACAGCCAACACCTCCCCTCAAACCACCCTCCCCTTACTCGGCCAAGAGCCCACCGCCTTCCAAAAATCCCTCGAATCAAGCACCCTGCCCAAGTCCTCCGCCCCCCTCGGCAAAGCCCGCACGCCCTCCTCCTCCATCAACTCCACCACCCACCGCCGATAGTCGAGCCCCTCCGCCTCCTCAGACGGCAGCGTCTCGCGCGCCAATACCTCAACCTCAGGCGCCCACGCATGGATCAAATCCCACCAGTCATAGACCCTTAAATCAGTGACGAGCCAGCGACAGCCCGGCGTAAAAGCCTGATGCAGCGCGACGACGGCGCGAGCCACGTCGTCGCCATGCACGAGATGCAGGGCGCGTTTGGCCCTGACCTGGTCCTTGGTCTTCGCGACGCGCGTGACCCAGTTCCGCGGCTGGCGCGCGCCGCCATACAGGCCCGCGAGGTTGAGCACGGCGCCGTCAACGCACGCGCGGAGCTCATCCTCCGCGATGGCGCGCTCGTTACTCGCATCGTACGCGCCGCTGCTGTCGTTCCAGTGCGCGCCCGTAAAGATCCCTGACGACCCCAGCTGGATCCACTGGTTCTGCTCGCCGTGGCAAGCCCGGTACAGCGTCGTTAGGTGCTGGGCTTGCCCCGCGCCCCGCAGCGGAAACGTTATCAGCACCGTTTTGGCGGAGGGGAGGCGCGCGTATTGCTGGGGTGCGTGCGAGTCCGGGTCGAACTTGAAGGGGATGCTGCCGTTGCGGCCGTTGGTGGTCGTTAGGGCGAAGGTTATCGCCTGTGAGGTTAGGAGCGGCGTGAGGAATTCCGAGGTCCAGCCTGCACCTAGCACTAGTAGATCCACGTGTGAGGGGATGGTGCGCATCATGGTTTTTGTTGTTTTTGTTTTGTTTTGTTTTGGCCTTACGTGTGGTGCTGTTGGTGGGTGGTTTGCGTTAAGTCGTGACTTCATGGATAGATATACGCTTGCTAGTACTGATCGGGCTAGGCGCGCTTCTAGTGTTACTTTTATCTCCGTTTTCGTATGTCTGTTGTGCTTGTGTATGAACCTACTTTTATCCTCTGATACCTTCACACCCTTATTCTCCTATAGTTTATTGCCCTTCTCTCCTAATTTTAAGCTTTCGATATCTCGATTCTTTGCCTCTTACATAAAAGTATCAAGCGACAACTTAAATATAGGGTTAAAGCTTTATGTAACTACCGACTAGGCTCCAGTAGATTTGACTTGATGCATACTAAAAGTAAAGCAATTAAAAGGAGCGGTGATAATATCTGGGCCCTGTAGCTTTACTTGTTGAATGTATCCCTCTCAGCAACCTGCAGTCACTGACTCCCGCTATAGGGGAAGCCAACTGCAGCTTTATAGCTTGAACCTTTGCCTTGTGCCGAGCTACCTTGACGCTGTCAATGACTGAACAAGCACCGCTTTCTAGGTAGTGATCTCATGTAGCCTAAATGTTGCTTAGCGCCATGTACATACAGCAAACATCTAATCCGCACCCTCACACCCCCACAGTAACATCCTCGACCCTCGCCCCATCCAACCACTCCGACCTCCCCTCCACCGTCTCCCCCCTAACCCTATAAAGCTCGTCCAAAAACGCCGGCACAAAAGTCCCCGGGCCTCTAACATCGTCTCTGCGTGCCGCGCGCTCGGCCGCAATCTCATAATGCAGGACGCCGGCCAGCGCAGCCAGCAGCTTGCACTCCCGCCCCGCAGCCAAATACGCCGCCAGCGTCGTGCCTAGCGCGCACCCGCTCCCCGTGATCGCGCCGAGCAGGGCATGGCCGTTCCGCACCGCCAGCGTGCGCGCCCCGTCGCTCAGCACGTCGACCGCGCCCGTCATAAGCACAATGCACCGCTCGCGCGCCGCCACGCGCTGCACTAGCGCGGCCTTCTCGCGCAAGCTGAGATGGCTCGTCCCGCTGTCTACGCCCCGCTGCTGCAACGCGGCACCCGTCCCCGCCACCGTGCCGATCTCGTTCTCGTTCCCCTTGATGAGGTCGCAGTAGCCGGCGGCAAGCAGCTCTTTCACGGCGCTGCGACGCAAGGCCGTCGCGCCCGCGCCCACAGGGTCGAAGACGACGGGGCCACCCGCAGCGTTGTACGCGCGCTGGGCTTGCGCGAAGGCGCACAAGCTGTCAGGCGTGGAGGTGCCCATGTTGATGACGAGGCCGCCGCCCAGCTGCGCCAGGTCTGCCGCTTCGGCGCCGTTGGACGACATGATGGGGCTGGCGCCGATGCAGAGCGCGACGTTGGCGGCGAAGTTCTGCACCACTTGGTTCGTCATGTTGTGGCTGAGGGGGGTGGTGCTGGCGAGGGCTTGCAGGATGGCGGAGGCGTGCGTGCGGATGCTGGTGGGGGAGAGGGGCGGGAAGGCCGTTTGTGCTGCGGCGAAGGCCGGGGGCGTTTTGATGAGCGTGGCGAGCGAGGCGGAGACTTGTTTGGGGGAGGCGGCGGCGATGATGGCGCTGACGATGGCGATGCCGTCGATTTGTTTGCTGGGCGTTGCGGACTGGTAGAGCACGCGCTGCGTGTTGGAGGCGTTGATGCCGCCGATGCAGACGGTTGGGATGGATGGGTTCGAGGAGCTTGTCAGTGCGGTGAGGATGTCTCGGAGGCCCGACGTGCCGATTATGGATTTGGTGTTCTCTTTGCTGTGGTGTGTTAGCCTAGAGCTTCATCCGCGTATAGATGGACGTACGTTGGTGTTGCGAATACGGTGCCTATGCCGAGATAGTCTGCGCCGCCCTCAGTGGCGCGGAGAGCCTCTTCCACCGAGGATGCAGTAACGCCGATGATGGCGTCTTTTCCAAGGATTCTGCGAGCGCTGGCGAGGTCTGGTGATACACGAGTGAGCAGATGAGTGCTGAGAGCTGTATAGAATCGAAACAAAATCCAATGCCCGTCTTACCAATGTCATCTTGACCAATGTGTACGCCTTCGACACCAGCAACTAGGGCGACATCGACACGGTCATTGATAAGCAGCGGGACATTGTGCGGCTTGGTGACTTCGTGCAGCTGTTTTGCGATCTTGATCATGTCGCCAGTATCGCTAGTTTTGTCGCGCAACTGCACAATGGTAACGCCTGCGCATCATGTTAGCACCGGCTCATGTGTCTTCAACTGATGAATGAGGTACCTCCTTCAACGGCATCCTTGACGACAGACACCAGGTCCCGGCCTTTGAGAATGGCGGGGGTGTTGTCCGTGACAAGGTAAAGCGAATAGTCGACCATTTTTTTACTCTTGAATCAGAAATTCGGGAACCCTAAGTAAACATGTCCCAAGCTCTTCACTGATGTGTGTTGACGGTCCGGTGTCGCAGTGGTGTGTTCGCGGGCCGTCTTTTCTCGGCCGATCTCCCGCGGCCCCGCGTTGAGGTCATCCACGATCGACGGCGCGCGGAGCTGCACCTTGACATATTCACCATAATCAAAGCGCGTAAATGCACCGAATACTCCAACAAGCGCCACGATTGCAGCCATATATTCGCTTTTTTGTAGTATCATGACATGGTCGAAACGATCAAGTGCTGGAGAATTCCGCCAATGCGCTAGACAGATCGTGCAAGAGGTATACAAAGACGAGACGGACAGACGCTATCATGACAGCAGCACCGTTAGTAGATGACAGTATCCTCCTCTGCTTCGAGTACCTCCTCGCCATTGTCATCTCCCTGCTGCTCCTTGTTTTTAAGTTCGGCTTCCTTCGACGCCTGCTCATCAGCTTCGGCCTGGGTCGGGGACGTGGTTTTTGCTTCTTGCACAGCTGTCATGTCGGCGTCGGTAGTAGTAGTAGTAGCCTGGTTAGTACTGTCATCTTGCTCCACTGGAGGAGACTTGGGGGGCTCTGACGCAGTCGGCTCCTCTGCACCCACCGTCTCCGAAGAAGGCTCTTTCTTCTTAGCTTCTGCGTCAGCCTCCTCCATTGCAACGTCGCTGTTCTTCTCTTCTTCTGCTCTTGCAGCTGCCTGTTCTCGTTCAGCGTCCCGCTGCCTGTTGAATTCGTCCAACTCCTTGTCCACGATCGCTTCGGCTTCTTCTACTTGGTCTTTGATCATGGCTTCATCTTCTGGTCTTAGTTCCCAGGGTAAATAGTACTGAGTGGTAGATGTCAGCCAGAGGTCTGGTTAATAAGAGGGCAAGGTGGTGACGTACGAGTGCCGGTTCTGTTTTGGTCTTGAGCGAGTGCGCCATGGCGATGAGATTCGAATGGCGGATGCGCATCTGTTAAGCCAGTTAACACATGTCTTTTATTGCAGTATACCAAGCGACGTACCGATTGCTCATCGTATTTCTTCTGTTCGCGGCGCCTGATGCCATCAAGTTCCTCGAGCCGTTCCTTCTTGTTTTGGTCAAACTCTTCAGCTTGTCGCTTCAACTTCTCTTGCTGCTTCTTCTCGATATCTGCGCGACGCCTCTGAGCTGCTGACGATGTGCTCTGGGACAGCGTGCCCAACAATGCTCCGAAGAGCCTCTGGCCGCGCTTACGTTCCTCCAACTGCCTGCTACGGCGCCGATCGGTGCCACGGTCGGGCTCGGTGGGCTTCGATTCAGCGCCGTTCGGGGAGGCGTCATTGGCGGTGTCGTCGATGCTCAGGCGAGGGCGCTTGTTGGCAGCTTCGGAGACAGACGATTGCCTGCGCTTCGGCGGGTTGTCGTGCGGCGGCGACGGAGGTGCCGGCGCGTCTGGCACGACAACGGCCGAGGCGACGATACTGCGACACGGTTAGTACATGATAATGACTGCGCAAAGAGTCGCGAGCGACTTACGGTTCGTCTTCAGGCATCGCTTGTGACAACTGGTGAAGGAAGCTTTTGGTGTTGGCGCGTTTGCTCGCCCGCACGTAACCAACGGCGATTGTCGTGCGGGCGGAAGCTAGACGCACGGATCACGAGCTTATTCCGTACAGCTTCCTCAGTTCTCAATCCTCAGAGCCTCCCTCCACTTCCCACCACCTCCTCGCCACAACTGCTTCCGCCCGCTCCCACTTACAATCTCCTATAAACCTTCTCACCGCACCTACATATACGCGCCTGAAACCAGCTCCCGGCCATGTCTCGCCATCACCCGTAAGTAACTGTCTCCGTTTATCTCTCCCTCACCTTCACTGCGCATACTGACAAGACCTCAGCGATTTGGTCATGTGCCGTAAGCAGGCCGGCATCGCCATCGGACGCCTCTGCGACAAGTGCGACGGTAAGTGTCCCGTCTGCGACAGCTACGTCCGCCCAACCACTCTTGTTCGCATCTGTGACGAGTGCTCGTTCGGCAACTTCCAAAACAAATGCGTTGTCTGCGGAGGTGAAGTAAGTTCGCGACATATCCTCGCATCGAGTCCGATTAGGAAAATAGCTTGTGCTAACATTAAGCTGTTAGGGCATCTCCGACGCCTTCTACTGCTTCGAATGCACCCGCCTTGAGAAAGACCGCGACGGATGTCCCAAGATCATCAACCTGGGTAGTTCCAGAACCGACCTCTTCTACCAGAAGAAAAATTTCCGCAACCAGTGACCGGCGTCACGATGCGGCTTGAATTGCATGGGCCGGAGTAGCGGAGTTTATGGGCATACAATGATGGGAGTGGCTATATTACCCGGTCTTTAAGTCGGTGGGCATTGAGTTATCACGACGGCTCATATGGTATGCTTTCTGGAGCGGATAGCTTCGGCTCAGAAAATTGACTTCCCAACCCTACAGTTATTTTAGCCAGCGCTTCGGGTGCATGGCTACTGGGATCGTTAAATAAGGCCAACATTTCTGTAGATACCCCATACAGCAGTTGGTTTGCTCTTTGAATGAAGGGTTGTTTATTTTCGATTATCCGGCTTCGCTCATGTGAATGTGTTTAGACGTGAGTTATTCTTTACTTATGAAATACTTTCGTGTCTTTGCAAACTCATAAAATACTCCAATAAAAAGGAAATACTCGGTGATCATAGTAGACTTCACTTAACAGTTGAGGAGAGGGCAAAATATCCGGGGCCTCACCTCCGGGTCGGAAGGCAGCAAGAGGTCACCGAAGGCGGTGAGCAGCTAGCTGTGCACGTGACCGAAATTTTTCGAGATTGCAGTTATCCAGAGCAACTCCGCCGGCAGAATTAACAACATTCTGCGCTGACTTTTCAAACATTTTACCATGGTCAAGAGAAAGCTAAACGAGCACGATGTCCCCGAGAACGCTGAGGTCGTTACCTCTGCGCAATCCCAAAGCGCATCCTTCGACAGCCTTGGATTGGACGCCCGCCTTCTCCAAGGCATAGTTCGGCAGAAGTTCTCGAACCCGACGCCCGTGCAAGCCAAAGCCATACCCCTTGCCCTCGAGGGTAAAGACATTCTCGGTAATATGACACGCCACACACGTCCTCTTCTTTCCGTACACTAACAACGCGCAGCTCGCTCGAAGACCGGCTCCGGCAAAACCGCCGCCTATGTCCTTCCGGTTCTGCAATCCATCCTGAAGCGCAAAGCCGACCCGAACTTCTCCAAATGCACCACTGCCCTTATTCTCGTTCCGACCCGTGAACTGGCTGGACAGGTTACCAAGACGATCGAGTCCCTAGCGGCGTTTTGCGGGCAAGATGTGCGGACGGCGAACATTACCATGAAGGAGGACGACCAGGTGCAGCGCGCACGGCTGGCGGACAACCCCGATGTTGTCATAGCGACCCCAGGCCGGGCGTGTGTCAACCTAAACAGTTCCGCGCTATCCCTGGACAAGCTGGCGCATCTGGTCATTGACGAGGCGGATTTGGTGCTCTCGTACGGCTACGAGGATGATCTCCAGAGCATCTCCAAGTCCATACCGAAAGGCACCCAGACGTTCCTTATGAGCGCTACGCTAAGCAGCGACGTGTCTGAGCTGAAGGGTCTTTTCACCCGGAACCCCGTTGTGCTGGAGTTGGACGAGGAAGAGAAGGACACTGGCACGATCAGCCAATACATTGTGCGGTGCGCCGAGGATGAGAAGTTCCTTCTCATCTACGCGATATACATGCTTAAGCTCATCAAGGGCAAATCCATCGTATTCGTGGCAGACATCGACCGCTGCTACCGGTTGAAACTATTCCTTGAACAGTTTGGCATCAAGAGCTGCGTCCTCAACTCCGAGTTGCCAGTAAACTCGAGATTACACGTTGTGGAGGAATTCAACAAGAACGTGTACGACATTATCATTGCTACCGACGAGCATGAGGTGATGGGCAACGAGGACAAGAAGAATAAGAAGAAGAAGAAGGCCAAGGATGAAGGGGAAGAGGATGAGGCAGACGAGAAAGAAAAGGACAAGGAAGAGAACAAGGAGGAGAAGGACGAGGAGCAGGATGCCGAAGACCAAGCGGATGGCGAGACCCAAAACGGCGAAGGGCAGCCTCCGAAGAAGAAGAGAAAGGGACGCAAGAGGGACAAGGAGTACGGTATTGCCCGCGGCATTGACTTCCAAAACGTCTCTCTCGTCCTCAACTTTGACCTCCCCACGACATCAAAATCCTACACGCACCGCATCGGGCGCACAGCGCGGGCGGGCAAGACGGGCATGGCGCTGTCGTTTGTGATCCCGAAAGAGCAGTACCGCAAGCACAAGCCGACATCGATCGAGTCGGCCCAGCACGACGAAGACGTGCTGCGCAAGATCATCAAGTCGCAAGAAAAACGGGGCAACGCGGTGCAGCCGTACGCCTTCGACATGACGCGGCTCGAAGGCTTCCGGTACCGGCTGGGCGACGCGCTGCGCTCGGTGACGCGGATCGCGGTGCGGGAAGCGCGCGCGCGCGAGCTGCGCCAGGAGCTGCTCAAGTCGGAGAAGCTGAAGCGCCACTTCGAGGAGAACCCGCAGGACCTGGCGCACCTGCGCCATGATGGCGAGGTCCGCACTGCCCGTACCCAGCCCCATCTCAAGCATGTCCCCGAGTACTTGATGCCTGCGGGCGCGAAGAAGGATTTCGCGAACGAGGTCGGCTTTGTTGGCTTTAAGAAGGATGATGCCCGCGAGAATAGGATCCGCAAGGCGAGGTTGACGAAGAAGCGGATGGGGAAGGGCGCGCCCGTGAGGAAGTCTGATCCGCTCAAGACGTTTAATGCGAAGGGAAGGGGCAAGAAATAAACGTATGGTTTGGGGGGAGGGGGAAGGGGGGCGGTATCAGGGCTTTGGTTGGTTGGTAGGTAGGTAGGAGGAATGACAGCTCGACAGCTACCCGTGTGCTCTTGAATTGAACATCTATACCCTCGTACCGCTGTGCAATGCTCTCGTGCTTCCGCATACCTCCATCTCTGTCCGCGTACCTATATAGCGTACTCTCGTCTTCACGTATGCTTTTGTCTCAATCACACAGCCAGTCAGGCGCAAGACACGCTCGTGCGCTCGTATGCCCTACCTAACCGTTTACAAAACGCCCTCGTATCCCTATATACCACTGCCATCTCACACCCCTCCGTCCCTATAAGCCACTCTCGTATACGTTTATATACCCAATACCCCCAAAGCAGCATACACACAAAGCGGCCTGCAGCGCACTCTTGATCCCGCATATAGACCGATCTCGCAGCAGGCAGTGGGTGAGTGCCGTACCTAACCTAGCCGTAAGGTAGTTAGTCCGGCGCGAGACGGGGCGTGTGAATACCTTGCTAGTTGGCTAGTTATACTCCAGCAAGGGCAAGAACAAGAGTGAGAGCGAGAGCTGTAGCGTAGTGTATGTTGTACATACAGTACTACACATACATATGAAGTGGTCTTGTCTCCGACGCGGGCTGGGTGCACCATTTATATCACATCACATACCCCTAGAGCTACCTACCTAGCTTCCATCATACCATCATCACACTCACAAGCAACTCACGCACTCGTACATAGGTAGGTACTGCAGTAACCAAGGATTAGACATGACATCAGCGGCTACCTACATACACGTTTTCCAGCGAGCAAGCGCCAAGCAAGCGTGCGTGCCCATTCTAGCGTACCTATCCTATCCTATCCCATCATCAAAGCATGCATGCATACCCCATCTATGCCTGCGCATGCATCTAGTCCTCATCCCAGTTGGGATTGGGGCCAGGGGGCTTAGGGCCGCCGGCTTGCCTGGCCACGATGATCTGGTCGACGCTGAGCACCGTGCGCGCCGCCTCCGTCGCCAGCTTAATGGCCCACTGCTTGCTGACGAGCAGGTCGAGGATGCCCTCGTCGACGGCGTCCCGCACGCCCGTCTTGTCCTCGTTCTCAATGTCCACGCCCATCTTCCAGTACACCTCGCCCGCCTCCTTGCCCTTGGCCGACGCCGCGTGCGCCGTGTACAGCCGTGACAGCACCTCCGTCGCGTCCAGGCCCGCCGACTCGGCCAGCGTGCGCGGAATCACCTCGAACGCCTCGCCGTACTTCTTGATCGCGTACTGCGAGAGGCCGGGCGTCTTCTCGCCAATCGCCGTCACCTGCTCGATGAGCTGCATCTCCGTCGCTCCGGCACCTGGCAGCAGGCGCGGGTCGCGCGTGATGGCCTTGACAACGTTGACACCGTCATCGACGGCGCGCTCAATGTCGTCCAGGTGGTTCTGAGTGGCGCCGCGCAGGACGAGCGTCGCCGTGCGCGTCTGCTCGTTCTCCTGGCGGAAGACGGTGACACGGTCACCGCCAATCTCGAGCGTCTCCACAACATCGACCGAGCCCATCTCCTCGGGCATGGGCGCACCCAGGCGGGCAAGGGGAGTGGCACCAACGACGCGGCACAGGCGGCGGAGCTCGAACTTGGACAGAACCTTGATGACCAGGATGCCGTAGCGGTTGAGGTAGTGCATGGCGAGCTCGCCGACGGTGGCTCCAGCGACAATGACGCGCAGGCCAGAGTCGTGCAGTTCCTTGATGGCAGTCTCGATTTGAGCCTCCTCGCCCTTGGTGAAGTCCAACATCTCCTTTGCGTTGTGAAGCAGGACCGTGCCCTTGGTCTCCGTCTGGCTGATGTCGATGGGGCACGAGTAGACACCCACCTTAGCCTTCTCGGCCTTCTTGACGCTACCGCTAGGCTCACGGCCGAACACCATACCCTTGACCACCCTGCTCTGCTCCAGACTACCACCCATGATCTTGACCACGCGGATGTTGTCGACGTTGAAGTTGACGGGGTTCTTGGGGAGCACGGCGAGGACGGCCTCCGCAACCATGTCGGCGAGGATGTCCTCAGTGCCCGATTGCTTCGCGGCAATGACCGTGCGGATGGCCTTGCTGAGCTCGGCTTGCGACCTCATGTCCTCGACCTTGTCCACCGTGAGCTCTGCAAGCTAGTCAGCACCCCTATGACCATCATCACCAACGTCCGGGATTGTACGTACCCTCCAGCACCTTCAGCGTCTCGTTCTGTGCCTTCTCGTAGCCCTGGACGATGTCGCTCGTCTTGAGGCCCATGCGCAGCAGCTCCTCGGCCTTCTTCAGAAGCTCGCCCGCCAGCACTATGACCAGGTTCGTCGCATCGCCCATCTCGGCCTCCTGCTGCTGGGAAGCCATAACCAGCAGCTTCGCGGCGGGGTGAACGACCTCCAGCTCCCGTAATATCGTGGCAGCATCAGAAGTAAGGATCATCTTTTGCAGGTGGTTGATCACGATCTTGTTGCGGCCATAGGGGCCCAGCGACGTCTGGACCGTCTGGGTAATCGTCCGGCAGGCTTCAATGTTGCGGATGACGGCGCCATCTTCAGCATCGTAGCTAAAGCGGTGTTAGTGGCATTGGCGTATGGGGTAGAAGGGGATGGAGGGGTCTCCAGATAGAGCTTGCGGGCAACGGAGGGGTGTTGAGGGGCGGTGGAGCATACTTCTGGTAACCCTGCTTGAAAAGCCCCGAGTTGGGGGCACTGGGTATCGAAAGAGACATTTTGAGCGAGTTCCCGAGAGCGGACCGGTGGAATGAGTTGTGGTGGTGGCCGCCTGCAAAAAGTGATGTCCCTCCCAGTCGCGGTTGCCAAAACTAATCCGCGTCGCGGGAAACCCCCGGAAAGTCTTGGCATGGCCCATTTGCGTGCCTCAGGCATCAATTCCCCTCACTTTGCTTGCACTTTCTACAACAATTAACGCACACAAACACACATCAAAGCCCGTACTTCATTCACACATACATTCAACGTCATTTCAATTAGAAGCTTTCTCCCATTGCTGCCTTTTTTTTTTGGTGTTCACTCGACGGTCTGGCATACAATAGTAAAAGAACCCCCCACACACATCGTCATACCTTTAATTTTCCCCAAGAAAAAACGACCAAGGAAAGCTCTCGCGAAAGAGGGTAGCGGGTTGGAGATGGGATTGTGAGATTACAGGACGTAAGGGCCTAAGAGCAAGCGCCGTGGTGATGCAACGCTGCGGGATAACGGCAGCGGGGGAAAAACCATAAATCCACCAAGACCACCCCGTGATTCCGCTTGAAAACGCCCTTAAGCTTGTTGTGCCGTGGCCATATCAAATGTAGAGAGAAAGAGTTTTGAAGGAAAAAAGGAGAAAAAAGGATTCCAGGAAACGCGTCGTGGAGACTGTAGTGTGGTATCAGAGAGACGACGAGAAGTCAAAGACTGGCTGGCGTTCATCAACGACCGGAACAAAAGAAACGTGCACGTGTGGTACAACTCAAGCCTGAGCTGCTCTAGTTCGCACTGGAGTTCGAAGGCTCCATGTCAGTCTGGTGGGAGTGATGAGAAGACTGATGGGAGAGGACGGTGCTGGTGCCGTAAGAGCTTGCGCGGGCATGCGACGACCGCCTATTGTGGTTGTGATTGTGGTTGTGCGAGTGTGAGTGGTAGGTGTGAGGCGAGTTGATCGGCTTTGGCTTATGGGACAGGGAACCGACATCATGCTTGCCTATTCAATGTATTAGCAGTCGTAAAAATGATGTACGTGATTACAGATACTCACCATCACAACAAGCCCTCACATTCTCCAGCCTGTCAGCTGATTCTTCTTGTGATTGGATCACCTGCCTGAGGTCTTCAGCAGAATCGTGGACGATGGATGCATCATATATCGAACCCTCATGACGACTTTGGCGGCTCGAGAATGAGCCCCGAAGGTTGGCCGGCAAGAACATTCCGCTCAGACTGCTGAGGCGTCCAGACATCGACGCAGAGCCGGGCGTCACGGCACGCTTGACGACACCGTTCTTCCGCTGCACCAGGGTTGGCACTTGAGTACGGTAGGGTGACGAAGTCCGCGTTGTCCGGCTGTTGTAAGATGACAATGACTGCCGAGACCTAGCGGTCTGGCGAGATGTACTGCGGGGGCCGGTGTAGGCGGGGTCAAACTCCTGAGAGTCTTCGGGGGGCGCTTCTCTGTCCTCATCATCGCGTTCTTGACTCGTACGGAGAAGGAGATAAGACAGGGCATTGAACCAAGTCTCATGCCTCTGGGCGGTGGTGGCAGTGAACTTGACGGCACGACCAGGGGTAATGACGATCAAGCTCTTGCGGTGCAGACCAGGAGGGAGCGGGTTGTCATCGGTCTCCACACGAACATCCTCAATTTGCACGCTCTTGGCCTTCAGCTGGGTCTTGCCTGCGGTAGCCGGGTCCTGGTCGCTCCAGTAGAGGGTGCGAGTGTAAGGGTGAACCCAGAAGAAACGCCTGTGGCGGTTCTCGGACATCTCCTCACGGCCCGTCTTCCTCGTGTACTTCCACAAGTACTCTCCGATCATAGTCTGAGTGATTGCCTGGATCATGCGAGGATCAGTCGTGTGATCGAAGCCTTCGCGAGCGACCGGGTTCATGGGAATGTTGAAGCGTGACTCCATTTCAGACGCGAATGATGAGACGGACGTCCGGCGAGAAACAGGAGACGAGATTTCGCTGCTCTTGGTGCGGAGAGGACGAGGAGTGGTGCCGTCCCGGTGAGCTTGAGGAGTGGTGGGACGGTCGCCATTCGGCGTCAGAGGACGGAACTGCGAAGCGTGGGAGCTGTTCTGGCTCTTGTACGTCGAGTACGATGAGGCTGGCTTCTTGCCCGTGCTGTTGTGGCCCCTCAGCGAAGCTGCAGCGATGACTTCCCTGTGGTCGGCCGGCAGCGGCGGCGGGGTTTCGCGGCTGCGCATGCTCTGCGCACTGGTGGGCCTCTTCGGCATCTTGGACTCCTTTGAGTCGGAAGTCGAAGGGGGCCTCGTGGGGCTTGTCGGGCGCACAGCAGAGGCAGCGATGGCCTGTTCTTGCGAAGCCTTGAAAAGCTTGTCGAGCACCTCGGAGGAGACCATCGTCTGCGTACCATGCTCGGACACCGACTTCCTGGACTTAACGACGTGGTCATCGGGAGCCACATTGCTGGCAATAGAGGCCATGTTGTTCTCAGGGATAGTCTCAGAATCCGGACGAGCAGCCTGTGGGTCGACGTTGAGCCGCCTGCTCTGCTGGTCAGCTCCAGCATCTTCGATCTGCACAGAGCTGAAGAAAGACGAGCCAGGCCTAGAACCATCAGTGCCGGGCAAGGCAGAGCGCTCAGCCTCAGCCCCGCTCCACGCATCCTTCGAAAGGACAGCTGCCGTACCCGCTGCCGCGATGGCATCCTCGGGCTCAATGTGCTGCGACGAGATACCTGCGTAAGAGAGAGCAGGGGTAGGCTCGACGATAGTCGGCGTTTGCTTCGTGAATGCCTCGGGGAGCGGCAACGAGACAGGCTCGACTGCCTGGCCGAACACTGGCGAAAGGGCCGAAGGAGTAGGCTTCGGTGCCTCTGGCGCTTCGGGCTCGATCTCCTGGCCGAAGACAGGAGACAAAGCCGAGGGAGCCGGCTTGGGTGCTTCGGGAGCGACAGGCTCGATCTGCTGGCCGAAGACAGGAGACAAAGCCGAGGGGGTCGGCCTCGGTGCTTCGGGGGCGACAGGCTCGATCTGCTGACCAAAGACAGGAGAGAGAGTCGAAGGAGTAGGCTTCGACAGCTCCAAAGCCTCAGGCTCGATCTCCTGGCCGAAGACAGGGGACAAGGCGGAGGGAATAGGCTCCGGTACCACCGGCTCCGAGTGCAGAGCAGAAATGGAAGACAGCTCCAGCGACGGAAGCTCGATCTTCGGTGCCGCAGGAGGTTCGGCTGCGACAGGGTCTGACTGAAGAGAGACAATAGAGGACAATTGCGAATTAGGTAGCTCGGGCTTAACTTCGCGAGGAGCGGGAAGCTCCGACGCGATGGGCTCCGTGTGCAGAGCAGAAATGGAAGAAAGTTCGAAGTTGTGGGGCTGCGGCTCGACCACCTTAGTAGCAGGAGGCGAGGGCAGAGCAGGCTCCTCCGCGTGGACGGAGGAAATGGAGGAAAGCTCCAACGCGGGAAGAGGAGCCTGGGGAGTAGCTTGCAGCTCGAGCGCCTCCGGCTCTGAGTGCAGGGAAGAGATCGACGAAAGGTCGAGAGATGGGACAGCTGGCGCCGCTGGGGCAATAGGCTCGGAGTGCAGCGAAGAAACGGACGAAATCCGCAACTTGGGCATAACAGGAGCCTTGGGAGCGATGGGCTCGGACTGCTGCGAAGAGACGGAGGAAATTTCCAGCTTGGGCACAGCCGGGGCCGCGGGAGCGATGGGCTCAGATTGCAGGGAGGAAACTGAGGAGATCTGCAGCTTGGGTACGACAGGGGCCTCAGGAGCGACCGGTTCAGACTGTTGCGACGAGACGGTGGAGATTTCCAGCTTGGGCACAACAGGAGTGGCGAGCTCCAGCGGCTCTGGCTCGGAACCGAGGGAGGAAATGGCGGAGACGTCCAGCGTAGGGGGCGCCGCAACCTTGACCTCCGGCTCAAGCGGCTCAATCTGTTGAGCATCGACGGTAGAGAACTCCAAGTGAGCAGCGGTGGGAGCGGCAATGTCGTCGGCGACGGCTGCCGCGGCAGCCACAGACTCCCCGGAGGGTGCCGCAGTATCGATGGTCGTTTCTTGGCTGTCATCGGAGGCCGCGTCATCGTCAAAGGCAGAGGGTTCCAATTGCCGTGAGTCGGTAGGAGTCTCGTCGCCGGCGCGCTCGCTGCCAGTGGCGAAGCCTGCGATAGCAGCACCCAAGGCGGCAGCGGTGCTAGAGACGATGCCCTTGGATGAAGAGTCCCAAGGCTCGGTGTTCGTTGATGAGTCCACCATGTGGGGCCTGGCAGAGGAAGCCTTGCGGCTGATGGTCCGGCTAGCGATGTGCCTACGGAGGTCGGGAGATCCCTTGGGAGAGACCATTGAGCTTCCAGGAGTGCCGGGGTCGCTCTCTATGATTTCACTCTCCTCACCACTCATGTTGCCGAGTTCGGCAAGGAGGCTCTTGCCACCATCACCCTCGTACTGGCTGCCGTCGCTTCGGAAGCTTGCAGTGCTTATGAAGCTCTGCGAAGGAGACTTGGAACCGGCAGGAGCATTCTCGTTGATAGACTGGGCGGCGGAAGACACCACACGACGACCTCCGCGGTTGACCTTGAGGCGGTAGCGCGACTGCTCAGTTTTCTTGGGCGTCGTGATGTCCACATCACTCTGGTCAATCTCGTCTCCGGAGGTCGATGCCGTGCTCAAGTACGAGTTGCGGTGGACAGCGGCGCGAGATTGGTCCGCACGGTTAGGACGGCGACGACGAGCAGAGTTGGCGAGAGTTTCGATCTCGGTCTCAGTCATTTCATCAGTATCGTCGCCGTCAAGAGTCTCAGCGCCCGTCTGGAAGGCATCAGTCTCGGTAGACGTGTCGCGCTCGTTAGCAGTCTCAAAGACGTCCGAGCTCTCAGTAGCAGATTGGAACAAGTCGCTGTTCGAGTGTTGGGAGCGAGAGATCCGGCGGCCGAAGGGACTAAGACCGACGCCTCCAATTGATGCAACTGGTTTCTTGCTTGGCGTGTTCGGAACGTCGTGTTCGTCATTATCCTCCCACTCGCCATCGTCAACGATGATCTCATCTCTGGTGCCACGCGCCATGCCGAGTCTGTCGGGCCTGGGGGGAGGCTTCTTGAACAACTCTTGTTTCTCATTCGGCCTCCGCTTCTTGGCCGCGCTACCCGGAGCGCCTCCGGCCTCCCGGCGGGCAATGTCGAGCTCGTCTTTCGTGTCCTGCAGTACTCTTCGGAGCTCCATCTTCTCGGTCTTCTCGCGATGGATGTTGTTCTTAAGGTTTTGAATCATACGATGAGCGTGTTGCAGAGAGCTCTTGAGTGTCTCGGTTTCGAGCTGGCCATGACGAGGAGTGAATCTGCTTGGTGACGGGGGAGGAGACAAATCAGGGGTACCTCGTCCAGAGCCTGTATCATCCCCATCCAATCCCGAGTGACTTGAATTCGATTCTTCCGCTCTTTGACGGTACGCTACAGCCCGGACGAGCTCCTCGTTTTGCGACGTGAGCTCGTCGACCTTGCGCAGAAGCGCGCTGCGTTCTGCCTCCCCGGAGCTGACATTGCGACGCAAGCCAAGGATTTCAGCCTCATATTGTCTGAGAGTCGACTGGTATTCCTCGTTCAGCTTGCTGTGGGCATGCCTAAGCTCCTCAAGTTCGCGTTCCAGCGCAGCCTTTTCCGATTTGGATGTGTTGAGATTCCCGGTTAACCGGTGTTCCTTGTTCGACGCCTCCTTGAGTGTGGCCATGAGCTCCTGTATTCTGGTCTCCAGACTCCAGTTCTCATCCTTGTACCGCTGCTCGCTCTCGTCCAAAGCACGTAGTCGGTGCGTCAAACCTTCAACCTCAACTTCCAACTGTGACCGCTCGGAGCTGACGTTCCTGAGGAGCTCATCCTTTTCAGCCAAGGCAACCTGTAACTCCCTGACCTGGTTCAGCAGAGAGCTACTGATCTCGGTGGCAAGCTTGATGTCGTGTATGCGGGTCGGCTGCTGGTTGCGCTGCTTCCTTGAGGGCACGCTGAGTTTGGACGGAGAGGGCTGGGCCTCGCTAGCGAAGATGGAGTTGCCTTCAGAGTCGACGAACTGGTTGTTGTTGTTGGTGCTGCTGGGTGTACGCGATTTCGGAATGAAGGCCCTCGCAGTATCCTTGCCAACCTCGTTGAACTCGCGCTCCAGCTCTACGAGCTTCGCGCGCAGTTCCGGCCCGATTTCCGTCGCATCCTGCTGCCTTTCGACCTCCTTGAGCCGCTCGCCGAGCTCCTCCCTCTGTTGCACGAGCACGGTACCCAGCTGCGATGCATCCTGTAGCCTCCTTTCCGTTTCGGCCAAATGTGCCTCGAGAGCGCGCTTTGTCTGGGAAGGAGAGCTTTCCGAGTATATGGAGAAGAGCTGATTGTCGAAGCCGGCGTATCTCCTGCGGTTCGCGTCGGCCGAGTTGTGCGAGTTCTGCGAGTGGGCGGGTGAGGCAACGAAAGGATCGGCGTCAGTATTGTCAGTGTCGGTCGCGACCACTTTGGGCGGGTCGGCCGCCGAGTTGACCATGGTGGGTGTCGAGTGCAGGCGGGGGATCGAGCGGGGTCGCTATGTGGTGGTATGCCCCCCCGGTGAGGTTGCGCGGGCTGCCGAAGGAAACAGGGATCCTGGGGGATTCGGCGGGTTTTGAGGAGGTGAAGAATTAGGCAGAGCTAAAAGTCAAAAAAGGAGTGTATTGGAAAAAAGTAAAGTGATTAGAAGAGAAGTGAAGAGAAAGACGACGCCGCGTCGAGGTCCCCTATGCGCCCGGCGTCGTGGAGGTGACGGAGGGGAACGGGGAGGACGATGCGCTGTTAAAGGCGGGTCGGCGCCAGAGCAGGCCCCTATCTAGCGACAGGATGCCAGCATGAAAAGGCGAAGAGGGTTGGAGGGACTACTGCGCGTCGTGAAGCCGCGCAGTGGAGGGCAGATCGCGAGGAGAAGAAGGAGAGTCGGGAGGGGGGGCGAGAAGGGCCGCCCCGTGTTGTTATGGATGATCAGCCCTAGCCTGCCTGAGGCGGACTCGGCCAAGCCATTTCAATTGGTTGGCCGCACGTTTCTATCTAGATGATACCCATGACTATTCCATATTCTCTCGCGCCGCACGCTGCACAACTGCTGAAGGACCTTGAGCGTTGGACCGCTGGACCATGACGTTCCCGCCCTGCCGCCCGCCGCCGCCTTGCTTAGGTAGTCGTACCTAGTCGTACCTAGTCGTACCTAGTCGTCGACCTCCCGCCCGCCCGCCAGTGCAATTACCGCCGATCCCAATGACCTCCGCGCCCGCCTTCCCAAGTTCCCCTGATGCCCCTCAATGCCGTGCAATTAAAAGCCCCAAACCACCGGGCGCGCTGTCCGCAAACATCCAATACCGTGTCAGGGGATTAGGGCGACCTGGCGCGTCTCGCGCACGCGGTCCACGTCCTTTCCGAAGTAGCGCTGGGACCGGAAACTGAAAACATCAGCTGCATTCTTCCGCCTCCCCGGCAACGCTCCAGCCTCGGCGTTAGCTCACCTCCACCGGACATTAGCCTTGAGCACGTCCAGACACGCCCCAAGGTACTGCTGCACCTGCACATCCACCCGCTCGCCCCACGACGGCACCGCCGCCTGCGCCAGGTACCACTGCCGGTAACACCGGTGCAGCTGCTCGTCCGCCTTGTCGTAGCTTGCCTGTTGCGACAGTCCTAGCCGCCGCCGGAAGATGGATATCAGGTTCTGTCCGTGTCCCACGCTCTAATGCCAAGTCAGTGCACGCTCTCTGCTCGTGTACCACTGACCTACATGTTCGCGGTGGTACGAGAGAATGTCGTTCTGCCTGCGTGGTGCTACGTCAGCGCCTAATCCGACCACGTTCGCTGGCTTGCGCGCCACTTACAGGGTGAGCATCTCCGCCACGAGGCGCTCGATCTCCTGAATCGCTTCGTTCTCAAACACTTCCCGCGGCAGCCTCAACCCGTAGGCGTACCTTTTCCACGTATCAGCATCTGCGCCTTGCCTTGGGCCGTTGGGTTTTGTTTCACTCACTCCTCCAGCGCAAGCAGAGGGTAAAGCCCAATGTTTTGGGCGCGCACTTGGAGGTAACGGCGGATGTTTTCCATGACTACCATGTCCTCAAACTCCTCGTCATGCAGCTTAGCCACGCTGCGGCAGAAGTGGGCGTTGGCTTCGCTGTATCGCCGCCTCGCGCCTGCGCAACCGGTCAGTCTGATTTTCTTGCCAGGTGTTGTCGGGCTGCATACCGTCACCGGTTGCGCTGCGAATTTTTTGCCAGATGTCCTTGAACAACTGCTGCAGAGGACTACGGTCGCTATCGGAAGGGCTGCTCTCGTGTTCATCGAGGATGGATACCATGCCGCTGACTTCGGCCAGGCCCTTTTCACGGTTGATGCCCAGCTCGCCTTCATCGAATTCTATCAACGTCAGTGCATGTCTCACACCTCAAAGCCTGTGCCACGCACGATCATCGAACTCAAACACCTGACAAAGAGGTCAGTGTGTTGTTCCCTTTCAACGTCAGCTTCAGTGTTTCTTACCCAGTAAATCCAATCACACACAGTACGCAGTCTTTCTTTGCTGGCGTCCGGGCATATGATAGCGCTGAAATAGCAGAAATCAGCTGCACAACGCTTCTTCTTCTCTTGCTCGTTCAGGTCCTTCCATAGGTGCTGCTTCATCCACTCCTCGGATTCCTTCTTTACCTCTTCATAATATGGATTTATCTTGGGCTCGAGTGCAATAAATTTAACGAATAAGTCCGGTAGAGTTGCCGTAAACGGGAAGTTATCCTCGTTCTCGCAATGATCTGGGGTGGGTGGGCCCACAGATAGGGATTGACTGACTTCCATGTCGTCTACTTTTCGGCAGCCCGGAGGGGAGAGAGGCGGCACAGGAGAATTAAAGGTAGGAGGGGCAGAGTCGGGAGGAAGAATGAAGACGTGCAGTGATGAACGTCTGGTATATCTGGAACCCATTCTGTCGGCTAAGTAATTTTCCCTTTGTTGGCTTTCTGCTAACAAACTCATGCTCTTCGCCTCTAGCCAGCTTAAATACTACATAAGAATCATCCTACTTGCCAAGTGACTTGTCAGATGTTACTCCAGCCTTATGATTCCACTCGGTATCCTCCTTCTCAACATGAGGGCTTGGCTGTTTACAGTGGTGTTGTTCGGTAGACTAACGGCTGGTCCGAAGTAGCACGCCCTGCTTTACCAACAAAAAGAGTACCTTGTGGCTAAACCACTAGCCACAAACGGGGTTCGAGTAACTGTGCGACGGTGATCGGAGGATCGGCCGTCATCGGACCCACGGCAACCATGCCGCGTGGGCGCGGAGTCGGCCGCGATATCCAACTCACATTCCCATGGCAGCGAAAAGGGCAATTTAGCCGTAACTCAAACGGCAGCCCTCCTGCTTCGCATGAAGCATGACGGGGGCAGTGGCAAAAACCGAATAATCTGACCCGAGTCCAGAACGCGTCGAGAACAGATGGGCAGGGCAGGCGGAGAAGGCGTCCAGCTGCTTGGATGGTCGAACTGCCTCCCCCCATCCCCTCCTCCGCGGGCATGACCCGGGATGGAGCAAAGCTGTGCTCGCGCACGATACGGGGCGCCGTATGACGAGAGGCTGCCTGTGATGTCAAGCTCCGGGTCAGGTAACGCGAAATAGGGACGATAAGCCGGCGGCGGGCGGTGGCCTAGAAAGGGTTTATGCGATGCTGGTCTTGGTGTTGACGATGATGATGATGATGCGAGATCCAATAGAGTCGCTGCGAATAGGCGAAAATAGCGGTGGGCAGGCCTGCCGGAATGGACCTCTTTGGGGCGCTTGTCCTTGGGCTTGCTGCGTAAGCATTTGCGACGCTGGCCTTGGTGTGGTCAGGACTTTTGCCCGTCTCCCCTGCTTTATTTGTCGCGCTCGGCCACGACTTGTTTGTCCCGCGCCTCATGGCCCGTAAGAAACCCTGGCTTGGCACTGTTGGACAGTGACTCGTTATGACTAAACGATCTATCATCTCGTCTTATGCCCGCTTGTGGTCTTTGTAATTACGCTAGGAATCCATACTACGCGTCGTAATAATCTATCATGACTTGGTTATGATATCAGCTGTTATTGATTTCTGTAGGATTCATTAATTTGGCAATATTATGAACAATTTATGGTCTACAGACTTGTCTAATTAAAAATTGAACTTCATAAAAAGTTTGTGGAGATTCCCAATATTTACAACTAATAACTCTCCGCGGAGTGTGTAGCCTCTCTAGTACATCTGGCCTGGAAATTTCATTGATGTGCGCCGTCTTTGTTTTCTTGATGAAGCTATACTTTTCGGAATTGCCTTGGCTGGCCTTTCCAGCATCTAAACTCTTCAGGCAAGGCGCAAAGAACAGCTCGCCGGTAAGGGCCATCTGAACCTTCCTCACTGCGACCAAGATCCACAGAAGCGTGGAGGCAACGGAAAAGACTGTGCCAGGGACGAGGAAGAACCTTGAAGGTAGCTCCATGCCAATGGTAATAGTGGACACACCAAAGACTCCCAGTGGGAAAGTGAATCCCCATCGTCCCGTCTCCGAGATTGTGCGTCCGGGCAAATGTTCCGTGCGCAATTTTCCCAAGTTGCATGAGGCCGAATCCTCCCTGGCCGAGCGGACCGAGTGGAAGGAACACTTAGACAATGACCTCTCGTGGAGGTAGCTTATGGATGGTCATATTGGCGAGTGCTGAATATGATATTTAGCATTATTTCGTTGCAAGCGCTGCCTTTTGTATCCATGGCTCTTATGGATAGTAACGTTCAAGTCAGGCTGCCCCCCGATATATAGACTTCTTGACCGGGATTCGACAAAGGACTGTAAGGGCCTAACCCGTGGCGTATCGGCTGGCTCGGGAAGGATCATGGATTTCCAATTACAGTTAGCTACATCTGCTTGCGGAGTTAGCGTTTCCGAGGCTCTGATATCAGAACGCTCGGACTATTGATGGACGAAAATAGACCTTGCGAGAAAGAGCCATCCTCCCATCCACCGCATCTCCAAAACCCACCGCCATGTTTATAATCAGTCCAAGGGGCGCGGCCCGGAGCGGCCGGCGCAGAGAATTATCGAGCCTCGTTCGCGTGCCAAGGACCGGTAAAGAGGATCAAGGTCGGTGGTGTTGTTCCCTCCGTCCATCTGCTATTAACCATGCGTAGTGCGATGGCTCTCTACCCTGCCTGCGATGCTTGCAGGACGGTGTTATGTGCATCGCGTCTGGCTTCGGCACCAGTGTTCTGAAGCGGAACTGCAACTTCTATAACTGTATGCTGAAATCCTCTTATCCGAATTCTCGTTACTAATGAGTATCTTCTAGAGGCCGACTTAGTAGTGCACGTAGGCAACAAGCGTTTGAAGCACCTACTGGTATGGAGAACATCGCTATCCATGGTAAAGCTCCATCATCTGGACAAACAATACTATTAGATGCTAGGTGAATCTGCCTCCATAACACAGAGCTCAGGATATGAGTCTCCTTGTCCAGATGTTCGGTGCGGACAGCTCCGTGAGGAGACTGAAAGTCTCCTGGATATTCATCGATGTCCATAGGTCCTAAATCTTCCTTGCAAGATTAGATCTCAATTCCTTTGCCTGCGCGGTGCTCACTGATTTCCGGTGGATCCATTTATTTGTTATACGAGAAGCTTGTAGTGCGTATATGATTAGAGGGTTCATATACCTGGGTTCGGAACCAAGATTTCTTTCAAAAGCCGCGGAAAATCAGCGTTCCGACTTTGGTATACAGCTAACCCTGGTTACAACATTTGAAATGGTCAGTAAGTTCCGATTCTCACAAAGGCATTCATCGGTATATCAGGGTAGAGGTTGCGTAGCATTTCGCGCATCTTTCCCGCTAACGAGAGAACCGCTGAGAACAGTCAACGCTAATCTTGACAGTCGGAAGCTGCTGGCCACCCCAAACGGTGTAATCAGTCTTTATTTAATGTTCACAGCCCTATTAATAACCCCGGGTCCCCTGTTTAGCGCCGGTAAGTTAGGGAACGCTATTCAGCCATATGGGGCACTGGAGAACAGAACGTATCTTATAGTCATTGCCGCCTTATTCTTCTCCATCCACGCAGCTGCAAACAAAATAACTTGGCAAGACACCGCAAAAGCAAAATTGGAGGCTTTGCTAGAAGCAATACTCGACTGCCTGACGTCACTGACTTCATACGAAAACGTCTCAGTCCGGCCGAGGGCCCGAGCTCGACATAACCGATTCTCCCGCAGACACTATTCTTAAAATTCACTCCGGAGACTGGCCAGCTACGGAGGTCATACAGGCCTTTTGTCACCGTGCACCACTTACGCATCATCGGTTCGTTATTCTGTTTCTTACAAAACTAAATCAGTGATTGATATCGCCTTGTCTAGACGAACTGTCTCTGCGAGATCTTCTTCAACGCTGCTCTTAAAATGGCAAGAGAGATGGACCGCTATTACGAAGCCATAGGGAAGACCTTTGGTCCTTTACACGGATTGTCTGTCAGCCTTAAAGATCGTTTCAATATCGAGGGTATTAACGGTGCCTACGGGTATATCAGCCGTCTCGGATGCGCTGCCTCAATACGATCTGGATTCACTTCCGTCCACTCTTGTGACTGCTCGCCAACCTTCCCTTCTGTGCCGCTTTAAGAGAAAAACAGAACTTGAGTTGCACTACTAGTTGTGGCCATAAGCGCCCCTAAAGACGCACCCCACCATCCGCCACCGACACAACGTGCCCTCGTTGGACTCAGTGTCATCTCTACGGACAGCGACCTGCCTCCCCAAGGAACAGAAAATCCAAACGAGGCCATGGCACCGCAACCAACCGAGAGCCAAGTGGAGCGTTCATCGCTCGAAGAAGCACAAAAGCGCCAAAGCAAGGAAGAAGACACAGGAGCCGAGGACAATTGCGAAGCAGAACGAGACGAAGTCTCGCACCTTGATGAAGCTGCTGCCCCATCTTCCATCGAGAGAGACCCGCCATACGGAGGATCTCGAAGAAGCCCGCGTGCAGGAGGTATATGCCGAGCCAGCATCAAAAGCCCAAGCCGTCAGCCACCTCGACCGTAAAACAAACACGAGCCAACTTCTTCACGCCATCCTGTCTCGTCGTCTTCTCCATCCTCGGGACGCTGGCTCGCCTCAGGCTGCAGGCCATGACGAACTACGCGGGCGGCGACCCCGCTCGGAGAAATTTGGCCTTGTGGGATGTGTGCAGGGTGGACTCTGTGGTTGCTTGACGACGGGGAGTGAGTACGTGGGTGTTGGAGCTGCAGACGTTAGGTAAGGAGAGGGCGTGCGTATGTTTGTGGTGGGTTTTTTGTTGCTGTTGGTTTGGGTGGGGATTGTTGTTGTTATGGGTAGGTTGAGGCGGACTGTGGGGTTTGGGACGCCGGCGTGTAAGATTTGAGGATTTGTGTTGACAAGGACGCCTGGGATTCAGGTGGTTACCTGTTTCAAGCCCGACTGCGATCAGCAACAGATGGTTCTGTTTTCTATCCATAACTGTGGAAACAAACACTTAGCACGTCGCCGTAAGCCTGTTAAACACTGCTTCCACTTCCCAAATATACGCAGCGCAGCGCATCGACCATATTCCCCAGAGCGCCAAAACGTCTAGACCGGCAAAGAAGCACGTTTGCACCGTACTCCTTCTCTAACGCACACCAGACCAAGAACCCAGAAGAAACCCACCCTTCCCACCACACCCACACAGCACTCCACCGTCGCTACTCCACACTCCCCCGGCGCCTTCTACCCCTCTTCAACCCCCCCAAAGCAAGCGCAGCAGCCTGGTCCGTCTGCCGCTGCAACTCACGCACGCGCCGGCTCTCCTCCTCCTCCAGCGCCCTCACCCGCCTCTCCTCCTCCGCATCCCCCGCGCGCTGGTCCGCACAAACGGCGTTTTCCTGGCGCGCGTGCTCGTCGACACTGCCTCTTCGCTGCTCGAGAGTGGCGATGACGGAGTCGACGATTTTGCTGAACACGCCGCTGTCCGGTGCTGGCATTATGGACGGCCGCAAAGTGGCGTACGTTGGGTGGGTGGGTGAGGCGTGAGGTAAAGATGCGCGAGCGAGGGTTAGAGCTGCTGCAAACTGATGGGAATCCGCGGTCGCTGCTTTTGCTACGTTTGCTAGGTAGGTATGCGGTTGCTGGGGCGAGGCGCGGCTGCCGTGATGTTGGTGCTTGCTGGCTGTCGCGTAAGCTGATCGCCGCTGCCTTTGTGCTTGGGGTTTCCAGGGAGCAGATGACCGGGACCGGGGAGCGGCCACATGACGCGGGCAGGAGATCAGTAATAGGAGTGCACATGTCGCGATTTTCATGCTTGGGATTCGGGACCGTGTCATCTGATACTAGGAAGAGAACAGGTTCACAAGTAGTGGCTATTTAACTGGATATGACCGGGCATCACTGCCTGAAAGGGACCGAGTTTGGGGATTCATTGCTTGGTTAGATAATGATGCTTGTAGGGAATGGACATATGTGACATATGTGCGTTCTAAGACCTCCTCACTCATGTCCAATGTTCAGACCCGTAGCTAGACAAGGACTTTTCCACAGGGACCATCTGTATCCTTACCAGTTTCGCGGGAAAGTGAATCCCTTTCGGACACCGTCACCAGCAAGTAAAAACCCGGCAAACAGCCACCACCAAAAAGGCATCCATCGCGCAGCGAACGCCTTTCCCACGGACCCAAGACGCAGCCATACACCCCGACCTCCCCAGCAACCTCGTTACCTCACTCACCCAACCTCACTCAACTGCGCACGAACAACAGCACACCTTCCACGACGTCGTGTGCAACCGCCTGCGCGCGCAGCATCTTCATCACTTGCGTTGTGCGGCCAGGAGCCCGCTCTTGCCGGCTTTGCTTTGGCGCGCGCGAGTAGGGTGGCTGGGCCGTGCCGACTGTCGCGCTCATTGGGGCCACGGTATTGACGCGGCGGGTGGGTAGATGCTGTTGAGGAGGGAGATGGGATGAGGGCGGATGCTGATTGTGAGGCTAGCCGGTCATGGTGGCGTGGTCGGTCGGTTGTTGGGTGGTGGGTGGGAGGGAGTGTTATTGCTGTTGCTGTTGTTTGAGAGCGTGAGGGGTAAGTAGGTAGGTAGGTAAGTAAGTAAGTGAATACCAGTCCAGTTCAGCCCAGCAGCTCGGCTCAGCTCAAACCAGCTCAAATCAATTCTCCTCCTTTCCCTCCTTTTCCTCCTCACACTCCAACCGCCGAAGCAGCCAGGTAAACCAGCCCAGCTGCAGTGAGACCAGCGCAATCGCTATGTGCACAAACAGCGCCAGTGCCCGGCGAAGCAGCACGCCCAGCGTGGGAAGCAGAGGCACGCGTCCACGCCCGCCGCCGCTGCCTCGCCGTCGCTGTATCGCCGCTGCCACCGCCGCCCACAGCCCCGTCCCATTGACCGTGTACGCGAACGAGAAGAGTCGGCCTACCGTGTGCGTCGGGGCTGCACGCTGCGGCTGCAACGCCCTGTTGTCAGGGGCATCGCTGCCGCGGTTGTGTCTCCCGTCCGTTCTTCCCGCTGGCACTGCCTGAGGCGACGACGACGACGACGACGACGATGATGATGATGATGTCGACGACCCCACCTCCACGCCCTCGAGCTCACAGTCGCGGCTCCAGTTCAGCCGATCCAGCGGGCCCGTCCGCCACGACAACCGCCGCGACAACTGCCGCGCGATGCCGGGCTCCACGATGCCCTCGCTCTGTAGGCGGCGCTTGGTGAGGCGCTCGCGGATGCGGCGGAGCAGTGGCTTGAGGCGCTGGACCTGGCGCATGGTCTGCATGAAGCGGCGGAGCTCCTCCTCGGGGGCGTGGAGGCCGATGAACTCGGTGCGCCGCACGTGCGTCAGGTATTGCATGTGGGTGGCGAGGTCGGCGAGGATGGATTCGTTGGGCAGTTTGGCGAAGTGTAGCTTGAGCTCGATATAAATTGTTTCTTCTTTCGGCGGGGAGAGAAGCAGCGTGCTGGCGCTGGTTGGCATGGAGGGTATGCTGCTACTGCTTGCTGGGACTGGGGCGGGGAAGGGCCGCAGCCAGATCCGCCCGTAGTTTTTGGACGATTGGTCGAAGAGGAAGGGTTTTATTTTATCGGGCTGTGCGAAGTAGAGGTCTCGGTAGAGCGCCGAGGTCGTGAAGCCCCGGTAGTTGTATATTTTGAGCAGAGACGTCAGGGACTCGCTGAGGGATTTGGTGAAGGAGCCTGCAAACCGCGGGCCCATTGCTAGCTGATCTGGCGGTGCAGACGATAGCAGCTCAAACTTCCGTAGGTCAATCTCTGCCGGTGAGAAGGCCCGCGCTGAGTAGCAGCAGTCTATGATCAGGAGCGTATCGAAATTGGTCTCGAGGCAGAACCTGTAGATATCGTGCAGGCCAAAGTACGCGGGAGCACTGCCGCCAGTGTCATTTTTGCTGCGGCCCATGAAAACGAGGCCGTCGCGCTTTCCCTCTACCTTGTCGCCGTGTCCGCCGTAGTAGATGATGTTTAACCTGTTTTGGTTGCGGGAGTCGCGAGACCAGCTTATCAATTTACTCAAAACAATCTCTCTGACTGAAGGCGCCGACGGGATCTTGAAAATTTCGGTGGAGTAATGGAACTGTTCCCTAAAAACTCCCTCGAGTTCTTCAACCTGACAAATTTTAGTCAGACAATGTTGCAAATAGAGCTCCTCGAGGGGATGTACTTCTTTTTGGCATGACAAGTCGTCAGCCTCCCAATACATCAAGAGGACATTAACCTGCGCGTAGCCGGTATGCCCATCCTCATAGCCACCGTCAATCGACTTGTTAAACGCGATGCGGGCATCGTTCCGTCGCGCATCCAGAGGCCTGTGGAATGGAGCCGGCGGGGCATCCAAATGGAAATCGACTTCGAGGGGCGCCATCTAATCCGACGAGAAGAAAAGAAAGAGTGTGTAGAGGAAAGAGAAAGAAAGAAGACAAGAAGAAATAGACGAGTGAGCCATCTAAATTTTCAGGCTTCGAGCGCTGTGGTGTCAGCCTTTTGAGGCAGAAGTCCGCCCAATGTCGAAGAAGGTGCCTGCCGCTCGAGGCGCAGCGCGCGCCGACACGTTCTAAATGCAGCCTGCCGTCGCGCGACAGACGGCTCTGGGGTGGGCAGTGCATGTGGGGGCCAGGGCCAGCGAGGCTGAAGGGCATGGCAAGCAGCCCCGTTGCCTGCAAGCGAGTGAGCAGTTCATACCTACTACATAAGCCAGTCGGTCTACGCGGAATTGGGAGTCATGCGCCAGGAAGCTCAGTCGTGCCGCCGCGCAGATTCCCGGCGTCACGGGCACAGGCACGGCACGGCATCCCGCCCGCCTGGGCTGTTGGCGGATGCTCTAGCACTCTAGGCACATACATAGGCCTGGCACCACAGCTTCCAGCGGAGCACGGCGGCCTTTTTTTCTGGCATCCCGGATACCGTTTCCCCAGGTGTCCCGCGTGTGGCTGCGCGCGATCATGCTTTCCTCCCCCAGGCTTGGCGGGCAGGCTTCTTTCGCGCTGGCGGGGAACTCTATCTCGGGGGCGGGGGCTTGCGCTTGCACTTTTCCGCTTTTCCTCCCGGACGATTATAGCAACCGGAGAAACATTGGCCCTGGATATACGAGTACGAGCGTGGGGTAAGACAGGTGCCCCCTCCGCCGACCCGGCATCGGTACCTAGGTACCTATCTACGTAGTGACGCGCCCGAACTCTCCCCACATTCACACCCACCATACGCACCACCATGGCAAGCTACGCCAGCCCGCACGTCTCGCAGACGCAATTCGCACTGACGCAGGCGTCGACGCCGCCGCCACCACCACCAAAGCCCTCCGGCCACTCCAGCGGGCGCGGCACGCCGCAGACAGGCCCGCCGCTGCCGCCGACGCCCACGCAAGTCGCGCACGCGCAGCAGACGGCACAAACAGGCAGCGAGGCAGCGGGCGGTGCGGTCCCAGCGCCGGTTGCGTCGCCTGTCGAGCCGCCGGAGGAGGGCTGGCTGCCTGCTGGGCTGAAGGACAAGACGTGCGTGACTCTGCTGCTCGCACCCGCACCCACACTCACTCACTTACTGAACGACACGACTGACACGCACACCAGCACGGCCGAGCTCGCCGAAATCCTCGAGAGCCCCGACCTCCAACGCGCGCTGATCTACGCGCCCACAACCGCGCACGCCTCACTCACCACATCAACCCTCCCGCTCAGCACGCTGCTCGCGCAAAACCTCGCATTGGCCGACTCGCTCCGCAGCAGCGAAGCGCACCTTTCGCACACACGGCAAGGCGTGCAGTCGCGGCTGCTTAGCCTCCGCGCACTCGAGGCGCAGTGGCGCGCCAAGCAAGCAGAGCAGGACGCCGCGCTCGCCGCGTTCGGGCCCCCCGCCCTGTACCAGCGGCTTAGTTCCGCCATTGCAGAGCAGGAGGCGCTGTGTCGCGGGCTCGAGGAGAGTTTTCTCGAGGGCGAGGAGGGGGGCGTCGCGGGGGAGAGGGAGGTGGTTGAGTTTGTGCGACGCATTAGGGAGGCCAGGAAGGTGGCGTATTTGAGGAGGGAGAGGAAGGAACGCTGGGATGAGGGGAGGGTGGGCGGGTGGCGATAGGGGTGGTGTCGGGGGTGGAGCGGGGGAAGCGGAGGGACGCTCGTGTGGTTTACTGGTGGCTGTGTAGATGCCGGATGGCGTGGCTGTTGGGCGGCAGGATAATGCTTTTAATGCTCATGCTCTCTTTGTTCTTCTACCAAATAGAATTATACCCAGTCAAAGAGTGAGCCCTGAATGGGCTGATTAAACACTGATCCCGGCTACCAGCTACGAGGATAGAGGTCTCGGAAATGGCTTTTTCGTTTGGCATGTCTTCAATAATTTTAAGGTAGCAACAAGACTCGAGATCGACGCATAAGTCACCAGTTAAATCACCACACAAGAAAATCACAAACAAACAACACCCAGTTAAGGGTCTCTGAACAACAATAGTAGCGCACAATCAACATTATCCATTAGTTGATCTATTCAATTCCAGCCGTAACTTCATAGGTATGAATGTCATAAAAAGACCGGACGCTAGTGGTATCCAGCACAGAGTAATAAAGACAATAAACGCCGCGTTAAGCCATGCATGCAATGCTGCTCCAGAATGATCATCGACAGACAGCGGCGGCGAAGGCCTGGGGTAATAGGTAGGTAAGGATGGGTGTATGCCTAGGCAGGGGTTAGGGCCTTGCGGCCACCAAACCAGTCCCGGACGCGGATCTCTCTCGAGAGAGCTGGAAAAAAACATTAAGGAGAGATGCCAAGGCGCGGTCGGACGTCTCGTCTCAGGCAACAAAGCAAACAACAAAGACTTTTCGATCTTCCGTTCGTTTCGTTTCGGTTCTTTCGTTTCTTTCATGGTTCTTTCTTTAAAGGCGCGCGACGGTGGAGTTGCTGAAGCCGCCGCCGGTGCACGAGTTGCAGCGCTGGCAGAGGAACGACGTGGCCGTAGAGCCGTAGTCGACGCCGTTGACGTCGAGCAGGTTGGCGCCCTCGGGGTTCTCGACAAACAGGTCGCCGTGCGTCGTGCATGACTCGGCCGTGTTGGTGACGCGGCAGAGGGCGCCTGCGTCTGGGGCGAAGGTGCCGAGGTTGTGGTAGCTGTGGCGGAGAAGGGTTAGTGACGTGGTTCTCGTTTGAAGGGAGTTGATTGGTAGCAATGGTGCTGTGCGTAGGTATGTACGTACAATGGTGCAAGGTCGCCCGTCAGCGTGTGGCATTGCTCCCAGTCGTCAAAGGTCCGCGTCAGGCAGTCGCCCGTGTGGTCGGGGCCGGTGCAAAGTGTCACCTGCGAGGCATGCATGTTAGTGGGCGGCGTGACACAAAAGACCTGCGCGCAGGACGAGGAATGCGGGCACTTACGCTGCCGGGGGTGCGCTTGGTGAAGGGTGCAGGCGCAGCGACGGTCATGGCGACCAGCGGGAGAATGGCGGCGGCAATGGTGGAGAAGTACATTGTGATTACGGATTAAACGTAGACGGTATGGATGACGATAAGAAGAGTGAGAAAAAGTTGTAGTTGTGAGAGTGTTTGTTTGTGTGGAAGAGTTAATGTCTGATGTTGACAGGCGACGGCAGAGAGGTTGGCGGCGGCCAACTTTATAGGCAAAGACCGGGCAGGCACAGCACAACCAGGGTCCAGGAGCAGGGGCAACGCTGTAGGCCGCGACGACAACGATGCAGCACGCGCAGCGCTCGAGCCGGCCCAAACGCTGTGGAGATGGTGGCAGGGCGCACCAAAAACACGGCCATAGGATAGGGTGACATGAATTGGAGCCCTAAGGCGCCTCACCGATGATATCAGTGTCGCGATGAATCCTCTTTGGGTGCCGGTGGTGCCGCTTTCGAGAAGCTTGCAAGCTTGTGGGGTGAGGAGGCTGGGCGCTGGGCGCGCTGGGCGTTTCTGGGCACGACAAGGTTTCCATCTCTCCCCGCCAGGCCCGCCCCGACGCCCAGGGCTTTTGCTTCCCTTATCGCTGTGCACGCCTCTTCTCCGCATCGCCCAAGCTCCATCGTATCGACCAAACAATCCCAGACGGGGAAAGAAAGCTGGTGGCAGACATGCGACAAAAAAAAACGGCCCTTCCGCCGCCTCCCCAGACCTATGGCACATACTCGGCTACTCCGTCATAGCGATAAAAAATACCTACAGTACTAAACTCAGGGCCGCACTAGAGCGCAACACGCTACGCGGTCCCTCAAGGCTGGAAGGAACGGCTCCCTTCGAAATCTGCGCGCCGATCACAGCAGCCCGCCCGGTTCCTTGCAGTCACACAACGAAAAAATGCGGGCAGATACGCAAACCCGCTGCTCTGTTTTTAGAAACATGCACACCAGGCAGGTCGGCGTCGCTCGCGGCTCGCCAGGGTTGCTGCTAGCAAGCAAGCTACCACTACAACCTACAAGCCTAGCGTCCTCAGACCGCGGCTGTGTGCCGGTGCTGTGTCGCAGTGTGAGAGGGCCACTCGGCACGGGCGTCCGTTCGCCGTCGCCGTCGCCGTCGGACAGACAGAGCTAATCGCACCTAGCTACGGACAGACTGTCGCTTTGTTTGCTGGCGTCGTTTGGCGTCCTTGCTGCTGACGTTGCGCGCGCGCCGAAACTCTGTTGGGACAGCATAGGCAGGTCCATCACATTGCGCGGTGACGAAAATGCGACCAGCGAACAAGCGCGCTCCCGTTTGTCGTGTGTGTATGTGTGCGCACCTGTTTGCGTCTTCTTCTGCTCCGTTCTGCTCGCTTCTGTTCCACGCGAACAAGCTACATGCGCTCGTGTATGCGGTGCGCGGCGAACGGCCAGACAGACGAGAGACACAAGACTCAACTCCGACGCACGCAAGACGCAAGGCAGGCCTTCCACGCGCGGGTCTTGCGCTGGGTCTGGCCGCGCTGCCCGGTCTGCCCGGCCTGCCCGCCCGCCCGCTCTGTCGGGCCCGTCGCCGTCGGCGCGGATCATGATCGTGATCGTGATTGATCATGGGTGCGTGGCTGTGCAGCTGCTGGTGCTTGCTGCCAACTGCCAAGGTGCCCCGGTTTGACGTCAGGCGATCATGGCCAAGGCGCCCCGGCCTTGCACCACTTGGGCTGCCGGCTACGAGTATGATGCTAAGCGTTTTGCGCCCCGCAAGATAGAGTGTTTAACTCTGTGGCTGTGGACATGGTTGTTTGAGGTTGGGCTTTGGGCTCTTGCGTTGATGACACTTGAGTGCTGCTGGCTACGTAGCTGAGTACTTCTGATGACATCCTGAGCTTGCGCAATCATACTCGCAACCGCCTTGGAATCGGGAAGCTAATTGCGTGTAAACAAACTGATCGGTGTGCTAACTAGGATGCGAGTTTGGTTCGTGGTTCTTCTGCAGGTACACAGCTTCGTGGCGGCGCGGCGCGACCCTGAATCGGTTCTACATGTGCTCCTATACTTGCTTACTTTTCACGACAGTCACCGACCTGGACCTCAGCTCGAGATGTTTACACGGACTCATATTATATTTGGTATACATGTCTCCACCGTCTAGTCTCTTTGTTCCATGAGGGAAGATTCTACGTATGTACTCCAGTCAAACGCCAACGCTAAATCATGACAGCATCCATCGTGAAATCTAGACACAAAAACACATTGCGCACAGCCTTAGAGTTGAGGGCTGTACTTGCTCAGTTTCCGGATCCGAGCGCCGTAAAAGTAAAACAGAATGGGGACGGGGAACATTGCGACGTTGATGAAAGCCAGCAAGCTGGTTGCCCACGCGACGCCGAGCGTGTGATACATGGCCACGGCGAAAAGCGGGAACCCCGCGCCGGCCCAGCTGCGCAGGAACGTGTTTGCGGCAATGGCGCTGTTGGCGTTCATCAGGTACACGTCGATGATGTAATTCAGGCCCTGCAAGAAGATCATCATGATGCCCGCGCCGATCGGGATGCCCGCGATGACTTGCGGCACCCACGTGATGTGCGGGCTGCTCGTCCACGCGAACCAGAACATGCCTGCCGGGAACAGGAACCCTCCGATGATCATCGGAATCAGCCGCTCTTCCGGTATCACCTTCCCGTGCTTCTCCATCTTACGCTTGAACCGCGTCTTGGACGTGTAGGTGATGATCAGCGCCCCGATTACCACACCGATCGTGATGCTGATGAAGGGTAGAGCGCCCACGCCTTCGTTCCAGCCTCGTTGCTCTTGGAATGCGATTGGGTATGCTTCGAAAAACAAATAAAGCACCTGTTGCTTCCCGTTAGTAAGTTGTCACAGCTTTCCGGCTTCAAGATCCAACATACCCCGTAAACAACCGACATGTAAAGTGTGATAAGGAGAAGGATAGGCTCCAGGAATATCATGATGAACGGCCGCAGAAGATACTTGCGTACGATGCTCCTCATGTCTACCGGAGTCTCGTCCTTCTTCGAGTGCAGAGCCCAGTTTCCCGTCTCAAAGCGGAGCTTCCTGGCCCGGCGTTGCAGCAAAACGGGCGCAAACGTTTCCGGAATGAAGAGGAATCCAATGGCGCCGATTCCGAATCCCAGGATGGCTGTAATATACGCAGTCCACCGCCATCCTAGATGACTCATGGTAATAAAACCGCCGGCTATGGGTCCCGCAACTGGGCCTATAAATGTAGCGCCAGCGAAGACGCACACTGCAATACCGCGGTCAACGGGATTCCAGAAATCGGCCAATGCGCCACCGACAATGGCAAGCGGCGCGCAGCCAAAGAAGCCGCCAAAAAATCGGCACAACATAATCGTCTGGACGTTTTGGGCGACGGCGACCGGGATCTGGAAGATGGCAAAGATGAAGAATCCCGCGAATAGGGGATACTTTCTTCCGTAAAGCTCACTGAAAGGTCCCCAGATTATTGGACCGAATGCAAAGCCCTATTGCGCAACGTTAGCTACTATGGTCCAGCATCGGTATTGACGGAGAAGCTGTTTACCAAAACGAAAAGACTCGTTCCGAGAGTCATGACCTCGGTGGAAACATTGAACTTTTGGGCGGCCACCATTGTCGCGGTACTGAAGACGCTGGATGCGAAGGTGATGGTGAAAGTCACCATACCCATAAGAATTGTAATCATCCATTTGTACTTCGTTGACCAGTTCATGGGATTTTCCTGGGGAGCAAGTCAGAAATCATTCAGCCAAGACATCCCAGCTTTTACGACGTACCGGATCGTCTGGCCCGTCCCATTCCACCAAGTTTGGATCTTTCTCTTGCTTCTCGGGTTGTTGTGGCTCTTCCCTCGTCTTCTGCCTCTCAATATCATCCACATCGCTACTGCTCCCAACCATCGGGGGCTGCCGCGTTTTTTGCACGCCGCGCTTTTCCTCCTCTCGTTTCTCGTCGATGCTAGGGCGATCGATTGTGCTAGCAGAGTCGATTGATCCACGTTCTTCCGCTAGAGCGACGGAGTTGGAGTCGGGACGAGGGTCCGCATTGGCAGAGGCATGAGCTCCGGTTGCTTCCAGGGTGTTCTCGGTAACGTCAAGACTGGCACGGCCGGTTGCGCCATCGCGGGTTCGTGTGGCCATGGCGTCGAAGCTCTCAAAGCACAGGGCTCGAGATATGACGGCTCGGCTCGCGCTGTGGCTGAATCTTGTATGGGGCTTTGGGCGAACCGGAAACGGTCCAGCTCTTTGTCCACTCTGATGTCTTCTAGGGACGTTTCTTCTTGGCGTGGAAGTGGCTTCTGCACCGCGAAAACGATGGATTTAAGAAAGCATAAAGACTTGCCCTGAAGATTTTGCAAGCGGCCCAACACCACTCATAAGATGTGGGCGGATTATGAATTCGGATGACGCCATGGGCCGAATAGCGATTGCAATCGGAAATAGGCTACTCGGACTGTTGCTAAAGCCGAGATATAAACTCACCGACTTGAGTTGGCCCAATCAAAGACGCGTGTCGTTGAAGGATCCTGGCCTAGGCTGGGATCGGCATCAGCGCGTGGAGCTGAGGATGCGGGCAGACAGCCTCATCCACTTAAAGCCGAGCACCTCGTGCGAGGGCGCTCGGGATAAGCTGTAGGGCTGTCATGGCTTGAAAAAGACATCGGATATATCGGTGTAGGTGATGAGATGACGCAGGAGTAGGTGTGGTGTGTTGAAACTTTTCGACACGGGTAGACGTGGAACCTCGGGTCGGTCGTCGGTGTTAATGCGCGCGAACTGTCGGTCGGGGCGTTCGGTTACAATGGATCTCCGTCGGGTCTCGGAACGCCTGTAGTGGCCTTCTTAGGTGTTCTTCCCCACCAACCACCAGTCTAGTCCCCGAGCCGCAACTCTGAGACATATCTCTAGGCTGTCTGATCTTACTCTGCAGCATCCCTCCGGCTCTTGTCTGTTCTCGAGATGTCGTTCAACAGGTCCCTGAAAGTGACTGATGACGCCAGCACCCTCTTCTTAAAAATTGTTCAGCCACCACGCCGTCGTGCCTGGAGCGAAGCAAGGGAGGCTCGTCCCTGACATCCCGCGTACCTTTTTTCTTCGAGGAGTATGGCCCATGGTTCAATACCGGCAGCGTTGCTTATTCCGGCGTATCTGATCTCATCAGGGCTCCACTTCGAGACGAATGAAACAGAGCCTTACCCGCCGTCCTGGTCACGCGTTACTAAAAAGTAGTGTTCCGGTCTTGCCAGCCTGTCAACATCAATATCAGCGATAAAAGACGACAAGATTGGTTCTCCGCGTGGACACTAGCCTTAACACCGAGCCACGTCGGTGTCCCTGTACCTACTCGTACTCCTACTCGTAGTCTGCTTGCCTTGCCTTACGTGCACAAGACGTGGGACACCCAACTACCGTCCCTTTCCTGCTTTTAGCCGCATTCTTTACCACATGTCCGCCGGAAATGGGCAGTTGCTCGCCCCTGGCTCTTCTCTAAGACGTTCCAGAAGAAGACGGGACATGCTCCCGCCCCATGTGGTGGTCTGATAACGCCTGATTATGATACTGGAGCTCGTAACTGTCGGAGTTAAGCCAAGGAACGTGGTATTAGTTCCAAAAGAAAAAGGAAAACCCTTACCTCATATCATAAATGTCGAAAGATGACGGAAAGCAGTTGTCTCTTTCGCATATAGCCACGACCAAAGCTTCAGGCGATCCCTTATTTGGGAACTCCGGTTAACAGGGCTACGGAAATAAGGTGCCAAATTTTCGTTGGAATTGGTATATTTGGTACCCGGGTAAGCCGACCGGATAGTCAAAACGTGCAAACCCGCTTCCTGATCCAAGGATAATGGAAAGCGACGGACTTTTTCTTTCTTCCTATAGCTACCGCCACAACAGTCGCGCGTGGTAGATCCACACACGCGGCCGTTTTCCGTCCCGGGCTCCAGGATTTTAACGCTAGCCTGTGCCGGTCCCTGGTTAAACGGCTGCATGCTGCTCTTACAGTAGTAAACTGGTTGGCTCCATATGTATGATGTACGGCCAATCAGCTAGCCATGAGAAGCACATTGCCCTGACTGCAAGGCTGATGACCGGAGAAGGACCCCAACCGTCTGGTTTTGAATGTCGTTGCCGCCTCGGTCTCCGCAGGAGGTTGAAGGTACTACTTAGTGCCAGCTGACCAAGGAACTTTGGCATTTTTGTATTAAGCTGAAACCTTCACGATGAGTCGGAGTCAACCTAAATTGTCAATAAGATATGTTGTAAGTTCGGCACCTGCACGGCCATCGAAAGGGTAATCGAAGAACCAATTCGCGAAGTCGCGAAATACATTCACCAAAATAGATTCGCGCACTTGGTTTTCCGACGCATATAGGAGAAAAAAGTCGGCAGTTTGGATTCTGGAATGTTGAAGAGCATGCGAGATAAAAAGATACGGCATCCGGACAATCATGCGGGGATGCCGAAGTTCATGCATCAGCTAGACGAGACAGGGTCCATCAACATCGCGTATCTGCGGAGAAGCAATTCGTACGAGGAAACTGACGTGTGAAGACTTAATTTGGTACACGTCATGTCGAGGACATGCATGTTTGGTTTTACACGCATATAATCTACTCAACCTACTCTACCTAACCACACCCAGCATCCCACCGGCTACCCGGAGTGCCCTCCGACGGACCGAGACCCATGTCGCCTTACAAAGCAACAACGACCTCGCTGCACGCTGACCACGAATCTCGCGTTCTGATTACTCTACGTCGAAAACATAGCACTTCCGGCCATATCCCGCGGAGAATAGCAATGGCCATGCGACCGCTCAAAAAAAGCAGCGAATAGAGACAGGGCGCTGCTTGTCCTGGACCCCGTGTTCGCTGACACTTTCCTTCAGATATGACGTCGGCCCGACGATGACGGCTAGCGACCCCTCAAGGGCGGGGTTTCGACTTCGTAATTCAGGCGCACATGTCGCTCGAAAGGCGTGAGTGTACGCCTACAAAAGGACGAGAAAGGGTCCATATCCGTCCGTATCGCCGACGTTCAACAGACGCCAACCCCGCCTCTTCCTCTACCACCACTGCCAGCTCTCAACACCACCCCCAACCACCACGTCAATGTCCGCAACATCCAAGCCCTACGGCTGGCAAGCCGTGCCGCGCAACCCTGCCACAATCCTGCAAGGGAAACCCAAGCTCGCGGACCCAAAGCCGTACTCCCCCGCCGAGCTGCCCTACCCGGACACGCCGCTCGTGCAGCAAGCGCTCGCACGCGTGTCGGGCGAGCTGCGCCCAGAGACGCTGAACCACAGCTTTCGGGTCTACTACTACGGCATGGCGATCGTGAGCGCGCAGTTCCCGCACTGGCTCGCCGACGGCTGGCTCGACGCCGAGACGTGGCTGCTCACGTGCCTGTTCCACGACATCGGCACCACGCACGCCAACCTGCGGCGCACGCACATGAGCTTCGACTTCTGGGGCGGCGTTGAGGCGCTACACGCCCTGAAGGGCTTTGGCGCCAATGTCAGCCAGGCGGAGAGCGTTGCTGAGGCTGTCATAAGGCACCAGGACCCGGGCGAGACGGGCATGATTAGCTGTGTCGGGCTGCTGGTGCAGTTGGCGACCATGTTTGATAATATGGGCGACTTTAAGGAGCTGGTTCATCCCGATACCATCAAGAATGTTGTCGAGAAGTATCCGAGGAATGGCTGGAGTGGCTGCTTTGGCAAGACTATAAGGGAGGAGATTGCTTTGAAGCCTTGGGCTCATTCGACCGCTATTGATAATTTTGCGGAGATGGTGGAGGGGAATGAGTTGATGAAGCCGTATGAGTAAAGGGGTTCTTTGCTTGATGTATAGCATGTTTGTGGAAGACATTGCTGCTTAATGAACTGCCATTTTTAGCTGGTGCTGTCTTTTCTTTTGCCTGTTGCCAGGATGTTTACGTTGGCCCCCCTTTTTGGCGCTGTCTGGTTATGATGGTTTTTGCTTTGGGATGGCCAAGGTATGCTGATGGCTACGCAAGCAATGGCCTGCGTACCGATGGATGTCCTTGACGGGCGAAAGTTGCTGTCCAGCTCAAGTATTGTCGTTAGTCTTCGCTGACATACTTTTCTCAAATGCCGACGAAGCTGCGTGGTCTTCTAGCTGTTGTCTTGTTCAAGAGCTCCAGACTTGTGGTCTGTCCATTACCGGACCGGTACCGTACTACCTCTTCCGAGCTAAGAGGCAGTGCTTGTTTGGATTCTTGAAGTTGTTTCCTGCTACTCTCGCTGCGCAATATTCAGACATGTCCAACTACTTATAATAGTTATTGTCATTTTCGTTATCATTGCCATTGCCATTTCTCATCTCGTTCTCATGTTCTCATAGGTAGTATAACAGGCAGACCGCGCTGCCTCTCTCCAGCTTTAGCGTCTCGTCTAGCGAGTGGAGTAGTATATAGTTTTTACGTTGGCATTGCTGCCAGTGCCCAGCAGGCAGCTTTTAGCAGCCCGGCCCCTGCTCTTCTGACATTTTGTAGTATAGCTGGTTTGGAGGGTTAGTTGAAGTTCCCGAGGAAGACGACTAGTACGGCGCAGTATCTGCGTGGGGTTGTTAGTATGCGTTTGGTGCGTCACGAGTTTGCAAAAGGGGATGAGGTGGAGTAGGTAATGTAGATGGATTATTGTAGTGGTATGCAAGGAGTGGTTGTGGTCGGAAAGGTTACATGGCTTTGCAGCAGGTTATTCTTTGCACGCTGGACCCGAGAGCAGATTGAAATGCACAGTAACTTCCGCTGATAATGAGAAAATGAAGGAAATAAAAAATCAAAAGAGAAGGAAAAAGAAGAAAATGAGGGAAAAGAAGAAAAAAAAAAAAAAAAGTAAAAGAGGGAAGAGAAGAACCACTCACGCTGCAGTAGAAGCAAACACCTCGTGCCGCTTTGCCTTGGTAAAGACAGATAAGGCAGCAGAGAAGCCGAGCGTGAAGACGAGGATGACGACGATTTTCACCGCGCCTGATTCTCCGTCTTGGAACAACACGACGACAGGCGCCATGAGCAGCGCAACGGCAAGGCAGGTGACGAGGATACGAGCGAAGCGGTCGATACGCGGCTTAGAGAAGAGATAAGTGTGCTTGTCACGAGTACTGAGACGCTGAGAGCGGTCGGAGAACATGAGCTGGGGCCGTGTCAGTGAGTTCCGTCTCAGCACTTCCGAGAGCAAACAAAGCTTACCATAGTCATCCTACGGGGGAACAACGGCAAGATGATGTCTTCGATGAACGCGTCGAACCAGCCGCCTTCTTTGGGGTCGAGCAGCGCGACAAAGTCCTGCTGGTGCTCGACGAAGCGCGCCTCCGTGCCGCAGAGCGGCGCCTGGTTGCTCATCCAGTTGGCGAGGCTGTCGTAGTTGCGGTCCTCGGCTTTGGGCAAAGACGCCATGTGGCGGGCGCGCATGACGGCGTCGTCTTCAACACCGGTGGTCAGCAAAGCCGGCTCCATATACATCAACGCCACCACCACCCGGCTCGAAAACGCTCACCATACTCTTTCAACTTCGCATCGATCTCGTTAATCAGCTTCTTCCGCTCCGCGCCCTCTCTTCGGTCATCCTTCTCCCGCGACATCAAGAACCGGCGATCGCGCTCCTCGTCCTCGGCATCCAGGTCCAGCAGCGCCTGCTCCAGCTCGCGCAGCTCGTCCTGGCGGTACAGCATGACGCGGGCGTGCAGGAAGCCGTAACGGCGGCACATGAGGAAGTTCTCGTCGCTGTTGATCCAGGCGGCGAGGCGCGGGTACCCGTTGGGGTGGTAGTCGATGTGCTCGGGCGTGAGGTCGGCGTCGTCGCGCTCGCGCTGGCTGAGGCCCCCCGTCAGGTTGCGCGCCATCTGCTTGATTCCGCCCAGCTTGTGCATGATGCTGCTGCCGGTCGTGGCGCGCCGTGGTAGCTGCGCCTCCGCGTCCCGCTCGATGTCCATGTCCATGTCCGCTGGAGGGCTCGTTGTGTCGACTAACGTGCCGTCCGTGTAGCTGCGCGGTGGGTCGGGCCGCTCCAGCGCGATCTTCTCCGGGTCACATTGCGGTTGGCCTTGGCTGGCAACGCTGGTTCTCGGCGAGTAAGGCTGTTGTTGTTGATGTTGGTGGTGTTGCTGTGCAAGTGGGGGCTGAATCTCGTCTGGAGGTTTCTCTGACATGGTGCGATCTAACTGGCCCCCAAAACCAAGCAAAAAGCAGTTTGACGGGAACGGTAAGTGCTGTAGTTAACTAGTAGACTCACAGGCTCGTAGATTGTGGCAGCGAACCCGCTGGATTATTTACGACTGGGGGGGCTGTGCGTGCCAGGAGGCTCACAGGAGCAGTTGCACAGCCCGGTGACGCTGGCTGGCCCGTCGTCGACGCCGGCAAGCCTTGCTCAGCCCCCCACTGTTTCTGCGAGAGCGGGACCGCTGACAGGGATGCCGACACGATGAGGGCACTGTGGCGGTTCCAGGGCGCGGATCCTCGACCAATGTATGGAGAGTAACGTCGCACTGCTTATGGCGGTGGTCAGCGTGCCAGCCGGACCGGGGATTGGTGGAGATGCGTCCAGCCTTGTGGAAGGCGAAGCGTGAGACTGGCGAGCGCGTTTGGTCGGCTAGACCGAAGAGTGGGGTTGGTTGAGGTAAGTGATAGTTTTGCCGCTTATTGATTGATTGAAATATTGACTGAGATGGTCTATAACCTTTAGGATATACAGGAAGACTGTATATATAGCAGTGAAAAAATAGGTAGGCAAACGGTCCAGATCCCGTTAAAAACCCAGGCCAAAAAAATAACCCAAACACCCCAACTCCCGCTATCCCGACATTTCTTTCCCTCCCCTTAAGCCTGTATAAGCTCAGTTTCAACAATATTATGCATAGGCCCTTTCGGCGTCTCGAGAGTGTATACACCGCCGGTATTGCCTGCCTTGCTGGTTACAACCCGGAAGGGTCCTTGTTTGGCGCGACGGTTGCCTTTGGGGCAGAAGTAGACTTTGTCGCCCTTGTCGAACATTGGTTGGAGCTACGAGGAGTCAGTGAGTTTGCGAGGAGAGTGTGAGAAGGTGCAGACATACTAGTGCTGGCATGCCGGCGCGGGTTGTGCGGGAGCGCCAGATGACGTCGGAGTCAGTCTCTTCCTCGGTGTGGTCATGATCGTGGTTGTGTTTTTCTTGCTCCTCCTCTCGCTCCTCAGCATCGTGCGCATCTTCGCGCTTTTCCTCGTACTTTTGCTCCAGCTCTTTTTCCTGCACCACCAGGACCTCGCGCTCCTGTTCCATCTCCGGCCCATCCACAACTCTCTCCAGCCCAGCGTCCTGAACCGCCGCCATGATATGCCCACTCGTCACTCGCGTTTCCGTCGTCGTCGTCGTCGTCGTCGTCGTCGTAGTTAAAGAAACCGAACAGCAAGACAACTTATATCACACCTCAAAAGGCTCCAAGACAAGACCAAGACCAAGCTTAAGACCAAAACAGCCTCAAGTCGTGCGACAAAAAAAAAAGATGTGTGAGTAAGCAAGCAATCAGACAGACAGACAGCCAGACAGGCAAGCAAACAGGCAGACAAGCGCGCGCGCAGCCAGCCTCGCCCCGCGCGTCTTATAACCCGCAATGAGGCTGAGAATAAGCCGGCGCCAGCGCACTTGGCCCTTCCGCTAGGCAACCAGGCCGCAGAGGCCGGAGGACGCAAGACGTAGGCTGCATATTGTGGGCTGTGGATCCCCAGGCCGTGGGTTGCAAGCCGAGGGGCACGGGCTGTTGTCATGCATGCATGCAGGCGTGATAGGGCAAGCTCTTTCCGCCCCCACGCCTTGCGCCACCACCACCGCTGCGGCCTGCGGCCTGCGGGTCTGCAGGCCTTATCGCGGGCGCGGACTGTAGCTAACGTGGCTTTGTGATGGCCGGTACTTGGTTCGCCGAGCCTTAGGTATATGTCTTCTGTTGCGGAGGCTCGTCGTTTCATGCCGTGTCGGTGCGCGGTGTACCTACCTACCTAGTTACCTACTTGGGTAATCCGTACAAGCGGCCGAAAGTCGCAACCAACACATCATCTGTTAAGACACCACGGACAGCAGCGCCATACCGCGCCGACAATCTATTCAACGGTCATTCTCTACTACATATCTCGCAGTTCATTGACTTGCTCTCACGACAGATCAGCCGCCCAAATTCTAGATCTAGTAATAAAACAACCGTATAAGTAATCTAAACCTCCAACCCAGCAAAAAGCCCAAAGCACAAACATGCCCAAATCCTTGCAAATGCTTCCCATGAGAAAGACATAGGTACCACTCCACATATATTCCAATAAAGAGAGGGACAAGAAGAGAGGAAAAAAGGAGAGAAGGATCCAAAAGCACTGAAAGATAGTGTACGTGCAGTGGACCAGGATATCAGACAACGAACAAGAAAGAGAGAGATGTAATTGGTTCGGACGAAAAAGAAACCAAGTAACCACCAAAACGGAACTCCGTTCGTTATGCGTGTCGGGACGTTAAAAGGCCAGGCAGGCAGTCACAGCTAGACGCGCGCAGCGACAGCTCATGCCGCCGGGATGCAGAAAGCTCGGTATAGACAGGGCCGACGCGGATCCTATCTCTTGCCTTCTTCCTCTAGTTCCTTCATGTACTTGACGAACGCCTTCTTATGGACCTGTGAGTCGTGTCAGTCAGCCAATCCTCGCAATAGTATGGGATGGTGGGTAGGATAGATGGCTTACCATGCCGGCATAGCGGCCGTCGCGCAGCACGCAGATGTAGCGTAAGCCCAGCTTGACGAAGCATTCGTAGACAAGATCCATGGGCGAGCGGAATTCAAGCGCCATAGGAGCCTACAACACGTATTTGTTAGTATGAAAAGGATCTCGCTGATCGCGCTGTCAAAGGAGCTTACCGGATCGATGTGCTGCGTGAAATCAGTCGGGTCGTCGTCGGCTTCTTCCTCTTCCTCTCCGTGTCCGTGCCACCCGATTTCCGTCGACATCAGACACAAGCTGTTGTCTTCGTTGTCGAGCTTGTCGAGCGCGAATTCGAGGTCTGGTGCTGGGATCAGACCGACCAGGATGCCGTCGCGTACAATGGGAAGCCCGCCGTCGATCTCGCCGCCCATGTGCAGGTACTCGAGCTGCGCGCGCAGCCGCTTGGCGGGGACGAGAGGCGAGTTCGAAATGTCGATGATGCGCTCCTCCCGGACGCGGGGAGTGATGTCGCCCAGCTGGGAAGTGAAGACGGGGCGGAACTTGTTGTCGAGGAAGGGGTACGAGTTCATGTCTGTGAGCAAGTCGTAGATGCTGAGGGGCTCGATGGCATCGGCCACCCACTTCGAAACAAGGACTCCGAGTGAAAATGGCAGCACATGGTCGAGACTTCCGGTGAGCTCGAACAAAATGACCGCAAGCGTGACGGATAGTCGAGTGACGCCGCACATGGTGGCTCCGGCAGCTACCATGGCATATACACCTGGGACAACGCAGGATTCGGGGTTGGCATCTGCGCGACAGGTACCGAATAGACCCGTGTGCGAGTAGTTAAGTGCGAGATATTGCACGATATGACCAATCATACGACCCATGAGACCACCAACGACCATGGACGGGACGTAGATACCAGCAGGGACTTTGATGCCGAAGGTAACGACGGTTAACAAAGCCTTGACGATGAAAGCCAAGAAGAGATACCAAATGATCTCTGGGATCCGTTCTTTGGTGGCGCAGAGGCCGGTACCGGTTTCCGTGAAGGTATCGCAGGGGGAGGCCAGCTCGAATAAGAGCTCCGCAACGGGCATCTTAGTATAACGGTTCCAATAGCTGACGATGCCAGTTACGAGAGCCACCAAGAACACCTCAAATATGGGGCGTTTCTTGATGAAAGGAATACGGCGGAAGGTAGTCGCCCAAAATTTAGAAGCCTTGATGAACAGAGCGCCCAGAACGCCACCGAGGACACCGACGATGATGAAGGCAATCATCTCGAAAAACTGCCAGTCGGTGACGTAGCGAACCTCGAACAAAACAATCTTGCCAGTGCCATAGGGGTTGAGGAATTTCAGTGAGAGAGCCGCGGCCTGTCAAGTGGTCAGTGTTTTTGCGGTTGGTTATGCAACGGATAACTTACAATACAACAGAAGAAAGTCCTGAACAATGTCTTGGGTGGAAAGTAGTAGCTGACTTCCTCCAAGCTGAAAAGGACACCACCAATAGGAGCACCAAACGCAACAGCAACACCACTTGCAGCACTAGCACTGAGAACCTCACGCCGCTTTCCATCGTTGTAGTTGTACTTGGAGAAGAGACGGCAGGCGATATTACCTATGCAGGTTGCGATATGGACGTAAGGGCCTTCCTTGCCAAGGCTGAGGCCTGAAGCTACACTCAGAATAAGTCCCAGGGTTTTGATGACAAGAGTCCGAAATCCAAGGTATCCGTGAAGCACAAAACCGCTCAGAATGACCCGGACTTCTGCGACGCCGCTACCGGCGGCAGAGTAATACACCATAGGTGGACGCTGCTGGGCCTTCTCAAATGTCTCGCCTGGGCTAATGCTCCGCTTCCTTCCCTTATTGTCGGTTGTAGGGGTCGGCAGTGCCGAATCGGCACCTAGGTTCTCGTCGAGGGTTGAGAGGGAAAACCGCGAAGGTATGACTGTCTTGGTTGTCAAGGTAAGAAGGCATGACAGCAAGGACAACGACACCACGAAGAACACAAAAGCTGCAAATTCGACCCAGACATCGTCGAACCTGTCCCCGGAAAGCAACCTTGCCCAAGATTCCCAATCATCACAGGTGCTGGCGCCCGAGCAGCAGCTCTTCTTGTTATATAACCAATGCGTCTTGCAATAGCCGGACTTGCAGTCGAATAGAATGGTCTCCGTGCTGTTCACCAGGTATGCGACAAAAGCTGTGAGGACGCCGATAATGGCCACAAGTATCCATCCCTGAGCGCCATCAAACCACGATTGTAGCTTGCCGCGGAAGTCCTTCCTGTTGCGCAGACCTTTGACCCGGAAGGCATCGGCGATACTATCGTGGACCCAGTCGGTCGAGGTAAACTGGTCATACCAAGCGCGGTCGTCGCGGAAGACGGAGTGTCTGGCTTCTTGAAGGCTTGCTTCTGCACGCATGTGTCAGCGTTTGTCTCGTTTTGTTTCACATGAATGGATGGTTGCCCAAAGCCATATATATACACTTACCCATCGCTTGACGCCGCTCCACGCCCAGGGCATTCACCAGCCTTGAGCTGAAAGACAATCTGCGACTGTGGTTCCGACTATGGTTCCGTGGAAGGCGCAAGCTCCCGCTGTTATGCCTTCCAACGTAAGGCCTCGGCGTGCCCGGCGTGGTATCGGGCACGGTTAGGTAGCCACCATGGTCGTTGTCTCTGTGCCGCAGGAGACTGGAGGTCTCATCGGCGCCGCGGTTGAAGATATGGCTTCGCAGATCGGAGTCGGATGGGCGGGTCGATTTGTGCCTGCGTGCCACGGGAGAGGGAGGAGCACTAGGCCTATCATCAGGGTTTAGGAAACCGGAGCCATGCAGGGTGCCACTGCGGTCTCCGTCATCGTCGCTGTGGTACGAAGTGGTGGATTTGGGCATGGTGTCAGGTTTGCTGTAGTCCCTCCGGTCCCTCATGCGCGGGAAGAAAGCGTGCAGGTCGGGGGGACTGGCGTAGGTAATATCAAAGGGCAAAAGGAAGCACGGTCAAAAGACGATCTGCCGGGGTGCGTGGTATCATTTGACACTGGTCTCAGAGTCGCACCAACCACAGTAGCCGGGCCCCATACGCGGGTAAGCGTAAACGGGCGCGAAGTCGACGCGCCTCATGGTATTTTGCGCCAAAAAGCACGTCGTGCTATCGTGTCAGTGGGGCAGGGCGAGCTAACGGCGTCATAACAGGGGCCGATGCAGAACCATGTGACACGCGGCGCGATCCGCGCTTAACGCCATTAGAAGCGATCCATGATTGCTGCTGTGCGGGAACGTTTGCAGACTGCCTTTTCTTCATCTTTACGAGTCATGGTGAGTTGAACCTGTGTTGTACACTTCATCGCTAACAGAGGCGGGGGCAGGTCGCCGCCTACGAGCAACTGCTCCTCTTTGGAGGTGAGCTGTTGTCTCTCTGTCCGCGCCATGGATGTTGACCGCTCTCTTAGACTCCATCACCCAAGCTGGCGCGGTTGAGGATGGCTTCGGCCTGACTGCGCCGCTACAACATGGTGCGCACCTGACGCCGACCCTAGGTCCGCGCCCGCATCCCCAGCTAACTGCCCCGCAGCCTACCAGCGCCGCCTTGATGTTGTCAATCGAGGATTCAAGTAAGGCATCCAACTATCCGCTCGTTCGCCTTTTCTCCGTCTGACGGGTTCGTATGAAAGCGGTTATAACACGGAAAGGGCTTTGCAAGTGCTGCCGAGACTCGTTCCGGCGGCCAGCGAGGCCAAAGTGCGCTTGATGGTCGGTATGCATCCCGCTCGGCAGTCTCGCATGGTCTCGCTGATCCCTGCACCAGACCGTCTTCTTCGGTGCCAACGACGCCTCACTCCCTGAAAGTACTAATAAACAGCACGTGCCGCTGGACCAGTATACGGAGAACCTGAGGACGATATGCACGCACGAGGCGGTCAAGGCCCAAAATCCCAGCATGATCATCATTACACCTCCTCCCGTCAATGAGTATAAGATGGAGATGAACGATCTAGCCAAGGGGTATAGAGCGCTCCAGCGCACGGCCGAGCATACGCAAGCCTATGCAAATGCCGCGCGCAAGGTAGGCGAGCACCTCGGCATACCCGTCCTAGATCTTTGGACTATTTTTATGACCAGAATCGGCTGGGTAGCGGGGGAGCCACTGCCTGGGTCCAAGAGTACCGAGAGGCACGCCGTGCTCGAGGAACTCATGTACGATGGTAAGCTGCCTGCAAATGGACGCGTATTTAGGGGCGAGAAGATGCTGATGCCGCGACACAGGGCTTCATTTGTCACCCAAAGCGTACGAGATTGTGGTTGAGGAGCTGATGGGCTTGATTGCGAGGGCGTATCCGGAGCAGGTACCCGTGAAGCTCCCGTATGTCTACCCGGACTGGAAAGACACGGAGCGGTGGGCGAGGTTCTGAATTGTTTGCTTTGAGTTTGCGGGTGCGAGGTAGGAGAGCAGAGCTATTTAGAGGGGTCCTCGTCGTCGTGGCTTAGCGCGTCTTGGAAGCCCATGAAAGTGTGGCGCCTGACTGATCTGCACGGGGTTCACAATTCAGAGCCGTTCAATTGCAACCACACAAACATCAGTCAGTACACAGCTGCTTGTGACTGCTGCATCTCTCGTGGCTCGGTCTGCGCCTCGTCCGACTTCCGCTATATTTGGTGGCGAATCTACATTCCTCCATCTCCAGGAACCACATACCCGCACTTCCGCGCCCACAGCTGTGCCGTCATTCTCGCATCCCTCGCAGTCTTCCCGCTGCCCAACCGTCTACCGCCCACTGCTCACCAACGCCCACGCCGTCTCCGCAGCTTGCAGACTTAAGCCCTCAGCTCTCTGCTCAATCTGCCATCGAGCTCTGCTTGTCTAGCTCCCGCATCGCACGCCACCGCGCCATTCCGCTGCCCCCGCATCCGGCACGGTAGTCTCAGACCCTTCCGATTGCTCCTACCACCTTTCCACTCACAACAACCGATTTGCCTCCCCGAAAAGAGCCCCGAACAATATTGCCGCTGCGTGGAGAGCAACGTTGGCGGCTTCGCCGTCCGCTTGGACCTCGGTGACGGAGGAGAGGGGAGGTGTTGTGCTGCTCTTCCTGGTGATGAAGATCGGCTGTCTCCTGCAAGCTCGCAGCACTGGCTAAAACGGTGGGGGACTGGAGGAGGCTTCGATGTCTGTGATGGATCCGCAGAGCGTTTCTTTTACGCCGCGCGACGAACTGTGGCGCTTCCACACAGACATGCTTCGCGTACAGCAAACCCAAGCCGAGCACGCCGATCGGCTGGCTCGCTTGGAGAGACGCCAGGATGATGATGCCCGGATGAAGTCTGTTTGGGGCACTTCCTCTCCGTTCCCTACTGTCTTGGGCGGCACACCCCAACAAGGTCACCTTTGGCAGCCGTCTTTCCCGCACGAAGGTACTAACGGCTCCTTAGTTCCTATGCACCAGCCTACTCCGGACGTCTTCTCCAACTTTGACGACCAATCGAATCATCTGATTAGCAGCTTGCATCTTGACGCAGATGAAGAGCCGAAGCGTCTCGGAGCGGCTTCTCGCGCGAACAGCGTCCGCTTTGACGAGACGGCCAACCAAGGTCATTGGGCACACGCCTCCAGGCCTTCCATGGATTTACTTCCGCGCTCAGGCAGCAGCCTCGGCGGTCATCCAATGACGGAGAGAAGCTACTCGCACAAGTCCGACGGACGGCAAAGCTCGGCAGCTGCATCAGTCCATTCGGCTACCTCAGGCCGCGCCAACAGCATGGGAGCCGATAGCATCTTTGCCGTTGGCACTCCGGCATCAGAGGTTCCTCGGCTTGCACCGGGTCTGTTCATACTGGGTTCTGTGCCTGCCATCATCCGATGCTGGCTCAACACAAACTTTAAGCACGATTCTCTGCTCTATGCCGCAGTATGCACCGGGTCGTACACATCCTGCCTGGATATCGCTTTGATCAACAGACTCGGATTCGCGCCGCACATTACCAGAGATGAAGATGGCACGCGCAAGATCAAACTCGAACTTTATCTACCGGAAGCCGTTCCTTACCCGGCGTCCTCTCGTTCCAGCAGTCCTGCTCCGCAGCTGCCTTCGCTGACAGTCGACTTTACCGTAGTCGAGACCGTCGCTGATACTTCTGGCTCTAAGCCTATCCAAGTCTTCCTCGGCAGCGACATGCTGCGCGCCCACAATGCCGACGTGCTGTTCTCGTCCAACACGTTGACCCTGTTCGATGACGAGAGAAGCAAACTTTCCATTCCACTCGTTCGACCTGAAGAAGAACGCACATTCAAATCTCTCCAGGTCACCAGTGCGCCCTTGGCAAGTATGGCCAAACCGCAGTCTCGCGACCCCAGCACCAACTCGTTCGATCGCTCGGAGCATGCAGATAAATCCGCATCCCAGTCCACTGAAGCCATTCCAGGGCTGAAAGCAGCGTCACCCACGCGCACCGCCTCCGACAGTGACCGAAATGTCACTGTACCTTCTTCCGACGACGGCACCGTGTCGACCAACGACCGCACACGCCCCTCCCTGAGCTACATTGGCCGCTCCAACACCGACCAGCGCGACGCTGGCGCCGCCTCCACGGACACCGAGCCCAACTCCGCACGCCCCGGTGCCATCTGGAGCAACTGGCGACGTAACGGCACCGATGCCGACAAGCCCGACGCGGCCGCAGTGGCGGGCACGAGACCAGACGCGCCGCCCCCGACCGACTGGGCCAGCCTCGGCCGCGCCGGCAACGCAGCGAACAGCACCGGTAGCGGCGGCGGCGCACCCCGCCGCGAGGGAATCAAGGTCCTCCGGCCCATCCGCACGGCCTCGCGCGTCGCCTCAGGCACGGGCACGGGACATCAACAGCAGCAGCCGCAGCCGCCGGCATCCGCAGGGCTGCAGGGACAGGGGCAGTGGCCGGGGCAGGGCCAGGGCCAGAGCCGCTTCTTCGACGAGGGGCGCAGGCGCGTTACCAGTGTCAGCGGGGCGAGTTTCTTCAACAGAGAAGTCACGGATCCGTTGCTCAAGCGGAGTGGGTCGGGCGAGGGCGCTGGAGGGAAGAGTGGCGCTGCTGGTGGTGGTGGGAAGGAGGTGAGTGGGAAGGATGCGGCGGGAGGTAAGCCGCGCGCGTCGAACCCGGTTGGAGGCGCGAGCGCGTTTGCGTGGTTGAACAATGCGGGGGGCGCGAGGTAGGGAAGTAGGGTGGGGTGGGGTTGGGTAGGGCTTGCGCGTGTTTGTGGATGATGGATGATGGAGGGGAGTGGATTGGTGGATACTAGGTGGGTAGAAGTAAGTAGTAGGTAGGTGGACTGCATAGGAAGAGCAAGCAAGCAAGCAAGCAATCGTGCACACATCCATACATGTAAGCGTGTGTGCGAGTGCGAGCGTGATGGGTTGCGGCAAGGTGGGTAGCTAGGTAGACGATATCCACAGACAGACAGAGCAAGAACAGCATAAGAAGAATACGAAGCCCACCGAAAATGAAACCACAATCTTATTATACCTATCAAGCAAGCAAGTAGGCTCTCAGTATCTCGAGACTTGTTTAGATACAGCACAGTACAAGCACTCCTCGCACACAACTCCCTAGACGACCAAGCCAACATAACACAGCCCTCCCCCTTCCTCCTACATACGAGCTACTACACACCACACACTACGCACGAAGTACGAAGCAGCTCGCTAACCCTATCCCCATCCCTACCAACCCATCTACCCGCACCCCCCTACGGCCCAGCCAGCCTTACGGACGAAAGCACGCACGCACGCACGTCCGAGAAGCTGAAACCGCACGCAGCAGCATCAGGCAACAAACATGCGAGCAAGACGAGCACGACGAGTAAGGCTACAAGCCTACAATCTACGATATACGAGGTGTACGTGGGTGGTAGAGTAGGGAGAGGGGTTACGCCCTTGAGCTTTTGCTCTTGCTCTTGGGCGTGTGCTTGTGCGTGTACAATATACCTCCTAGCACGTGTTACTCCTAGAAGCGGTAGACTGCCCAAGTAGGTACGTACTAAGCCACGTTGCTGCGGCGTAGTTAGCCAACTGGCTGGTTAAAACCGGGAGGCGGGAGGGAAATGCGTGCGGACCTGCAGTACTGTGGCCGTGGCTCCGCGCTGCCTGCCAAACAGCCAAACAAACAGAGCAGCCAAGCCCGCCCTGCATGCCACGCTTCTCACCACATACTTACACAGACGCAGACGCAGACGCAGGAACGCGCTCCTGCATACCACGTTCCACGCGTAAAAACCCAAATATTAACTAGCAAAAGCAAAAACAACAGCAAAAGCAAAAGCAACAATAAAAATAAACACTGCTACAACCACCATACCCATCCCTGACCAGAAGTACCTACAACAGGCAGCTGCTTTTCCCCGCCCAAGCAAGCAAGGCAGCAAGGCAGCAACCAACCAACCAAGCCACCACCATCTCCCTCTTTTTTCGCCCCCTAGTTCCTAGTTAAAAGCCGCAAAAAACGCAAAACGCAAAGCCCAGAGCAACACGCGGAAGCAGAAAAGCAAAAATAAAGCGGAAAAAGTAAATAAAACAGTGCCATGTCTATGCAACCCCCCAGCCCCAACCCCAGCCAAGACAAGCATCCCTCCCACGCATGCGCCAGTTCAACTCAAGTCAACTCAATCCAATCCAAGCAGAGCAATCCAATTCAATACACACAACTCGATTCAGTTCGATTCGACTCGATTCGATTCAATTCCGTTCCGTTCACTGTTCGTGCCCCTACCAAACCAAACCAAAGCCAAAACCAAACCAAGCCATGGCCAAGCCCAAGCCAAAGCCAAAGCCCAAAAAACAAAAACAAAAATGCATGCATGCACCGCAAACGCCGTCAGAGGTAGGTAGGTAGATAGAGAAACGATGGGGGAAAAAGGTGGTTGGAGCGAGGTTGTACACGGTACACAGTACAGTACAGTACAGAGGCGGGGTAGTGCGTAGTGCGTAGTAGCGGGATATCAGTCAGTCAGTCAGGTCGTGTGGTGAGAGTGTGCGTGTGCGTGTGAGTGTGAGTGGATAAGTAAAGTGGGAGCGCGGGCGGTCGATCTATCGACGCGGGCCCGTGGCGCTACTACCACAAGTAGCTGCGAAACAATGGCAACGGCAACGGCAGCAGGAGGCTGGCTTGTTGCTAGCTGCTGCCTGGAAGCGACGCCTTCTTGTGGTCTGCGCAAGGACGGGCGGGCGCGGGAAGGATCGGGGTTGGAGTCCTTGTGGGCCCGCCCGTGTGCTGTGCGTGCGTGCTTGCTATGGTCGCTGCGGAGAACGGAAGATATGGTGTGACAAAGGAAAAATGGAAGAGAGGGGCGGTGGATGACGACCCCTGACGTGCACTCGCCGCGGTGGTGGTGACGGTACGGATGATGATGGTGATGATGATGTTGTTGTTTTTGTGGACGGCGACAGGAATCTAGATGTAAGACACCTTGACGCCCATTCCCGCCGTCTGGCGTATCTTCTCCCACGCCTGTCGCAGCAGTTTACGCACCCGCACCCGTACGTCTTGCCTGCCGAACGCAAGGGCGAACGCAAGCATAAACAGCAGCATGCGCAGAAACGCGAGCGGATTCCGCGTCATGTTGCGCGCGGCATTGAGCACCAGCGCCTGCGCGGTAGACACCAAACCAGCGAGTCCGCCAGGCCGAGGCCCGCGCGGGCTAATGGCACCTTTTTTCGCGGGACGCGACGAGGTCGACTGGCCACTGCCGCCTCGATGGTGGCCTGCTGCCGGCGGAGCGGACGACGACGGCGGCGGCGGCGGAGAGCGATTCCGCTGAGCCTTGTTGGTCTGGTCGGGGTTGCGGCGGGCGCGGCGGGATTCGGCTTCGTTTTCGCGCTCGCGGCGACGGCGCGCTTCGTCTTCCTCTTCGGCCTTGGCGGCCTCCAGGCGGCGCACTTCGGCGTCGCGGCGGCGCTGTTCTAGCTGCTCGACTTGCTGCCGGCGCAGCTCAGCCTCGCGCTCGGCGGCCGATTCTTGCTCCTCGCGCAGGCTGTGCAGCGCTAGGTGGAAGGCTTCTTTGCGCTCGTCGTCGAGCACCTCGCTCATGCTGATGAACTCGCGCGCGTAGTCCCACTCTTCGTTGCGCGGGAGCACGTGCAGCGTGTACAGCTCGAGAAGCTTGAGCCGTGAGTTGAGGTCGCGCGGCGTGTTGGTGCCGTTGCTGCGCAGGCCGGACCGCTTTTGCGCGTACAGCGGCGACGCCATGTGCGAGGCGATGTCGAACGCGGGCTGTGCCGAAGCGGAGAGGTACGTCTCCATGCGCTGCTGCGTGAGGCGTTGAGAAGGGGCATGGGTCAGTAGGAGAGTAGCTCTGGAAAGAGGAACCTAGTTCAGCAACATATTCTTGAATGCATCGAGAGGGGGAATGCACGCACAGGTTAACGACGACATCGGGGTCCACGCTGCCTTCGATACCTGCGTATCCGGCCTGCACCACCTCTTCCCACACGCTGGCGTCGCGGCATTTGGCGACCAGCGCCTTCCACTTGGAGCTGCCGAAGGCGTGTTTGCCCTCTTCGGGGCCCAATTCGACGACGGCATTGAGAAAGGTGAGGTAGAAGCTCCAGACCTTTATGCGGGTGCCGCGTGAGGCATGGGCGACGGGAGCATGGGAGCTTTGGTCGTCCGGGGTGATGATAGGCTCGATGGTGGACAGAGCTTCGGGGAGGCGGCGGGTGAGGAACAGCTGGGCGGCCTGGCGGTATGCTTTTGCGATCTGGGCAGTCTGAGGCCGCTTGTGGTTGTCGGAAGAAAGCGAGGAGATGGACGAGGACAGCATATGGTGAGAGTTTGGCGAAGTCATGGGCATGGTGGTCTGGGCTGACGGCTATTCCATGGGCGTTTTTCGCAGGAGCTGTGATGCGGGGACTGGGGGCGTCGCGCAGCTCCTGGGGGCATTATGGTGTTTTGATGCTCAGGAATGCACACGTCGGGAGAGCAGGTGATCGATGAATGACTTACCTCGGCCTGTTCGGCGCGGAGATTGAGCCCCAAACTGCAGAAACGACTCCATGACATGGCCGTGGCGCGGTCCTCGCAACGAAACATGTCTGTTGCCTGCCCTGCCCTCGCCCGGGCCGTTTGCAACCATCATCGTCATCGTTTGTGTGGCACCATAGCACGCGCATAGCTGCTTTTGCCCGCCCGTTTGCTTTCCACCCATGCTTACCTACATAGCCCGCGACTCATCCACAGCCCACTTCATTGATCGACTACACCACTCCCTTCACCTTCTCCTCCACCGGCCCTCATGGAGGTCGATCGCATCGCCTTCCAAGGCCGGCTCCTGGAAATCCTCGAGGCCATTGCCGGCGCACACTTTGTCTCGTTCGATCTCGAGCTGTCTGGCGTGCCCAGCAAAGGCGCCAGCAGAGGCTCCAAGATGACCATCGAGCAGCGCTACCAAGAGGTCAAAGCAGCCGCCGAACGTTACCAGATTCTACAGATTGGTCTGACCTGCGCCGAGCAAGATACCATCGATGACAAGTACACGCTGCGCCCGTACAATTTCAACCTCAACCCGCTGCTGGAGGAGCGGTTGGACATAGAGAGGATATTCGCGTTCCAGAGCGGCGCTGCCGAGTTTCTGCTCAGCCACGGCTTTCGCATGGACCTGCCCATGACCATGGGCGTGCCGTATCTGTCGCGAGACGAGGCCAAGCTTGCGAAGAAGCTGGCCTATGCCAGATGGGACAAGTCGACCATGCAGGACGTGCAATTAGAGCTTCACGAAGTGGAATCGCTGGAGTTTGTCCGCAAAGTTCGCATCGCCATAGAAAACTGGAAGAAAACCGGCAAGGTAGGCCCCGTCACGTCCAGGTGCTGACCGAGAGGACTGATATCCGGCCAATGGCAGCGACCCGTTGCAAACGCTTAACAGTCCATGTCTTGATGGTGCTAATTCTCCATAGCCCTCCCCGTCGTACCTTAACATTGTCTGCAGCGACCCCATCGGACCGCAGCCTCTCTTCCCTGAACTTGGTAACTTTGAGAAGCGCCTTGTCCACCAGCTCGTGAGGGCCGAGTACCCGGACCTCGTGTCTCTCTCCAAACCGTCAGCTATCCAGCTCAAGGCGTATGACGAAGAACGTGAGAAGTCTTACTTGGAGTCCAAAAAGCGCGGCCTGCGGAAGAGCATCGAGCGGCAGACGGGTTTCAGATGGATTGTAGAAGCGCTGTGCGGCGGCAGCCTCACGATGGATCCCAAGAGCTTCGCACGTGACGTACTTACGGGAGAGCCGAAGACGGTCGACATTGACGATCTTAATGCCCGCATTGGTCGAGCCCGGGCGAACCTCAAAATGAGGCGACCGGTTCTCGTTGGTCATAACCTGTTCACAGACATCATCTATTTCTATCGCACATTCATTGGCGAGCTGCCGCCGACGCTGGACGAGTTCCAGAAGAAGGTCCACGAGCTATTCCCCCTCATTGTAGACACTAAATACATGGCTACGCATAATTGCGGCGACATTAACCCGGCCTCAGCACTCGAGCAGATCGAAGAGAAGCTCCGTTCGCAGCCGAAGCCAGTCCTGGGTGCGTAGATTGCTGCTCTATTAGTGATATACAATGATCTCATCCGCACACAGAGACCCACGGGGCACACCGCAAATACCACACGCACGAGGCGTTCCACGAAGCCGGCTACGACAGCTTCCTGACCGCGAACATCATGGTGCGGCTCTCGGCCAAGCTCTCAGCCGCAGGCACCTACCTCAGCGAAGTGAAGCCCAAAACCGGCCGCGACACAGACGACGAAGCCTACGAGACAGCCTCGGACGGCGACGGCGGCGGCGGCGGCGGCGTCGCCCTCAGCGCTGCGCAAGCGATCCCGCCTGGTAACGCGGCTGCGAGTACGGGACTGCTGACGGCGTCGACGGAGGCGAAGACGCGCCTGCTCACGCCGGCCATCGCGCCCCCGGTGCTCGCGTCGCAGACGTCTGCCCCTGCCGCCCCAGCTAGTACAACAAGCACAAAAGAGTCACGCCGGAAGGAGAAGAAGCTGCGTAAGAAGAAAGAAAAGAAAGCCGCCAAGGCCACTGCCACGGCCGCAGCCGCAACCAAAGACACCGCCAAAACAGAATCGTCCCGCTTCTCGACGCAGAACCTGTACGACCAGCTCGCGGCGCTGTCGGCCAACGACGACGGCGAGTCGCACTCTGAAGAGGACGGCGACGTAGGAGCCGACGCAGCCGCAGCCGCAGCCGCACCGCACCACCACCCCCCCAACGCCGGCGGCTGGGACACGGCGCCCGTGCTCGTCGACGGCACGACGTACTACGTGCCGAAGGTCGAGGTCGAGGCCAAGGAGCCCATGGCGCTGATGCCGCCGTTTGAGAGCCCGTTCTGGGGCGTCTACGGCAACAAGCTGCGCGTGTTTGGGACGGTGGAGAGCGTGTGCGCTTTGGTGGGGTGAGAGAGTGAGTCGTGGTTGGTGGTTGGGAGCGCGGGTGCGTGGGTGCGTGTGTGGGATGGGACGAGGGAAGGGGGAAGGGGAAGTGGGCTTCTGGTGGTGTTGGGGCGTTGATTGGCAGGCGGGTGTGGGTATCGATCGCTTGCTCGATTGCTTGCTTGCTTGCTCGAGACTCGATGGCTGCCGTACTATTATAGATGTACGGTGCAGAGCTAGCACACGACTCCCGCTTGCCCCCCAGAACGCAAAGCAGAACAGCTCCATCCAAACCCAATCCAACATCCACACGCACCCAACCCCTAGCAACAAAAAACGAGAAACATACCCTAACGTAACGTAAAGTAACGCAACGAAAAAGCAAAAACAGACGCAGAATCTTTGTTTGCTTGCCAAGAGCGAATATCAAATGAATAAAGGATTGAATAAAGATTGAATAAATGATTGCTTGATTGCTTGCTTGATTGCTTGCTTGCTTGTTACCCACCGTCCCGCCCCGTCCCATACCGTAGTATACTATACCTAATACCGTGTATCTAACCAAACGGAACCGAACCTAGGTAGTTTCCGTGCACGAGAAGAAGAAGAAGAAGAAGAAGAAGAAGAGGATGATAAAGATGATGATGATGATGATGAAGTTGCTGTTGCTGTTGTTGGTTGGTTCCTTGGTTCCTTTGACGCCGCTATCGCCTGTGTATGTGTGTGTGTGAAAGAGGAGGGAAGAAGAGAAGAGAAAAGAGAGAAGAGAGAAGAGAAGAGAACCGCCGCGATCGATGAGGAATATAGGTATGTTGGAAGGGAGGTGGGGGGGAAGGCCCATGTTTTGCCATTGCCATTGCCATGCCATGCCGCTAACGCGCGGGCTGAAGTGGAATTGGAACGGAATAGAATGGAACGAGACGGCGAAAGAAGAAAGATACCTAGGTAGGTAGGTGGAGTAGCACAGCACGCGTCTCTCCCTCTCATTCAGTCCCATCCACCGCCCGTCCGCAGCCACCACTCCCCACTAGCACTCCCACCACCACATCCACACTAAACCCACCCCTCTTGAAACCTCTCCACGCCCTTCTTCACCTCGCGCACAATCTCGACCGCCTCATCCCTATTCTTCGCCTCAAAATCATAGCGCTTACTCTCACGCTCCCTATACACAACGACCCTAAACGTCTTCGGATGCTTCGAGCTGACCTTACTGCCAACCACGCTCGAAAAATGCACCGTAGTCGTCTTGCCCGTGCCCTGGCCAGCCTTGGTGCCGCCGCCGCCGCCGCCCCCCGCCCCCGCCATCGTCGTGTCCGCCGGCATAATGTGCATGTACTCGCCATCCAGCGCGAGGACGCGCGTGCTGCTGCTCGTGAAGGACATGGGCTGCTTGCGCGTGACGATGTAGCGCTTGTAAGGCGCGTTCGCGGCGGTCAGGCTGAGCAGGGCGTCGTGTTTCTGGGCGAGGGGGTGGAGCAGGGCGCCCGCGCTGCCGCTGCCGTGCTTCTTGCTCTTCTTGGGCGTGCCGCCCGTGCTGATCAGCAGCGGCGCGTTCGGGCTCGAACTCCCCGGGCTGCCGGACAGCCCGAACGCCCCGTCCCCTACGAATCGCCGCCGTGTCAGGTCCAGCTCGGTGCGTGCGCCTAGCGCTTCCACTGTCCGGTCGGATGGCGCTACCGTGCTCGTGCCGCTGACTTTGAGCACGTACAGCGCTTTGTCGACGTGCAGGTCGCGGCATACGCGGTCGAAGACTTCGGCTAGGTACGTGTCCGTCGTGAATTCGAGCCGCGAGATGCGCGTCGTGAAGTCGTCGGACACGAAGTGGATCGTCAGCGTCTTGGGCGCGCCGTTGCGCGACGCCGACTGCGAGACGGGCGCCGCCGGCGCGTCCAGCAGGTTGTTGCTGTCCTTGCGCGCGGCACTGGGCGCAAACGACGGGCCCGTGATCGGGTTCTGGTACGGGCCGAGGAGAGCGGGCGTGGGTGCGGAGTTGTTGGACGGCGCGGAGCTGGCCATCGCTGTCGGCGAGGGCATCTTTTGCAGCTCGTTGGTGCTGCCGCTCGCTGGCGTTTCTACGGCTTCTTGGCTGTACTGCGGAGTGGCCTTTTCGTTCTCTGCATACTCTTCCGGGGATGCTTGAACCAGGGCGAATTCGTCCCATGGCTTGTCGCGTGACCGGCCTCTGGCGGGGCGGTTGTTGGTCGAAGTAAAGTCTTGGACGGGGCGGGTGCGACTGAACGCTGGGAATTCATAGTCGACCTCCTCATCCTCGATCATCCTCAGAACCCACCAGTTGACGTTCTTCTTCTGGGGATCTATTGGCGGCTCAAGGGTTTCCTCCTGGTAACGCCAGAGGGCCAACCCGATAGCTTCTGCTACTGTCACCTTGGTCCCTTCATCGACGGTCTTGCGAAGAAGCATCTCAAACGGCTTGCTAGGCTTCTTAGAGAACGGCGCATATATCTTGATGTACAAGGGACTGGGGTCGCCCTTGCCAGATAATATGGCAAACCTCTGGAATGGGTCCTCGGGCGCCTTGCTTTTGGCTTTGAGTGCTTGGGTAAGGGCGCTAACGGGCTGGACAACACTGATGGGCCGCGGCGGTGGTAAAGTCGGCAGCACGGTTTGGGCCTGTCTTGATTTCTTGTTCGGCGACGAGTTGTGGGGAGTGATGGCTGGAGGCATGTTCGGGATAGCTTTTGGAGGGGGAGTAGAATCGAGGGGATCAGCATCCACGCCGAGCAAGGAGTTCGAGTCTGCCGTGCCGGCAAAGTCTGAATCGAGGTCACTGTCTTCCGACTCTGCGGGCTCGAGTTCCTCACCGTCGCCCTCCTCGATCCGCTCAATCCTTTCGGACAGCATATTGGTAGCTCGCGCAGCCCTACGCGGGTTGATCTGCTTCCTCTTGAACACGGACGGATCAAGCTCGTTCTCGGACGACATTTCGCTGCTCGTGATCGTGTCTCGCCGCCCTCTCTCCTTGGTTTCCACATCTCCCAGAGAGCCGCGGCGCAAGCGTGCGCTCTCGGAATGCCTCGACGGCGACGTGACCATGATCATCTCGGGGGCTTCGGCCAGGCGCGTCTTCTGCAGCGGCGACGAGCCAGCGCGAGAGCGGACGGGCATCTTTGTGAACTTGATCTGCTGAGCGGCGCGCTGTCCCTCGGCATCCTCGTCGCTGTCGTCGCTCAGATCGCTGCTGTCGTCCTCGTCGACCTGCTCCTTGCGGCGGCGCCTCCGCGTCGTCATGCCGGGGCCAACCGTCTCGTTGCTCATGCCCCCGCCGGTGACCATGCCGCCCTCTTCCTCATCATCGCCAAAGTTGGGCCCGCTGAGGCCAGCTGAGCGGGGAGCCTGGAAGTAGTCGGAGGCGACGGCGGTGGGGATCGGGGGCGAGTAGGTGCGCTTGATCTCGGAGGCGTTTGGGAGCCAGCCGGCGGCGCGGAAGGCCGGGTTGTTGAGGACGGAGGTGTTGACGTTGATCAGGCGTTCGCCGACGCCGTCCTTGATGCTGGAGAGATAGGCGGTGCGGAGTTGGTACAGAACGAAGCTGCAGTAGACACGTCAGTGCGATACGATCCTGGAACAAGGTGCGACTGAAAGTCTCGACTTGCTCTTCATTCTGCAGCAGCGACATGGCTGGAGAGAGGGGAGTGCGAGGTGTGCGCGATGGCGGCGGCGCAATACAAGAGACAACGTCAGTGCCAGCGTCAGTGCAAACACCAAACACAAACAATGAATCTCGTCCAGTACTCCGACTCTGAAGGCTCCGATGCCGAGGCACCTCCTCCTCCCCCCGCTGCGCCCAAGCAAAACAAAAACTTCCAAAAAGTCAACCCGCACAAGATCCGCGTCAACCTGCCCGCCCCGACCGACGATGCCGCGACAGACGCCCCACCCGCAAAGAAGGCGCGCACCGGCGGCGGAGCCTTCAGCGGCTTCAACGCCTTCCTGCCCGCCCCGAAACGCTCCGCCGACGACGCAGCCAAGAAAGAACGAGGCACCGGCTTGGGGAAGGGAGTCAACCTAAAGACGGGCGCGGCCCCAGGATTCAGCAGGGACGTCGTCGCGGAAACTGGCCATGAGCAACAAGCAGAGCTGTCTAGGGCTCCGGAACAGGCGCCGCAGCAGCAGCAGCAGCAGCCGAAAGAGGAGGTGAAGCTCGTGGGGAAGACGACGCGCTTCATGCCTTTGTCGGTCGCGAACAAGGCCAAGAAGAAGAAGAAGACGCCCGCCGCCGTCCTCATGGCCAACAAGGGCGCCGCAGCTTCTCCCGCCCCAACCCCGGCCGCAAGCGCAGCAGGCGCTCCAGCGCCAGCCCCGCCCAAGCCCAAGGTGTCGCTGTTCTCGCTGTCAACCGAGGACGCCGTCCCAGCAGCAAGCACGTCGGGCGGCGACTACAAGCCCATGCTGTACACCAGCACGCAGCAAACGCGCACCGACCAAGCCAGCGACGACACAGCAACGCCATATCAAAACCACAGCAGCAGCAGCGGCCCACAGTCCCTCGACGCAGTGGCCGCAGACCTCAACCTCTCCAAAGCAGACAAGCGGCAGCTATTCGGGCGGCAGCGGGGGAACCAAAGCAGCAGCGGGGCGGGCATGTCGGCCATCAACATTGTCAACTTCAACACGGACGAGGAGTACGCGGCCAACGAGGCGCTGCGCGCGTCGGGCGAGACGGTGCAACATAACCCGCTCAAGTCGATTGCGCCGGGCAAGCACAGCCTGAAGCAGCTGGTCAATGCGGCCGCGACGCAGAAGGACGCCCTCGAGGAGCACTTTGCTACCGGCAAGCGGAACAAGAAGGAGGCTGGCAGTAAGTATGGCTGGTAGTGGTTGGTGCGTCGAGGCTGGTCCTTGTTTGTTTGCCGTTTGCCGTTGGCTCGGCTTGGGGGTCTATGACGTTGGTAGGGAGGCGTGGGCGTGGCGTGGTGTGGCATACGGCGCCCCGGTGGGATACAGAGCAAGAAAGCCACTTCAGCAGCGCGAATCGGGGCTTATGCCTGTGCTAAGTATGCTCAGCACAGCACAGTCATAGGGATAAGACGTGCTAAAATCACACACGAGCAGCCCACCAGTCTCCAGTCTCCAGTCCCCAGCCTCAGCGGCTGAGTAGTAGGTACAGTAGGAATAGTAGGTAGCAACAGCAGCCAGTCAACGTGCCTGTGAGCACTGTGAGCACTGTGAGCAAGAGGCGCGCCGCACATCTCACATCAGAAACTAGCAAGCATAGCGTAGGCATGGCATGGCAAGACATGGCATAAGTAGCACTTCCTTGTTTTCTCAGCCACATGGCTGTAACATCTCACAACCAAGATTCCAATTCCCATCCAGCACGGCTTCTGGCGCACCAATAACCACGGCGGCTTCGCGCTTTCGTTCTTCCAAATCGCCCTAGGTCGTAACATGCACTCTTTTAGGCCGGGCGCTCACGCTCACACAATCCCACCTCACATCTCACCATATCCTCCCGTCTAAGCATTCACCTTCACTTTCCAACTGTACCTACTAGGTAGGTAGGTAGGCCAGCCTCCATTAACACAACCCAGCGCGCCACCCGGGCACTCTCCGTTACCATAACTACCACAACAAAGCCCCGAACCGCACAACCCGGCACCCACCACGTCCTGTCCTGTCCGAATCCGGCAAGCGCGCCTTTGTCCTAACCACCTGCTGCAGCTACACACCTACTCGCCTAGATACCCTACCCTGCCCACGCACAGCTACCTAGGTACCTACCTAGGTAAGGTACTCGACTCGACAGCCGAGTCCTTTCACATACACACCTACCTACGCGGCTACGCCCGAGGCGGGCCGCCGCATCCGTCGAGACGTCCGCTTAATAGGTACAACGGCTTTGTTCGCTGCGCTTTCACACGCTGCTTCGAGTACTTCTTATTCTTTACGACGACGTCTTCGCCTACGACGTCTTCGCCTGCAACGACGCCCTCGACTTTGACCAAGTCCTCGACTCGACTGCGTCTTCGCCTACGCCTACGTCTTCGACCCACTGCAACGTTGCCAGCTTCTTCCTTGCTCTTGTTCGCGGGCCAGGAAATAAAAAAGAAAGAACTGACTGTACGCCACGACCGCTACGCCACGACCGCTACGCCGCTTTTCCGTCTGTTGTGGGTTACCTAGCTGCACGCAGTCCAGACTGAACGAGCCATGGCCTCGACCGACGAAGTGGTCGTCTACACGCGCCGCGCCGATGGCAATAGCGGCGTCGATGTTATGAGTCGTGGGGAGCTGGATGAGCTGCTCGCGGGTGGTAAGTACCGTAGCCATTCCCTCTCACTTCCTCCCTCTAACCAACACTTCCCTCCCCCTCCCCCTCCTCCTCCTCCTCCTCCTCCTCCTCCTCCTCCTCCTCCTCCTTTTCCTCCTCCTCTGCCGCCGCCGCCGTCAATGCCACGCAATGACGCAGCAACTAACCCCACGCAGACGCCTCCCTGCAATGCGCGACCAAGCCCATCGCCCGCGGCCAGCGCCACGTCGAAGTCCTGCGCAAGGACCTGACGGCCGACGCCGCCGAGCGCGCCGCCAACGCCAAGTTCCCGAACCAGAACGCCTCGCTCGCGAGCGTCGAGGTGCCTGCGCGCGCGTACATGCTGCGCTTGACGCTGCCGGCGGCGTTTGAGGTGTTGTACATTGTGTCGGTGAGTGACTTCCTCATTCTTTAGTGGTATTTGTTTGTGGGGAGTGGAGCGCGGGAAGATGGAGTGCAGGAAGAGGTGGATGAGCAGTGTTGTTGGTGTTTGGTGTTGGTGTGGAGGGGTTGAGGTTGATGTATTGGACTGGACGTAGTGCGCTGATAGCTGCCCGCGGCTGTGTAGGAGAGGTCTAATGCGCGCACCACCACAGACGGCCCCAACGGACACCAGCACGACTCCTCCAACTCCAACGACGAGGACGACTTCGAAGACGCCGTCTCCCACTAACGCCTCGACGGACGAACACAACGACGACTACCACGAGGACGACGATACCGGCGAGCGGTGGCTGAAGCTGGTATGAAGGCGCGCGCGCGCGCGTGCGTGGCGCTCGAATTGCCGGAGTAGAAATGAGATGAGATGAAATAAAGAAAAAGCCGCCGGTGGTATCTGCGAATAGGGCGGGATGTATGAACCAGAACGAACAAAGGCAGGAAAGCAGGACCACCATCCACAACCCCCCACCTATTCCCTAAGATCGACTTGAAAAAAGCACAGAAAAACACATACACACACAATCAATCAACCAATCAATCAAAAAATCATTCCCCCTTGAACGTAGACCCGTAAGGCTTCTCCTCCTCCTGCTGCTGTTGTGACTGTTGTGACTGTTGTGACTGCTGCTCCCGCTGCACCGGCTTCACGGCATCGGCGCGCCGCGTCTGCGTGCCATCGTCCCAGAGCTCGAGATCGCCGTCTTCGCTCAGCGAGCCGTGCTTGACGTGCTGCCCGTTCCGCGCCATGAGGTCTTCGACTGTGACGCTGCCGTCGGAGAAAATCTGTGGGGGCGGGGAGTTCTGTTAGCAACTGTCAAGTACACACATAGTCCAACCCCTTCCCCCATCCTCATTCCCTATTCCCCCCATCCTCCTTCCCCATAGCCAAAACAACACGCACTCCTTGAACAGGGGCTGCCCGACCTAAAAAACGCACCTTCATATGATCACTGATCAAATGCCGCTCGCGGCACCCGGGACACCCCACCAGCACCGTCCCGTGGTGGTAGCCTTGCTTCGAGATGCGGTGCGCCGACGTCGTCTGGCAGCGCTTGCACGTGAAGCGCAGCTCGTAGCTGGGCGGGGGGTCGCGGGGCGCTGTTGGTTCGCCAGAACCTGCTGTGGTGGGTTGGGCGGGAGTGGACTGGCTGGAATCGCGCCGCGCAATCGTCGTCGTCGAGAAGCCGCGCTGGTAGCAGGCGACTGCGCGGCGAACGGGCGCGGGCTGGAAGACGCTGCGCGAGACGGTGCGGGCGGGCGTGCGCGCGGCGAGGGCGGAAGAGAGAGCCGAAGAGAGGCGCAGGAGGGGGCGGGCGGAGGCCATGCTTGCTTGCTGCGGTCGTGTGCCCGTATGTGGTGGTGGATTGGATTGGCGGGTAGGTAGGTAGCTCGTAGCTCGTATGGATGGATGTCGCACAGTACAGACAGACGCCGGCGCAGACATTCGCAGAGCTTCGCGCAGCTTCGACGCGCCGCGCCGGCTGTCGTCATCGCCAGGCTAGCTTTTTTTTTCGCCGCGGGGACCCGGCGCGACGGCACATGCCGCGCTCTCATATGTACATACCTATAGGTACGTCTGTATGTATGCCTCCAATTCGCTTTGCATGAACCGCCCACATGGTCTGGAACGGTGCTCAAACACCCACCCACCCACACACACACACACACACACACACACACACACACACACACACACACACACAGTACCAACGCGCGCACAAGCAAGCAAAAAAGAAAAAAAGCGTCGCCGCTTCCATAGCTAGCTAACTAAGTTATTCTACACCACAGCACGCAGCACCGCCCACGCCGCCCGCGCCGCCTCAATCAAGTCACCTATCATTCAATCGCGCCCGCGTCCCCAGCCAAAACGCAGCGAACATCCTCGCCGTCGTCCACGACGGACGAGACCCCCCTCAGCAGGCAAGCCCAATTCGTAGCAAATCATACAGGCAAAAGAGAAGTAGTAGAAGAAGAGGAAGAAAAAGACGTGTGTAAATAAGCGTTGCGGTGCAACCAGGAAAATCATAAAAAACGAAGCATAATTCTCGAAGAACGGAAGCATAAAAACTCTCAAAACAAAACAAAACAAAAACCATGCGACGCAATCCCATCATTGTCGTGTCGCTTGGTAGTAGTACGTAACAATCCCTCTCGCCGCGCCGCCACGCCCGCCGTAGCAGTAGTTAACGCGGGCAAGACGTCTGCGGAGAAGAGAGAGGGAGATGAATCAGGAAAAGCATGATAAACTCTCAGGAAAACAAACATATATGCGCCTGACGAGCGCGCGCGCGTACCCGAGAGGCATTAGAAAAGCAAAAAAGCGAACTCGCCGAACAAGAAAAGATTTATCAAATACCCGTAGCCGTCTTCGTTTACCTGTGTCCTCAGCGTCTGGAACTGGCCATCTCGCCATACCGTCCACGCTCCCGTGTCGTGTCGTAGGCTTGCAGGACGCGCGCCTGTGATTCGTCCGTCTGCGAGAAGGCGTAGCCGCGCTGCTTGCGCATGCGCTGCACTTGGCGGACCTTGCGGATGGCTTTCTGGAACTGCTCCATCCTGTTGGGTCGTTAGTATGTTTGCAATATGTTTGCATATCAGGGTAAAGGGCAACCACTGACCTGGGACGGTAGTCTTGAATGTTGTATTTCTGAATCTCTTGGATATGGTGGTAGGCCTGCGGGTAGTACATCCGTTTCGCGCTAAATGAGGTTAGCAATCATCGTCCATCGGCAGTTGTAGAGAGAGATGTTGCGACTTACTATTTCCAAGCAAAATCTCTGAGCAAACACAGGCACGGCAAAACCAGACCCATAAGCCAAAAGACCGGGCTCGCAAAGAGTCTGGGGACGACACCTTCCAATTCCTCTGAGACGCCGATCTTCGGCGCAACATAGGCGTAAATCGGTAGGAAGATCATCCAGATGATCATAGAACCAGGAATAGCAACGACGGTGTACTTGGTCCAGATGTTCGTGATCAGTGCCGCCTTGCCCAACACCGTGGCCAGTACTGAAGTGTACAGTGCGCAGCCCCACACCCAATGACCGGCAACCTTGCCATCACTTTGTGGCGCATCCCAGAACCAAATCGCCTGCGAGGCAAAATACAGGAGCAAGGAATGGTAGAAACCGTTGGCTACCCAGGAGAAGAAAGAGTGCATGCGGAAGAACACGCCCTTCTGGCTGAGCTGGTAGAGCTGAGGGTATCGGTCTAGCAGACGGGCACTGACAAACTGGTCGAAGATACCGATGACGAAGGGAGGGAAGACGGTGAAAAAGACGTTGTAAAAGGACAACGTCCAGGACTCGTAGATAACTTCACCAGAGAAGGCATTCTGGAAAGAGTACCAAAACTGAGTCATGAAAAGTGCAATGTTCTTGTAGAAAGAGTACAAGATGACCTTGCTGACACGCTGGTAGCTCCATGAACCGTGTACAAGAAGCAGTTTGCGCAGGAAGCGGAATTGACCAATGGCGACATCAGCGCTGCGAGCGGCCTGGAGACCTTCCATACCGCTGATGCCAACACCTACATGAGCCGCCTGGATCATGGATACGTCGTTGGCGCCGTCACCAATGGCCAGAAGAATCGCCTTTAGATGACGCTTGACAAGCTTGACTACCAAAGCTTTCTGGAGAGGGGATACACGGCTGGGACGCGTTAGTTGCTATCTTACTTGCTTGTTCATGCTTACTCACCAGCAAATGACAGCCTTGCACATGACTGCAAGGTCAAGGAACATCTTCTCCAAGTCTCTTTCGAGAGCGTACGTCAAAGACTTGCCATCGATAACCAAGGCCAACGTCTCCAACTCCATCGTGCCATCCGCTTGAGACCTGATAGCGTTGAGCTTCTTTTCCAGGTTGTCTCTTGTTGCATCGTGGGTTTCTTCGTTGACAATCAGAAGCGTCATATCCTCGCTAATGAGCTTACAACTCATTCCAATGTTTATGGCAGTTTCTTGGCGATCACCAGTGAGAACCCAGATCTTGATACCGGCGGTTTGAAGAGTATGGATGGTATCCGGCACGCCGTCTTGCAGCTTGTCTTCAATGGCGGTAGCTCCAAGCAATGTCAAATCATGTTCAATGAGTTCTGCAGCCTTGTCAAGCTCATCAGCACGGTTACCGCTGACAGTAGTCGCAGCGGTATCATAGATCTGGCGCCATTCGTGGTACTCGTTGTCGTCGATTTCGCGCATCGCCAAACACAGCGTTCGTAGACCTTCCGCAGCGTACTCTTCAAGATGTTGCAGAGTTGGTTCAACCATAGCGTTGTTGTCCTTTGCCAATCGTTCAAGGATAACCGTATCCGCACCTTTGGTGTAGCATCTAATCTTGCCATCGGGGCATCTGAAGATGGTCGACATCCGCTTCCTGGTAGAGTTGAATTCGCAAACAGCCAAGAGCTCGTACTCCGCTTCCTGTCCATGGGCGGAGATAATAACCGACCTAGGCTTTCTTGCGATGAACCGGTATCCCAGGGTGACGGCACCTTCCACAAGAGCACCCTCATCGGGAGAAGCGGCTTGATACTTGATGACGCCTTTCTCATTCGTTTCAGGGATGACAGTGTGACAAGTAGACAGTAACGTAAGGAAATGGTGAATGATCTCGCGCGAGGAGTGCTTCACCCCATTTTCCTTTAACGTGTTGAAGTCGTGAATTCCGATCTCCATGCCATCTTGAGTAGTCCCTCTTCGGTCCTCCGGAACCTCATCGGCGTACTGAATGCCAGCTATCGAGCACTGTCGGAACTCCATCATGTTACGGGTAAGTGTGCCCGTTTTGTCAGAGAAGATGTATTCGATTTGGCCAAGCTCTTCAACCAGCGATGACGTGCGACAATTTGCAGGCGTACCGGTCTCATCGTGATAAATGTCAAGGTCGGAGTCAATCAAGAACGCTTGGTAGTATTTCACAATCTCGATGGTCACGAAGAGTGAGATCGGAACCAGATTGGAGTACAAAACCCAGTACGTGAGGATGTCAAGGAAGAACTGTCCAACTAGAGGGGTCTCCTGCAGTCCGACATAAACGAGCTGTTTCCTTTCCTTGGCGCGAATGATAACATCTCCGATGGAGCTGATGACGCTGAGGCTGATGAGAATGGCTCCAAGCATGAGAATCTGGTAGTTCACCAGCCTCTCAACGTTGGTCTTCTTGATTGGCGCGGAAGAAGCGTTCCTCATAAGTTTCGTTTCGTGGCCAGTGAACACGACGATGCCGTGAATCCAAGGCGTGTTGCGCAGAGTGGCACCACGGAGCAGGAGCTGGTCCGGCTGCAGGGGCAATTCTTTCTCGCCTCCACCCGCTTGCATGGTCAAGGTGGCTTCGTAGGTGTACAGGCTACTGTTGGGTTGCTCGGAACGGAGCCTTCCACCTAACCTGCTCAACTCCGCTGGGCTAACGAGGGTCGCAGTCTCCGGAATGGCTTGCTTGATCTTCAGGTTCGTTTCTCCATCCAAATTAGCCGTTTCGATGTAGCAGAGACCCTCAGGTTCAGAACTAGCCATGAGAACAAGATCCGCAGGGAAAGGCTCCTCGGATTCCACGCGCACAATGTCTCCCACAGAAACGTTGATCCATTTAGTCTCTTGGAACGACGAGCCCTTCAACACGCGCGCCTTTGAGTTGTTCAGACCCCTGTCTTGAGATTTCCGGCGAAAGTCTTCAACCAATTCTTTGATGGCCGATACCAACAAGACAATGATAAGAGGTGCAATCGTAGTATACCTATTAGTGGGAGAGACATTGGGAATCTGTTGCATAATCGCAGTACCCAAGAAGAACAAGTTGGCGACTTTGGAGAACTGCTCGTAGAGGAATTTCGGGATGAAGGTAGCGATGTTGTACTTGGCCGTGGAGACGTGGTTATCCACGTACTTGTTGGCAGCGTTCGCGGGCGGGTTGTTCATGTGAATTATCCGGGGTCCGAGAGTGGATGGGTCCGGCTTTCCTCCTCCAAACCCAAACTTGAATCCCGAGCTCTTCTTGCCGGCAGCAGGCTGAGCGTTGCCGCCAGAATCCGTCTCGGCATTGCGAGCCCCAGACTCTGTCAATGGAACGTCCATTTCCGAATATTCAGAGCCCATACCCAGCGTATTCTTGACCCGTCCCATGAGCCCTCCACCCAGACTCATTACGCTGTTGCGGTTCTTGGTTTGTCTCCGCACTGGGCCTGGAGGCGCTTCCTCCAACTGACTGTCGTACAGGCCGCCCGCCGCATATGAATTCTGCATTGAGAGAGCCGCATCGTCCTCGACGTCTGTATACCTCTGGTAATTTTGGAGGTCGGAAGATTGCGAGTAAATTCTACCAGTGTTGGTCGTAAGGTAAGGGTTGTTCTCCGACAGCGGCCTGGCATGGCCGGCGGGGGCCGCCGCCGTGCCACTGCCGCCGACAAAATCATCGTAGGACTCTGAAGGTCGGGGTTGCGCCGCGTCGGTGTCGTTGATATCGTAGTGTCGCAACAGGTTCTCGTCGTTGGTAGGCGGTCCCTGACCCGAGTTGTAGGCCGGGCCGGGCTCGCTCAGGTCGAGGAGCAGGTCCTCATTGTTGGCAGAGGTCGGACCTCCCGGAGGCCTGCCTGCCATGCCCGCGAGCTTGTAGCTTTCCGATCCGGATCCTTAGGGTGGTGGCGCGCGTTCGTCCCAGAAGCATCAATCCAGGTGCATCAAGCCCAGCGCATTCCAGATCTCTTCCGCGATGTCCTTGGCACCAGAATAACCGTTGCGCGCAGTGCACGGCGTGGGTGACGAGGCAGGGCTCGTTTCCTCCAGCACAGCCTCCCAACTTGGCGCGGTTCCGCGACGGGATACGAGACGTCCTGTCTCAAGAAGTGCAAGCGGGGATGATTCGTGCGACGAGGGTGGATGCGCGCGTCTCGAGGCGAGGGTGGTCAGGCAGGGGATCTTGGCCTGTGGGAAAGCTGTTGTTCTGTCGAGGTCGCGTTGCCGCCGAGCGAGTGATGAGCGCCTGAAAGGACCCTGACCGAGAGCATGGGGGTTCCGCCAACTCAATCGGGAGATGGAAAGCTGGGCGGTCGCGAACAAACATGGCGGCTATCATCAGCGCCAAGCGCACTAGGATTCAACGCGCGACACGCCTGAGCATCGCTTGGGGCCGTCTGGCCCTCATGTTCCGTGCGCCGTCTGGGTCTACGGCGTCGATAGGCCGCCCATGGGGGAGGCACAACAATGGCCTTGAACCGTAGCCCAGGCACGCGCGATTCCATCCAACAAGATAATTGCATACACCACGGTCTATTATACAGTAGTTACAATGGCGCACACCCTCTTACCTCTCCGTCAACATGTTCCGCACCGAGCTCCAGTACTTCATCGTGACGATCGGCTCAATCTCCTCCTTTGCCAACCACTTGAATTCCCTCAGACCCAGCTTGTTCTCTGACAGGTCCGCCTGGCCAGCAAAGATGCGTGCCTTCATGAACCAGACCTTCTCGCCCAGCTCGACCTTATTTGCCGGGGTGTTTTCGATAGCCTTGGGGAACTTGTACTCGTAGTGTCCGATGGGCACGTTGCCGACGACCCAGGTGTTCATGTTGATGCCTGCGGATTGCACCAGGACGCGCTCCGCCGCCTAACGCTAGTTGTCAGCATCCGTCGAACAACATCAATGCCGTGAGAGCACTCACCCTGTGCAGGTTTTCCCGGCCAATCAAGAGGTCCTGGGGAAAGCTCCACCTTCCCTCGGGGCCCTTGACCAGCAAGTAGAGAGTCCTTGACAACTTCCTGTTCAAACTCTTTTCGTCTCCAGCCAAATCTGCTTCCGTAACTCGGGGCATCGGCTTCTTCGATGCCGTCTCTTGCTGCTCTTTCTTTTCCTTAGCCGGATCTACCTCTGCACCAGGTGCCCGCTTCTTTGGCACAAACGAGTCTTTGAGCAGACTCTCCCTCTGCCACTCAGGCTCACTCTCTTGCGCTCCAACAAGCAACTCGTCATTCCAGCCCTCCTTGCCGTACGCATGGTATGTGCCAATTTCATGCGCAGGCGTCTTGCGCTCCCTTATCTTCCGCTTCCATTCAATATCCTCGGGTGTGTCGGGCTTGTAGTAGAAATATCTGGTAAACGGGAGGGCCAAACGCTCATTGAGACGGCGCTGGTAGAGGAAGTATGCCTTCTCGAACGGGTGGAGGTCGCGGGTGAGGACCGGAGGGCGAGAAAGGACAACGCCTGCGCGGAGCTGGTATGACAGCTGCGGCGTGGAAGCTTGTACGATGGGCGGGTCGGCCGATTGGACTGCAGACGCCTCCGCGACTGCGCTCGCGTATCCTCGGCGGGAGATGGTTTCGCGGCAAGATATACAGATGTTGTCCTTGACTGGCCAGCCTTTAGAGTCAACCCAACCAGAAACGGGTCGCCGAGCAACTTACCAGACCTGGAGGCCAATTGCCTCGCGCTTCTTTGTCCGGCAATCATCTCATCCTACGGCCGCCGAGGCTAGTGTTCCGATTGATGTCAGGCTCGTCGGCATCTCCAAAAAGTTCGAAGAGAGCACGATTGGGGCTGGCGCTCGGATCGGCACGTGATCATTTCTTGGCACGAACAACAAAAACTCTTTTGCGGAGATTCGCTCTTGCTTTTCCTTCTTCACGGCATCAATCCTTATCACCAAAGTATCCTTTCCTCAATGAAACGTTGGTCATTTACACGATGCCCAGACGCATGTTAGCAGTCTTTTCGCTAGCGGTACCTTCGAAAATTCCAAGGCGTACTGTTAGATAGATACTGCTCAAATACCTCCATCCTGTCGATTTTCTGTTAGCTGGATGCCGACCAGCAGTCTTCCTGCTAGGTTAATATCATATTGTACTGCGTCGTTGGCTATAAGTCATCGATATCTTTGAACAAAGATGTGTTTCTACTTTTGCTCTGGTTCTGCCTCTGATTTGAAAACGAGCCATCACTCAAGGTTTGCATGATCTGTTGCAGACACTGTCTATTCCGCGAATCCAATTTTGTCGGTGTCAGTACGATTGCTATTACGTGGCAATGTAGGTATCCGTCTTGCGTGTGGACATTCTTTGTTTTTGGCTTGGCTTTTTCTGTCGCATATACAAAGAAAGAGCAAGGAAGATTTACTCTTGCGTTGCATGTCAAACTTCCTCAAAACGTTTCTTTATTGCTCTGCGAAGAATCCTGTTCCATGCCACGTCTTATATGAGTGTCGAGACAACAAAGGAGCATTGCATTGCGCGTTAAGGGTTTTAGTTGTGGCGTTGAGAGAGCGAGACGGGTAAGCACAGCGTAGTTTGAACCTGGGAGTGTGTTGATCTATCATTTCTTTCATTCCCACAGCAGTCAAAAATGTTCACATCCATCTTCCGCAATTGCTGTCTGATACTAAACTTTTCTACAATCTTCAATCTCATACTGCTGTTTCGCAATCGTAGCTAGCACTGCTCCAATTTTCTGTCGGCATGCACGCCTACAACCGCCCCGTCGACTCTTACAGGCCTTCTGGTGGACAAGGCTGTGGTGAGCGAGAATGTTCCGGCCTTCCTTCCTGCCAGTGTGACAGCAAGCGTGGGCGTTCCATGCCTCACCACTCCCGGGTTTGGAATAGTCCAGGCACCAGTGATGATATGGGGAGAGCCACTCGTCGCTCCAGCCCCCATGAGTTCTACAACAGCCGACGCGACAATCGCTCCATGTCACCGCATCGCTACTCGCATCAGGAAGAGGAGGAGAGAGATGGAAGTCATTATCGGGTTCGCAGTCCAGCTGGACGTATGCCAGGTTTCTCTGTTGACTCCAACTCCCAATATTCGTACGCAGGCGTTCCAACAGGATCTAGGCACAACTTCCGCAGCAACGGTCATCGGCCTAGGGTCCTATTGAGACAGGCCCACTATCCTTTGGTCGAGCGTCCTGTCCACTCCTCCACTCTTTCAGACAATCCCGCTATCCCCATCACAGAGCGTGAAGATCGCCAGCCAAAGCACAATTCTTCAGAGTCCATCGAAGTAGAGGAAGACCAGACCACCCCAACCAACAATTCAGGCCCACCAACCGCTCCCAAAGCTCTACGAGGTAAGTGAGGCCAACCCTTAGCGCCATGAAGCAAAAACTCACGAAAACAGTTTCTCCCACTCACACCTCCGCCCCCCGCACCAAGCCCAAAGACTTCAACACGCCGTTGACGTGCTACTTCTGGGCTACCAAGGGCAGGTGCAGGCTCCCGGACGCAAAGTGCAGCTATGCGCATTACCACACGGGCTTCATGGCCTCGGCGCCGGTTCGCATAGGGCAGAGTAAGTGCTGCGCGTGCTAAACACAAATACGTTCTTTCCGGTATGTTTGGCTGATTTAGACTTCCAGGTACGGTGGCCGGGACGCGGGCTCAAATCGCAATGCGCGATCTTGATCCACCCCAGTTGGGAGAGGTTGTTGATAGACGGGAGAGGGCGCCTCGTCTTCGGTAGACTGCGGGAAAATGTCTGTGGCTTGTGGATTGTAGTTCTTGGCCTTTGCTTGCACTATTATACTCTATGGACGGTTGTTTTCGGGTTGGTCTCCCCCGCCCAACCGACGCTCCTCGTGATCTGGTGTCGTTATTCATACTCGGTTTCGTGAATATATACCGAGACCTTCGAACGCCTACTCTTTGCCATTCAGTATCAATATGGAGCAATTTGCAGGCATATGCTATATGATACCACCATCGTATATTCTTAGCTGGCATTATACTAGAAGACAACTTATGTTGGAAGAAGTCGTCATTGGACGCTGTGGTTTAGGTAATCAACGTGGGTTAAACGGCAACTCCGCTCCAGCGCCGAACATCAACAACTCCCCGCAGCTCATCTGCAAATTGTCATCTGATGTATGCATTGAGCCACGTATAAAGCTTTGAAGCCATCGAAACAATTGCTGTTGTTTCTTCTCATCAGATATTGGTAATTCATACTACTACTCACCCTACTGCGACCCGTACAATTCCCGCAATGTCAGCCGCGCCGAAGGGAAAGCATATCGTTGTTGTTGGGTGAGTATCATGCCTTTGAAAGTATGCAAATATGGTAGAACTGAGAGCAATAAGGGCCGGCGTCATCGGACTGCAGACGGCTATATCGTTGCTCGAAGCCGGCTACGACGTCACGGTTATCGCGAAGCATATTCCTGGAGACCTGGATATCGAGTATACATCTCCGTGGTGAGTGACTGAACAAACCCTTCCACACATTTGTCTCCCGCCTAGCGTTTATTCAAGATTCGTCTTTCTTCAATTTGCCCATTCTTCTATCAAACATACCCCAAAACCACAAACCACATTCCCAGCAAATAGGAAAAGAAGCTAACAAACCCAGGGCCGGAGCGCAATGGCGCACCCACGCCGGCAAAAATGACATAGAAGCCCAAGAGTGGGACATGGCGAGCTACAACACCTGGCTCAACATGCTCGAGGAAGAAGGCACAGACGTGTCGCACAAAACCGGGCTCGCAGTACGCTACACCACCCCCGCATCTCCACAGCAACCACCAGGCAAAGCAACTAACCCCCGCATTCCAGAAACTCGAGGCTGTGGAATACACCTGGCAAGCCGCTTCCATCTCACCCCCCACTCAACTTACACCCACAAACTAACACTCCCCGCCCACTCACAGGACGCCTCCCACAACCCCACCTCCCCTCCCCTGGTACGCGCCCCACGTGCGCAACTTCCGCTCCCTCTACACTCCTCCCACAAACACCAACCCCTCCTCGACCTCGACCCCTCCCACACCAACACCAACACCAACACACGCCTACACCTCCCTAACCCTCGACCCAACCCTCTACCTCCCGCACCTCCTCGACCGCCTCACCGTCCTAAACGGGCGCCTAATCCGCGCCACGCTCCCCTCACCCCTCCCCGCCGCCCTGCGCGCAATCCCTCTCATCCTCGCCCAAAACCCCCGCACCAATCCCCCCAGCGCAACGATCCTCTGCCCGGGCCTGTCGGCCCTAACCCTCCTCCCAGACCCCCGCGTCCACCCCATCCGCGGCCAAACAATCACAGTCCAAGGCCTCCCCCAACTCGCTCAAATGCGCGCGATCCCCTACCTCTCGCCCAGCGACGCGACGCCCACGTACGCGATCCCCCGGCCCGCGAGCAACGTGACCGTTCTAGGTGGGACGAGGGGCGAGGTGGGGGACTGGCGCGCACGGCCGGATAAGGGGGTGAGGGAGGGGATTTTGAGACGGTGTCGGGGGCTGGTGCCGGAGTTGCTTGTGGGTCTGGAGGGTGCGGCGGGTGGGACTAAGGAGGGGGAAGGGGGGTTCGAGGTCCTGGGCGAGGGCGTGGGACTCAGGCCGGGGAGGACGGGCGGGCCGAGGGTCGAGCTCGAGCCCGTTGTGTGTAATGGGGGTGGAGACGGAGGAGATGGGCCGCGCGAGTGGGTCGTAGGTTATGCGTATGGGCATGCGGGCGCTGGGTACCAGAACTCGATTGGGACGGCGAGGAAGATGGTGCGGTTGCTTGGGGTGTGGTTTGAGGCCGAGGAGGCTGAGAAGGCGAGGAAGGCGAAGGAGGAGAAGGAGAAGGAGGGGAAGGCGAAGTTGTGAGTTAGTGAATGACTGACTGACTGAGTGGGTGAGTGAGAGGAGACTTGGTGGTGGCTTTTGTTTGAAAGAAAGAGTTATGAGCTATAGAGAGGAATTATTTTTCAACCAGATATACATACATGCACCAACAACCCCCCATAAACACACACCCTCGCCCTACAAATAATCCCCCCTCATCTCCAGTAATACCGCCTTCTGCCGCTGCCCGCTCATGCGCTCAAACCGATCAACAGCCATAACAAACGTGCCCCTACCGCCCGTCAAGCTGCGCAAATGGCGCAAATAGCCCACCATTTCCTTCAGGGGCACCCTAGCCGCGACCTGTCTCTGGCGATCGACGTGGGCAGAGCCGAACTGCCCGCTGCCACCCGCCGACGAGGACGAGCCAAACGGGTCGGGCGGCGCGTAGATGCGCGCCGGGTCGATCGAGAGCAGCTCCTCTGCGGCCTGGGCGCCCTGCGCTTGCACGTCCTCGGCCGCGTAGTCAGCACCGCTGCTGCTGCTGTCGCTGCCGTCGCCTTCTTCGTCGAGCGACATGATCTGCCCGCCGCGTGCTGAGCTGATGTCGTGCACCACGGCGCCTAGGTCGCTCTCGTTGACTGTGATGCCCACGCGCATGACGGGCTCCATGAGCACCGGCGTGCTCTTGCTCTGCGCACTGCGGAGGGCGGCAGCGACGGCGAGGCGCGTCGCACCGGAGATGGCGGCGGGAGTCGTGTCCGAGACGAACTGGGTAGCGGGGTTGAGGAAGACCTCGACGACCGTGGAGTGCATGGGGAAGCGGTATTCTGGGCCGCGGGCCAGGGCGGCAGAGGCGCCAGTTTGCAGAGCCGAGAGGAGGAGCGTAAAGGTGAGTTCGGTGGGGAGGTCAGGATCTTCGGAGGAGACGCCGGTGCCGTCGCGGTTGAGCGTCGGGTGGCGCACGATCAGTGTGTTGGAGTCGAGTTGCAAGACCGTGGTGTCTTCATCGTCGATGACTGGAGGACTCGTAGCGTCGAGCGGGGAAACGCTCGCTGTGCATGTAGCGCGAGCGTGCTTGCCCGCAATCTCGCGGTCCAAGACTTCGGTGACTTGGGCTGAAGGCACAGTGATGGCTTCGCGGTATCCAATCTCAATCTTGCCAGTTGATGCCTTGGCCTTGAAATCGTTGATCAGCCGATCACGCGCGATTTCCAGGTGCAACTCTCCCATGCCGGCAAGATGTGTTTGTCCGCTTTCAGCGTCCTGGGAGACATGCAGACTGGGGTCCTCACGAAGTAGCAAAGCAAGAGTATCAGCCAGGTGCTTCTCTTCAGAGAGGCTGTTTGGTTCCACGCTGGTGAAGAAAACAGGCGGTGGTACAGCTATCGGCCGAAGCTGTAAGGAATTGAGGGGAGCTGGTGGCCCGACCTTCGGGTTGGCTCCTGTGTAAACGATCAAAGTGTCTCCAGTGCGGGCATGCTTGAGTCCTGGAATCACACCAATTTGGCCTGCGGGGATTTCGTCAACCTCCACGGCGTCATTGGCATACATCTTGAACAACCGTGGTGCCTTTTCTGACAAGCCGAGATTGGTGTTGTATAGGACCGTTTGGCGGGTAAGAGTTCCAGAGTATACTCTGACGTACACAAGAACGCCGCGTTTGCTGTCGTTAACCACTTTGAATGCCAATGCACAAGCCTGAAGCTTTTGGACTATCGACGCATCTGGTGCTTTAGATTTAGCTGCCGACTTCTTCTTTTTCTTTTCCTCTTTTTGTGGGAGAGCGAGGGCGAGCTTTCCGCTCAGAAGGTCACTCAGACCGCCACTCACACCCCCAAGTTTGACACCAGCATCAGGACGCTCTTCGGGAGACGGCAGGAGATCGATAACTGCATCCAGTAGAGGCTGGACACCAATGTTACGGAAACTGGCTCCTGCGAATGTTGGGACGATCTTCTGAGGGTACTGAAGGATGCATCTCCGAAGCGCTTCGGTCAGTTCAATGCCGGTGAAAGCCAGATGATCCTCGTTGTATTCGAGGAACTTTTCAACCATCTCGTCATCATGTTCGCTCAGAAGCTCAACTAGAGCTATTCTGGCATTTTTAAGTTCGGATGCCAGCTTAGGATTGGTAGCTTCGAGATCCTTCAAAGTGAGCAGTTTGACAGATTTGCCATCGCCGCCTTCTTCCCACAGCATGCCACGCATATTGACAACATCACCCACACCAACGAGCTTTCCGTCGCCATTCTTCCACCAAGGGATTTGGCAAATGGCCGGCCAACAGTGCAGCCGCATGCCGATCTCTTTGATCGTCCGCTCGAAAGCTGCACCATCACGGTCGAGCTTGTTGACGAAGATGATCTTGGGAATCTGGTACTGGTTGGCTTGTTTCCAGACCTTTTCAGTCTGGGCCTCGACACCGGCAACGCCATCTAGGATGCAGACAGCGCCGTCAAGGATGCGTAGTGAACGTAAAACTTCAAAGGTAAAGTCGGCATGGCCGGGGGTATCGATAAGGTTAATGTTGTGCGAAGAAGTAGACCTTGGCAGTGCCACTGGGCCATCGAGCTGCTGCGCGGAAGCAGGAGGCAGCGGAGGCCAATGGAAAGTGATGGCGGCGGATTGAATGGTGATTCCGCGTGCCCTTTCGGCGGGAAGAAAGTCCGTGACGGTTGAACCTTCGTCGACGTCTACGAGGTGTCAATACTGGGGTGTATGGCTACGCGAATAACTATCAAGGAGAATAACAAGATAAAAAACCAAAGCAAGAAAAATAGTACATAAGAAGAGTGGACGGCATTGAGTGGAGAGAAAGAAAGAAAGAAAGGGAGAGAATACCTCCTAGCCTGCGGGTAAAACCGCTGTAGTAGAGCATGCGCTCCGTGGTGGTGGTTTTTCCCTTCGCATATCAGCTTCATCACATTGAGATGGGAGGGAAGAGAACATACGGCATCGATGTGGGCTATGATGCCAATGTTGCGGGTCCTATGGGTGGAATAACGGCGCAGAGGACTCTGCTTGACGGGCAGCTGGGCGCGCCATACTCGAGCGAGGAGCATCGTGCGGACTTTCAGAGTGACCTAGTGTTGAAGCAATTGGAGGGCGGCGAGGACAAGAGTTTTGGCTTAACCCGAAGTGGCAAGCGCGGCTTCCCCGGCCAAGCTCATTCCATCGCATTCGCATCTTACCAACTCCCCCACGCCCACTCCTCCATACATCCCCCTCCAATTTCACCGATCCACCCCCCATGGACTATTCTGCTGATGCCGGCGGCGCCTCGCCCTGGGCTTCCTCGCCTCAGCCCACCCGCACCACATTCGGCTCCATTAGCGACATCTCTTCCGAGCCCCTCCCGCCCCAGTCGCCTTATGGCGGAGAACAGCAGCCCTTTGCCGACCAGCCCAGCGCCTCGCAATCGCACCACGACGCCGACCATTCCGAGCCGCAGCCGTGGGGCCAGTCGCAAGACCAGCAGCCCCCCAGCCCCGACCAACACCACCATCATCACCACCACCCCCAGCAGCAACGGCAGGAACCCAACCGTTACCATGGCCAACGTCCGCGCCAGAACATCCCCCAGTACAAGCTGCAGGCCAAAGTGACGGGTCTCGAGCGCACCGGCCGGAAAGACCCTATCCTGCGCTTCGACGTATACGTAAGCCACACTCCATCTCCCAATGACCGCGTTGGGCTCCTCCGCTCACACACAGCTTTTTCCAGACCAACCTCCCCAAGTTCCGAACCACCCAATTCCGCGATGTCAGGCGTCTGCACTCCGAGTTCGAGAAGCTGGCCCAGCACTTAATATCCGCGAACCCCGAGGCGTTTGTGCCGGCCGTGCCCCCACCTGTGACGTCTGCGGGCGTCGGCACCGACGAGGATGAGGGCCGCGTCAAGACCTCGATCCAGAAGTGGCTGAACGCCGTCTGCGGCAACGACGTGCTGATGCGCGACGAGGAGATGGTCTTCTTTGTGGAGAGCGACTTTGGCTACAGCCCCGTCGTTCGGCGCAAGCAGCCGGCGACGGGCGTGCGGAGGAAGTATCTCAAGCAGTTTGCGCCACCGCCAGACGACACGCCCGAACTTTTCGAGGCTAGGCCCGTCGTCAAGCTGTTCTATCTGCATACGATGGAAGCTGGACAAAAGGTCGATAAAGTTGTCAAGTCCCGCAGGGGTAAGTGCAGTGGCTTTGTCTGGTCCGAGACCTATACTAACACAACCGTCAAGCCCTCGGCCTCGCCGAAGCCGACTTGGGCGTCAAGCTCGGCCAAATGCACATCCAGGAGACGCACGTCGGCCTCTCCAATGCCTACCGCCGGATGGGCAAGGTGATCCAAGCCGTCGGCGACTACCACGCGGCCCAAGGCACAGCCGAAGCAACCACGCTCGGCGACCCGCTCAAATACCACAGCGACGACGCCTTCATTGTCAAGGAAACGCTGACAAACCGCCACATCCTGCTGCGGGAGCTACTGCACGCGCAGCAGACGACGCGCTCCAAGCTCGCTGCCGCCGACAGACTGAAAGCGTCGTCCTCGGTGCGACGCGACAAAGTAGACGAAGCAATCACATCCCTCGACGAAGCCCGCAACCAAGAACAATACCTGGGGCAGAAATGCACGCGCGTAACCACGCACCTCACGTCGGAGCGGCGCAAATGGTTCGAGCGCACAGCGACGGACCTGCGCGCCGCGCTCCGCGACTATGTAGTGCGACAAATCGAAGCAGAGCGGCGCACGCTGGCGACGCTGGAGCAAGTCCGCCCGGACATCCGCGCCATCGACGCGTCGGGCGGCCTGTCGCGGCTGGGACGGGAGACGCACCCGGCGGGGCGGCGCGCCAGCCTCGCCAGCAGCCAGGGCCCCAAGGGCGATGCGTGGAGCGGGGTGCCGCGGCGCGCGGACAGCCTGAGCCGCAGCATCAGCGGCGGCTTCGTCGCGCCCGTCGTACCGGAGGAGGGCGACGCTAGCTCGGACGAGGAGGTGCTGCATCCGGTGAAGAAGAGGACGGCGAGCTTGACTGGCGTGAGCGAGGAGGATGACGATAGGATTGATGCGAGGAATGCGGCGTCGAGGTTGGCGCAGACGACGTTTTAGTAAGTGTGTGTGGTTGTGGTTGTGGGAGAAAGAGAGAGGGAGGGAGGGAGGGAGAAAGTTGGGCTTGGGGCTGGCTTGGGTTGGGAGTGCTGGGAGTGCTGGGGACTGCTGTGGGGGGTGGATGAGTGCCGTCGTTGCTCTCGAGACTGAGAAGGATATTGGTGGGCGTGCTGAAGCAAAAGCAAAGCAGAATAGTTGATCGACAGCAGCACGAACGGGCGGTACAGATGCATGAACACAGAAAGACGCGTGAAACGAATAGGATGGAATGGGATGGGATATGGTAGGATAGCAGACCTTAATGCAGTAGTAGGTGGAGAGATAGAGAGAGAACCACGTTTGTTTGTACTGCACGTTACATCACACGACATGGCTAATCATCCCGTCTGTATGGAAACATGTACACCAATGTACTTAGTGTCTATTTTCCGAACTGGCGTCTTCACAACTAATCACAAATTGCAGGTCCCTATCCAACCACAGCTTTGCCCTTCCCCTCTACACCTCTATGCACCTCCATCCCCTCGCTCTGTCTCCTTGCCACAACCACCCAACACCCAACTCGCGTCCACTCGAAAAGAGGCAGCAAATGGCATAACGCTGAAGCAAAAGTGCCCGCTAAAGCAAGAGCTCAAGCCAAAGCTAGAGCTTGGCAGCGCGCTTCCCGACAAGGCTATAGATGCTCGGCCGCGCCGGTTCCGGGTTCCTTTAACGCAGCGAAAACGCAAAGACGTAAGCCTGGTGCCTTTGGACGCAAGAAGGGGAGAAGGGGAGAGAAGGGGAGCGAGAGGAGCGAGAGAGGAGCGAGAGAGACGGCAGGAAGGAGGGAGTGGGGGAAGAGCAGGAAGAGTAAGGAAGAAGGAAGAAAGGGAAAAGAACGGGCACCGCAACAACAAGCCCCCCCCCCCCCCCCCCCCCCCCCCCCCCCCCCCCCCCCCCCCAAAACGCGCCTACCAAGCCGTGATATCGTCGACCTCCGCCTCGCCAAACGTGCTGCTCTTCGCGACGCCGAGCTCCTCGGCGGGCGCCGCGGCCGCAACGGCCTCGCTCGGCGTGCGCGCCATGATGTCCGGCAAGCAGGCGTGCAGGAACGCCTGCAGGTGGCCGTTGACCTGCTCGAACTCGAGGAGAAAGGCGTCGTGGCCCTCGGGGGAGTCGATGGTCTTGAGCTCGGCGCCAGGGATGCCGGCCGCGAGCTCTTCTTGCTCGGCGAAGGTGAAGAGCCCGTCCGACTGGATGCCGAGGATGAGCGTCGGCTGCGTGATCTGCGACAGCGAGGTGCGCAGCAGCGACGTCGAGCTTAGTGAGGTGGTTGACGAGGTTAGGTCTTCGTCTTCGTCGTTGTTTTCGGATGAGACCCGTCCGCGTGATACGTCGTGCGTGTCGAGTTTGCGCGTGATCGCGATGTAGCAGTTCGCGTCGAAGCGCTTGATGAACTTGTCGCCTTGGTAGCGCAGGTACGACTGCGCGGAGAAGTAGGTCGGCGTGCGCTTCTTGTTGCGGATGGGGCCCGTGAGGGTCGGGGTCGTGGGGGGAGGCGTCGCGGGCGCAGCAGCCGCGCTCATCTCGACGTCCGTCTTCGCGGCCGCGGGCACCGTGGAGGCAATGTCCGCGCTGGAGCCCACGCGCGACGGCCGCGGCGACCGCGCGTTCTTATGCCCTTCGTTGTGGATGGCCCAATGCTCGTTCCCGGCCGAAGACGACGGCCGCTGCACGCCGTTGATGTTCTGGCGCAGCGAGGGGTTGGGGATGTTGCGGCCGAAGCGGGACTCGAAGGAGTCACGGCTCCGGTACGTCAAAAGGGCGGACATGCGCGCGGCCGCCAGCCCCGTCGACGGCGGGTCCTCGAAGGCATAGTACCCGTCGTCGTACTTGGGGTCTGAGTAGATGCTCTGGCGCTGCGCCTCGCCCCAACTGATGCCCCACGCGCTGTAGCGCGCCGACGTCGCGATGGGAATGATGCAGCGGACGTAGTCACGGCCAAAGTAGGCAAACTCGAGCACCAGCATCCCACCCATGGAGCCACCCACCACGGCCGCGATCTGCTTGACCCCGAGGTCGTCGAGAATCAGCTTGAACAGGTTGACGTCGTCGCGCACCGTCGTCAGCGGGAACTCGGGCCCGTATAGGCCCTGCTCCGGGTCGCCGTCCTTGTTCGTCACCGGGCTGGCGCTGCCGTACGGGCTGCCCAGGCTGTTGAAGCAGCACACGAAGAAGCGGGATACGTCAAACGCCTTGCCCGGTCCCCCCATCAGCGGCCCCCACCAGTCCCCGACATCGGCACTGCCAGTCAGTGCGTGGCAGATGACCATGGCATTGTCACCCTCCGGCGAAAGAGTGCCGTATGTTTTGTAGGCGACGGGGACATTGCGCATGGTCACGCCGGACTCGAGCGTGAAGGAGGGCACGATGGCAATGCTCTGGTCGGGGATGAGCTTGACATAGGGATTCTCGGGTTGTTCATTGATTCTCGCTGCACGAATGTCAGTGACTGGCATTGTGTGACTGTACCTCGGGGAGGTGGTGCGCACGGTACTTGAAGGTGGACTGCCCATTGGGCGCATCGGCGGAGACAGTCATGGCGACTGGTAGCAAAGGATGGGCGTGTCAGAGGAATACGGCGAGTAAGATTCACTGCCAGCGCTTTCCATGCCTCGGGCAATGGGGAGAATGGTGGTGAGAGGAGCTTTTGGGCGCGAGAAATCAAAAAGAATGGGGCCCCGCGACCGGGCCGAGCGTCATCGGCGGTTTCTGTGACGTGGGAGAGCTGACACATCGCGAACATCGGCGGCACCAACAGGCCAGCGCAGTCAGTCAATGATTACAATTATTCCCTCGTTTTGATTCTTGATTTCTTAAACATATCACAGGCCACTTTTCCCGGGCCTGCGGGGCATGGTGCAAGTTGAAGCTCAGTCTCGTCTCTTGCCGTCAATCGTCAAGAAGAAAGACAGAAAAGAAGAAGAGAAAAAGCGACCTTTTTTCATGCCGTGTTCGTCATCACCACGCTATAAGCCTAACTCCCCATCTTGTCCCCAGAATAAACAGAACATGTTCGAAAAGAAGTGCATCGTAACTTTTCCCAATATCCCTCAAAAGAAAACCTCTCGTTAAGGAATCATGACCGCGTGTAGGATCAATACAAGGGAAAAGCGGATGGAAAGTGCGCCAGCAAAGGGCACTGGCGCAGGCCTAGGGCAGTTGCTTAGGTGGAAGCAACGGCGGCCTCAGTGTTGGCAGAACCCTCAGCGGTGGAGGGGACACCGTCCTCGGTGGCAGGAGCGCCCTCAATGGGAGCCTCGGGGGACTCGTCCTCCTTGCCAGGCGAGTCGATGGCGACCTTGACGGCGATCTCGCGGCCCTCAATCTCCTTGCCGTTCATCTCAGAGCAGGCCTTCTGCTGCAGCTCCTCGGAGGCCAGCGTGACGAAGCCGAAGCCACGGCCCTTGCGAGGCTCGTTGCGGGCCTGGAGCTTCTTGACCATGAAGCGGGGGATGGGGCGAAGGGCGATCTTGGCAGAGGTGGGCTGGTAGTCCTTGAAGATCTCGAGCAGCTAGTATCCAAGTCAGCATGCGCGTCAAGCCATTGTGCGGGCTGGGTGGTGCTTGCCTTCTCCTCCCTGAGATCGTAGGGCAGGTTGGCGACCATGACCTTGGTCTTGGAAGGAACGCCATCCTCGGGGGGACCGCGCTGCTTGCGCTCGCGCTGGACGTGCGTCTTGCCAGTCTTGGCGGGGTTGACTGTGGTAGTGCCCTCGGCACCCTTTTCGGCGGTGAGCGCTTCGTTCGTCGTCTCAGTGAGGGGGAGAACTTGGCCAGGTACATTCGTAGGAGCACTCTCAGCCGGGTCAGCGGCAGCGGGAGTCTCGGTAGCTTCGCCTTCAGTCTGTTCGCGGGGCTGGCCCGCATCAATTAGCTTACAGCAATCCTTTAAGAAGAGCAGTTAGGTGGGGTGAACTTACGGCGCGACCTCCACGGGCGGCACGACCACCACGGCCACGGCCACGACCACGGCCGCGGGTAGAGCTGCGGCGGCGGGCGTTGCCGGAGCCCTCGCCACCGCTGGTGGCACCCTCAGCGTGGGCCTCGGGCTTGCGGGCGAGCTGGATCGAAACCTTGCGGTCAAGGATGGCCTTGCCGTTCAGCTCGGCAATGGCGCGCTCGGCCTCGGAGGGGGTGGACAGATCGACGAAGGCGTAGCCGACAGGGCGGGTGGTGCGCGGGTTGGTGGGGATGGAGGTCGACTCGCTGTTGATTGACGTCATATTAGCATGTCGAGAGCTTGGACGCCTATGATGAGCTGGGCACATACACCAAGTAGTCCTTGAAGAACTCCTTCAACTCTCCCTCGGTGGTCGCATACGCGAGGTTCCCAATGTAGAGTCTACGACCCTCAGCGGCGCTGGCAATGACGGCCTCGTTCTCGGAGGCGTTGATGGGCTTGTCGCCGCCGGCGCCCACGCTGGCGCCTTCGGCGGTGCCAGTGGGCTCGTTGAGGGTGGTGTTGGCCATCTGGGCGGTGGCGCTGTCGACAGGAGCGGACATTTTCGGTTGTAGTTTATAGGGTTGATGACACGAAATGGGGAGCTAGGTAACCGTGCTGGAGTTGAGGAAACTGGGTGTCCTGGTAGAGCTTGGTCTGCCGCGAACGTCGGAGAGAGGCTTGAGTTGTCGAAACCGCCTGGAGTGGTGGGAACGTTGACGAGGGAGGTTGGGGATGGGAAGCTAAACGCCCGAGTTGGTTAGAGTTGAAAGCGTTGTCGGATTTGGTGATCTGGCTTGTTTGGTGTTTGATGAGGTCGAAAGGGGAGTGCAGTGCTCTTGAATTTTGTACGTAGGTCGTGCACGCGCCAAGCCGCACTAGTCCCAATGAGGTCGGGGAAGGTGCGGACGACCCCCCAGACGCTGCCGGCACAGGCAGCGGCCATGCGGCTGCGAGTGCGCGGCGAGGCAGCCGCGCGCACACCGTCGTTGATGGCCGCCGCCCCCAGGCCGCTGCGCCATTGAACGACGCCGCCCCGGGAGCTTTGGGTGTCCGCGAGTCATGCAGCTATCGGAGCTTGCGCAGGGGGCCAGACCACCCCCCCAACCCCTCCATGCTTGGATGCTGGCGGATGAGCGCATACGCTGGAAATACCTAATAAACTAGCTGCAGTTTGCCATGCGTGTGTGCAACAGTACCCTGCAATTTGCACGTAGCCGCAATTGCCCTCGCGTGCCTGCCTGCAACTGCACGTACCTACATAGCTAGCTATCCATGGAAGCCACAACCTACGTATCCAAGGTACATGTACCTGGCAGGTGGCAGCCAGGCAGCCCCTTCCATGCTTACCGCTCCGCCTGCGACATGACGAGCGGAAGCGCGGAGCTGGCGACAGCCCGAGCGTGCAACGGCTGAGTCGGGCAGGCGGCGCAATCGAAAGACGGCCAGTGAGGTCATGCTCAAGCAGCGATTGGCAGCACGGGCCGCGAACCAGCGGAGTCTTCGCTCCACAAAATCCGGAGATCTCTGACGAGCTTGGACGGCCCTTGGTCCTTCGAAGCTTTCCCGCCGGCCCGTTGCCCATCGCCCCTCGTTCCATCCAGCCACTCGCGCTGACTGAATTTGTTCCTTTTCTGCCTGTCTGTGCCCTGTCCAGCACGCAATTTTGCTTCATGAACTAGAGTAGTTGGGGAAACAATGTCTCACACTTTTTTGCTGGACCTGAGACCCTTGGTGCCTTGAAGGAGCCGCGTGCTGCCACTAAATGCTGCGGCTCCAGCACCGATTTTCTTGGGGCTGATTTTCCTTCCAGGCGGCTCGCTTCGCTTCCCAGAGATGAGAAACATTGCCACCAAGATTCGAGATTCAGCCTCCATTCATTGTCATGCACTACGTCAACTGCTTGCAAGATCGACCCTTGGAAGTGCCATGAGTGAACCGTTGAGAGAGAACGTGCTCGCCGCTGCCTTTGCACCTAGCGTCGACGGCACATCAGGGTCTGGCTTCCGTTTAGCTTGGACGCCAGCCTGGCATTGCGCAGTACTCGGGATTCTGCTGACTTGATGAATCCTCGAGCACAGCTGATGAGACCCCACGCAGCCCTGACAGGCCGAAATCGCAACAACGTGACCAAGAGCCCCCGCACTAATCCCGAATCGGTCGTATCGATAGCCTCTTCAGATATGGTCCTGGCTGTCGCCGCGCTTCTTCACACCACCGATTCTCATGACTCACTCAGCTATCGTGACCTACGGGTCCGAAACGGGCAATGCAGAAGAGATTGCGGCGCAGCTGAGCCAGCTGACCCGTCGATTGCGCATTTGGACCACCATCAAGCCATTGAACGCACTTAAACCCCAGGAGCTCGAAAGCGCCACCGTCGTGCTCATAGTAATCTCTACCACCGGGCAAGGAGACTTGCCGAGGAATGCACAGGCTCTCTTTAAGCAGTTGAGGAGTAAAAGACTACCAGCTGATTTCTTGAAAAATGTCACTTTTGCTTCATTTGGATTAGGAGATAGTTCGTACACACAGTATGTTTGATTATATCTATCCATTCGAATACGCATATTGATGTTGTTCGTCAGGTTCAATTATGCTCACCGCAAGCTCAAGAACCGTTTAGAACAGCTTGGGGCGCAACGCCTGATTGATGCTGGCGAAGGAGACGAGCAGCACCCGGAAGGGTACGTTGGCTACCAGAATAATTCCTGTCCTAGTCACTGATTTTCTTGTTTGTTTCCAGTGTCGATGCTACTTTTATACCATGGGTGGAAACTCTCCGTAAGAAGTTGCTGGAGTTGTGTCCGCCTTCCGCTGGCCAGGAACCGGTTCCGGAAGATGTCTTTATAAAGCCAAGATGGTTTCTCCAGCTTAAAGACGAGGAGCCCAGCTCTAGTGACAACCAGGAATCAGCGACGCTGACTCTCGATGATTATGGACGTTTGGACCATGCGCATGTTTCCCAGGAGCCAGACCATGAACCCGCCGAAATCGTTTCTAACCAGCGTGTCACACCTGATGACCATTGGCAAGACGTACGTCAACTCGAGATCAAGGTGGCACGGCAAATCGAACGTAAAGACCCAGCCGGCAACGTTCTAGAAAAATCACGCGTAGATTATAACCCTGGCGACATTGCCGAGATCTATCCCAAGAACTTTCCTTCAGATGTTGAAGAGTTCATATCTCTCCAAGGGTACAAAGACATTTGCCATAAGCCACTGGATCTCAAATACGACTATGAGCAGTTTGACTGCGAGCCTCTGCGAGAGCATCCACTGGAAAGTGCACCCTTCCATCCCACCATCTTCGGCCTCCTCGTCAACCACCTGGACCTGATGTCCGTACCGCGTCGCTCATTCTTCGCCCTCATCGCGCACTTCGCCTCGGACTCCACGCAGAAAGAACGGCTCCTCGAGTTTGCTTGTCCCACCGACCCCGAAGTCCTCCAAGACTACTTCGACTACACGACACGCCCCCGCCGCAGCATCCTCGAAGTGCTGCAAGAATTTACCAGCGTGAAGATCCCCTACCAATACCTCCTCGGCATCATCCCCCCAATCAAACCCCGACAATTCAGCATCGCCAGCGCCGACAGCACCAAGCTCGACGCCGAAAGCAAGGTCGCCACCGTCACGCTCCTCATCGCCATCGTCAAATACCGCACCGTGATCAAGCGCATCCGACACGGCGTCTGCTCGCGCTACCTCAGCGACCTCCAGCCCGGCCAGCTCCTGCGCATGCAGATCCTCAAGGGCGCAATGCGCGTGACAGACGACGACCTGCGCGCGCCAAGCATTCTGATCGGGCCAGGCACGGGCATCGCGCCGCTGCGCTCCATCATTCAGGGCAAGGAGCTGCTGCACGCGGCCTCGCAGCCCCCGGCGCAGCAAAACGGCACGCACGAGCAAGACGGCGACGATACTGCCGCCGCCGCCCGTCTGCTCGACTCCACGCTCCTGGTCTTCGGCGCCCGCTCGGCCCGCGCGGACTTCTATTTCCAGGACGAATGGGCAGACAAAGTTGAGGCGGAGGGCTTGCATCTCGCCACCGCGTTCAGTCGCGACCAGCGCCAGAAAATCTATGTCCAGGACCGGGTGCGTGAGCAGGGGAAGCTGATTCTGGAGCTGCTGAAGATGGGCGGGCGGGTGTATCTCTGTGGCGCGAGTGGGAAGATGCCCGAGGCTGTGAGGGCGGCGATTGTGGATGTTTTGGTTGGGGAGGGGGGTATGGAGAGGGAGCGCGCGGAGGAGGTGTTGAAGGGGTGGGTTAGGGGTGGGAGGGTCCAGCAAGAGACGTGGTAGATGTGTGGGTGGGAGTGGGGAGAGGGGTGTCGGTTAGGTTATGTGTTGTTTCCTAGAGATTTGGTGTAGAGTTTGAAATATTTGTCTATATATAGGGTCTTCATACTCGAGAACAGTAATCCGTCAAGCTTGTCCAGCAAAGTTCGAGCACTTCGTAGACGACGACTATGGTCAAATAACGGGGTTCCTGCACTACCAAACTATGACCACATATTCCCAGGCAAACCCAAACCCATCCCCATCCCCATCCCGCCAGCACTTCCCCGTAAACGCAGTCCCTCATCACGCCCTCCAAACACCGTCACCAATCACCGTGCACCAGCTACACTACGCACCAACACCACCTCCACCATCATCCTACCACAGCCCCCAAACCCAAACCTCCCAGAACGTCGTCCTCGACCAACCTCATAACGGAATCAACAGCACCCATACAAGGCGAACTCTTCTTCGACAAGACACCGTGTGCTTTAATGCCTCGTAACACAGTTCTGTGCTGTTGTCGCTCTTGTTGTTGTCGTTGCTGGGAGAAGGTGCTTATATATGTGTTCTTGCCTGGTGTGGTGAGAGGGTATGTTTGCGTAAGCACGTGAGTTGGGGTGGTGGGGGTACGGCTGGGGTTGTGTGTGGGTTTCTGCATGGTAAATGAGGATTTAGAGGCTTCGGTTGCTTTTTGTAGCATGACCACGACGGGGTGTTCTCATTTATTTTATTTTGTTTTACTTCACTTCAAGTCATGATTTTTTGTGAACTTAATGCACAGTGATCTATCGATCCGTGCACAACCCCATCCTATACCACGTTACCCCAGAGCGATGGGGTCATGGGGCCACGGCTATAAAACCACAGTTTTAACTCCGCTTTCCTCTTTCCCCCGCCACCGCCGTCGCCTTGGGATATGGAATAACCATCGATCTGATCAGGCTGCAATTGAAAGAGCGCTTCGCAGTTCCATGGTATTGGATGGTATTAGGCCGGTCCTTCTTGGGCTCAGCAAACCACGACCACGACGTCTTAGTGGGCGAAAGGAACTGTGGTGGAATTGCAAAGGCTTTGGTGTTGGTGCTGTTGTTGTTCAGTGTCAACTGCTCTTGCTTTGCTGCTGACTAGAGGCGCCGGTCATCATCACTGTGTTTTGCTGATGTGTCTTGAAATACGGGAGTTCCTGCTTTTGTCCTGTCTTGATATAAAACTCTAGTCTGCTTTTGTCCTGTCTTAATATAGAACTCCAGCCCGCTCGCCCTCAAACATATCCTCTAACCATTTGTGGCAATCCAACGCATGCCAGACATCATCTGGGTACAGATGGGCAGATGCGGCGGTCCGCACACATATTACAAACCACCTGTAAACCGAATCACGCTAAATACGAGCTTGCAACGGTGTTGGCGAGATGGCGCGCTTGCTTGGGTACGTATGTGGTGGTTGGATGATACGTCCGTGTGGTGTGCTGCTGCAAGGTATAAATGCAGCTCTCGCCCTAGAGGTTCTGTATCGATCGATGGCAAGGTCACATAGGTTCTCGCCGTGGAACTTGTACAAAGACTTGTCGCCTTCCAGCTGGATGAAGGTAAGTCGGGCTGGTGGCCACGGAGCCTAGGGCTGGAAATGAAGTGAGAGTTTACTGGTACTTAAATCTCGTTTGGATAACAGTGTTGTTGAGCATTGGTTAGGCTTGATGGTGTTGTTCTTCAGTCCTGGCTTGAGATGCTGGTTAACAGCTTCTGGTGATGACGATGTGCATAATATTGTAGACTTTTGCCATTCACATTTTTGCTTCTTACTCTCTTCCTGCTTCCACAAGCCCCATATCGGTTCAAGGCTTCCAGAACCCGTTCCGGAGTGGACCGGGATGACTCGGAACCGTTTCCCTCCCGCTCCCTGTGGCGCCTAGCCATGGCGGATGTGGCCTTGCTGCGCTTGACCACCGCCTCCCTCTACTGCCGTCTGATCGAGGGCGTGTAAGTGGCAAAAAGAAAACAGTGACTATCGCTCAGAATATTGAGTGCTTAAAACCTTGGAGCGAGAGTTGGGGCTGAAGGCTGGAAGGTTGAGCGATTATACAGCGGCTGAGGTGACATTTGTCTTTTGGTGTATACAGTTAGATATATTGGATAAGCCTAGACGTTTATAGCGAAGGGAGAAGAAGAGTCATAAGTTTTCTCCTTAGAGGTATGCTGCGTAGTTTTAGACAAAGCTGTTAAGAGCTCTGTGTCCATCTCCTATAGCTTTAAGACAGTGACTTGCCGAACGCTTCTCCCGAAAGCCTATCTTCTCAAATTTCGTATGCGATAACTTCAAGAGGCCATGCGCCGTCTTGGTAAGATTGATTAGCGGCATATAAAGCAGTTACCGCGACGTGGTGGAAATTCACAATGACTCTGCTTCAACTGGTTTGGCAGTACCAGAACCATTCTCGTCTAGTAGGACACCGAGGGTTAGGTTCGGTTCGGGTGGTCCTAGGTTCGTCGATCCGTTATATTGTTATAACGACCTATCTAGGCAGTTCACCGCTTCGGGTTGGTATGGTGTTGATGCACTTTAGCACTGTTTTTAGATGTTGCTCGTAAGCTTTTTATGATATTAATGTATCCGAATATACGCAGGGCTTCTTGATATGTTCCGTACCTCATTTTGCCCGTGCAGGCTAGTTTAACAAATGTTTTTGTGAGATTCTTTCCCTTCAGGAAGAGCCGTGTCAGAGAGAATCGCGTCAGAGCTGTAACCATGAGGTTACTTCCCGAGTTTGCTAGGAAATATGATTGAGGTATTAGCAGGAGTTAAATATATTGAGTATTGCTGTCATAGTGCTCTGGAATTTACGGGGAGTAGGTTCTGGCATTTGCAAATTAAGAAAGCCTAGACAGGGGTTATGGAGCTAAACTGTCTGCCTGCTTGTACTCATCAGCGCTACTCAGATAATCAACTCGGAGCTTTTACTAACACAGCACTGCAATAGACACAATGAAGGTTTCTTCATGGCTCCTCCGTGTCCCTCATCACACCCACTTACCGCGCCACTAACTATCTCCGGGCCGGATTCGTCCACTCCCGCTCACGCGCATGGCGCTGAGCCTGTCGGTTGCTTACCGTTCGACCTGGATGAGTGCACACCGACTTCCTACAACTGTACGAGCCGCTACTAGCACTAAGCAGCCTGGGAGCGCCGATGCGCCATGAGGCGTGCGTCAGGCAGATTGAAGCGCTGCTACATCCTCCGAACTTTGTGACTGATTTTGTTCCGTAATATGTTAATCATTCTCAAAGCCAAACAATTAATATCGATGCTAGTGTTCTTTAAATTTTTTAACCTACATTGCGAACCGTTAACTCTAAGCTTTCCAAGAAGCAGTTGCCCATGAACTTTCCGAACTTTCCGTTGGTGGATACCCTCTTATTATTTCCTCTGGAAGGTTTTTGATGTCCCCATCAGTATTGTGGCTGTGTGAGCTGATGCGAACATAAGGGATAATAGATATTCGAGATTACTTCTTCCCACACGTAGAACCGGGTCTGTAGGTGCGGTGTTTCTTGAAGTTGGGCAACCATTCAAGGATTTCTCCGCAAAGGGAAAACCCCAAAAACTGTTCAGTCGATAGTTTAGATCCTATGTTGTTCTGGGTTTTGGTAGTCCGCCTCGGCCTTTAGGTGCCTGGGTAATGCTTTATCTCGGCAAATAGTGGTTCTAGTTTCGATTTTGGTTTAACTTGGGGTTGTCTGAGATTGGTAGCGTATTTATATGGTAACTCCTGTCCTTAAAACACATCTCACACGCCTTTCCGTCTCCCTGGCGTATGGCTTGCGGCCTCACTCTGTTTCTGGCTATTGTTCGAGTCTAAAACCGCTGTTGGGTAAGATCGATTTGAAAGGTGTATCCGGTACGATTGATGTAATTGTTGTCTTGGGGATGGGTTTGATGTCTTCGAATACGTCTGCAGATGATTGATTGGAGTATTGTTATCGCCAGCAGCATACAAAAACAACTGCAGCGGCCTCAATGCCATCACGTCATCCTTGGTGGCCTTTATTTCCTGTTTATGCTTAGTGAAGGCCGAGGGCAATATACGCCTTGTGTTCTTCGTTCGTACTGACCAAGTATTCCCATCTCATCCCGTATTAGCGTGCCCCCGAGACATTATCACCACCTAAATCGAATTCCAAAGGAACTTGATTCTCTTTGCCGCCATTTCCAACGTGTTGAGGTTATCTGGCAATGTCCTTGGCTGGAGAGAAGCCATGCTACCGTAAATCCACGCTGTATTGCCACATACATCAAGCTACCCAGGTCAGCCATTTCTTTGTTTTCGAATCCGGATGGATCGCTGACGCACATCCAGGTGGGGTTTATGTGAAGGTGGCAGGTGGACTGTAGTTCTCGAGGTGGATTGACGAAGACGCTTGTACAGTTTGTTTGTGTCGGCTTCAGTATTTGTCATTGAAGTTGAACCCTACAAAAAGCGCCAGTTATCAACCAGACAGAAACCCTTCCATGCTTCTAGCCAATAGCGTCCAGTTTAAGCATGGAAGAGTTGCAATACTGCCCCTAAGCAGACCATTCCTCCATGTGTGAAGCTGTTCGTATAATTGCAAGTCCTCTAGTCCAGTTCGCTTCGGACCCGATCTCTCAACTTAGGGCATGAAATACTGTCGTCAGTGGGTATTAGGAGCTCAAAACGACATAGGTGTGAGCGGTACAACTAGGCGCGAGACTGCATATTGTTTTGAGGGTTGAGCGTGTCTGATCGCTGAGGAAGGCTTGTAAGTGTTATGGGGCTTTTTTGGGCTTTTGCGTTCAGATTACGAGCTTAATTCCGTGGGTGCTATCCTATCGGCTGTTGAAGTCGAGAAACAACAACCGATAGGATAGCACCCACGGAACCAAAGGTCGTGTCTTTGTTTGTGCCTGCGTTGTTCACATACTTGTCCATCGTCTGTCTGCTTCAATGCTAACAGTCGAAACGCAAGCGGGGACCACTCAAGCATGGACTGTGAGATGACTACCGGAAATGGTTAGCCACGATAAGTTCAGCCGGCTCTTGCTATAGTGGGTTGACAGATGCTGGGCAGCTGTTATGGTTGTGGATCGTCTTTGCGCACAGCTTGTTTGCCGCAATTTCCTGTAGATGACTCGCCCCTTGCCAGACTGTACGAGAGATTATATGAACTGACAGATGAGGTGGTCTTGGATGTTATATTGTTCCGACGAGTGGGGTGCCCGAAGCTGCTGCACTGTCTGGTCTGGTGAAGAACGCTGGCAGAAGGCTTTGTCGGTTTGGTCGAGTACCAGCAAAAAGAGTGGTAGAGAACACGTCTGGCGCAGGCCCATCTCTCGGTAAGTATGTTGAAGCTGCCATCGGGCCCTTGTATGAGTAGCACGACTGTAAGATGGTGAGCTAGGGTACTGTGTGTCAGTGGAGCTTGCCTGAGAACTTTCCACATTCAAGCCGAGCGAGCTGTGAAGCCCATTTCATTACCCTGAGCGTGTAAAGGAGACTTTCGCGCACAATAGAGCCATGAGAAGCATCGCTGGCGGTTGTTCCAAGCTCAGGGGTCGGTGTTGCTGGCGAACCAGTGGGATTCTCATCCCACACTGCTCACTTTCATCGGGAAAACAAGCAAAGATCGCTCGAGCGGACTGGCAAGCGCGTTCTTGTAGCTAGAGTAAACACGCAAAAGGGGTTGTGGGCAAGGAGGTTGGCGGGGGTTCGTCCGGCTGGCGGTGGTCGCAGGTGGTGGAGGGGGTGGAGGGTGAGTGGCTTTGCTTGTGACGCACCTGAGTATATTTCTGGGAGCTCATTTACCTACCACCGTGCGCTTTCAAACTAACATGTCCTCCTTTGACAGACCAATCACGTACGCTACGTCGGCACCCACCAATGTCTCGCACACTTTCATCCCTACACTGCAAGCTACACTCATTCCAGAGTTCATACCCACTGTTTCTCTCTGCAATACGAGAACGCACTCTTCGACCGTCTCCTACACAGGCTCCCGACGCAATGGCTTCTTTTCGATACAGAGCTTCCAACTTGGATCGCACGCCGGAAACCACGGGTGAGTCCCGTTCTCTTCTGTCAGTAAGCCTTCTTGCTCATACCCCCTTTCGCATAGCATCGACGCGACAACCTGCTCAACAACATGACGGTGTCCCCTCGATTGTCTTTGACAAGGTACGCGAATGACATACCCGTCATTGATTCCGTCTCTACTGATGTCAATGAAAGCTTGGGTACAGAACTTACAACTACCTCGTCATAGAACACATATCGCTGGATTGAATTCTGCTCGCGCCCTATAAGTGAACATCGAGGTCAAATATGCCAGGTTACTGCGACAACCCTATTCTGCAACTTGGGTCTGGCCGCTCTCAGCTATATGGCACAACATAGTGTATTGTCTGCTCAATGGTTAGATTTGGACACCAATAAGCTGACTGGAGGCAGCATAACCGATCATAACTTACTCTGAGCTTAAGGAGTTATACCCGCGAATTCACACAGCGTAACTTTTCGACAAATAACTCCCTTGCCGTATATTGTAATCCTTTGCGAAAAAAATTGGTGTACAGATTGACGAACACACCAGAAAAGACGAATACTTGTGCAGACTTCAGAAAAATTCAAGAATCGCCCTGGGGCTCATGGATACTTTTCGAGGAATTTTCCGAATCAAAACCGAAACCCGTGTTCTCTTGGGTCTTCGTCGCCCACCTCTTGATGTCCATGTAGAATTGGATGCATCGAACTCAGTAGAAGCCGCCTTCGATGCCTTCCTGACTTACATAGCCAACTGGACTACCAAGACGGCATCGACCCACTACCGGAGGAAGTCGTTTTACAAAAGTCTTCAGCTGCAAGCTGGTCGATCAGGATCTTCCCCTTCCATACTTCGTTCTATATTTCTTTTTTGTATGGGTTTGAATGATTCCGTCTCTTTTCAGTAATTATGGTCTTCGCTTCTTTTTCCTCATTTCGTAAAAACATCTTTCATTTCTCGCATGTCTCCTTACGATCGTCATCATTCGGATCCAACTTTATCGACTATTATTTCGAATGGCGCATCCTGAGGGGCCACCTTTCCGTGACCGAGGCTTGCTGAGCCACGAGTACGGCTCATGCATCTCTAGCTCTTTGCTTGTTAAAACAGACTATGTTTCGAGCGAGCAAACCATCGAAAAACGAAACAGTCAAGCTGCAAAGCAAAGCGCTAGTCGGACAAGATTTAAGAGATTAAATGGCTGGGAAAGCGAAGAAATGCAGGAAGCACAAGGAACAACAGAAGGAGATGTCAGTATATACATGGACAACATACCTGCGGAAAGCCCGTTACGCACTTCAACAACGACGTTAAGACCATAAGTGCAAATGGAGCCTTAGCAAGGAAAGAAAAAACTGCATACTCGACCCAAGGCAGTTCTGAATTTGCAAGGGAGATGAAATACATATCTCAGCGACGGTGAGACTAGACAGACCTCGACCTTGCAATGGCAACGAAAGTTGTCAGCCCCATTTGCAGCAGTGGACTCTGGAACATCGATCGACCTACCTAAGGAGGTCATGACGACGCGCAGCGTCTCCACGTCAATGCTGCCGAAAACGGCTCAGATGCGATCTGAGGGATGCTATGACGCGGCGATTGCTGGGGAAAGAGGCTCCCGGCAAGGCGTGGAAAGAGGTCATGAGCCCTGTGCGTTTCCCTTCGTGTCAGGAGGGGTCTCTCTAGGGGAGCTCACGTGTCAGAGTGCATGCTGCTCTCCCTCGAGCTGGCGCGCCCTGGCGATCGATGTGCGAAGCAAGCCGTTGACCGCTGGCGACAGCACCCTATCTCCTCCGATCCGGACCGTTGCTCAAGATCAGTGGCGGCTCAGTGCGCATCTGACCTGACCCCCGACCACGGCTCAAAGGGCCTTGCGGCGGAGAAGAGACTCGGTATCTTTCCGGGGAAATCGACGAGGAGAAGGGTGAAGAGTGTGCCGGGCGCGCATCCGGCTGCACGACGCATGGGGCGCGGCGGAGCGGCCCAGGAGGGTGCAGCAAGCTCCGCAGATTCGAAAGAGCCCGAATACAAGTGGTGCAGCGGGTGAGCGAGGTGGAAGCGCAGGGGGGCGGAGAAGTGCAGTTCTTGGGGTTGTTTTTCTGCCATCTGGCAGGCCTAGCGCCCCTGCCGTCGGGCTTTTGCACGGCCGATTGATGGACGCCAAGACTGACCTACGAGCATCCCGCTGAGCTACCTATATTCCACCCAGGCTGCTTGTCGCGCAACATTTCTTTCCCCCCACCGACCCTCCCTCCTCCTCCACCTACCACCTCGACAACCAGCGCCACCACCGCCCCGCAATCCCTCCATCCTACGAGTCTACACGCGCAAACGCGTCCAGACCGCTTTACGCGTGCTTTTACCAAATACGGACGGTTTAGCATTCGCTCGGACCTGCAGCGCCTCCACCACTGTCGCTCCGCGCGCTGCCGCGTCGTCCACGGTCGCGGCAGTCGCACGACCGCCCTCCATTGGCCACTCTGCCAATTCCTACAACCCGCGAGCCGCGATAAACCTCAGCGCCGAGCTTAATTCCGCCTTGCCGCACTCGTAGGGCTGAGGTCTGCGAAGGGCGATAGCGCGACAACCTCTCCCCGCTTCACCTCTGTGACCAAGCTCCGTCGCAACATCATGGTAAGCCCACCAAGCTCAAGACTATTGGCTATATCTTACTGACTCTCACAGGTTTTGTGCAAGAGAACCCCGGTCACGTACGTGCCGCCGCCCACGGGCGTCAACGACAACCAGCTCGTACGTATATCATATCGAGGGGAGGTGACGGGGTTCTAACTTTCATTAGGTATGGACCATGAAGCTGACCGGTGAAATCTTCACCGACTACGATGAGTACATCAAGAGGTATGCCAATCCCGTCCACTCACATGCTTCAGCTACTGATAATCGTTAGGTTGGACTATTATCGCACGGCAAGTTCACCTCCGCCCCGCCCCAATGCCTGACTATGCGATGACCTCCGAGCTGACAACTTATCCAGAAGCAATTCACCAACTTCATCAGCGGCCAGTCTGGTTTGACCTTCTTTGATGCCTACGAGGCCGAGGTAGTGTGCATAATCCACCATTCGGTGAATGGAAAAAGCTGACAAAGGTTAGGATGAGAATCAACGCGAGGTCGAGCGCTTGTTTCCGCCTGCATTGCGCTTTCATGTCTGCCGTCGCGTCCATCACTCGACATCTCCCCGGTTAGACGATCTCGTTAAGTCTGTCTACCGGGAGCTCCAGCATGACTTTTATCCTGGTGAGGATGTCCTTGCGCATGTCGAAGACAGCACCGATCGTCTCAGAGGCACGATTCGGGACAAGATCACCTTTTCGGACGCCACGAGGAACCAAGCCCCACTTTCAAGGTACTTCGTCACCATTGAGGGCGGAGAAGCTGGTCAGTCAGACGCGTTATTAGACAGCAAGTGTCTGTCACGGAATAGGAACCAGTTCACACGCGGCATCCTCCGGAGTTATATCCGCCACGTCTCCTTCAAGGAAGGCTACAACGATGCTCCTTGGCAGGTCAAACCTCACCTGGTTGCAGAGTTTAAGCTTCCAGCAGCCGTCCCATATGAGCTTACTAAGGAGGGAATCCAGTTGAGGAAGAAGCAAGAGGCGGCCGCGACCAAGTCAGACACCCAGTTCTTCGAATACGTGCGCGGACCGAACCAGCAGATGCAGAAACAGGCTCAGTCAAATTTCATTCACCAATTCCAGGCACAACCTGTACCGATTCCACAGGCCGGCATTTTCAAAACGACGCCTAGTGGTGCCATGCAGCCATACTTTCCGCAGCCGACGATGCCGTATCCCTTCCCCGCAGAAGGACATTATCCGGCGCAGACGTCTCTTCCGCAGAGACCGACTCAGCAGGCGGCACCTCAACCGCCGGATCGCCCAGTCAAGTATCCCATCGAAGATCTTATGCTACCCCTCTCGCGCAATGGCTCCAAGCGTCCGGCTTGCAAATTTCTCTCTGACGACGTACCTGATGGTGCTCAACCTCCGACCGAGAAACTTGGCATTGCCATGAAGAACGTGGGCAAACTGCTGTCTCTGTGGCAGACTCTGAACGTCCACTCGGAAGTCTTCATCCTGGACTCCTTCACCGTGGATGACTTCATCGATGCCCTTAAGTTTGATGGAGATGCAAACAACTGTGAGCTTCTTGTTGAGATTCACTGTGCTATGCTCAAACAGCTGGTTGGGGCTGATGGCAAGACTCTGGTGCTCTCCGACATATCTCCGGAATTCTCAGAGGAAGTCGAACCCGAAGAGGGAGCCGATGAGGATGAGTCGACCCCCGAACGCGAAGAGACGCCGCCTGCGAGGCGTACTCGTGCTAGCCTTAACAAACTGGCTGAGAAAGAGCCCGAGCCAGAAACGAAAGTATCTCGCGAGCCAGTGCTGAAGAACAGATCTCACAAGTTCCTCAAGAGCTTCAACTGGATCAAAGAGCTTTCAAAGCGTAACTTCCAGGGCGGCGGTTGGCAGGCCATTCTGGTTGGTGTTATACTCCAGGCGACTCTGTATCCTTCCCACAAGGAAAACTCTGAGCAGATTTTGGCTCATTTGATGCCCCTCGACATGAAGCCAGAAGTAGAGACCGCTCGTGTCCAGTTCAACACCATGGACATCAACCTGCGCATTGCGGCACTCGAGATCTTGTGCCGTTACGCAATTTCAACTGTAGAGCTCCGCGGCTATATGGCTACTTGCAGCACGAACATGACAACGATTCGCAACTCCAAGATGGAGAGGCAGAAACTGCGCAAGGAGCTGTAAGTGTCATGAGCTTTTGCCTTTATTTTGTGGAGATAAAACTAATGTTTTGGCAGTTTGAAAAAGCTTGTAGTTCTGGAGCAGCGTCTCAAGACAACGGAGAACCCGTCCCAGTCACCTCCCCAGGATGCTAATGGTGATGTCAGCATGACCGGAACAGAGGAGCCTGATGCCACTGAGGAACCCAGTATTGTCGACACCGAGGACGAGAAACCAACCAAGGGCCGTGTCCTCCGAAAGGGTAACAGCCTAAAGCGCAAGCGTGGCGAGCAGCTCCCCAAGAAAGTGGAGACGGCTGAAGAAAAGAAGCAGAAGGAATGGAAGAAACTGAACACAGAGATCGAGAACCTCCGCAAACAAATCGGAAATTGCGAAGTCAAAATCGAAGACTATGATGAAGAGCTTCGTCAAAACTATTGCCAGCAATTGAGGCCCCTCGGCAGAGACCGGTTTTGCAACACATACTACTGGCTTGAGCGTTGGGGCATGCCGATGGGAGGTCTGCCTACCAGCTCAACGGCCAGCTACAAGTACGTCAGTGGTCGTGTCTGGGTTCATGGCCCCGACGAGCAGCTCCATCATGGTTTGCTTAATCTCTCCCCCGGGGAAGACGCCGAGTATAAACTCGATATCAGTGTGAAAGATCGCCGCGAACACGAAGAGGGCCCTGGCTACTTTTCCAATGCCAACGAATGGGGCTATTACGACGACCCTGAGGATATCAAGAAACTCATTGATTGGCTGAACGACAAGGGTTTCCGTGAGGTGAAGCTCAAGAAAGAGCTCGTCATTTGGCAAGACTCGATCGTGGAGCGTATGAAAAACTGGAAGAAGCACATGGCCGAGGTTGAGGCTGACAAGACCGCCGAGGACGACAGCAGCGGTATTCAAACTCGCAAGAAAGCCTACCATGATGCCGAAGAAGTTAAACGCCCGTGCCTCAAGTGGAAGAACACTTGGGCCGTCGAAGAATTCGGCAACAAGCACTATGGACGCTATCCCAAGAAAGCCAAAAAGGGGGGTCGCCGCTCCAGTTAGTTGCACCTACTGCAGTTTTGTCGACATTCAAATTCGTGAACGGCAAGTCCGAGTGGCTTGCAACGTCTTTGTCTTCCTCTCCATGCTTGTCCTTGCCATTTGCTTCTGCGTTACGGATTCAAGGAACAGGTCGTACATACCAAAGTCGAGGGTCACACCATGACTCGATGACTGGTAACAGCCTTGCGTCGCTTCTGTGGATGCCTACTCTGGCGACCTTGCATTGCTTTGTGGTTGCTTCCTCTAGCATTTGAGCGATTTTTCTCCCTTAGTTTGCTCCTTTTCCCCCTCGTCACCACAGCACTTTGTACCATTATACCGGCTTTGCATTCACGACTTGCACACTTTACACACTTCACGGAATATCCTCCGGCAGACGGAAGCATACGTTTTTGAGGACAACTCGGAATGGGCGGACTTCGGCCTGACGTCAAAAACCAGGGTTGCATCCACTGCATCCTTCATCAGTTGCCTATTCGGTCAGGTACCAAAAGCGATAAATGATTCAGCAGCTGCATCTTCGATTGGGGTCTTACAGCTGGAATAGCCATTAGCAGCGGCTACTGGTTGTTTCTCTTTTCAGTGCCTTGAGACTTTTTTCTTTTTCTTTTTCTTTCACCAAAATTCCCTTTTTCTTTGCTTTCTATTGCAGAGTTGTCGGCCTCTGAGTGGCATTTGAACGGGCGTTCTACACGGAGGTTGCCGTCGTGGGTGGCTTCTAAACTTGCATGGTGCAGGCTGGCTAGGTTGCTTTCTCTGGAACGGGCGAACCGGCGAATGGGCCCTCTCGGTACAGCTTTGCTTGCGAAGTTGTTCAGAGAGGAAGTCTTGCTTTTGTATTTTAGATGGAGCGTTCGAGAAAACCCCCTTTGCGCGAGCGAAAGCACTGTAGTCATAGCGAATGATATTGCAGAAAATCTTCAAACTTGCTGTCACTGCTTGCATTTGTCTGCTTCGCTGAGAAGAGACGGTTTAAATCGTCCACGCCTCATAAACACAATGAATGTCCTCAGAGCTTTCTTGCTTCCATAGCCTTCATCCTCGCTAGCGAAGCCTCCATCTGTACTCTAAGGAGCTTCCTTACTCTCAGAGCTATTCCTCAAGCCATCAACCCGGTTCAGTGGTGAAGGCGTATTTAACTTGATCATTCCGTTGGCGTGTCACAATAACAAGTAGCTAATCTCTGCAAGGTTTGTGATCTTGCCGACTTCCTTTGCCAGGCTGACGACAGAGCTCTTCGGGATCAGACTCCCAGAAGGGCCCCAGTACTTGCCTGAAGTAACGCGATCGCGATCAGTCTCCCAGCCGTCGACGGCAGTGCGCCTGCGCGCGAACACGGTGTACAGAGCCAGCGCGTACAAGTGCCGCTTGGCAGGGCGAGTGGGAGTCAAGAACTGGAGGCGGGTGTTGTCGAGGTCGCGGAGTAAGACGGGCTTGCCGTCATCCTCGCATACCTTGTAGTTCAGGTGCTGCTCGTTGGTGGTTAATACCACGACGTTGAGGGCGTCTTGGTCCTTGCTGTCTGGGACGATGGCAAGGTGTCTGTTGTTGAACGCGGTTTCGAGAGACTTGGTCATCAGCAGCCCGTTTGAGGGGCTCCAGATGTTGTTGTGTGCTTCCTCGGGCTGAAGGCCGATTATGCAGGGGACGATTTGGAATGCGGTGACTTCGTCGTAGCGGTGGTATTGCTTGGTGATGGGGCACCAAAGCCCAGCAGACCAGTCTTGTCCACCGTCCGGTTGGTAAACCATGATTAGACCTTTCCGGAATTCTATAAGGTCGTAGTCCCCGGTAAGTCCTTTCCGGAAAGTGGTGTCGATTGCGTTCGAGTATGCTTTGTCTAGGTCTACTTCATCGCCCTGGGTCCAGACTTCCAACACAACGTCTTCCCTGCCCTTGTAGTGAAAGCAGTACAGTTGCCTTACGTGCCATGCGATTGCTGTTTCAATTTCGCGTATAATTTCTTTTGCGGAGGCCTGATCTTTGGACGGAGTGACTGCCTGGAGACTGAGCTGTAGGGAGTCGTAAACTAGTTCAGAGTAACGCTCCCTTGCGTAAACATATTCTCTGATGGTGTTAATGCCATTGCCGACAGTTGCTTGTGACGCATTGGACAGCTGCTTTTGCAGCTCTTCCAGTTGGCGTGAGTTTTGGTCAAGTAGTTCACTGATAGAAGGTACCATTTTTGGTTCGTGGTCGACCTCCATGTTTTGTAAGAGGGTGGTGGTGGAAAGTTAGTGGTTGGGAGCAGTGACCTTTTTAAGTAGCACAGAAGACTGGTTCTTTGGTGGGGATGGTGTGGGCTGTGGGCTGTAGGCAGATCGTAGTGCTTATATACTCGGGCAGTTAGTCAAAAGTTTAATATGCAGTTCCATGGATACCAGTTCATAATGTGTTTGTTGCTTCCTTGGTGCTTGGTGGTACTCCGTAGAGTGGCCTCAGCCTTGTGCGACTCGCTGGCGGCCGATCTCGGAACCGACCGGGCCTTAACCGAGATGCCTTTGCCCTACGACGGCCGGGCACCTCCATCATCTCCCCGCAAAGGCCACAGCATCATCAGCTCCACAGCCTTATCCGCCTTCGCTCGCGGTGCCGCAGCCCTGACTATTCATAGCGCCTTCCGTTGCCGTCCACCATGGTAGCCAACGGTGCGCGCAAAGGTAACTTGGGCTTGCCGCCTTACTACACCCCTGCGGATCAAGGAGCTGACTGGCGTGCCATGCAGCGCCGAAGGCGCCCACACACTCAACTAAACATGGCTTGGTCGATCCTAGCGCCTACGATGACATGTTCACCGACAAGGAAAAGAAGCCCGCCAAGTACAAGCTTAAGAAGCCGACGGTCAAGCAGAGCCAGCCGGGCAACTGGAAGGAGAGTGAGATAGTTGGTATGTCTGCTGGGTAGTCGTGGCGTATCGAAACATAAATTCTAACGTGCGATCAGATGCGAACGATAAAAAGATAGAACCGCCTCCTGGACCCTCCTCGCCGCTCGTTAACCAGCTTGACGAAAAGACAACCGCCGCGTTTGCCACGAATCGCCCTCTGGAGGACCACCTTGACACCGTCCAGTGCCGTCACTGTCGCCGTCCCGTTTTGCGAACCGCAGCCAAAGACCACATCAAGGAATGTCTGGACAAGAAGCAAGCGAAACTGAAGAAGAAGAAGGAAGCCAAGGAAGCGAAAGAGGCCGCCATTCGCCGTGAGAAGGGAATCGAAAGCGGCGACGAAGGACCGCCAAAGAATGCGCGCAAGAGCGCAAAAGGTGCGTTTGACGGCGAGGGTGCCAAGAAGAGCAAGAAGCGCAAAGCCGACGGCGACGCGGAGAAGGCTCCTGCGAAAAAGAAGAAAAAGGACGAGCCAAAGGCCAAGATCCCGAAGCCCAAGGGCCCGGTCGATGTGGAGAAGCAGTGTGGTGTCTTGCTGGCTAATGGAGCCATGTGCGCGCGCAGTTTGACCTGCAAATCGCATTCAATGGGTGCAAAGCGCGCAGTTCCTGGCCGTTCGCTGCCGTACGACATGCTGCTGGCACAGTACCAGAAGAAGAACCAGGCCAAGCAGCAGCGCGCTGCCATCGACGCAAACGCGCCTCTGGCCGACGATTTCGACAATCACGGGCCTATCGACTCGGACGAGGAAAAAGACGCCATCATGGCCGCGATCGCGCGCTCGAAGCCGCAGCCTCTGGCAACCCGGCCACTCATCTCCACCAAGTCGAAATATCAATACATACGCATGAAAGAACTGCTGCACAATGCGCTAGGCGGCAGCAGGGGCGCCGGCCTCTTCTCGACAGGCGCTGCTCCAGCCGACGGAAACATAGGCAGTCGAGGCTTTCTAGGCGGCCTCTTTGGCAGTGGCAACGACGGCGGGAGCGCGTTCAGCGGCCTGCTGGGCCACAATAGCGCCGAGTCGCTGGATGCGCACAGGCGGCAGACCAGCGTCGGCGGCCCGAGGCAGATCCTGCCGGGACAGCTGCCACCGCCGTCGAGGAAGCCGAGCGTCTCTGGTGTGGGTACCTTGGGTTAAGAGAGCTGCACGACATGCACGCTGCACACTTCTTGTGGCCGTGAAAGGGCATTTTTTAATGACTGATATTTGAGAATCGGCAGGGGTATTTTGGTTTTTGACTTGCTGGATAAGATCCGCTTTCTTCACGGATGGATGGGAGTTTTGGGCATGGTCCAGATTGGGATGAGCTGAATGTGTGCTACGGATTATGGAAATGGGCGTTATGGATGGTGGGATTGGCGTCATATACCCTCTCTACTGCCGCCTTGATGGCGTGCGGTTCTTGCGGCGATGGACTCGCGTGGAATTATATCTTTGACAAAGCCGGCGGACAGCGACAGGCCTTGGATGCAACCGTTTGCAGCCGTCGCGCCTTGGCTGCTGCCTACCAATTTGTGCTATTATAACACCACTACGGCCACCCCACCAACTCATTCCCGCACTTCAGTGCAACTACGGCGTCCGAAGCGGCCACACCCGCAACCTTCCGTGCCTGCCTCGCATCACATCCCAAAGCTCCCTCACCTTCCTCCTCCACCCACCCACCCACTCACACCACGCACCAATGCCCCGCCGGTGCTCCGCGCAGCAAAGCCTAACCCTCCTCTCTGGCAGTGACGACAACATCATCGAGCTACACGAGAGCGTCCGTTCACACGGCCGCTCGCTGCGTGAGCCAGAACAGAGATCAGAGCCAGAGCGGGCCGCGGTTTCGCGCGCTGCCGCAGCGCCAAGTCCTTGTGTGACGCTGTGTTACGGCGTGTGGCGCGGGACGCGCGGGCGTTGCGTGTGACGGCGGTGTGAGTTGCGTGGTGGAATTGCTTTTTCTCTCCTTCTTGCTTCTTCTTTCTCTCACACCTTTCTCTGCTTCACGTCTCGACTTCGTTCGCGTCACTGCGCTTCGTTGCGTTGCATTCCGCTGCCCTCACAACTCTCGTCTCTCTTTGCGCAAAACCTCATCGTCTGCTTCTCGTTACCGTCACCTACCGACCTACCTATCCAAGCTGCGACCTCGTCACGCGCCTGGCATCTCACGCGATCTCGCACCAGCAACAGCAACAGCAGCAGCCGCCGCCACGCAGTGCCTTTGCAGAGGACAGCCTCTGGCCAGACACGACGTGCCCTTCACCCCCAGTTCGCGCCGCGATCGCGCCCATGACGACAAACGCACAGCCGCAAGCACCGTGGTCTGCGGCGCGCCAGCGCGCTGCGGGCCGCGTGTCGCTGGTGAGGTTTCTTCATGTAGTTTTCAATCGGAGGCGCGGGGTGGGCTTGTTTTGTTTGGGTGGCGCTGTTGGCGCTGGCGCTGGTGGCGCTGTTGGCGTTGTCGCTGCTAGCTACTGCTGTTTTCGATACAGCGTGGCCGTTGCCGCGGCCCTCACCGTCGGCGTCTGTCGAGCTTGTGTGCTGGGTTTGCGGTGGCGGGTGTGGTGGCGGGGCGGGGTGGGTAGGGGGAGTGGAGCGAGGGGCTTGGTCGGGGGTTGAAGTGTGGGAGAGAGGGAGTGTGAGCGGAGGCGGAGGCGGAGGTGGTGGGAGAGCGGAGTTGGAGAGGAGAGGGGAGGCAGTGCTTGTGCCCTGTGATGGATAACAAGCCAAATATGTCAGGCAGCCCGCTGCCCCGCGAGGGGCTGTGGTTGTCGGTGAGTACCAGAGAGCTAATCTGAGGGCCCGGCACTGCTTCCTTATCGTAATATGTATATAGGTAGTTTTTCTTTACTCTTCGAAAACCTAGGTAGGTAGTCGCTCCCATGATCAGTATCCCCAGCGCCTCAGCACTGAAACGCAACGCCCTTCTTCTCGACGACGTTCTTTCCACCGCCTGCAAAGCCGGTACCCTCGCTCCTAATCTCGACCAGGCCAGGCTTCAACGCCTCCTTATCCTTTTTCTTCTTCTTCCCCTCTTTGCCCTTCCCGTCCTCCCTCGTATCCCCCTCTCTCGTATCCCCCAACGCCGTCTCGCACACATAGCACCGCACGACACCAAACTCGGCATCGGGGTCATGGGCGTCGGCGCGCGCGTGCGGCGTCATGAACTTTGCGACGCAGGGCTTGCACAGCACGTGGCCGCAGGGGATGGCGAGCACGGCTTTGAGCGCGTTGGTCAGGGCTTTGCGGCAGCTGGGACAGCTGCGTATGGGCTCGTCGGAGGCGGCGCTGCTTTTTTGTTGCTTGTCTTCGCTGAAGAGGATGGGTGTTAGTGTTTTTAGCGAGTAGGCGTGCGTGTCGTCTTCGGTGGAGCCGGGGCAGATGGGCGAGAGCTTCTTGGCTTGTGTGCTCGCGTTGTGTGTGTCGGTTGTTGGCGTTTGCGAGGGCACCCAGAAGGAGGGCAGTTGGGTTCGCGCGAGCGCTTCGTTCTACGTTTGGGGGTGCGTGTTAGTGGGTGTGTGCGGTATAGCAGCAGCAGTAAGCAAGCAAAACGAACCTTTTCGTCCTTCAGCGCCTTGCGCGCCTTATTCCTGTCCTCGCGCGCAAGCCTCAGCACCTCATCCTCATCGAACTCAAACTTGCGCTTAGCGCCCTTCTTCGGGCCCTCGAGCTCCTCACGCTCAACGACGAGCTTGCCGCCCTCGCGCGCCACAATCTCGCCCTTGACGCCCTTCTTCTCCAAGCCCATCTGCACGCGCTCAAAGTCCTCGACAGCGCGGCGCTCCTCCTCGGCCGCGGCGCGCACGGCGTCTTCCGCCCCCTCGGCCGCCCGCTTCTCGGCTTCTTTTTCTAGCCGCTTGATCTCTTTGCGCTGCGCGAGCAGGTTGCTGACGGCGCATTCGCGGCAGAAGACGTCGCCGTGCGCGCAGGCGACGGGGTCGCGTGACGGGAGTAAGCAGAGTTTGCACGATCCGAACGGCAGGAATGAGTCCCGTGTTAGGCGCGTCCGTTGCGCGCCCCAGGTCGACTTGAGCTGGTCCCGCTCGTAGCTCGTGAAGAACGCCAGTGACGTGTTGCGTTTGCCTGCGGAGGGTCGTTAGTGCGCGCGTGCGTGGTTGCGAGGAGGGATTGGGGCATACTGTGCGACATTGTGGGTGGGGGGAGGCTCTGCTGGGCGCAGAGGTGCAGTTGTTAGGTAGGTAGAGAATGAGAGCCTGGAGGGCTGGCCGTGGGGACCAGCGATGACGCCCGCCGTCGCGCCCGCGGAGACGTTCGCTTCCTCATCTCCGCTCCATCCCGCCCCGCCCCCCACAATTTCGCCGCAGCGGAACCCCGGCGCCCTGCCCTGCACTGAAGCTTTCTCTCGCCGTGTTTCTTAACCCTCTCTCCCTTTCCACTCCCACCACGCCCGCCACGCCGGCCCCACGCACCATGTCGTCGTCGCCGCTGTCGAAACCCTCAGCAGGGGGTGCAGACGACTCCACCGCCCAACAGCAGCAGCATGTGCGGCCCGCGGCGCCCAGCGCGGCTTGGCGCGCCGGCTCTGTCGCGACTATGGGCTTCATCGGGCTGCTGTGTCGGGGCTTTTTGCTCGGGTTCAGCAACCTCGAGGTGAATGGGCTGGAGAAGTTCCTTGCGCTGCTGGATAAGCGGAAGGATGTCGAGGGGAGGCAGAGGGGCCTTGTTACAGGTATGCATGTCTTCGCCCGCCACCGCCGCTGCCACCACCACTGTTGCTATTACTATTACTGCTGGTGGTGGTAGAAGTAAGGCTTGAGCGTTTTGGCTGATTGCGGGCGTTGGTGTTTGCGCGGCGCGTTGTAGTCTCCAACCATGTTTCTGTGTACGTATGTACGCCTTTTTTGGCAGTCGAGTCGTTCTACCTCCTACGAGGTGCAATTGGATACGTATGCAGTTGCTGACGAGCTCGCTGTTTTACAGTCTCGATGATCCGATGATCTGGGGCGCGCTTCCCGTGTCGTATATGTTCACGCCGGACAACCTGCGCTGGAGCCTCGCGAGCCACGACCTGGCCTTCCCGAACAAGTATATACCTACATAGCACCAGGAGGCCAGCAAGAAGCCAGCAGCTGACATGGCGCAGGATCCTCTCACTCTTCTTCTCGCTCGGCCAAACCCTCCCCACGCACCGTCTCGCGCACTCCCCCCACGGCGGCCTCTTCCAACCCACAATAACGCAAGCAATCCGGCTACTCTCACGGGCGCCCTTCCCACCCACGCCCGTCGAACGGACCAGCAAGCCCGCATCGCCGTCGCCCTCGCTCTCCACGCCCGACATCGCCGACCCCTTCACCTCGGCCGCCCTCACTTACTCCACAACCGGACACGACGTGTTCCCTGCGCCGTCCGCGTACCTCTCGCGCCGGCACGCCTGGGTGCACATATTCCCGGAGGGCAAGGTGCACCAGAAGGAGGACCGCACAATGCGCTACTTCAAGTGGGGCGTGGCGCGGCTGCTGCTCGAGAGCGAGCCCGCGCCCGACCTGGTGCCCATGTGGGTCGAGGGCCCTGACCGCGTCATGCACGAGTCCCGCGGGTTTCCGCGCTTCATCCCGCGCGCGGGTAAGGAGGTCAGCATCACGTTTGGGGACCGCGTGGACACGGAGGCCGTGTTTGGCGACTTGAGAGCTAGGTGGCGCGAGCTGGTGCGGAGGGAGGGCACCGACGGCGCCGAGATGGGCGTCCTGAGCGATGGCCTGAAGTACGGGACCGAGGCCGTCGAGCTGCGCAAGGAGTGCACCATGCGCGTGAGGCATGAGGTGCAGAAGGTTCGCCGCGCGAGGGGCTTCCCAGACGAGGACCCCAAGGTCGGGTTGGCGGAGACGTGGGCCCTGGAGGGTGGCAAGAAGGAGGGCAAGATGCAGGATGAGAGCTGGGTCAGGGATACCTGAGCTTTCGTTGACTAGGCACTACCCCGAGTCTGGGAGAAGTCGCAAACTGTAGATAAAAATGGTTTTTTTTGCTAAAGAACAGAGAATAGACAGCCTCCACCGAGGCACCATCCATGCACTTTTGGATGACAGGGCTTGTTTGCCCGCAGTGGGTTTGAGATGCTAGAGCCCATGCTGCCTCGTTGGCGGATACTGCGTCCACGTAGAACCGCGCGCGGGCTTTGACGTACCAGGGGTTCCCCTACTGCGTCGAAACAATGCGGAACAGCGTATTGCGGGGTAGGAATATCCCGGCACGTAGCTCTTGGTGGCGGAAAAGCAATGCGTATAGGCGAGGGAAGCTTTGCTTTAGTTAAGCAATATGCTAGTTATATAGACTCACAAGCACAGCAGCAATAGCACTACAAAGCCATCTCGAGACCTCGTGAATGTCGAGGTCGAACAAACTCGCATGCCTAAGACATTAGACTTACGGACTACCTACGTGGGCGCGTCCAGCACAGCACGATCCTTGCGGACGACGCAGGCGCGGAAGCAGCCGCAGGCGCGGCCGCAGATGCAGACGCAGACGCAGACGTAGATGCAGACGTAGATTAAACGCTTGAATGGCAGAGCGGCTGCTTGTTGGGGATGCGGTTGTCGGGTGCTGCGCAGAGGATGTGGGATTGATGAAGACCTATGCGTCCGTTACCATGGTATAGGCGTTTGCTTTTCGTTCCGTGGTGGCATGAGCTCGTTTGGTTGTGGCTTGCTGTGTAGGAACTTGATACTACTACTGTCAGTACTGCCTAACGTCAGCACCAGTGAGTAGCGAGTGAGCTGCAGCGATGGGGGCCTATTCCAGCCCGCGCAGCCGGAACCTCGGGGTTTGAGGTAGTTACGTCTGGGGTCTCAGACGCGGGAAATGGCGATAGGCGGCGCCTTGCGACGGTGGCAGGGAGGTAGCTAAGGTAGGTAGGTATGCAAGCAAACCAAGGAAGCGGCGGACATAGGAAGGAGCGGGGACAAAGACAGAGAGAGCAGTGGTTGAAACCAGCCAAGGGAGAACGAACGCGCGTTGTCAGATTAGATCAAGTTATTCGCCGTCAGCGACTGCGCCTCAGCCCGGCAACAGCGCGCCAGAACCACAGACGCACACGCACGGCAGCAGCAAAAGCAGCAGCAGCAGCGAGCATGCGACGGGCTTCGATGGGCTGGCATGGCGGGGATGGGGGGCGAGTCTTTGGTGCTCTTGCTTTCATCACCCAACGCTGTGTTGTGCAAAGGGTTTCGCGCACGGCGGGCGGCTTTATAAGGGAGAGGCTTGGCCGCTCTTGGGTCGTGACGGGTGACTGGCCCCAAGGCTTCAGAACTAAACATAAAAGGGCGGCGTCTGCCCTGCGCCCGCCGCCGCCTTGCTTACTTACCTACCTGCTAGCTAGCTAGAGAGAGCCGACGTCATCGACCGTTTTGCATTTACGTCCCATCTACTTGTACTAGTTATATTTTACCTTGCGCCTTAGGCTCTTTTGCTTTGGACCTTTCACACCCGCCACGCCCGCCACGCACACACCAGCCCCCGGCCGAGCTCGTCAAACTAGCGCGTGCGTCACATTGCTCAAAACCCCTCGGTGCCTCTCTCGCCCTAATATGGACGAGCCCGACACGTCCACCTACGCGCCGCGCTCGCCAGACCTCTCCACCCTCGACGCCCACGCCGCAGACCCCAACCAGCCCGTCGCGCACAGCCACAGCCAACGATATCGCGGCTCCGACCCGGCTTCATACGCACCACTGCCGTCGCAGCACCACCAGCCCTTCAACCCCATCGACCCCCACCACAACAACAACCAAACCTACCACCTCTATCCCAGCCGCAACAGCGTCAGCATCTCGTCGCCCGACCAGCTCTTTTCCATGCCCCGTGTCGCCAAGACGGAGCACGAAGACGACCAAGAGTGGTCCCCGCACGCCGGCCACAAGAAGCTCAAGACAACCATCAATCCCGAGCAAATGGACGTCGACGCCCCCAATGGCGGCGGCGTCGTCGCCGAAGGCCCCGAGCTGGCTCCCGGCGTCGCCGAGGGAATCGAGGTCAAGACCAAGTTTCCCGCCGCGCGCATCAAGCGCATCATGCAAGCCGACGAGGACGTCGGCAAGGTGGCGCAGGTTACACCGCACGTTGTCGGTGAGTACTAGTAGCAGGAGCAGCAGTAGCGCGTGGGGCAGTTGAAACATTGGGCAGCAAAAAGAGAAAAACCTGACTGACGAATTTGCAAAATACAGCCAAGGCACTCGAGTTGTTCATGATTTCCCTCGTCACAAAGGCCGCGAACGAGGCCAAGAACCGCTCCTCGAAACGCGTCTCCGCTGCCCACCTCAAGCAGGCCGTCCTGCAGGACGAGCACTTCGACTTCCTCAACGACATCGTCAACAAGGTCTCGGATGCGCCGGCGCCCGTTGACCGCGGCGGCTCGCCCGAGGAGACCGAGGGCAAGAAGCGCAAGGGCGCAGGTCGGAAGAAGCGCAAGGACAGCGACGACTTATGAGGGCCACGAAAGCAAAAAGAAAAGAAACCCTTTTGAATTTTTTTTATTCCACTTCTTCTTCTTCCACTTACTCCCTTTCTTCCCTTTTCGGAAGTCTGCCAAGACGATTTCCTTTTTTCGCGGTAACTAGCTGGGTTCTTCTCGGGACTTTGGTTTGGGCGGGTATACAGCGCGGCTACTGCAGATTCCCCCGTGGCCTCAAGGCCTCATGGCTCTAAGTGGCATCCGGCGTCAAGGTGTGGAACATGGGGCGGGAGCTTTTGCTTGACACATTTGCGGGTTGTGCAGGTTAGCAAATAAGGGCCAGGAGGCGTGTACTATTATTGCATGCGACACGGCGCTGGGCTGCTTGTTTGCTTGCTGTTGTTTTTTTCGTTTTTTTTTTTTTTTTTTTTTTTTTTTTTTCGGTGCAGCAGAGAAGAAGCTGGCAAGCGTGTGAGTGTGTGTGTGCTGTTTGACTTGACTTGGCTTCAGCGCAAGAAAAAGCGATCAGCAGAAGCGACACCAAGGTGTCTTGAATCCTTCCCGTGCGGGTGACTAAGCGTGGGATTTTGTCTCGCGCGGCTAACGCAGATCTGCGGAGACGTCGTCGCGCTTCGCTGCTCAGCTGCCTTTCCACACCACCTGACAAGCCGCAGGCGCTCGCGTCCCGCTCATCCCCCTTACGCGTCGCCGAGCAGCCAGGCCACTCCCGCACTCGCTCCAATTCCTCGCGGCCGCCCTCGAATCCTCAAATCCCCGAGTCTGTCTCGAGTCCGTCCCGCCATCATTATCATCATGTCCAAGGCGACACTCGCCATCATCGCGGCCGCGGGCGCCGTCACCGGCTCCGCCGTAACCGCGGCCTTCTACTCGAGCAAGCGAGAAGCGCCCGCGACGCCGCCCACCGCCGCCGCAGCCACAATCGCAGCGGCGCAAGGCGCAGCGGCAGCAATGCCCTCGACACCGTTGAGCAAAGCAGCGGGCGGGGCGCCCGTCGACCCCTCCGGGCTCTTCCAATACGGCTTCCCAGGGCCGGTCAACGACCTGCGTGAAGCGCTCTCCCTGACATCAGCGTTCGACCGGCGCACGCGCAACCCGCACTGGGTGGCCGAGCACATGACGCCGGGGTCGTTGGCGCAGAACAACGCAGACAGGAAGGGCAGTGCGTTCACCGAGGACCACGCCATCCCAGAGAAGTTCCGCGCAAAGCTCAAGGACTACTTCCGCAGCGGCTACGACCGCGGGCACCAGGTCCCCGCTGCCGACGCAAAGTGGAGCCAGCCTGCCATGGACGACACGTTTGCGCTGAGCAACATGTGCCCGCAGGTCGGCGAGGGGTTCAACCGCGACTACTGGGCGCACTTTGAGGACTTCTGCCGCCGCCTCACCCACCGCTACCCCTCTGTCCGCGTTGTCACGGGCCCTCTGTACCTGCCCCGCCGCGACCAGGACGGCAAGTGGCGTGTCTCGTACGAGGTCATCGGCTCGCCGCCTAATGTCGCCGTCCCCACCCATTTCTACAAGGTCATTTACGGCGAGGATGGCCGTACGGGCGGCGACGTCGCGCTTGGCGCTTTCGTCCTCCCCAATGCGCGTATTGCGAACGATAAGCCGCTTACTGACTTTGAGGTCCCGCTTGAGGCGGTGGAGCGCGCTTCGGGGCTCGAGTTTGCGACGAATCTGCCTGTGGCTCGTAGGAAGACGCTGTGTAAGGAGGTGCAGTGCTCGTTGGTTGTGAAGGAGTATAAGGAGCGCCAGAAGGCGTTTGGCCAGAACCAGGGGAAGCGGTAGGGTGGTGAGTGTTGTGGGCTTTTCTTCTGTCTGTTGTCTCCTGTCTAGTATTTGTATGACGGATGCATGAATATGGAGTATATCGGTTACATTTCCGCACTATTTCTCTCGTCTATCTAATTCCAAACCCACAACTTCGGTATCTCAGTTACACTCCCAAACCACTCCTCTCTCATATCTATCGTAACAAAACAGATTCGTTCGTAGCCTTAGCCATGGATGGATTCGCACCTCTCCCTCCCAAACCCTCACCTCACGCACGCACCCTCTCAAACAAACAAAACTCAAACTCGGTCCCCCCCTCCTCCACCCGTCCTTCAGGCACCACCTCGCCCACAAACTCGCTTAGCTCTTTATTCCCCTTCCGCACCCACTCCTTCCCTTCCTCTCCTTCCTCTCCTCCCCGCCCACCCGCCTCCACATCCACCCCCAGAAAAGTATCGCACTCAAACTCGCCCCACACCTTGGTCAGCAGGACGTGTCTTACGCATAGCGGCGCCTCCTCCAGCGCTGCGCGGTAGATGGCCGCGCCGCCGATGACGTAGACGCGGCCGAGGGGCGCGGCAGTTTGCGCGTAAGTGTGGAGCGTGTGCAGTGCGTGGGTCAGCGAGGGCGCTGTTATGGTCGTGGGTGGGGTGGGTGTGGTGGTGGTGTCGGTGGAGGTGGTGGTATTTGAGGTGGTATTTGAGGTGGTATTTGAGGTGGTGATGTCGAGCTTTGAGGGCGTGCGCGTAATAACGACGTTCAAGCGGTCCTTGAGCGGGCGGAAGCGCGGCGGGATGCTCTCCCATGTCTTGCGGCCCATGATGACGACGTTGCGCGCGGCGGGTGGGGAGGCGTCGTTCGTTTGCGGCACGCGCTTGGTGACGCGCGCAAAGTAGGCCATTTCTTTCTTCAGCATTGGCCAGGGCAGGGCGCCGGCGCGGCCGATGCCCAGCGACGGCGTGGCGGCCACGATCAGCGTTAGTGGGATGCGCGGCGCTGGCGGCATGGTTGCTTCTTCTTCTGTGGCTGGGGTGGGCATGGTTGGTGTTGTTGAGGGTGGAGGTGAGGGTTGGTGGGTTGTTGGTGGAGGCGCGGGGGTGCGTGGGTGGGTGGACGCGAGACGCGTCGGCCAAAATTAACTAGGTATGGTTATGTAGGTCATTGCTTGCACGCCACGGCGGTTTTGCGAAGGTAGGTTGGTAGGTTTTTCTGGCTCTTTTTTTTTTTATTTATTTGATTTGGTTTATTTAGACAGGTACACTTGCTTGTACTTGCAGCTGGCTCGGCGCCGTCGCTGCTTTCCTTCTGCGCCGTGCCGTCTGTCCCGCCGTGGATGATGACGGGTAGGTATAGCTCTGCCTCGCGATGAGGCAGCAACAGCAACACACGGCTGCCCATCCTATTATTAACACCCGCAACCCGTAGCCCAGTCTTTTTCAATCGCGCATCCAGCGCAATGCGCCCTCAGGCCCCATCATCTACCATCCATCCATTCACCCAGACCTAAAAACCCCAACCCAACAATAATCCCGGCGGAGTCGCGCAACGCGGCGCTTAGAGCGTCCCGCTCGAGCTCTGCAGCTTGGCGACGTACTGCTTGCTGACGGTGTTCCAGGCGGCCATGTACTTCTCCATGCACTGGGTGAAGCACGTCTCCTCGCCCTTGGAGAGGGAGGAGCCAGGCTTGGGGACGCAGCGCTCGAAGCAGTGCTCGTTGAGTTTCTAGTTGGCGTGGTGTTAGGGAAGGAAGAATTGTTAAGTTGGTGAATAGATTTGACATACCTCTACGAGTTGGCGCGCGTTTTGCACGGCGGCTTCTTGCCGCACTTGCTGCATGACGGCAGTCTTGGGGTCATTGGCGAAGTCCATGGCGGCAGGCGAGTTGTATGGATTGGAGGAAGAGGAATAGATGTAAGAAAAAGTCAAGGTCAATTGACGAGCGACGACGACAATGATGATGATGCGCGCGCGGCTTGGCACGGGCGACAAAAACGGACGTGACCAACTGACTCGCGGGCCCGGCCGAAGAGGACAGACATCACGCACCACAGAGAGTGCGTTGTTACTTCCAGGCGCGCACCCCCGACAGCGATTCTCAACTGCTTCCCGACGCTGTGCGCTGGAGCATCCACGGTCCTTTCTCCCCCTCGCTTTGATTGATTGACTGATTGGCCCTGGCCCCGCTCCACCTCTACACACACCTCCCTCCCCCCCCCACCTACCTAGGAGTACCGACGTGAGCTCCGACTCCTCGCAATGCTCCTCCCGTGGACTTGCCTGGCGCTCCTTGCGGGCAGCCTGGGCCTGGCCAGCGCGCAGCAGGACACCGATGCCGTGCCTGAGGTCAAGAGCATACCAGTGAGTACATTGCAGATCCGCGCGCGGGAGAGATGGAGCACATGGAGCTAACAGCAGCGACAGCTCCGCACGCACAGCTTGCAGACGGTCAGTAAAACCCAGCACCCGCGTCTGGGCGAGGGAGAGAAGTCAGAAGGAGCCATGTAGCTGACGGGAATGGCGGGACGCAACAGCCCTACCTCGACTCGGACATGCAGTCGCGCTGGTTCGACTTTGGCGCCGACACGGTCGTGCGGACGGACAAGTACATCCGCCTGACGGCGGACAAGCCGTCGCGCGCGGGCTGGCTGTTCTCGCGCGTGCCCCTCACCGCCACCAACTGGGAGGTCGAGCTCGAGTTCAAGATCCATGGCCAGGGCAACCTCTACGGCGACGGCATGGCCATGTGGCTCACCAAGCAGCGCGCCCAGCCCGGCGACGTCTTCGGCTCCACCAACCGCTTCGAGGGCCTCGGCATCTTCTTCGACACGTACAAGAACAACCGGCCCGGCGTCGTGTTCCCTTATGTCATGGCGATGCTGGGCGATGGCCAAACCGGCTACGACAAGAGCAACGATGGCAAGCACCAGGAATTGGCCGGCTGCTCGGTATGCCGTCCGCCCCGCAACCCGCAATCTCCAACCCCAAAAAAAGACCCCCACTAACCAACCGCCTCCCAGGCCCGCGGTCTCCGCAACTCCGCCGTCCCCACAAAGGCGCGCCTAACCTACTTTGCCGAGAAGTCGCTCAAGCTCGAGCTGCAATACAAGGCCGAAGACGAATGGACCGAGTGCTTCACGCTAGGCGACGTCAAGATCCCCCCCGTCACGTACTTGGGCTTCTCGGCCGAGACGGGCGAGCTCAGCGACAACCACGACATCATCTCCCTCAGCACCAAGAACCTGTACTCGCCGGCGCCAGGCGGGCAGAGTAACATCGACCGCGGCCGGCGCGCGCAGCGCCTCCAAGCCCAAAAGGCCAAGCAGGCCAAGGGCGGCTGGGGCTGGTTCGCCCTCAAGTTCGTCATCTTCGGCCTCGTGCTTACGGGCGCTTATGTCGGCTTTACGGCCTTCAGGGCGCAGCGGAATCGCTCGAGGTTTTAGTTGGGCGCTGGAGGGCTGAATGGCTAGAGATTGGGCTACGTGATGGCGTGTGCACTGTATGGCGGGATTCTACCTACTTGTTCTCATCGTTGTTGGCGCGCTTTGAGTGCTTTAGGTGATGAGCGAGCGCGTACATGGATGGCCGCGTTTTCTTGTATGTGTGCGTGTGCAGCGTGCGGTGGTTGTCTACCTGCCAAAAAACGACATATTTCCTTTTTCTAGCTAGGTACTTGAGCTTTGTGCCGTGCGTGCTCTTATGTGTGATCTCTCTTGCATCCGTTCCCTCATCTCACGATCTACATATCTGCACCAAACGTAGCGTTAAATCGTGGCTGTAGACGGTGCTTTTGGATTCATGTTCATCGACTTCACGATTTAACATCTACGGAAAACACGCACATCCAATCTTGAAGCGAAGAAGAAAAGAGAAGAACGCAAAACACGCGCCTACGAATCCATTCATCCATCCATCCATCACCTCCACCCCCACCTCTACCCAAAAACCCTAACAAACTCCCGCCCCTCCCACGCCTCCGGCCTCTCGCCGACTCCCCATCTCCTCCCCACACCTTCATCACTCTCCTCCTCCACCACCACCTTGCCACTTCCTTTACCACGTCCCTGCTCCCACCCACCACGCACCTCCCACCCCAGCACAGCCAACCACACGGCATCAGCATTCCAGCGCTCAAACGCGGCGCGCACATCCGCGCGCGCCACCACAACAGGGAGAAGCAGGTCGAGCGCCTCGGCCACGGCCGCGTCGTCCAGCGTCAGTGTGTTCAGCGCCGTGGTGACGAGGTTGAGCGCCGCGGCGCGGATGAGGCGCGTGGGCGCTGGCGTGTAGTGTGCTGGTGTTTGTGTTGTTGTTGTTGGGGTCGGGGTCAAGGATGTGCTTGCCATGCTGGCTGTTAGGGACGCGATGGGGGTGGTGGTGGTGTTTCGGCCACTGCTAATGCTACTACTACTGCCGCCGATGCCCCCGCTCCGGTACAGCCGCAGCACTACCGCCCATACGTCCTCGATGCGGCTGCGCATGAACTCCCCTGCGTACACGCACATGGCGGCCACGGCGTCGCAGGCGCCGGCCACGACGTAGGGCTCTGTGTCGTGCAGGCGGGGCAGCACGGAGGGCCAGAGGGCGTTGATGAGGGGGAGGAGCGAGGACTCGTGCCGCGCTAGGGCGGGGAGCGTCGTGCTGAGGAGGCCGAGCAGGGAGGTGCGTAGAGTGGGCGAGGGCGCGGAGAGGTAGTGTTGCGTTAGAGAGGAGATTTTGAGGAGGAGCGCGTAGGTCTTGGGGGCGGGTGGGGGGGCGTCGTCGGTGATGGCGTTGAGCCCGTTTTCTTGCGTCTCTTCTTGGTTTTCGTTTTCGTCGTTTGAGTCGCCTGTTGGGAGCCCTTCTTGTTCGATCTTTTCTTTCCAGGCCCGCCGCGGGAACGGCGTGGCCGAGTCGGTGTCGTCTTCGTCGTCTTTTCGCCTCTCGCGGCTTTGGATGGCTTTGAGTATGCTCACGACGTCTTGGATGGAAGTGGGTTTGCTGGCTGGCTTGTAGTGCGTTATGCTCTCTTCTCCCTCTGTTATGGCAAGCTGCGGCGTCTTGGTGCCCTCTTCTGCGATTCCTTTCAGGACAGAGAATAGCATTTCGACCAGCTTGGGGTATCCGTGAAACGATTCCAAGGCTGCAAACACACTGCTGACTAGGTCGTCCAAGTATGGTAGCAGAGTCGGGCCTGATAGCTTGATCATCATAAGAAGCACTTGAGGTGCTTGAGGCGAGATGTCGAACGTATTTAGCTTCAGAGCGACGGCATTGACCAGATAGTCAACGTTTTCAACAATCAAGCTACCAACGTCCTTGTAGTCGCAAGCGGCTGCCATTATGTTCAGGCAGGTGATTGCATGGTTTCGTAGCTGCGGGATTGGCGAACCGACGAGGTGGACAATCGGATACAATGACTCCACTAACTCAAGCCGAAAATCCGATTTCAACGTTTCGGCCTGAAATGCAATGGTCTCGACCGCGAGTGCTTGCAGTCTCCAGTCTGCTTGGGGCTCGAGAGATGATTCTTGCAAAACATCCAGCGAGAAAGAATACATTTCCTCGAGGATTTCTTCATTTGGTCCCATAGACGCATCACCAAAGTCCAGAAAGGCGTCGATGACCGAGTTCTTCTCGGCGGAGAACTTGATCAGCTGGAGGGAAACCCAGAAGTTTGCCAACTGTGATGTTCCCTTGCTTGATTGAAGGGAATCCACGAGCTCTCTTGCGGCCGTGAGAGAAGATTTAGAGCTACTGACATGCTTGACCAGGTTTTGAAGGTCGCCAACAATCTCTTGTTGGTTTTTGTTCTCGTACATAATTGGTTGAAACTCTTTCGAAGGTCCATCATGTAGAGGAGCCGTAAGCTCGAGCGAGTTGGACAATTCTTTTGTTTGGGTGATTTCTCCAATCTTGGGTTGGTCTGAGAAACAGGTAGAGATTCCATCCCGAAGGTTCGTTGCCATTGCGCGGTCGACGATATCAAGATCGGTGCCCTGATCGGCTAGTAATTCATATCCTATTGAAATCTGAACGACCAGTCTCCGTTTTACAGCGTCATCAGGGCTTTGCAGTACTCGAGGCAGAGACACAACCCAGCTGTGAATGCTTGATCGGAGTAGCTCCGCCAACCTCGGATCAGCAGTTATTACATGGCGAACAATGTTCTGCATTGCGCCGTCATCATCTGATCCGCACAGAACTGCCATCGTCTCGACCATCATCGCTGCCGAATCCTTTAGTGATTCACGGCATTCTTCGAGCACTATCAAGCAGAGGTCGAGCAGTGCCTGTCTGACGTGCTTGCGCTCATGTTGGCGAATGCGAATGATGTTTGCCAGAGCGAGTTTGATTTGAGCAGTGGTGGCTTTCAACCATGACTGAGTAAGACGAAGCGCGCCCTGGCTGTCATTTGCTGTTTGTGTGGCCGTAGGTTCAGCACTAGCTGGTAAATCTTTAGTTGCTCTATCACTAATGACTGCCCTGAAGAGCTGAGAGAGCACTTCGAGTGAAATGCGAAGGATCTCATAGGAACGACGCTGCTTTGTCGCTGGAGTCAACACCTTGGCGAGGGCTGAAACCATACCAGGAAGGAAGCTTGCTAAGGCATCACGATCCTTGACCGCCAGACAGCAGCTACGCAGGGCTTGGACAGCTGCCAGCTGGATGTCATTTGAGGGCCCCTCTGCCACGCCTTCCAAGATGACTGTTATCGCATGACCGAGCGGAGGAATATTGCTTGCATCCGTGAGGCTCTTCCTGCTCTTCTCGGACTGTTCGTATGTCACAAACAGCTCAGACAAACACTGAAATGCCACGCATTGCAGTTCTTCAGATGATTGAGGCGATGGTTTGTTCCCCGGAGTGCCGCCGGCAAATACAGTAAGCAGAATTAACAACTGGCCGCTCAGGGCTGGTTCGATGTTTGAGCGCCATCCAGTCTGGAGTATAATAGTCAGGCATTGCAGCGTGAGCTCTATAGCAACAACTGGAAGCTTCTGCTTCTCGCGCAACACGTGCGACAGAGGGAAAAAGACATATTCAGCCAGCTTGTCGTTGAGAGCGCCCGGGTACTGCTTTGCCTCTTTTAATGCATCAAGAAGTGCTGCCAAAGCGGTAACAACATCTCTTGGGTTGCCATTGTTACCTGCTATACGCAGGGCGGCCTGGCTCAGCCCTACGCAGTGAGGCTTGAGCTGTCGAGGGGTCAATAGCAGGTGTGAGCTAGCGGAGAGGTGAGACGAACCTGCTGGAAAACAAAATTCCTACGCTCCATTGCTGCCGAAGGACACAAGCCCCATTTCTCACTTGACAAGCGTCAACAAGTGTGAAGTTGGCGAGAAGTAGAGGCCCGGCGGCATCGCGGCGGGATCGAGGCAGCTGCCGCGAACCAGGCGCGTCCCAAAGTTGAACCATCGTCCGAACGCGGTACCACGTCACCCTCCGCTCGAGGCACAACAATCATCCCCGCCCCGCTGCCGACGCGACTTTCCCGCATCATTGGACGCCATCCCTCTTACCTCCTACACCTCAACTGCGGCGCGTCCCCGCGACTCACGACGCGCTTCGGCGCATTCGACTACTCCTGGAGACACCGCGACAATGCCCGGCACACGTAGTCGCACGAGCGGCGCGACCGCAGTCACCGAAGAACCCGAGCAGCAAGAGGCTACTTCGGGTCTCCGTTTCAACAAGAGCCTGGCCTCGCGCCCTGGGAAGCCAATACCCGTCGCCGATTTGTTGCGCAGACTCCAGGACTTGTCGCGCGAGCTGCGCGACCTTGATCAGGAGGATGCGGAAAGGTCATCCCTGATGCCCGTTGCGAAAGAACTTGCGGCGCAAAACCTACTGTCGCACAAGGATCGCGGTGTAAGAGCATGGACGGCATGTTGCATTGTAGACATGTTCAGGCTGTGCGCCCCAGATGCACCGTATACAGCGGCTCAGCTGAAGGTAAGCCGCGGACAGGACTCAAGTTTTGAGACACAAGCTGACGCGCGCAACACAGGATATCTTCATGCTGTTCATACATACCATCTTTCCATCTCTTGCCGATCCGTCGAGCCCTTACAATGGCCAACACATTTATGTCTTGAAGTCATTGGCAGAGGTCAAGAGCATCGTCCTCCTTACGGATATCCCCGCGGCCAATAGTCTCATGCTAGCACTGTTCACGGTGTGCTTCGACGTGCTGTCGGGGCCGTCCAAGGCCGAGTCCGGCGAAGAGCTCAGCAAGAACGTTGAACATCATATGACTGCCGTTCTGGCGACACTAGTAGACGAGGCGCAAGGAATGCCTGGAGAGGTCGTAGATGTTACACTGGCACAGTTCCTCCGCGCCGATCCGCGCGCTGTCACGGCCAATGGAACCAAGCCCAAGAAAGGAGCGCAAGTCGATGAAAGGCAATCCACTCTTCTCCTAAAGGAGGCGCCTCCGGCATACAATATGGCAAAGAATATCTGCAATTCTTGCTCTGATAAGATGGCGAGATACATAAGTCAATATTTCAGCTCGGTCATCGTGGACGCTACCACCGCGGCGCCTACACACAGATCGACCAAGAAAGGTTCCAAGCGCGCCAGCAGCCCTCCCGACGAGTCAGAAGATGACGCTCCTCGCGGTCCCTCGGAAGAAGATCTGCAAGAGAGTAGAAAAGCGCATAGGTTACTCCGCGAGCTATGGCGATCAACGCCTTCTGTCCTGCAGGATATTGTCCCGCAACTCGAAATTGAGCTAAGCGCAGAGGATGTTCAACTAAGGACGCTCGCAACAGAGACACTTGGTGATATGATCGCTGGTATTGGAGCCGCGGGACCGCCGCCAGCTCCGGTGTACAATGCCGCAGCATATCCGTCTCAGAGCCTGTCATCTCCTTCCGACCGTATTCCGGTGTACAACTTTCTGACCACACCGACCTCTCCCCACTCATTCCCATCCCGCTACCACCAAGTTTACCAAGGTTTCCTCAACCGCCGCAACGACAAGTCTCCGCTGATTCGCTCTGCATGGGTCACGAGTGTTGGCAGGGTACTCATGACCAGCGCTGGTGGCGTGGGTTTGGATCCCGAAGAAGAACAAAAGCTACTCAAGTATCTAGGCGATATGCTCGTGGACGGCGATGAGCGGGTTCGCTTGGCCGCGATTAAAGCCATCGAACGATTCGAGTTTCACGACATAGTCCAGAAGATCGGTAGCAGAGGTGGAATTTCCGAAGCAGGATCCATACTAAGTAACCTAGCCGACCGTGTCAGGGACCGCAAGAGTGCCGTACGTGTCGAAGCCATGAAGTTGTTGGGCAAGGTCTGGGGCGTTGCTTCTGGGTCCATAACTGAGGGCAGCGAGCGTGTTGGCGAGCTCCTTAGCCCGATACCATCGCGAATCCTTGATGCCTACTATCTTAACGACCAGGAGGTTAACGTACTCGTCGATCACGTTCTTTTCGAACTTCTCTTACCGCTCAACTACCCCGCAATCAAGACGAAATCGAAAGAAAGCTCCCAGCGGATCAGAGACAGCCAAGCAAACAACAACGTCGAGCACACGGAAGCAGATGCTGACAAAATAAGGGTCGAAAGGATTCTTGCCTTGGTTAGAAATCTGGTGCCAAGATCAAAGACGGTGCTGTTCGTGAAGCAAGTCAACTCCGTCACGCTGGCGAAATATATGGATGCTCTCCTCAAACGGTGCGAGGACTATAACGGCGGCGTTATGGACAAGGGAGAGAAGGAGACAAAACTCCAACTTGGCAAGCTCATCGAGTACCACGCAAAGACGTTACCTGAATCATCAAAAGCATCCGAGGATCTTTGGAAATTCGCGAAGATGCACGATCGTCGGAGCTACCAGCTTATCAGGTTCGCCATGGCCCCCGATAGCGACTACCGCAAGGTCTACAAAGCCATCAAGGAGTTCTCGAAGCGCATAGAAGAAGCCCCAGGGTCAACAAGTACCATGCTCGAAACACTCATTCCTCTGGTGTACAGGGTCAGCGTGCTGCTTTACAACAAAAGCCACGTGCCAGCAATCATCGAGTCCTCACGGACCGATGAAAAAGGTCTGGGGAACACCGCGCACGAGGTTATCAAGGAGATATCATCTCGTAATCCGGATGTTTTCAGAGGCTACGTGCAGGAACTGTGCCGGGCTTTGGAAAGCGAAGCACCAACTGCAAAGAAACCGAATGGCCCGGGTGCTGTAGATGACCTCAAAGCATGCTCCGGGTTTGCGAAGAAGTTTCCCAAGGATATCCCGACGGAGCGCAAATTTGTCCAAAGCATGATCAGTTTTGCTCAGTACGGCACGCCACCAAGGGCAGCCAAGTACGGGGTTTCGATCCTTATGGCTAACACGGACAAAAAGGAAATGCACGCCCGCGATCTTCTGCGACAATGCACAAAGGGATTTGACTATGGCAAAGGAAACTATCTTTCAAGGCTTGCAACTCTGAGCCAGCTCATGCTACTTGGATCGAAGGCTATTGAGGATGAAATCGATCTTGTCATTGACATTGCCATTAATAATGTCTTACTCAAAATTACGCCAACGGACGAGGAAGCAAACCCTACTTGGACGGATGAACCGGACAGTGATTGCACTGCCAAGATGTGGGCCCTTAAAATACTTGTCAACCGGCTCCGAGGCTTAGGCGATGAGGAGTCGGTAAAGGAAGTCTCGCAGCCCGTGTACAAGCTTTTGAATACTCTGGTGGCGAAGCAGGGCGAGCTTTCTAAAAAGAGTGAGTCTCCTAAGGCACAGAAGGCACGTCTACGCCTGCTTTCTGCGGAGCTTCTTCTCAAGCTCTGCCGCGAGCGTCGCTTCGACGCCCTGTTGACCGCTAAGGACTTCAATGAGCTCGCTATCGTAGCCCAAGACCCCAATCCGCATGTCCGTGAGGGCTTTGTCAAGAAGCTCATGAAATACCTTGGCCAAGACAAACTGCCACGCCGGTTCTACACTATCCTTTTCCTCCTTGCTTTCGAGCCCGACTCACGTCTCCAAGAAAGCACCGTCACTTGGATTCGAGCTCGCTGCTCTGCATTCACCAAGGCGCAGGACTTTGTTTTTGAAAACTGCTTTGCTCGCTTCCTTTCTCTGCTGGCCCATCACCCGGACTTTGATCAAAGCGTGAACAACCTACGGGACTTCGTGCAATACATTATGTTCTACCTCAAGAGCGTGGCAAACGAGAACAACGTGGCTCTCATCTACCATGTCGCTCAACGGGTTAAAGCTGTAGAGGACGCAATCGAGTCTGAGGCCAGCGAGAATTTGTACGTCCTGTCGGACCTAGCCCAGGCGGTGATTCAGCGTTTCAGAGAATCGCACAGCTGGAGCATGCAAGCGTTCTCGAAAAAGGCACGCATGCCCGCAGATATCTTTGCGAATTTGCCTTCTCACGAGGTTGCACAAGAGATTGCGGAAAAGCAATACGTGCCAGAGGAGCTCGTGGAGGAGCTGGATGATCTGGTGAGGGCAAGCTTGAGAACGAAGAAGGTGAGTGAAACTTCCCCGCTCATGAACTTAGGTACAGATACTAACAGTTACGACAGCGCAAGACGGATGCAAGCAGTGGTGAGCGTGCCTACAAGCGTTCCAGGCTCTCTGGGTCCACAAAGCTACCCGTACGCAGGGCTAGCAAAGGAGTCCGTACGCCTAAACCCAAGAAAGTCCGTAAGATTGCGGATGATGTACCCTCGAGCGAGAGACGACGCAGTGGTCGCCACACTGCCGCCAAAAGCTATGTGGAGCAGAGTGACACTGAGGACGATGTCGAGATGGAAAACTGGGACCACGAGACCGAGAAGAAGGATGAAGAGGATCAGGACCAGAGCGAAGAGCAACAAAGCAGCGAGGTCGAAGAAGAACAACCCGTAGCACCGACGCCTCCTAGCAACAAAAAGCCAAAGGAGAAGAAGGCCGCAACCAGGGCCAGTGGAAGAACGACCAGGACTCGGGCGCAGACAAAGGCTCCGGAGGAGAGCGACAACAACGCGACAGACCCAGACGAGTGATAGTTCCCCTCTCCACCATCCTACTCTTGTAAAAGTTCTATTCTTGCTAGCCAGAGAGCTTCATTATTTCAACGCCGCTTCGACTCTCAGCCGACACTCCTTTTCTGCGAGCCTGCGAATCTGCGTAAGGGGGCATGGCGTTTTTTCGGTGAGGTGTGTGCGCGCGTATGTGTGGAGGGGCTTGTATTATCAGCGAACGTGTGCAGGGATTCTTCTTCTGCGGCAACGATCCTTACATACCCGCGGTTTTTTGCAGTAGTGCGGAGTGCTAGGGTTTACCTTTTCTTTCGTCGCTGGTGTTGCTATTGCTTTTTGTCTGATCTGCTTGCTGGGAGATCTTCGTGTTATATAGTACGGTTGAAGTAGATACACGAGGCTTTATGATCGGGCTCCAGCGGTTTTGTTTGTGAGACTTGCGCTTTGTGTTGTGATGATGGACTGTTTGTGCGATGTGGTCGGGTGCGGAAATGTTTGGTAAGTAGTGGTACGTTCATCGAGTGTTGTGCAATCTTTCACAATAAACAATCTCTCCTGTTGGACTCCAGCTTCTGGTGCCAAGAAGGATCATTGGTTGACTATTGGCCAACAGAATTGAAACCGACTGAAAGACGGACACATTAACCACCACTCGCAAAGTGGGTGTGTTTTGAAAGGAACAAGAGAACGATGTAGTTAGTTGCACACGCTCACCTGGTTACGTCGTGGCAGAACATGCAGCGCGCACTAACTCAACATAATTAAATGCTTGGTATATATAGTAGGGTTGCTAATCCAAAAGCATGGAATCGAGCGCGTCAGACTGGGCCGCCCGAACTCAAGTAATGGGCCCTCTGGTCTAGGGGTAAACATCGAAGAGCGTTTGCAGACTAGGTGTCTCTAAGTACAAGTGAGGTAGAGTTTGAGTAGGGATCACGATCAAGGAGGCGCGTTCGATTTCTTTTGTTGGCGGAGTGTCTTTTTCTTTTTGGTTTTTGGTTATTTGGGTGGGAATGTGTGGTGATATATTGAATGACTGTTAAGGTAAATGAACTTTTTGACCACCATTGATTGCTTGTACTACCAAATCGATTACTGCTCATTCACACTCCCACACCGTAGCCACCCTACCCCAACCCACATCTTTCTGACACAACGTAGCATAAGCGTTTAAGCTTTGCAATCAATGCACCATTGGCTGGCAAGTTCGAAATTTTCACTGTCACGTTTAGAAATTCTAAAAAAAATGATTACCTTTTTCGAATGGCCCCGGATAATTTGCCCACCCCGCAACTACATCTTAAGCAAAATCTACAATACCTACAAAATATATCTTAGGCAATTATAACAGACTATTGTATTTCTATATAAAAGTAAAAATATACGACTACTAGAGTATCTACGAGGGTATAAAAATAAAATATTCGAAGGGTGTAAAGGTACTTATAAGGGTATAGATACCTATAATTTTAAAGAGTAGAAAATATATTATATAATTCTGTAGATGTTATCACGTGGGGTGGGCAAAATATCTAGAGGGGGTGGGCAAATTATCCGGTGCCTTTTCGAATTTTTAGGGGCTGCTTAGGTCCTTTGCTATCTCGCTGAACGATGAATCTCGGTTGACAGAGATGGAAGTTGCTGTTTATAGCTCTTGCAGCTGTTCGAAATGGGTTCATACCGTCAATTTACATTTTTAGGAGTTGCGGTAGTCAGGAAGCAGTAGCCAGTGCTATTTAATTTGCTTATTGCCCCCTTCCAGTACACGTTTAGCCGTACTGTGAACATCATTGGCACTGTGTTTGCAACCGATAACCGTAGAATTTGCAACTGTCATAAACCCATAGACAAGATTCCACGATTCTACCTGTGAAACAAGAAGACCCATCCTACTCCATAGTTATTAATACTCCATTCTGGTGCACCAGCAACAACATGCCCACTAGTAGCCCTGATACGGTTTTAAAATACCAACATTATCGCACTAGTCGTACATCCTCCCTTTCTGCAGCCGCTGTGGATCTCTACCCTCTTGTGTAGCCAGTGCAACGTGACCGACCTCGGAGTCTACTTCCACGTCTGCGATCATGACTTTAACGTTCTGGAGTAACCGAGTCTTTTCCAAGCCGTCCAGGTAGGATCCACCAACGAACACATTAGCGTGCGGGTTGTCTCGCATCATGGACGAGGCGTAGCCTAGGATATCTGGAGCGAGGGTAATTGTCTTTAGGAATATAGAGATTGTTCCTGCGAGGAGAAGAATGGAGGAGGTGGTCAACAGAAGGATAGTCCAGGTCCAGTGGCATACGTAAACGTTGCCGGTGATATTTTCCACCTGAGCTTGAGAGGAATTGAAGGAGATGTGTTCACCATTATCTGTAATGGCGTCGTCGTAATACCCGATGTCTTTGTTAAGACCTTCCATGAAGAACTCCGTGCCGTAGGTTGCCCGCGAGAAGGTGTTTACTACAATTCCTAGGCGGTAACTAAGGGGTTGCAACGGAACATTCGTCATGTTCACATATTGCCCTCTGTGCGGCGAAAAATCCGTGTTCGGATCCAACAGCCATCTCTCGGTTTGCGAACTACCGGCATCTCCCGCGTCAAATACAAAGACTCCCTCGATGCCCCGGAAGAGCAAGCCTGCTTCGTAAGCACTTATCGCTCGGTTGCCTTCAAAGTTATCGGTCCACGGTCGCATTGCCTCCACACTACAAGATTTTCCATTGCAGTGGATGGCAGACTCAAAATCCCCAGCTCTTATTTTGCAATTGGCTACTGAAGCGGGTACACTGTTATTTTCACCCACGCCGGCCATAGACGTAAAAATGAGATTTGCTTCAGATTTGGTGGTTTCTGTGTCTCGGCCGCGGGTAGGATCGTCGGGGTAGAAATGCCCTAGCTCAAAGGTAAATGAGCTGGTTTTTTCCGGAATTTCAGGAGACCAGCAAATCCCTGTACGGCAGGTTTGGATGTAGTCGTTGCTGGAGCAGTTCACAGACCATTGACGTGAAACTATCGTGAAGTTCGAGCTTCCACTACTAGGGATGCCGGCGACAGGAATACCAATCAAAGACGAAGGCATAGCTTTGGAGTGGTTGACACTAATCCACGATCCGGAAGTCGCATTATCTAGGATGGTAAGGGAATAATAGTTCGGTATTTTGACGTTTCCCCAGATGTCCATAGGAGAATCCACTCCCCCCACTGACGTCCGCGCGGTCTGGAGCGAGGTGGTAAATATAGCATCCACGAAAGGTCGTCCACGAGTTAGGCTAGAATAACCTCTCAGGAAGCTATATCTATCCGCCATTACGGGTAAATATTTGACTGTCGTATTATACGTAGTACTATGAGTCGATGTACTGAGCAAGCGAAGTGCAGACTGGCCACCGATAGGGGATAAAGCCCAGAATAGCGTGGCAACAACTCCTATAAGGCTAAGTCTTCGCAGAATGACTTGCCTCTCTATGGCGGCGAATAGGGATTGGCAACCAACGAGTTGCTCTAGAGTCTAAAATACTTCAGCAACACCCCAATTGAGAGATTGTTAGGAGACCAACACCTAGCGTGACACCTCGTTCGGCCCGGTACAAGCCATAAGTCCTGAAAAACTTTCCCATCAAAGCAGCAAAGATGATCGGGAAAACAGTGGGTGCCAACAGTAGAGCTTGCTGGACCTTCGCACCAAAAGCAGAGGTCGGTTTTTGGTCTAGAGAACCGGCGATTATAGCAAGCACTGCAAGAGGTGTGAATTAGCGATGCTTGAGATAAAATCGAGGATGGGGAGGTTGTGCGACGTACCGATGAAAAGTAACGGAAAAATTGAAAGTATAATGTCGATAATCAAAGTGGTCCAGCGGGCAATCGTCCACTTCCCAAGACTTGCTCCCGGTGAGCTCTCTTTGGGATTAGTGACTTCTTGGTGCACTCTAACCTCCGACCCAGGTCGCTGCGCTTGAAGTACTGTAGGCGCCGACATGGTGGGGCGCAACGGGAATGTCATTTTGATGTTGATATTGGGATGAAGGACACAATTTTTGAACGTCTCCAACGAGAAGTTTTGTTCTTCTGGGGGTAAGAATTACAGCACTTCGTAGATGATATGATATTTAAGGAGCGGAAATTGAAGCTGATGGGAAAATATATAGATACCATTCTTTTCTTGTTCCTCAGCTTTACCCCCACTCTCTCTATAAATAAAAAAATAAATATAAATACTGCATCTTTCCATAATAGGCAGATAAGCTGCAGTGTTTTCCATTAATAAGCCTCGCCGTTGGAACGCAGCTTGATTGGTGGAGACTGCGAATCTTACCATGTTTACCGAACAGCATAGAAGTGCTGGCAGCTTAGCATGAGTAGACACTGTAAAAGGCTGCTACTAGTGTGGCAGCGCCTGCCACTGATCTCTTATTATATAGAACTTGCAGTTAGTACCTATTAGTGCCAACTAGGAGATACTGGTCCTACCTTTCGCATCTGATTGGTTGACTTGAAGGTTTAGTGTTGCTGCAGCACGGCTATACGAGTAGATAAAGTACCGAAGAATCGACTTTTTTCGCGCAAGGTCCATCCTATTACGGGTTGTAAATTCGCGACCCCCCTCCCCTGCTAGCGCCGTTAAAGCCTATGCTTACTTATAATCTTTGTATGGAGTAGAAGAAGAGTACCAGATAACGATATATAGAATCTATATGTGCTCTTAAACTATTTCACCCATATCCGGGACTCGGGCTAGGAGCTAGGCAAGGTGTACTCTGTAGGGACTGCTTGTATCGTCTCTTGTCTTGCTAAGCTGTGGATCTCGGTTCCCGGTGAAAGACGTTATATAGCCAGGAAAGGCGTCTTGGCAGCCTGTAAGACAGTGGCCGGCGACATGCGAAGGGATAAGGCGAGCCATTTGATCTTTCGATGTGTTTGATTTCCCTTGACGCCGTGTAATACTGATTTCTTGCTCGCCTGCCCTCTTTACCGCTGCTTCTCTCAGTGTTTCTTTTCTTGAAAACGTCCCCTGTACCGAGGTATGGTTCTTTTGATTGCGGCTCCGGGACGTCGCTTTCAAATGCTAGCGTTCTGCACGACAGCTTCAATGCTTACTATACCTTTGCTAGATGACCAATTAGCGCCCTCAACATCTGGAAAAATTGTACGATAAATGTTTGGACACTAGAATGCATTCATAAGATGAGCAAGAGACGTCTCTCCGACAGTTCATAAGTGGATAATACCGCGACCCCCGTTTGACTTATCAGCTTGTCCTTCTACTTGCCCAAAACAAACAATAAAAATACTTGCAGGTATCTTCTGTCCAGATTATATTGCGATGGAAACCGCACATCTCATACTTAGTGTCCTTTTCGTCTCCCCTAGCAGACACCATCCCTCTGATGCCAGGGCAGACTAGTAGTCGACAGCTAAGCGACAGTGCGGATGACCATACTGATCCGAAAGACCACCCACCAGTTGAAAGCAGAGATGACGTCTCAACCGACAGTTCTCATCCCGAGTTCCCGGAAAAAGGATGTCAGCGCCCACACCCGCCCGTCAGTGTCAGAAAGAAAAATGCTCCCCACGAGCCACCTCACGTCCGGGCCCAAACACTCAACGCCCAAAAGCAGCCACACGTCAGCACCAGGCCTCCGGACCCACGCAAACGCGGCCGTTTCCCGCGCTCCCACCTGGTGTAACACGGGCTCCGGCTCTGTGCAACGCAATTAGCCCAACCAAAGCCAAAGCCACCGGCCGGCTCACGGCGGCGCAAACGCAAACGCAAAGCAGCGCCCTTCCAACGCCGCGCATGGAAGCCCGTCATCAAATCTCGCTCCACCTAGCGTCAAGCCCGGGCAAGGAAGAAGGAAGCTATGTAGGCAGCGCGTCTACCCATCCGTCGCCGGCAACGCTCTTATCCGACAATGACAATGACAATGACAACGCCAACGACGACCAGCCCTGCCCTGGACCCACGCGACGGCCAGCTTCTGCCAGGAAGAGAGAGAGAAGGAGACAGTTGTCGTAAACGGCCGAGCGAAATCCAGATATGCACACAACAGGCCACATGCGCGCAGGAAGGATCCACCCAATCCACCCGCTCGCTCGCGGATCGCCACCCGCCCAAATTTGCATCTGCTTGCTCTTGCTGCTCTGCGCCGCGCCATCTGCTGCCGCTGCAACAGATATGCACGGCAACTGCCGGCCGTCGCGTCGCGTATTGTATGTACGTACGTGCCTATGCGTGTGTACATACAGGCAGGGCACACCACCACTTGGGAGACAGCTATGGCAACAGTAACGACGACAACGACGACGACGGCGTCTCTTTTGCGCGCAAAAAGCAAAAATCCCCGCCCCCGCTGTAGGTGGGCGTAGGGCGGGCAGCGGGCTGGCTCGCAGCGAAAAAAAGACCAAAACAACACGGGTCCGTGAGCAGCGAGCACTGAGCAGCAGCCATGGCAGGGAGCAGTGAGCAGCAACAGGCGCGCAGAAAGGCCCCTGCGCCCCTCAACCCCGGAACTAGCGTTCGGCTCGAGCGTGCTACGACAGACGCAGCAGCGCAGCGGCGGCGGCGATGAGGAATATGGCAGATTGGCATAGAGTGGCAGATTAGCAGGGCAGGGCAGGGCAGCGCCGGTGCGAGAGCAACAGTAGTAACAGCGGCAGCAGAAGCAGCTAATGAGAGCGGATCTAAGCCGCTGCTGCTGTGCGACGGACGGGGAGTGCCACAGCTCAGCAGGGCTCGCTCGCGAGGTTCAGCTGCTAGCGAGCGGCAGATTGCCTGACGATCACTCAGGTCCCCGTCGCTAGTGACGGGCAATGCTGTTGCTGATGCTGCTGCTGATGATGGCTTTCTCAGCCGCGCGCCGGCAGAGGTAAGGTAGGTAATCGCTCACGCACGGAGACTCACTCCGCAACCCCATCGCATCAGCGCCCGCAGAGCTGTACGCGACGGAGGCGGTAGTGGTGGCAGTGGCAGTGGTGGCGAGCGCACAATATCGGTACGACGCTCGCTCTTGCTCGGAAGCCGCCCGACCGCGTGCAGCCGTGCGTAGGTAGGCATGTCTGTACAAAAGCCGAGTAATAACGGGTCGCGCATCACGGACGGGCTCCAAGACAGCGACAATGCAAGACATCGGGATCGGGGGAACGCGGCTTGCGCCCGGCTATCAGGTTTCAGGCCCTTGTCCGGAGGGGAGGGAAGGGAAGAGGGAGCGGCAGGGCTGACTGACCGAGGACCAGGAGGAGGAGGAGGAGTAAGGTCATGGCCAGCTAGCAGCAGCAGCAGCAGCGCTCGTCGCTCGTCGAGAAATCTCTAGCTACCAGCAGCAGTGCCCGCAGCAATGGTAAATTGAGCCAGTCCACTGTACGCACATATGTAGCGAGAGCAGATCCCCAAGCGGGACGTGCGACGACGGCAAACGGGGCAAGTTCGCTTGTCCGCGCGCTCACTCGCAAGGGTCGTTCGTTCGTCCATCAACACACGTTTCTCGACAAGGCGCGGGGCCGGCGGGCAATATGCGGACCAGGGCACGGCAAGGTTATAATCCAAGCCTGGCGGCGCGACCAGGGGCGTGCAGGCGGCAGGCCGACGCCACGACGGCTCGCGGGCGCCCGGAAGGGCAGGATTGTCGGGACGGCAGAGCGCCCGGGGCTGACCACATGGCAGGCTCGTGGGGTCGTGATGCCTGTGATGCGTGATATGAACGAGGGAGGGGGAGGGCGCGCCACGGCTGCTAGCTGAGCGCTTCCGATATGGCTGCTGCTAGTGCTGCTCCTGCTGCTGCTGCAACCTGGGTATATTATATTATCCACCACTATCTCGCTCGCCCGTCTCTTTCTCTTCTACCCGTTTTTGTCGCGTCCACTCCTCGTCGTCGTCGTCGTCGCTGTCGTGGTCGTCGTTGCCGCTGTCGCCGCCGCCGTAGTCGTCGTCAAGCCTCGATGCCACGGGATTGGTTACATCGCATGCGACACAAGCTTAACCGTAGGCACGACGCCTACTTACACGAGCGTACACAAGATCTTCTTCTAGAACCGTAGCCCGGGTCCTTCTGTTACATTTCCTTTCTCTCTCTCTCTCTGGAAAAAAGAAAAGAAAAGAAAAGCAAGAAAAAAAGAAGACGGATAGGAAAAGTAAAGGAAGCAAACAAACAAAACATGGACGGCCTGCCCTTCGACCCCCTCACCGCAACCGCCTCCTCCCTCTCACAACTCCTAGCCACGGGCCGCCTTACCAGCGTCGAGCTGGTCGACATCCTGCTCGCGCAAATCGACCGGCACAACCGCAAAGGCCGCCAGCTGCGCGCCATCATCAGCGTCGCGCCGCGGTACCACCTCTTCGCCGTAGCACGGCGGCTCGATGACGAGCGCAAGGCCGGCCTGCTGCGCGGCCCGCTGCACGGCGTCCCCATCGTGCTGCAGGACAACATCCTGACGGACCCGCTGTCCACCTTCCTCGATACGACGGTCGGGTCGTACGCCTTCGTGGGCGCGAAGCCCAAGGCCTCGTCCGCGCCCATCGTCGACCGCCTGCTTGCGCGCGGCCTCGTCGTCCTCGCAAAAACCAACCTCTCCGAGCTCTGCGGCCTCAAGTCGACGACGATGCGGCCGGGCTGGTCCGCCGTCGGCGGCCAGTCCCTCTCCCCCTTCGTCGCGCGCCGCCGCGAAAAGGGCGTCCTGATCTGGGAGCACGCGGCGGCGGGCGGGGCGGGGGCGGGGGCCGCCTCGGCCGTGGCGGCGGGTTTCGCCCCGCTCGCCCTCGCCTCTGACACAGTGGGCAGCACGACGACGCCCGCCAACCGCGCCGCACTGTACGGGCTCAAGCCCACCGTCGGCGCCGCCCCAATGGACGGCGTCTGGGCCCTCAGCCGCAGCTTCGACACCCTTGCCGCGCTGGCCAAGAGCGCCGAGGACCTCGTCGCCCTCGCCGATGCGCTGCTCGAGCCTGAGCGCGAGGACTCGGTCCTCGATGGCGTGCCCCGCGCCGCGCCTCGCTTTGCCGTAAAGCGCCGCTGGAAGGGCCTGCGCGTGGGCTTTGTCGATCCCGCCGTCTGGAAGCCGCGCGGTGACCTTGCGCGCTGCAATGCCGATGCTCAGAAGTACATGGTCAACATGTACGAGATGGCCATTGCCAAGATCCGTGACCACGGCGCCGCCGTCTCCTATCCAGTGCAGGCGCCTTCACCCGAGGGCTTCCGCTCCGGCGGCCTCGGCAGCTTCGAGGTCGTTGCTTGTGAGTCCCGTCCTCCTTCCCAAAAGGGTAAGAAAGAAAGACCGCACACAACTAACCCCATCCCCACCTCCACAGACCACGAATTCCGCCGCACAGCCGCCGACTTCTTCGCACACCTCGACAGCACAAACAGCAATGTGCGCAACCTCGCCGCCCTCATCCAGTTCAACGCCGACCACGCCGATATCGAACTCCCCGCCGCGGCGCCCGACCAAGACGACCTGATCACCGCCTTCGGCACCAACACGCCTGCGCCCGTCGTCGCGCACAACCGAGACACGCTGCGCCGGCTCGGCGGCGCCGAGGGCATCGATCTCGTATGCGACTACTATGGCGTGGACATCCTGGCCGCGCCGGGGGACAGCGCGCTGTGTGACTTGGCAGCAGCAGCAGGTACGCGGTTACATTTCACGTTCTCTGCTCATTTGCTTCTTTCGTCTTCTCCCCCACGCACACGACTCACCACCCCTCACAGGCTACCCCCTCGCGACAGCCCCGCTCGGCGCCCTCCGCGCCAACAGCCGGCCCTTCGGGCTCGCGCTCACAGGGCGCGCCCACAGCGAAGCCCAACTCCTCCACTTCCTGACGGCATGGGAGTCGCTGTTCCCGGCCTCGCAGCGCTGCGCCCCGCCGCCCCTGGACTCGGTGCCCGTGCCCATGCCCGCAGGGCCCGACGCCCGCGCCCCGGCCCCCGATCCCCCCGTCATCCGCGTCATTCTGCGCGAGTGGGACATGCGCGATTTCCGCCAGAGCAGCGACGCGCTGGCCGAGTGGCTGAATGCCCGGTGGAGGAAGAGTGGGTATGCGTTGAGTCCGGAGGCGGTTTATGAGATCTTGAAGGCGAATGGGCGGGTCGCGTTTCGGGGGCTTGGGGATGAGTCCGGGGGCGCGTTTGCGAGGTAGGTGGGATTGGTTGATGTACTTGGGATGTGAGGCGTTTGAGCGGCGTGAGGAGGTCTGCCGGCGTTTGTTCGTTCCGTTTGTACTATATGGGTTGGTCGTGGAGGTGGTGGCGACGCGCGGTCTTGTTTTTCTTCGCGAGGATATCCAGCACGAGGTGCGAGCAGCATCTTGCGCTCTTTCTTTTCTCCTTCTCTTCTTACTCCTTACTAGTACCTACTCCTATACGGCCAGCTCTCGGGTGGCTCCTACGATTGCCTAACGACGAATCTCTTTTATGTCACTTTTTGCTCCGGGTCGCGCTCGAGCGTCTGTCCCTGCGTCGCCGCCGTCGTATAGGCTGGGCTTACTGCCCTATTGATCCATGCGATTCATGCGCTCAACGATCACGACGCGCAACCAACAGGCAGTACCTGAGCGTGGCGTGGTGGTGTAACGCCCTTCCCTACCCCGCACCCGCAGCGGAATGCGCGTCCGGCAACGTGGCAGCCGCCGATTTCGATACGGGAATTCGATGCGGCACGGGCGCCGATTGGTCGGGTCTTGCTAGCTGTGTGGAACACGGGCGGCCCGAGACGTGGTGACAGGTATGCTGTCTGCTGCTGGCGTGGAAGTCTAGGCTTCGAGAATACTGGAGATGCGGGGGTGTGGTTGGAGGGTGGGAGATTACTTGCGGGTTAACTGAAAGGCGCCTTAGAATGGCGGAGGAAAGTTGGTCCTTGTGGTTAAGAGGCCGGTTTTCATTCTTAAGATGTACGTTTCATAAGGCCGTTACAGGTTCGTTCGTCCCTCTGTCTTTTACGCATCGTTCACGCACCGGTCGCCGGGCCCTTCTTGTCAAAGGCGCCGCCCTCCGCCGCGCCCTTCTCGCTCGCCGCAAATGCGCGCCAGAGCCTCTCTTCCATCGCTTTATCCTCACCACCGGACTTTGCATCCACAGTCGCCGAAGCCTGAGCGCGCGCCTCCGTCTCAGTCCCAGCAGCAGGGCCAACGCCCGGGGCTGGCGCATCCTGCTGTTCCGGGTCCATCTTGGTCTCGATTTTGCGGATTATCTTGGCCGGATTCCCTGCGACGACGTGGAAGGGCGGTACGCTCTTGGTGACAACGCTGGCGGCGCCAATGGTGCAGCCGCGCCCGACGGTCACGCCGGGCAGGATGCTCACGCCGCCGCCGATCCAGCAGTCCTCCCCGATGTGGATTTCCTTGCCGAGCTCGGGGCCGTTGGTGCCGTTGCGGAGGAGGGGATCGAGCGGGTGGGTGCCGCTGTAGAAGGAGACGTTGGGACCGATGAGGGTGCGCGAGCCGATGGTCACCAGGCACGTGTCGAGGATGGTGCAGCCGTAGTTGATGTACACATTCTTGCCCAGCTTGACATTGGTGCCGTAGTCCATGTGTACGGGGGCCTCAACCCAAGCATCGTCTTTGAAGAGATCTTCGTCGGCTTCGGGCGTGGCTGCTGGTGGGGGGAGCGGGGTAGTGTCGCCAACGATGCTGAGGAAGTCCAAATCGTTAGCTTCGATGCCATGTTGTAAGTAGAGCTGGGGCGCTGCACTCACTCCCTAAACAGCTCGACCAGGCGGCGTCGGGGAACCTCGCCGGCGTTGCTGTAGCGCTTGCAAGCCCATGAGCAGCGGGTACGCGCGGCGACGAGATCGGGGGTGAAGGCATGGTAGAGCTCGCCGGCGGCCATGCGCCGCCTATTCTCGTTCATATCGATATCGCGCAGATCGGCCATTGTGGGATGGAAGGACAGGTGCAAGCAGAGCTCCGGGTCAGAAGGTGGCACTGACATTCTGACGTCGAGCTTTCGCGGGGCCCCAAGCCCCAAGCCCTCACCGCCTTTTTCACTCTGCCGGCCGAAAGCGCGGGCGGTGGCCGCGTGGATGAACCGCGAACAGCAGTCACGGCGCCTATTGTTCCAAATATTATTATCGCTTCTCTCTTTGTCCAAACCTCCGGCCATGCACCTGACGCTATAAGAAGCCCGCTCCCAAGTTGTCCGCGCGACTGTCCCCCACCACTCCATCCCTCAGCATGTCTGCACCACCCGGCGCACCGCTAAACGGCCATGCCGACGGTCTCCCGACCAACACCAAGGAAACTGCCAACATCTCATGGCCCGTCAACCGCCCCGAGAGCCGCGGCGAATGGACCACCAAGCTGGACCACGATCTGCGCCTGCGCGAGCAGGCCACCATCCAGAAGGAGGCCGGCCGGCTCGGTTTCCTCATCTCCGCGCGTGATGTGATGCCCGGCCAGCCGCGCTCGCTGTCGGGCATCGCGTCGCGGGCCTTCCTGCTGGGCCAAGTCTGGAGCCTCTCCGCTGCCAGCGCGCTGTACCTCGCCTTTGTCAAAGAAGACCCCGTCTGGCGCGCCGCCTTCTTTGTCGCAACGCTGGCGCTCTTCCATTTCCTCGAGTTCTGGACCACGGCGCGCTACAACACGCCTGCGGCTAAGATGGCAGCTTTCCTGCTCACGAACGGCGCGGCCTACCAGTTTGCCCATAGCTCCGCTATGCTGGAGCATCTGGTCACGCGTTTCTTTTTCCCGGAGTGGCAGGCTACGCTTACCAAGTATCCGTTTGGTTTGATTGCGGGTTTGGCTCTCATCGTCACTGGCCAGGTCGTCCGCAGCGTGGCTATGGTGCAGGCGGGCACCAACTTCAACCACCAGGTCCAGAGCAAGAAGAACGAGGGTCACGTGCTGGTGACGAGCGGGCTGTATTCGTGGCTGCGGCACCCGAGCTACTTTGGCTTCTTCTGGTGGGGCTTGGGCACGCAGCTGATGCTCGGCAACGTGGTGTGTCTGGCCGGGTACGCGGCGGTACTCTGGTACTTCTTCAACTCGCGGATCCAACGTAAGTTTAGGGCAAGTTACTTGTTTGGCCCCTTGGACGATGCTGATGCGAAGTGCGCACAGGTGAAGAGAAGTTCCTCGTCAACTTCTTTGGCCACGACTATGTCGTGTACCGCCGGAAGACGATGGTCGGCATACCTTTTATTAAGTGAGCCTCGGTAAGATGAGGCGGAGGAGGCTAGAGGTGCTGTACTATGTACAACGAACAGGCAACATCCGCTGCGGAAAATGCATTTCGCCGGCTGTTCTGTCAAAAGGATAGTGAATTGGGCGATTGCCCAAACTCATGGCGGCGCACAACACGATACCACGGTATTCTTTCATGTCTAAATGCTTCAATACCCCAATGGCATGGTTTCTCTTTCTCATTTCTCCGTTCTTGCTCGTACTCTTTGTCTTAATGCCTAGACTCCTTTCATAACGGCAGCAACCGGAGCTCATAAAGCTTGATTACTGCTGCAATCATACGACTGAATTCAACTCACTCATCACCTAAGCCAAGGTCCGTTTATGCATTATGCGGTATTGGTGATGATCATATTCATCAAAACAGCAAAAAGCAGAGGAGTCTTGGGTTAGGTGGATTTTCTAATGTGGGGCGCCATTCTGGGCGTTGCCTGATGAGTGGCGCTTTAGCGTGCTTCTGTCCAAGACGCGGATGGATAAATAGCCGGACAGTCAGCTACTGGCAATTACAGGTATAGATTTCTTTTGCTCGTTTCCTATCTTTTGTCTGCCGGCAGATAAAGATATACACGCTTTATTGATATTATTGATAACTCAATCGTTCCTTCTCCCTCCCGCTTGCCCACTTTTTTCTTCTCTCTATTCTTACAATCTAGCAGCAGCAGGAAACTCACCCATCTCCGCTGGCTCACTCGGTCACTCCTCCATCTCCCCCCTCTGCCCCTTCATCCCCCCTTGCCCTTCACCTCCGTCATCTATTCCCGGCCTCCCCATCCCCATCAGCAAACACGCCATATCCTCGCCCCCACAAGCACCGTACAAGTACCTCCAGTCCTCGCCCGTCAACGCCGCAACCGCAATCTTCACCCTCTCCCTCTCTGTTCCACCCTCCCGACCAACCTCAACACACACCTCGCCCCACGCGCTCACGCCCACCATCACGCCCTCGACCTCTCTCTCCCCGCCCCGGCACCACAAACGGCTCGGCGTGCAGCACGCGCGCCACGCGTCCGCGCGGTCGCGAATTCCTGCCTCAACGCGCTGTTGCACGCTCTGGTGCGCAAGAGCACCAATGCCAGAAGCGGACGCAACCCCGCTGGCTCCGGCATTCTGTAACGGCGCCAGCACGGCGCAGTCGAAGACGCACCGCACCTCGTCGACGGACTTGCCGTGCGCGGCCGCGAAGGCCGGCACCCAGGCGGTGGCAGAGGACGTGGAGAGCGCGGTCGCGAGCGCGGCGTACGTGGCTGGGCTCCAGGGCGTGAAGGTCGGTGGCGTCGTGTAGAGCGCGAAGGCGGGTGCGATGCCCGTGCCGCTGGTGCTGCGCACGAGTGGTGAGGGCCGAGGCGCTGGTGGGGCGTTTACGCGCGAGGGGTTGCCGTGGCCTTTGTATTTCTGCGCTGGGGGCATGATTAGCGGCGCTGAGTTGGTGTCGTAGATGATTCTTTGGGTTGCGGTGAAGGGGGAGAAGCGCGGCGGTTTGGCGGGGGGTTTCATGGGGGGTTTCATGGGATATTTGGTCGTGGATTTGGTGGTGGGGTTGTTGGTCGTGGTTGGCTGGTGCCGGCTTCGGAAATTGTATCTGTTGGGTTGGGACTGGGGAGATGCGGTGTCTTTGGGGTGGGGTTGGGTGGTGGTTTTGCTGCTGTCGGTATCATCGCTGTCGGTCTCGATGGTGTCGATATCGTTGCCGACTGTGTAAATGGTATCGTTGGAAGTGTCGAATGTAGTATCATCGTCAACACTGGAGCTGATGCCGACATCGGGATTGACAGGAGGGTCAGCCGTCTGAGTAGCGGAAATGTCGCCTGTGGAGCTCTCCACAGCTGGGAAGCCTTCGTCTCCATGCACTTCAGTGTTCTCCATGAAGCCGACCGCAGAGTCGGGGCTGTTAGGACAACTAGCTATTCCAGGGACAGGCACGTCGACGTCCATGGTGCTCTCAGCATTGTGACCTTCGTCTTCGGGTCCTTCAGAGTTTTCGACAGGGTCAGTCACCGAGCTAGAGCTGCGATAAGTCTTAATGGCTTGCTCAGCCGTGAGGTTCTTGGAATGCTCTCGATGGTCCTGAGTCGCATCTAGACCGAGCTCGTTCAATCTCCCAGATGCAGCGACTTTCGAGGCGCCAGGGTTCAGAATACTCGATACAACCATCCTCTTCGATGTATCGGAGACGAGGTCCAAAGGCCCGTTGCGGTCCGAAGGTTCATCGTCGGAAATGTCGTCGTCGTTGTCGCGGCGTAACAAAGGCTTGAATCCCGGCATGGTTGGCGGAAGGTTCTGGACGCCTCCAAACTTGAAGGTGCTCTTGGGGCGACTACCAAGGGTTAAGCCGCTGCGGTTGCTGTTTGACGTGGCTTTCGTGAGGGAGAGTTCTGAGAGGGAATTATCGTTGTCGCCGTCGGAGGCTGTATTGATGGCCCCGTCATCCTCAGAAGGAGAGAGTTCGGTGTCTTGCTGATTGTGCGGATTGGGCGTCAGCATCCTATTTCAAGAACGGATTACCATGAGCTTATCTTTTGCCGTTTGTTTGGCTCATCTGGGTGCTGCTCGATGTTGCGCTTATTGGATTTGGTTGGTTCAGCCATACTGAGGAACTCAATGGATGTAAGAAGATAGTTGCGAAGAGGGAATATTTAAGTTTGTGCGGGAAGAGTCATACGTAATTATGAATGTTGATGTTAAAACAAGCGGGATGTTAATATGTTAAAATGATGCAACGTATAAGTGGATTGCGACAAAGTGACTGGGGTGAAGTTGAACAATGTGAGTTGCGGATAGTAACTTCCCCAAACGGATACGTATGACCAAGTAAGCTCCAATCTTGAGCTGTAGAAAACAAGGGCGAGACCTAGTCGATTTAGCCATAACTTTTTTTGTCGCGCTAGAGCGAAGCGTTACCCATGACCATGAACATACTCAGACCTACAGCACATGCCAAACGTCGACTGCATAGAAATCAATTCAGGTCATTATACAATATGACCGATGACTGTATATGAAGTAAGTCAACTCCACTGGGGTAACGTTGTTCTAATGTGTTTGCGCACAAACTGGTTTGGACTTGCTGGATCGCACTTCGGGGTCTTTCATACTATATCCAGAGAGCTCTAGGAGCAGCGTTTACCAATCTAGCTATTTGTTGTCTCGCGGGGTGTGCATTGAACTATGAGATAAAACAAAAGTGATCCACCGTTTGTCAGAATAAGCACTATGTTTTAGCCAAGCTACCTCTTTTTACACAAGCAAAACCCAGGTCATGGAAAAATTAATACCATAGCAAACATCGATCTTTGACCAGCTAAAGATTAGTAGTCAAGCTGTATCCAGACTGAACCGAAACAACGGCGTTTAGGACAATTCTTATACTTCGTATATGCCAGTCTTAATACTTTATCCGCTTTTTACATGCTCAAGAATCCACACTACCGATGAAAACAACCTCAACCGCCGCGAAACTGGTCGGATATTGGTCAATGGATCAATGATTATAAAAATGGCGATGAAGTACTTACGCTGCTGTAGAAGCGAAGATTTCCAATCTCCTAGCCGGAGTGAATATGGCAAGGGAGAAAGCAAAAGCCGCCGTAAAGCCAATCATAATGTATACCCTTCGCCAGGTATCCTTGACAGCGTAGAGAACGATGATAGCGATAGTAGGAAGAATTGAAGCTATAATGGTGATCATGATCTTATTGACACGTTCAACATGCGTATCATCGTAAACGAGTATGTTCTCTTCATCGACTCGTTTTCTGCTCTATGACCCATCATCAGAAATATTCTTGAACTTAGACCGCATTACTGATAGGCTCGAGTTAATTCCCCCCCCAATATCTGCTATTTCCCCCCCCCCAGGCCTACCGCCTGCCTAATAGGGTAAAGCGCTCGGCAGAAAGTTGCCTTCGGCACAACCCGGTCGCGCAGCTCGCTCGCGTGACGCCGCGCGAGGACGCGCAGACGGGGAATAGGAACTAGCACCCCTCATTTTGTACTGAAAATTAACTAAAAAATTCTATATCTCTAACCTTACTATTACAACGCGGTACGCGAAGAGGTAAGTTATTATATAAATAGCTTAGCTTATATAGGTACCGACCCTATTACATTCAAGGCGAATTTTCGTTATAGTGCTGTTAACCCGAGCTTTCGTACCTCTATCGCGTATCCTATAACCGTGTTCTCGAGAGAAGGCCTTGATTCCGTCCCTAGCAGTCTGTATAAAGTCGTATAAGGCCTCTAGTAGCGGGGCAAGGTCGTATTTAGGTATAGTATTGAGCGAATATATACAGAGGTGCGGCGAACGCGCGGAGGTACTGTAACCGTCGTAAGACTCGTTTTAAGGCGGTACGCGCTTACGGGACGTAAAGTAAGGCCGTAGGTAGCCTGCGGGAGTATAGAGAGGTAGTAGGCAACGTGTAGTAGCGATATCTAGCGTGTAGAGGCGTAGGGGGTGGGTGGGGTTTGCGAAGTTGCTATTCTGCCGGGCGCTTTACCCTATTAGGCAGGCGGTAGGCCTGGGGGGGGGAGGGAAATAGCAGATATTGGGGGGGGGGAATTAACTCGAGCCTTACTGATAAACTTACTCGGCTTCTACTCCCAAAAAAAGCGTGGTAAATGTCCAGGAATCCGTTTGTAAACCAAGGAACAATTACTTCGTCTTCCGCAAGCTGAGGATTTATGGTAACGAGGTCCCTCTCATCGTCCCATGTACCATTTTCCGTTACGCGTAGAAAGGGGCCCCCTTCTGTAGTAACTAACCATTCACGCAAGACCCGAAGATCATCTGCCTCTGGCTTCCTCAGTTGGGATAGCTTAGATGCGTGCAAAAGGGCAGTGTCTGGTTGGTTTAAGAAGAGTTACAACAATTTCTTTCATGTACACAATTGAAAAATATGGTAAATAAACATAGACCAGGAAAACTCACTGTAAGCTGCCAGTTTCAACTGAATTTCCTTCAGCATATCAAGCTGCTCATGATTTGTTGTCTTGTCGGACTCTCTTAGGCTCTTGAAATTATGTGAAAAAGGTTGAGCAGGGATTCCCGGTGCGCCTTTGGCGTCAAATAGATAGATATCTTTGTATTTTCTCTCAAGTTCCACAAGTTCTGCCTGCAGAAATAGCAAATTTATCATGTTCAAAGAGCCGAAACGTCGAAAAATCGCCACCTCTGTGTATGGGCCCATAACATTTGCGAGTCGGTGATAGCCCTGAGGTTTGAACTCACCAAGTGATATATTGGTGTTGTGGATGGTCGTTGTCAGTGATTTATGAGACATATTTATGGATAGTCTTTAGTGTTCCTGAAAAAATAAGTAAATAAAGGATATCACGAAAGAGGTTTGAGCACATTATATCCATATCGAAATGTCGACTCCCCACTTTCCAATCTTGGCAGCTTGCTCTAATTTTAGCTTTGCTCCAATTTTAGCCTTGTGGGTGCTTCAGCTTTGATATGGCTGGCTAATCGTATTGTCTCGTTAGCGCCATGAAATACGTGACTGACAAGCCGTGACACAGACAATCTTTGTACATATTCTCTAATAATGTATGCACCCCCGGCAGCTCTAGCCAGAACTTCTCTCCATCAGCCTTCTGTTTGTTTCTGCACAAACCACAACCGACCTTTGTACAATTTTCTCCAGTGTCATTTAGTGAGAACTCTTTTCTTTTATTGCATATACAAATACTCAATGCCAGACCTTAACACCCAGATACCAACTATATTCGTCCTTCAGCATGATTTGAATGCACTGGGATTAAGAATATTGCATCCGACAGCTGGAAATATGGGGGGCTATCTCGATATCAAAAGAAAGATTGACTTCCTGGGGCAAATCCTAGACCCCGCGTTACCCCATTGGATTTCTTCCTACCTACAAGCCCGAACAATCGAGTTGAAGGCTAGACTGGATGTGTGCCGAACAATACACCACAACATAAAACTTCCAGACAGGCGGGGGCCAGCTTTTGAATGGTTCTTGAATATCCGATTCAAACATCACTTGAGACCCCTCCATATACAGCTGAGAGATTTGGAAAACTCGGCAATGCTACTACTCATACCAATAGCCAAGTACGTGACAGACAAGTATGCCTCATATAACTGCACTAACGTAGTATAGTGAAAAGAATCTGAAAGAATCACTGTCTACACGAGACGACATTGGATTGATGGGACAAATAATATCTAGAAATTTGGAGTTTGTCACAGTTTCTTTACGTTAACAAAGTGACCTGGCTAATCGCATATGCGATAGAGACCTCCAGAGGCAGATAACACCGCTATCTGAAACAAACTCATTGCACACTATCAATGAAGAAGACAGATTCAGTCGGCAAGCTGAAGGCACTCAAACAAAGGGTACAACTGAGATATCTCCAGTGAAAACCATTTTTGAATTTCGTGGGGAATTTTTTACAAGTAACCAACGCGTAGTCCACGTCAATGCTACTGTGGATCTAGGATGCCAAGACAACTTCATTTCGAAAGAATTCGTAAAGAAGACTGGACTCGAGTCTCATACGTATGAGAACTTCAAGCAGCGCGAGCGTGTTGGTCCAGCCGAAAGATTGGTTAAGCCCGACCAAGAGATCAAACTTCGATGGCGTCCTTCTGGGTCAATCAAAACAGAAGTGACTCGGTTTTTTCTAGACGAAAATATGGAAAACATGGACATGGTTGTGGGTCAGGGTTTTGCAGACCTGGATGGAATCTTTGGAGATATACCAGTGGAAGCATACACTCTAAGAATCCCGTGGAAGGGGAACTCCCGCAGTGAGTATCCAGCACTTCCATGAAAAACATTTACTAAAATCATTGCTGTATAGAGGAACGCCAAGCAAGAAAAGAAGCCGTAGAGAAGCACAAGCGAGAAGAGAAAGAAAACGAGACGAGGCAACGCACCCAAGAGTTAGAAGCCAGGAAGCAACGACTTGCTTCCGCATCATCTTCCTCCTCGATAGCACCGAGTGCCCTGTCTGGCTCATCTGGCAACTATTTAGCGTCGACGTTAAACGCACAAAGGATGGTCCCAGTTACAACCACGACCCCAAGTCCATCGTCTACGCCAGGCATCCTACCCGGGTCATCGCCATCAGCCGTGCGAATACCGGCAAGCCCTGGAGGTCCAGTAACTATGCTGAGAAGACGCTCATTCTGAAATGTCAGGACTATACTTTCTGATAATTTATCTGAGGAGTTATCGGTCTTGTTTTCAATTACCATGACAGACTACGAACTTGAAGCAGCAATCGTCTGTGGGGATGCTATGCCTACTCACCTTTAAGTACTAAATCAATTGAAACATCCATAGCAAAGAATAGTATAGACCAAATGGTTACTGACACGCCACGCTAAATCCGTATCTAGAAAGATGAGTACACTGCTTTATATTAAACTGAATAGAATAAAACGAAATAAAAGCAAAAAGCGAAATATAACAGCAGTAACTAGAAATTTCACATAATCGTCTTTAGTATTCGGCGCTGCCTCGCAAAACCTTTTTTCCATAACACCGGATAATTTGCCTGCCCAACATGATAACACGCATATAAAAGTACTTTTTGCTCTTAAATACTTTTATACGTGAATATATTTCGGCCGGAGGGGTAGAGATCTTTGTTCACATTGCTACAGGGAGTGGTGCTCCGTAGGATTACCAGTGAGTATAGCAAGTCATTCCGAATATAATTATTAGAGATACTGCAACCCATCATACAAGTAGATTAAAACGATCTATATAGATCATTCCCTAGACTGACAAAGACCTTACACTTATACCCAGACCAGTACCTCGCAAGTGCATACAAATCTCTAAAAACATCCACCGCTCAACCACAATAACAAAACAAAGACCCGATATACCTAATTCAACCCAAAGCAACCCTCCCAAAACCACTACCCAACAGCCCAACCTAACCACACGCCAACAACCGTACACTACCCCTCCCCTGCAAACCACAAACCACAACAAACCAGTCCTCTACCAGGCCCAAACACACGTGGTAAGCAGCCAGGCAACTAGCGCCACCCTACCACCAACTACCGAGCGCACCCACCCCCATGGCCATCCTATCTACCGGCGCCAAAGCGCATAGCACCACCGGCCATGCACGCACACGCACGCGCCGTTCAGGCCCTCCGTCCAAATAACCTTTTAGCCAATCGATAGAGCCCGCGCGCAGCGTTGCGGCACTGCACCAAACCGCACTGTACTATACTCGAATCCGCTACAATCCGCTACGCTACACCACGCCACGCACGATAAAGCAACCCTACCTACTGCCCTGGCCCCTGAAGGCAGTAGCACACACCACACACCACGCCACACATAGGTACCTACCCCTGGCGGGCCTTAACGGCTCCTCCCCAAAGCCTTGGTTCTTGTGATCCCTGCCCTGCCCTGCCCTGCCAACTGCCCTGACGGTCCCGGACGGAGGGATCTCCTAGCGCGGTGGCGGTTAAGCAGCGCACGGGACTTTGGCTATGGCGCTTGCAAGGCGCCCTGGCGCGCGTGGCGTGGCGCTGGGTGCGTGGCGTTGCCTACGTATGTAGTAACGCGTATGTGCGTAAGGAGAGTACGCTGCTTTTCGAACTACGTGCGTAGGGAGCAGGGTTGCGAGCGGAAAACGTGGCCGCAGAGCAAGCAGGCAAGCAAGCAAGCAAGCAAGCTATACGCGATACGGGGAGCGGGCCGTGCGCGCTGCGTTGTCCTTCCGTCTCTCAAGAAACGTAAAATCCAGACACGGATAAAAGCAATGGCTCCTGCATGAAGACATAGGGGTTTTACCCGGAGATGTCAAAAGAACCTAGGACGAGGGTCAGAGCAAGCAAGCCGGCGCTTAGAGCCGCGGCCGTTCGAGCTTGGTCCCTGCATTGCCTGATCTACCTACTAGGTACATGTAGTACGGTGCCTATCGGCGGAATACAAACCAAGGCCGTTCCTGCCGGCGATACCACGGGTTGGGGCGGGGATAATGCAAGCCGAGCTAGATAAGGACGGAGGAGGAAGAAAGCGGAAGCTTGGCGCCGCTGCCATGGTGTGCTTACGACGCTCGGCGGTGATGAGCACGCCCTGTTGTGTGTTGGGGAGGAACGAGTGACTTGTGCTTTTGGGCGAGTGCAGTGCAGTGCAGTGGGTGCCTGAATGGGGAGGGACTTGCGTGTGGTGCTACAAATGGGTATTGGGGCTATGCGTATGCAAGGGCGGAAGAGATAGGAAGGATGTGTGGCGGCGTAATGTCGCTGCCTGTGTTATATTTGGAGACGACAACTGGGCCGTCGCCGCCGAGTCAAGCACAGAAGAGTGGCCGTCGTGGTGGTGTGACAGAAAGGTCTTGTTTGTTTGACTGATAGCAAGAGCAAGAGTTGCCGTTGTATAACGAACGCATTTTCTTGCTGCTGCGCGTGCCGAAGGGATGTGCCGTGCTCCACCGTCGTCGCTGTATAGACAACGGCGGCAGCAGAGCCGCACCGCTGATCATGTGCGCTTGATGTTTTAGCCGACGTGGTGCAGCATGGCACCCCTGTCTCATCACTGCTTCTTCTCCAGATAGTTGATGACGTTTAGGACCTCGCGTTGCGACATTGCGGACGTGATGCCCTTGTATGATTCGTAGGCGATCCAAAGCGGGAACCAGACCCAGAGGGTGTTGAAGAAGAAGAGGTAGACCCACCTTTTCGCAAGGAGCCGAGGATCAGCAAAAGGGCCCAAAGGCGGTGTGAAGATAGGGAAAGACGCGGGGGCTGCTTACTTGTACATCCAGTTGTCTGTCACCAGATTCGGCGAGCCGCTGAGCCATTCCGGCGCGAAGGTCATCCAGCCTGCCGGACAGCACCACGTCAGCAAACCGCTCGCACGGCCAAAAACCCACCTCCACTCTCCGCGCCTGGGCCCCAGACCCTTTTCTTCTCTCCACCGCCCACGCTGCAAAAAGCCGCACTTCCAATAGCGCTGCCAAAAAACGTTGTCCCTTGGCCCCACATGGTCGAAACGCGCATAAACACCACATGGCACCCGTTTGCCGGAAACGGAAGGGAGCGGAGAGGAAGAGCCGCGACAATCGAGATGTAGGAGAGAGAGAGAGAGATGTGAAGGGAACAGGAAAAAAAAAATTGAGAGCTCGCCGGCCCCACCAGTACTCACCTCCATACAGCTCCGCCGTCGCCAGCACCAGCATCCAGAACCACTTTCTGCCCTCGGTTCCCTCCCTCCCCGCATACCACTCGCCGCGGCGCACCATCTCGGCGCACCACAGCGCCAACGGACCCCCCACCAGCACCGTCAGCAGCTCCAAGCTCACCACCGTCAAGTCCGCACCGCCCCACCGCCGATCTGCCTTGGCGTACTCCTGCCACAGCTGCGAAAATGGCCCCGTCCCGTAGCTCGCGCCGTAGATACGGTCGTTACGTCCGAGGAAATAGACGTCGGGCGGCGTGAGGATGAGCGGTGTTACTGCGCCGCTGCCGCCGCCTGCCTTGTATGGCGACGCCGGCTCTGGCGCCCACCACACGAAGAAGCAGTTCCACAGGAACGACCCCTCGAACAGGAAGTGGATCAGCGCATCGAAGATGTGCCACACGAAGAACACGCGAGCCTTGGTCGAGGCGCTGCGCGGCAGTACCCGCAGCGAGAGGGCGTAGGCAGCACCGAGGACGGCGACGGTGGAGAGAAGCGAGATGACGGTCGTCGCGTCGATGACGAGCGGAGAGGACGCGGACATGTTGAAAGGTGTTGGTGCGAGCAAAGGGGGTCGTGCGAATGTTTATTTGGCTGGGTCTCGCCATTTCTCGGGGCACGCAACGGGGCGGTGAGCAAGGCCCGTGTGGCACTGCAACAACACCATCTGCCCTGCTGGCCTTTTGTCCTGTGCCACATACACACCCACAAATGTACACGTGATAGGAACCGAAAGTGTTTTAGACAATGTTTGACTGTTTTTGGCTTTTTTGCTTGTCTGTATACTGTGTGCCCTGTGCATCTGCCCTCCCAAGCTCCATCGTGTGGGCTTCGACCAAAAACCAACCATCCCACGCCCCATCGCCCCATAGTAACAGTGTCTCAATTTGCTTGCCTCAAGCGAGAGAAAATGCCGCTGATAATGCAGTGTCGCAGCCAAGCGGCCGAGGAACAAAGACGGAAAGGACCGTGGCCCTGGAAGAACGCGCGCATGAAAAAACTGAAAATCAGGAAAAGCAGGAACCAACCCGTAAAAGCAACTTTTTTGACCATGCCTCCGAATAGAAAAAGAAACCACGACCGCATCCTACAGTGATGCGTCAGGGCGGCGCCCTGCGAACGTCGATAAGAGAGCCAGTTACCACAAGCCGTCTATTAAAGTTAGGAGCAGAGCAGAGCATGCTGACCGCCAAACGCCTTCGTCGAACCCGACATGCTAGAAAAAAAAAAAAAAAAAAAAAAAAAAAAAAAAGTGCCAACGCAAAACAGAAACGCAGCATGCTGAAAGAAAAGTGCAATCCCGAAGGAGCATGCTGTAAGTGGGAAAACGCAGGGGGATAATGAATAATGGTAGACCGTTTCAGGCCACCGCCGCCATATTTTTTTTTTGCGGAGAAACTTCTTCACTCATCGTCTTTACTCTGGCATAAAGCGTGGCAACTTTTTTTTTGGTACGCCTTGCGCAACTACGCGTTCGGCTTTCTCCAGTTCGTCGCATTGCATTGCATCAGAGGTCGTGACTGCGTGATCGTGACGCAAGGAGATTCGTAAAACAGCCCTTGCCCGTTAGGGCAAGTATGAGCTAGCTGTCACCATTGCTCGACCGTGGTTGCTACCCGATTATCGCCTTGAGGGCGTGATTCTCGGGAAAGATGCCGCCGTGCATGTTGTTGTTGAAGGGATAACCAAACGACACGGGGGACGTCGTACGGTCGCCGAAGTCGGATCCTGTTACGGGTGCCGGCGATGTCGACCTAGACAAGAAAGGGCTCTGGCTGCGTGGCTGTGTCTTGGGGTCGTTGGCACCATCGACAGCCGGAGGGCCTTCCTTTGAGGGAGAGGGGCTGCCCGAGCCGGTATCAGTAGGACTGACTGCGCTGCCATCGGAATCGATTTCGCGAGTTCCGTCGGTCGCAGTAGGCTTCGGGCTGGATACCTGCGGTGAGCCTCTTCCAGATCCAAACTGTGCGGTTCGTCAGTATCCATGGTTTAAATGGCCATCCTGGATTTGGGGACGTACGAAGCAATATTTCTGGATCAACTCGTTGTACTCTGCCGACTTCAGATCAGGCTTTACCGAGGAGATCTCATCGGGGCGTGGGGCGTTGAGCTTAGGGGCAGAGGGCGCCTCTCCTTGAAGGCTGAAGTAGTCAGACTTGGACTTGGGGGTCTGCTTCTTGATGCCGCTACGGTCACCCAGAGCATTCTGAGCAGTAGACAAGGCGGCAGTAAGAGAAGCGCCAAAGTCGTAGCGAGTAGAGAATGCCTGAGCAGTTGGCGAACTGTTGCGGTTAGGCTGGTCGGGGAACAGGTTCGTCTTCGGCTTGCTCTTGCTCTTGAGTCGAAGGGCAGGGCCGGTCGAGTCGTTGAAGGACGAGCCGCGACCACCAAACTCATACTGGGTCCCGAAGCTGTGGTCGAAGTCGTCGTCAAAGGAAGGTCCCAAGGTGCGAGATTTGTTGGCAGGCGGGGAGTGGCGGCTACGTGGTATCGATCCAAGCGAACCAGCGCGAGCCCCATGGGGTCTGCCGCTCCTCGAGACCTTGGGCTGCATCTTCTTGATAAAGTCAACCTGGAAGTTCATCGCGTTGTTGTTGTCCCAGAACTCTTGGCCGTTGACGTTGTAGCGGACGCAGAGCAGCAATGTCTTGGTTTCAAGATGGGCCTGGTCGGCCAGCTTGATGTTAAAGGTAAAGTGGTCTTTGCCATCTGCCATCTGCTTCTTCCGCACATCGTCGTTGAACTCAGCAGCAACTTCGGACGTCGTCTTCCAGTAATCCAGCGTGAACCGAGCGACGACCGACTTGTGGAAGGCAAGGTTCGCGACAGCGACGGACCCAACCAGGCTTCTCTGGTCCGGCGACAACGACAACTTCTCGACATGCACCGGCAAGGCCTTCCTCTCAAACGTCTCCCGAGGGAAGTTGGACAGACGAAGCTCCCACTCGACACGACGCGAGCTGTAATGATCGTCTTGGCTAAACGGATACTCGTGCTCGCTGTCATGGGTCTCGACCGGCGACGACCCGGCGCTGACGGCGATGGGACGATCCACTTGGAGGAAATGGCGGACCTGCTCGATGTCGTCGTTGAAGTGGACGGCCTTGGAGAACGACGGAGTGCCTGGCATGCTAGAAGGACGACGGCGGTTGCGGGAAGTCGGCCTCAACGCCGGCTTGACAAGCTCGCCGGACTTCTTGCGGACCAGGGCCGGCTTGAACGAGAGGCCATCGTCGTCGTCGTCCTCGCTGGACTCGGACGTCTGCATGGGGGACACGGTAAGATCCTTGACGTGGCTGGACAGGGCGACGTCGCTGGTCGAGCGTGAGTGCGAAATCTTACGAGCCTCTGGGGTGAGAGCAGGGCGAAGAGGCTTGTGCTGGGGCTCGGGCTCAGGAGGGGCTGAAGCAGTGCCATTAGCATGGCGTTCCGGTGAATGTCCACGCTTTACTTCGATGGATTGCAGGGCCTGTGCAAGTTCGGCAAACTTGCCCTCATGCCTTCTTCCCCGGTCCTCATCATCCGAGTTCTGGACCGAGTCAGGAGGAGTAGCATCGGCGCCTACTGGGATCAACAACTTGGTCGGGGGGTTCGGGTGGTGTGGTCTACCGTTGGCGGCGGTCACCTGGCCGTTGGCCCCATTCTGGCCTTGGGTAGGAGAGTCGGAGATGGATGGGGTGCGACGGTGCTTGCTCAGGTAGGCCGTCGACGAGACCGAATGGGGGAGCACGGAGCGGTGAGCCGCGCTGGTAGGTGAGCTGACACCGGTCGCCTCGCTGTATGAATGGGAACGGCTGAGGATAGGGCTGTTGGTCTTGGAGGAGGCAGGCGACCGCTGGGAAGGCGGAGTGTAAGGCATCCGGCCGGCTTGAAGGGGGATCTCGGGGTGGTTTGTCGACGGTGGAGGCGGATCAGGGTCGCGAGGGCATTACAAGGAAGAAGTAGAGTGAAGAATTACGCACTGTGGCGGTCAGCAGGGCGGACCAGGAGGACAGGCAGGATAGGAGAGAAGGAGGAAAAAAAGGAAGCGACTTACAACAAGAAAGATAGTGTGGGGAGCGGGCGTTTGATAAGCTGGCAGGCAATTGGGGTTTGGCGGGAAAGCGAATCCGGGAAGGTGGGCGGGCTCGAGGGGGGTTAAGGGCTCCTGCTGCAACGCGCGAAGGTCGACTTTTTCGGGCAGGGCGGGCTATAAGAGCGCGGACGCGGGTGGTGAGATGGTTGAGTCGAGTTAGGGTTTATTGGGGCAGCGGGCAGGGGAGATAATGGCACACTCTAAATTCTGTGCAGCCGGGTGGGCGAATGAGATGGCGTGGCCGGCGTGCAGGCGCTGCCCTCTTCAAAAAGAGGCGATCCCAACCGACGGACAGGGATGGCGGGCGTTGAAGGATTTGCTGCAGATCGAGGTACAAGACGGCTACCGTCAGCGACAAAGCAGGCCTTTGTCCGCGCCCGGCGGAGCGAACTGCAAGCATTGCCCGACCGGGGCCCTTTGACATCATGAACGAAAGCCACAGCCTAGACTCCAGAACCAGGCCCCCTCGCAGCCGCCGGCCACGACGTGCCCTTTGCGCTGACATCATGGGGCGCCCGCGTGGGCAAAGGATGGAGTGACAAGACAAGTCCGCCCGTCGCTGCTTTACGGATACCACTCCTCCCTCAATTCCCTCTCTATCCACATCTCCGCCGCCGCCCGCCTGCCTGCATGCAGCCTTCTGGAATGAGGCGCAGCTTGGCGCGCGCAGATTTCCCATGCTTTGCCGCCTAGCCGTCGGGAAGTACGAGCAGGATCTCCCTCACACCTCCTGCAAAAAAGCGGTCTAAGCGTTGTGTCCAAGCGAGCCGGTCTCGTCCGCGGTCTCCGGCCTGGGTCCTTATCCATGGGTTGCCGCGCGCCACATTGCTGCTCTCTCTTCGCCCACCTCTCTCAAGTGGGGTGGGGTGCCGCAGCTGCTGCCATTCCCCGCATGTCACGACAAACTTGAGGTGGGTGAGCTGATGTACCTGTAACGCGGCCCGAGCTTGACACACGCAAGACAAGAACCGATGATAACGAGCCAGAGTTTGCTAGCTAGGTAGTCATCCTTGACCATCTCCCGCCGCGCCGCGTTCGCAGCTGAAACTCGTCTTGGTGGCACGAGCCGCCAACGGCTTCGCTGGTTTGGTTTTGCAGTACCGCTTATCGACGATGGCTCCTACTCACTAACTAGTCGGGGCCTGAGTCGCGCGAGCTGAGTGGGCCCTCCCCCTCGTGGAATGCATTGATCCCCACAGCTTGGGGCGGCTAGGCAAAGAATAGAGTCAAAATTCTGCTGGCAGAATTCAATCTTCACCGCCCGCCTTCTGCCGATCTCCCTTGTCGCCGATCCGCGCGCTTCTCTACTCGAGTACTCAGCCGACATCAGTCGACGCGAGCAAAAAAAAGGCCAGCCCGCCCCAAGCTCGCCAAGCAAGGGCATGGTTATCTGCTATCAGGCCCTCGAGTCCCTCCCTCCCTCCCTTATCGCTGCTGCTCATCTGCGAATACGGCCTCTTGCGCCATCCAATCATGCACCCACTCCAAAACGTCTGGAGCTAACCTATCCCCAGGGCATACGCGTCCCGTCGAGTCCCCACCGCGAGCGATTCGTCCTGGAGGATGCTAATTGATTCCCACCGACGGCCAGCAAAGAGGGCCCGCCGAGGAGGCTGACTCCGCTGACGACATTGTCGCGAAGGGAAATTCGGGAAAATCATCGCAGACTCCACTCTTAGCCCTCCGCTCCGCGCCCTTCGGCCCTTCTCCTCGACACACTGACTTCTCCCGCCTCCAACCTCCGCCTCCAACTCCAGCGTCAGAGCTGACCCCCTGCGGACCCCGTTCCGGGGGAGACGCGGCCCGATTGGGAGGGTCGTGCGAGGTGAAACCAAGGCTTTTTTCGACGTCGAGCGACCGCCCTGAACCCCCATTTCCACGCCGTTGCCTGGTGCAACGGCATAAGCCGGTCGTGTCTCAAAACGACGTGCGACATGCGCATGCCCGCATCGACCGTTTTCGCGGCGACGCAAAAGCCCTTGTACATAACGCCAGTCGGTTCCCTGCCTGACATGGAAGCCTGACCGGCCCGTGTGGGGATGTCACTCGTTGGACACGTTGGTGTGGCCATGAGTAAGCTCTCCACAGTCGTATCCAAGCAACACCACATGTTTGCGCGTTTGGTGTAGTTGTTTCCTTTCTTTGCCTCCCGTCTCACCCGAACTGACCCCCTCGCGAGCCGGCTTACTCCGCTATCGCCAAACCGCGCCCAGCGCTCGCAACACTCAAGCCTCTCCCCACATTTCCAGCGCATTACACGCAAACGACGTTGATCGCCACACCACCGCAGATCGATGATTGGGCAGCCACTTCCACTCTGCCTTCCAGCTCCTTTGTCAGCCTTTTTTCCCCTTCTAGTTCGCTTCGCTTTCCTTTCTAGCAGCATGGTTTTGCGAGCCCGGAGCGCGCAATTGTCGCGTTCCGGTGCGGCGCAGATCCGAGAAATCCGAGCAGGCACACCCAATGGTCTGATGGGCTGACACGCAGCATCAATCGCAACCCCAAACCACTGGGGGAGGTGGCTCCATGGCTTGATTCGGCCAACCTGTCATGCCGTGTCTCCCCGCTTTTCATTCTCTACGTTGCGGGGTATAGACGCGAATAGGCAGCGCGAGATTCGGTGCAGTGCCGCGCACGCAGTTTTCCGAGCCATCTCGCCATAGAAAGAGCACAGGAAAAGGGACAGCATTATGTATGGAAAATTCGACGACGTTGCACAACGCTGGCCTTGCTGTCGCGCGCCGTGAGACGTATGTGTGAGCCCTTGAGCCACCGCCGAGCGTGTCCCAAGAACCAGACATTGCAACCGCGTTTGTCCTCAGCGTAACAACAGGTCCGACAACGGCCTTGATGTTTATCTGCACAAAAATCCCCGCCGGATTCGCCATCGAGACGGCTTCACGTCCGCGCGCAACACTCTCTCCACTTTCCCCTCCCGGCCATCCTCGAAGGCCATCCGTGCCGCGCACCCCCTCCGTACCCGAGTCCCGGGACCGTTTCTGCGCCCCCAGCCTTACCGAACTGACATATAGCCCACCATCAGCGCTCCAGCCGCAGCGCCAGCGAAGTGCGGGGAAGCGCACGGCAGCAGTGGGCGCCACCACCGGATGAGTTCGAAGTTTAGCATGCAAAAGAGGCCCTGGCTGCTACCCCGCCATCACACACCACACCCTCCATCACCAACGGGCCGACGCGCAGGCAGCGAAGGCGGCGCGTGCCGAGCGCGAGCCCAGAACATCGCTTAGCAATGCATCACGGCGGGCATGGACCGTATCAGCAAGCAGCAGTCATGGCGCATGCGACCAAAGCAGCTATTAGCCAGCCAACCCGAGGCTAACACCGCGTTCTGCGGCTGCCCGTTGCCAAAGCTTATCCTGCAGTCTGCATCGTGCATGGCGCATACCGTGCGCCCTGCGCCGTGCGCCGTACATCATCACCATCCAGCGAGGAGCATCGCGCCGACACGCACATGAAGGCGCACCACGACCAGTCCCGTTGCACTGGCCGTCCGAGGCAGCAGCAGCATTGGCCGCCACGCCTTGCTTGCACGCACAGCGACCACGTGCACAGCTTCTCGCGCGGGCCTCAGCCACATCAATGCAGCAGCTACAGCGGATGATTGACAGAGGGGTTCATTAACAGAGCTAGGGTTGTGGGGTAGCTAGGCAGGAGGTAGGTGGGTGTTGACGGCTGCAATGGCACGCTGGTATGTCCGTGCGCCGAGGGTTACGCCGCGTATCACGGGTGGTTGCACAGGGAGGGGCAGCTGCCCGGGCAGCAGCAGCCACACAGCAGCACAACAGTAGGGCGCGCGGCGCCCGGAAACGGCGCTCGGGCGCCTAGATAGCGGCGGGCGCCGGCTGTATTGTATTGCGCGCGCGTGCTCTCTCTATGTATATACATACATACACACCAACAGCCAAAGTTCGGCTGCCGCGCTGGCCGACAATATACACCCACAGCAAGCACCTAATCTATCGGGGTACACAGCCTGCGGCGCCGCCCGAGAGACGCTGCCCGCTACACAAGGTGATACGTACGCAAGCGCTGTGAGCCACTGCTTTGGGCCTGCACGCCCTACCGCGTACGTGCCCCCCGTCTTCGTAACTTACTGTACGCCGTACCTATCTAGGTAGACAGAGGCGGTAGGTAAGAGTAAGGTAGGAGTAACTCCGGGACCGGACACCGCACCGCAAGGCAACCTACGGCGCCGCGCCGGCCCCGAGGTTGTGTTGTTTGGGGTTGGCTTGCTTTGCCCGTTACCGAGGTTGGTACTGTTATCCATACTCTACTTACTTAGGTCTTATTTGGGTGGCTGTGGTATGGCATGTATCCGATCCTGCGTCCACGCCTCCCCGCAGACGACGCCGAGAATGCTCCACCACCATCACGTCGACAAGAGACGAGCGCTGCGATCGTCGCTTGCCTTGCCCACGCTAGCGCACCGAGATGCAAACCCAGCAGTTTTTCTGTTGTTGGCGGCGGCGGTGGTGGTGGTGATGGTGGAGCGCAATTCGCGCCTTGTGCAGAGCCCTTCTCTCCCGGTCTCTCGAGGGGGAGGCAAAACGCGTCCGGCGGCGGAGTCGCCTCCGCCGCGCGTCTGGCGCCGCTTCTGCACGGCGAATATTGGGCCTGCTTCTCTGCCTGCTTGCTTGGCTGCTTGTGGAGGAGCAGGCTATGCGGCCTATGCAGGCTTTGCGGGCTATGCAGGGTGGCTGCGTGGGTAGGGCTTGTGCTTGTGCTGCCCTGCTGCCCCGCTGTCTTCTTGCTGCGGTACGGATTACGGTGCGTATGTTCGCGTATGGCTTACGGGCTTGCTTGCTTACTACGTGCGTGCGTGCGTGCGTGGTGGGAGTAAGTACGGAGAGGTACTGAGCACTACACTGCCGCTACTACTGTTCTCTGCAGTGGTGATGGTGTTGCAGACGCGCAAGGCGTCAAGGCATGGGCATAGTACAAATCCGTAACTACAGAATGTAACTATGGTACGGTAGGCAGGGCAACCCTCGCGACCCTCGCGACCCTTATCTTTTTTTCGTTTCGCTCCTGTGCCAGACGGTGTTCGATTCTGCCTACGGTACGCGACGCGTTGCGCGGCGGGGAGACCCCTGTCTCGCGGCGCGGGCTGGGCGGGATGGATGGGGCGGCTGAGCGGCAGGGTTGGCGCGAAGCTCCTCCCGTGCCGCTGTCGTGCCGCGGGTGCCTCGAACTTTGCGAGCCGCTTGGTGGTGCGCCGCCGTTATCGCTGCTGTGTTGTTGCGCTGATGAATAATGGGGCTTGCTTTGACTTTGGTGGCTGCCGCTTCATCTTTTTGCCTTGGGGGTGTTGGTGGAACTATGTACTCGTATGAGTAGGAGGGACAGAGAGAGGTTTGGTGTTGTGGTCGCTTTACCTGCCCTCCGCGTACGGAGGAGTTTTGTTACGCGGACGAGGACGCGCTCCCGCTGCTCCTACACGTCTGGCCTGGGGTACGGATTAGAGGAGGTACGTATATCCAGCCACCCACAATCACGCTGCCCGAGAGAATCGGACGCCAAAGCCGCTCGTCAACCACTCAACTGCTCAATTGCTCAACCAGCCAACCAACCAGCTACCCGGTAGCTACTCACCAGCTATCCAGCCACCAGCCAACTCACACCCTCTCACCCTCCACCACACGACCAATACACCACCACCACCAACCCGGCACCCGGCGCCCAACCACCCACTCCCACACTCCCGCACTCACGCACTCACGCACTCACGCACTCACCCAACCCACCCAAAACGCAGCATCACGCAACCCCGCCCCGCGATCGCCACTCCCTCACGCACTCGCGCACTCACGCACTCATGCACTCACGCACTCACGTACGCATCCCGACGTCATCGCCGCCCAGTACCACCTCTACTTCCGAGTACCTACATACGACCCTCCTCACCGCGGCAACACACCCTCCCCCAAGCCAATGCCAGAGCGTCTGCACGATCACGATCAGTGATCTGCGTCCATGATCGCTGGCATCGTAAGGGATCGCTGGCAGCATCAATGATCGCCGGCGGCAGGGGCGAGGGCCTGTTGCTGGTGCTGCTGGTGCTGGTGCTGCTGCTCAGGGCATGTGAGACGCGGGCTCGGGCTCGGGGCGCAGAAGGCGCATGGAAGCGGCATGGAAGACGGGGGAACGGCCAAGGCTACGGCTACAGCTACGCGCGATGACGGCGGTGGTGGTAGTGAGTGAGTGAGTGATCTTCGCTGCTGCTTGCTTGCTGCTTGCTTGCTGCTGTCGGAGGAGACGATCGTCGCCCCGCGTTGCCTGTCTTGCCTTACCCTGCGCCTTGCCTTGCGCCTTGCGCCTTGCCTTGCGCCTTGCGCCTTGCCTTGCGCTTCCCATACGCTTTGCCGCCTTGTGGCGCCGCGGGAGCGCGGGAGCAACGCGCGGTTGCGTAGCGGGTGCGTGGGAGAGAGGGTGAGTACACGCGTGTTGCGTAGAGAAGAGCGCACATAGCGTACATACCTACGCGGTGAGTGGGTGGCAGCGACTCCTACAGCGGAGGTGGTGGCAGTGGCAGTGGTGGAGTGGTGGAGTGGTGGAGTGATCGGCAGACGACGCGCTGCGCGATGATGTGCCTGCCACCTCCACATCTTCAGGTTTCCGCCTCCCCTGCCCACCTACCACGTACAAAGGCTCTCGCACATTCTTCTCGCATTCTCCTCGCTTGCCGCTGCTGATGCTGGGCGTCACATCATGATCACGGCGAGGGTGCGGAGACGGGCCTCACGGGGGCATAGGTAGGGCTGTCGGCCCTGCGCCTCGTTGATCATGACCTCACGCCGCGTGCGACTTGCGCTTCCATTCAAGGTTCCATGCTCCTTGCCGCTGCCGCTGCCGCTGCCGCTGCTCCGCCCTGGCGGGGGATCACTGATCAGTGATCACTCACTAGGTAGCAATACGGATCCGTAGCGATCGCAGCAATGATGCTCGAGCGACGAGCCCCGGCGTCAATCGCTGCGATCGTCGTCTATCACTCACTCTCTCGCTTGGACACTTGCATGGTCGTTTGCTTAGGTACCCAGTCGTTCGCTTGCTCACTTGCTTCCTTGACTGCAGCCGCTGCGCATCAGCAATTTATCTTACATCTCACATCTCACATCTCGCTGCTGTAAGTAGCTCGCTACCTAGGTATGTATGTATGTATGTAGGTCGGGGCATCAAATACCTAGCGAGCTTACGATGCCATCTCTCTCTCTCTCTCTCTCGCCTCCGTCTCAATGCTCCGCGCATCCTTGCCCGTGCGTGTGTGCATACGTAAGGGTGGTGATGCACCCCGCAATACTGCTTGCTTGCTTGCTTGGCGCTCATCGCCGATGCCACCTACGAGTAGCCTGCTGCGTACATAGGTAGGTACAGTATGTACATGCCTACGCTGTTCGCGTTCCCGGCGTGCCATGGACGTCCTGTACTGCACTGTGCAGCACAGCACGCACGGACTCCGGGGTCCGGGGCACAAGTACGGGGCGCAAACACGGGGTCATGGACTACAGTAGAGTACTACACTCGCGTCTGCATCCTGCCCTACCAGTACCCGTACCCGCACTCCTACCTACTCTAGGAAGAGGTAAGTAGGCAGGTACGAGTACGAAGGCGGTGACGACGGCGGTGGACGCGGCCGAGGGGCTTGGTTTGAGGTGGCTTGGTTTGGTTAGGTTTGGCTTGGTTTAGCTTGTCGGAGGTGCCCGCTTCAGAGTCCCTACCTTACTCGCAGTGCTGCTGCTACTGCTGCGCCGGCTGCTTTGGGTGCCGTGTGTGCGAGTAAGGTCGCTGCTAGCTCCTCGTAGAGTAAAGTACTTACTGTGAGGCAGCCGTGGCAGCCGTGGCCGCCGCCGCGGCGCGCCGGGTTTGATGGCGGCGGCGGTGGCGGTGGCGGTGGCGGCGTGGGTGGGGGTTCGGTAGATGCTTGCAACTTGCACTATCCGTTTGGGTTGGGTTACTTACTGCCCGGTTAGTTGGTTGGTTAGTCAACCTTAGTTGCTCTATTATTATGCACATGCGGCTTGAGGGCGGGCGGACGGGCCGGGCTTGGCTGCCTTGTGTGGAAGTGTTGAGGCTGGAATGTTTTTAGTAGAGTAGGTAGTAGGTGTAGCGATGGCGCGGGGGACGGAAGCGCCGAGACGGTGGTGGTGGTGGTGGTGCTGCTGCTGCTACTCTACTCTGCTACGCAGAGCATAAGTTGTGGACTCGAATAGCTGTGGCGCGCATTTACTTTGACGTTAGGAAATCCATCCATCACCCCCGCCGCTGTCCGCTGTAAATGTATGTACTACAGTGCCTAGCATGTAGGAGTAGTTACAAAACATACCCACACAGCATCACCCTCTAAAACACGAGGCGAAAAGCACAATCTTCAACCCCCACACCCAGCCAGCCAACCACGCCCTCACAGCCGCAGCGCCGGCCGGGGCAGCGCCCAAACCAAACCCCGACGGCGTCCTCTCCGTCGCCGCACCCGTTGCCGACGCACCAACCAACCAGCAACGACCGTCACACCAGAATTCGCGCGGCTCCTACGCCAGCGTCTGCGTTAGGAACGGCTGCCGAGGCGGCTTTTGGCGGCGGCGGTGCGGGCCAGAAAAGGGTATTCCGCGAATTTTCTTAGCGGCAGGGGCAGGGGGGTGGAGGGGATTGGGCCCAGGGGCTGGATCATTGCAAGGCGGTACAGTACCTAGGGCGCGGATGCCGGGAAGCGCGGTT